AAGAAGAGGAACAAGAAGAAGAGGAACAAGAAGAAGAGGAACAAGAAGAAGAGGAACAAGAAGAAGAAGAGGAATATGAGGCAAAACAAGATCACAATCAGCTCAATGTGTTAAATGATACCCCAGAGTCAGAGGAGCTTCCTGAGCAAATTCTCTTCTTCAGCATACCACAGAAAGTCTCCCATCCGATGGAAGATATGGAAGATATACAAGTTTCACCGCGAGTCGAGCAAGAACCTATATGGAGAAGCTGCAGAGCCAATTCGATTCGAGAGATAACAGGAAGAATTCTTGGCAAGGCTGAATACCAAGTCTCTTGCAACGGCGTCGAGCCAACAAGTCATAGGTGGAAATAAACACCCGAAGGCGCCTTAAATGGCACCTATGAAGCGTATGACTACAGGTACAGGTGTTCCCACTTCTTGCTCATAGAGTAGAAGGTCCAGTTGAGTAGAACAAGGATTAGTGCTCTCTACATTCTAAGGAAGAGGTGCTTATTTTTCCACAACTCCACAACTCCACAAATCCCCCCCGACCCCTCCTTCCCCAAATATCCTCACCTTCAGCTACATTATTGAACGGGCTATGTTGTAGGATAGGATAGGAAAATAGTTGTCGAGTCCAGTCGCCGTGGAAGCGAGTTGAGCTAGTCTCATGGACTAGATCTAACTAGCGAAGACTTGGTTCAGCCACAAGGGCTCGGTGAATGAGAGTTTGCGATCATAGTGGCTTTGCCTCTAGGAAACGCATGATACCCAAATAGGCCGGGTTTCGCGTTCGCACTAAGAGTAAGTGCGAATGGCTGGCAGTCTGCGCCGTCCAACCAACTTCGAACTCCCGTGACCTTTGACGAAGTCATATCCATGCGTAGAATTATTGAGCAGAAATTTCACTCTCTTGATCCTGATACAGTGAAGTGCGAATTCGGTGTCCTGTCCAACCAACACAGTAATGTTTCTGGAGCCAGTCAACCAATCACCGCAATCTAGGCTTTTCCTATTGAAGTCAAGTTCGTGGAGTTAGGAACTTCCAATCTGCTAAACGGTACTGGCAGACTAGAGCTGGGGTGTCTCCTTTCCTGCAAAAAGGCCCGGCGCCTAGCGGCTAGGTCTGTGAGGCCTCTCCACGGGCACAGACCAGTGTGTATTGCTATCAAAGTATTATCTCTTATTTCTCATAACTTAAAAACTACCACTGTAAAATAACATGAGCAGAATAGCTTAGATAGCCAATACCTAACCCTTCAACCCTACTAACCCTACTAACCCTACTAACCCTACTAACCCAACGGTACACTTCTGTCTGTCTAACGGGAGCTTATGGCATTGAGGCCAGCAATACGTCCAAAGACGAGTGCCCGCATAACGGCCACTGCATTTGGAGCCTTCTCGTAGAAATGGCCAGTAATCTCACCTGCAGCATATAGATTAGGAATGATGCCTCTCTGGCCAAGAACGCGCGCTTCCACATCAGTCGCAATGCCGCCGAAAGTGTAGACAATGGCCGCGGCTAAGGGGAATGCGGTATACGGCGGAGCGTCGAGCGGCCTAGCCCAGTTCGATTTCGATGGTTGCAAGCCTGAGGTAGTGGCGAGATTATCAAGCCGGCCCGCCGTAAAGCCAGACATGTTTGCGTTACAGGCTGCATTGTAGTTTAAGATTGTGTTCAGAAGCGCTTGTTCCGGCATCCCCATCTGTGCCGCCAGACCAGAAATCGTGTCCGCTGTCACCGGCGGCATATCGGAGCGGATAGCTGCCTCATGGTCCTCCAATTGAAAAAATCTGGAATCACAAATTGCCCAGGCTAAGCGGCCCGGTGTGTCAAAATGTATGGTTCTGGAAAGATGCTCCCACGTGTCATGCACGAGTCCAGCACCTTCATCTACGAACCGCTTTCCGTCCTGATTCACCACAACCCCGTACGGATAATTGAGGACCAGTGGCGCTGGCTGACTGCTCCGTGGGTCGATTACTTCGCTGTGCATTCCGTTCCAATCGCCAGAGGCCTTGGCTCCGTTGGCCAGCGCCATCTGGATGCCGTCGCCGGCGTTCCAGGCCGTCCCAGGTGATATCGGCCTCAACGTCTCCGCACCAGGACCAAGATGAGTACGCAGCATGTCTGGACTGCCTTGAAACCCACCACTGGCGAGCACAACAGACCGGGCAATGATTCGTCGCCCATCAGCTGCCTCAACTATGGCCTGTCCTCGGCCAAGATGAAGTCGCTGGGCACGGCAATTATACACCAGTTGGACACCCTTCGATTTGGCTGATTGCTTGAGGGCTTCGACAATGGCAGCACCTTTGCCAATAGGCTGGATCCTGTTAGGCCAAGATTTCAAGAAATAGTCCATGGCGTGAAACTGCACCCCCTGCTTTTCGAGCCATTGGAGGGCTTCAGGGGCCTGGCTAGCCAGCCTTTCGAAATACGCGCGGTCGCCACCACTTCCGCTTGCAGCCACCATGTCGTCCACGAAGCCTGGTAATACCTCATTGACAGACGGCATTCGCATGTTGGCAGGGCTCCAGCGTGAGTTTCCACCGCTCGCATGCTCTGGTGCATGCTCTAGCACGGCTATCTGCGCCGAGGGCGAGAGTTCTGCAGCTGATACTGCAGCGGCGAGGCCGGCAATGCCATGACCAACTACGACAAGGTCGTACATACTGATATACTCGAGTCTGAAAATCTTAGAGGACTAGGCTTCAGGATGTTGGTGGTCTATGTCTCTTGGAACACTTCTTGGTCGCGGTATTATTAGAAAATTGAGGCTATTACATACAAGCTTCAGATGCTCGCGGACTCCTGCAGGGGTGAGTGCGCGTGATCACATTGCGATGACTCGATCTTCCTGAAGTAGAGGGGCCGCTGCAGCAAAAAGAGATGCGTCAGAAATTATTGTGGAGCGTACGGTCCTTTTGTAGCGGTGTGTTTTGATTATACCACAGATGGCGTAACGTGATTGATAAGCGAATGTCCCAGACAAGCCAATGTCCCACGAATCGACTCTTCCATATTATCATTATTTGATCAATTAATCTATAACAACTAAGTATGGCAGTTCCAAATAATGAGGCTAGTATGAATCTAGCACTTCAAGCCCTTCAAAAAGACCCAGAGCTAAGCGTATGACGTACAGCACAAAGTTCAGCAGTAGGGGGTCTCAATGGTGTTTATCTAAGCTAAGGAGAAAGGGGAAAGAAGAGAGAATGCAGCGAATTCGCTGCGTAGTATTTCTATCCCTCTGCCGGGAATTGGTTAATCCGCCCACATAAAGCTGCTAAGTAGCATTCTTAAGGGGGTGTGCTAGTTGTGTAGAGCACTTACTGTCGGCTCTCTTTCCTAGACTCCGGCGAATGGCGTGAGTGGATAGGTTCTATAAATAACCGGCGTTGATAAGAGTGCTCTTAAAGATGGCGAGAAATGCGCTTTTAGGCATGGGATCGTCAGTCACGCCGCCGGCTTTAGTGCATTTTCGGAGAATGGGTCGGTCTAGCGCTGCGTCCTTAAATCTGAGGATAACCTCATCCTTGCCGGTAGGAATTATCTGTTGGCGTACATCGTCGAGAGTGTCGTAGCTAAATAGAGCGCCATCAGCAATAGCTATCGCAAGGAGGAAATCGGTATCGTTGTAGAATAGCCTTTTATACTCCTTTATCGCTGCCCCGAAGCTATAGTGCGATATATTATCAGTAACGCGCTAGAGAAAGAGTAAGAGCTAGTAGTAGGCATCACCTACGTAACATTATTAGGATCGCGATTATTTTTCACCCAACGTTAGTCGATCTTATATATAAGTCTCTAACCTCGACCGTCTTTACTTTCGTTAACGCGTTGTAAAATAAGATCGACGTCCTATTAGTATTGAGCTATAGACGGACACGGGTAAAAGATTAATCGTGAATTTACCTTATAACGTAAACCACCCGTAAAGAATGCACTGATACGAGCCCCTATCTAGTAGTAGACATAGATGAGAAATATAGTTTATATTCGATACCGCTTAGGGATAAAGATTAGATCGTTATAAGTCCATAACGCGAGTAGAACACGAGTAAGATCTCGAACCGTGAAATTATACTTTAGGCGGTGCTTATTGACGACGATACCTTTAAGTACCAAGGTTCGCCGTACCCACTAAGAGACATTAGTCGATACTATTATAAGGACTAGGACTAAGCAGTGTAGGCCATAGAATCTTAACGTATATAGTATACCTCACTCCTATCCTCTACCTTCGTCTCGATCCCGGTGACGCGAGTAAAGCTAGCGAAGAACTATTCGCCGATAGTACAAATAGCGTCGGCGGTCGGCCTCTCTTTCTCAATCTACGGGTGGCTCGTTGCGGCGTAGAACCGTAGGAAGTCTTTTACGGTCACCAGGTCGAGAGCAGAGACTCCTTCCCCCAAAAACGTACTGCGGGCGGTATCTTCGTCGGGGGGAGAGATACCTCTTCGTTCATACTTATCCCGTAATGTCTTGAGGTGCCATCTACAGGATAAGGTTAGAGTCGAGTGCGTGTTAAAGTGAAAGTAGGGAGGGCGTAGATAGACTCGGTTTCTTACCGAAGGTAGCGTTGTAGAGTTCGGTCGTGGTCGTTCTTCATTTTCGAGACATATTTCTCTGCGTCGCGGACTTTGTCGACTTCGACATATACCCCTCTCTTGTAGCCGTTGGCCTCAGCTCGAGCCTATAGATCGTCTGTCGTATCCGTTCGTTTGGCTATGGCGGGGAAAGGTGGTAATGGATGTAGGAGAGGCAGCGGTTGAAAGAAACTGCGTGTGAAAGAGGAGTTGACGGCCAGGAGGCTAGAGCCGGGGCTGAACGCCATTTTGTACTCGGTGGGAGGAAAAGTCAAGGGAGGCATTTCGATGGGAAGGGAACTAGGAGCTAGCAGCCAGAAACCAGTCATCGGGACCCAGAGTCGACTTCCACCGACTGTTTCCAATTTTAGGCTAGGGCTTGACAGCTGCAGAATAGAATGGGACCACCAGGACGAGGGTGCGTGAGAGGGTGAGAAGGAGGGTGAGTAGAAAGGTGAGTAGAGGTGAGGGGAGGGTGAGTCGTGAAGAAGTACTTTTAAAAGCGGCACGCCCGTGGTGAGCGCCCACGTAAGCCGCGAGCAGATTGTACATTGCTTGGGATGCCAAGACTTCGGATGCTGGAAAAACTTTAGGGGTCGCGTTAGCGGAAATGTGATCCGGAAGCCTCGAAGTGGCAGACACAAGAAGAACTCAACGAGTTAATCAAGGTGCCTTGCCTAGTAATGATAATCTTCCCATTCATATTCAGTATCCGTCGCTTCTATTTCATTATATTCTATCCGTCATAAAAATACACACATCTTGTACATGATCCTAACCATGCGGCCAGAAATTCGTCCACTCAACCGTGACATAAGCACCAGCAGGCTGCGACCGAAGGCTCGAAAACATCTCCGCAATCAGATACGTTCTCGCCAAAACATACAACACCAGCCCAAAAGCATGAATCACGCGATGAAAAGCTAGCCAGTCACGGACATTTAATCGGCCAGTCGACTGGACAAAATAGCTCTCTGCGCGCACGTGGTCATACCAGATACTGGGGAATAGTCGCTTCAGCACCGAGGAAACCACCGTACTGGTCAGCCACGCGCCCGGAATGGCGACAGAGACGACGACACTGCATATCCGCCAGAGGAGCCGTTCGATGGACGTAGGAAAGTGGAAGTTCCAGGCCAGGCAGTGCAAGCCACCGAAGAGGAGGCAGAAGAAGACAGTGAGGAGGCCCCAGATGTTGATGTGGTTGAGCACAGAGAGGACAGCATCGGCGGAGGCTCTGGCAAGTGGGTATTTCTGGTAGCTATAGGTTGATACTGAAATGGGGTTGGCTAAATTGGGTTTGCTTGCTGTGGGCTCGTCATCAAACATGCCTCTTAGTTCCACCGGTGTGGGCAGGATTCGTAAAGGGATGGGCTGGTTGACGTCCATCGGTTTGTCCCACCAGAAGATGGAGATGAGTAACGCGCAGGGGATGTAGGCGAGGGTAGCGATTTCAATTGTCGTGATGGGCAGGTGTTGGACCGCTCGTCCAATACATTGCGCCAGTAGCCACAAGGCTTGAAGAATGGCGACCGCTTTCACGAGAGTGTCTGCCTTGCCTTTATCTTCGATGGCGGCCTTTTGCGGCAGGTCTTTGGCATCAAGTAGACCATCTTTGACCAGGGTGAGGATAGTGTCTGGACTCAACCAGCCATTTTCCCAATTTGAGTCATTGGCGTTGGACGATGATGCCATGGTGAACCCACCCATACCGGCAAAGAAGGAATGTGTCTTCGTCCACTTCCCACAAACGCGTGGCTCAGCGGCATATCGCGTCGCCAATTGTCTGGCAAACGTGTAGTCAGACCACGAGATGAAGACGACCACCTCAGGAGCAAATGCTGCAATAAGCAAGCAGATGGTCTTGTCCAGTAGTCGTTGGATGGTAGATGTGCGTGGGATGGCGATATTCGGATGCACTATGGTCCAGCAACAGATGAAGATGGTGAATAGACATGAACAGAGAATGTCGAATGTCCCACGAGTGTCTGGCTGAGGCACCCAGCCAACATCGGCACCATCATCAACCATTTCTTCATTGTCAGGTCGAGGAAGTTAGATCAGGCCGAGACGAGTCGTCTCTGCACGATATATATCGAAGGGTTCATCATATGTCAAAGTCGGTCAGCAATCCTACAAAGCAACAGCCACGGATCATCCTGTCGAAAGTAACAGGTCACCTTGCCAGCTGGCAGCGTTTCTCTTGTTATGCCACACCGCTGTCGAGACTGGCTGGGCCTGAGATTAAGCTAAGCACCCTGGCGGAGCCGTTGGGGGCAGCCAACGGGCACTGCGGGCCAACCACGGGCGCTAGGTTCGTGGTGATTTTCGATTTCATTTACAATGAAACTGCCCCTCGTGTTTGATTTTATTTCTTCTTTGTCGTATGAGACCGCTTTATACCATTGGGTGCCGTGACTTTCGGGCTTCTAGAAGAAATTTCACCCAGCTTGGGTGTGCCCTGGGCGGACTACGGAAGAACAGGCCGTTGACCAAGCCATGGGGCCTTAGGGCTACATAGGGGCCAAGTAAGGAAAACCATGGTTAAAGCGACAAGATCTTTGGCGGCGTGTTGGGCAAGGCCTATTCCCCGGTCTGACGTCGTCCCGTTCCGCTACAACAAAAAATTGTCACCACCAACTGCGACAATGTTTCTCCAACATGAACCTGATCATGATATCTGGTAATCATCTTTAACAGAACACTATCAATATGACTCGATAGTATAGAGATAAGTCTGGCTCTAAAAAGCCAGACAATTCAGCAACCATGTCAAATCAACCATTCACGTTCCCACCGCCGCCTCCTCCGCCTCCCAGACGAACAGCGGATGTGAATCCACAGCAGAGCAATGCTTATTACAATGGACGCAGTTCGTATAGAGGGGGTGGAGGATCCAATAGAGGTCACAACCGAGGCGGTCGTGGAGGTGCCTTCTCAGATCACCAACCAACCTTCCAACGGCAAGAGCAGAGTGGATCGACAGCGAGGCCATATGGCAACCATGCACCTCGAGGCAATTCCCAAATGGGCCACGCGCCTCGAGGAAGTCCATATATGAACCCTCCGCAAAAGAGGAACCATACTGCTGCCTTTATGCAGCAAAACAAGCCTCGCTCTCGCCCTACCGCACCACCCCCGGTCCCAAGTTTCAATGCATCCATTGCCCATCTCCTTCCTGTGAAGCCTCCGGCCACCCCTACACCTGCGACCAATCCAAGTGGTCCTTATGCCACCAAGCAACCAAATCCATCGGCGCAGCCCAAGAAGAATCTCCTTGGCCTTACCCCGGCTCATCCAGACGATCTATCATCATCGGAGGACGATGAAGATGAGGAGGCCCGATTGATCGGAACCCTCAATACCATGAGCACGTGCACAGCAACTCCCGGCCTTTCCTTCTCCTACAAAGGCCAACTTTCATCACTGAAAACCGCAGAAGAAATCAAAGCGTGGATAGCCGAACGAAGACAACGATTTCCGACGGCGGCTAAAGCAGATGCGGCAAAGAAGGAAAGGGAGGAGAAAAAGCGGAAGTGGGAAGAGGAAAAGGCAGAAAGATGGAAAAAGATGGAAAATCAACGTGCTGAGAGAAAGTTGCGATACGAAGAAGAGAAAAGTGCCAGAGAACTCGCTCGACAGATGTCTGCCGTGGAGAAGGTGATCCAGTCTCAGAATAAAGCCAAGGAGACTGAATCCAAAGTTACGCCTACCAGTAAAGCAGAAGCACTAGCAGAGAAACTACGCAAACGGGCCCTCAAGGCTGAGAACGCGCTGAAGAAAGCCGAGGAAGCGTTGCGGATAGCCAGGGAAAAGGCACTCAAATCTGAGGGTGGGGACTTACCAGCCGACAGTACCATCGAAGCAGCCAGCAGTGTCATGATTGACCCGGACGAGACCTCCTCTTCTGGATCCTCGGACTCAGATAGCGACGCGTCAGGCTCGACATCTTCCTCCGACGACGGCACTGACAGTGATAGCGATGCATCAGCAGCTCCCGAGACTATCAGCACCAAAGACCCTAGTCTCGCCAACCTGCCGCCCCTCCCGTCCGCACAACGTGCTCAGACGGCCAAAAAGCTTCGCCCCTGTGGCAATTTCATGCGGTTCAAACGCTGTCGCTATGGCTCCGGGTGCCGATACTCGCACGATCTAAAAGGGCAAGCTGGCCAGGAAGGTGACGGCATGCAAGGATCATCCAAGGACCAGAAGGGGAAGAAGTCAGCTGCTCCTGACGCTAGATCAGGCACAGCGCGGAGGAAGGGTTTATATCAGGTCATGGTGCAGAAGGAAGAGGAAGAGGCACGAAGGAAAGTCGTCATGGCGATTCTTCGGCTGGGTGAGCAGGGTCTCTTGGATGATCCTTCCCTTGCTGGTACCTGAGCGTGGTAGCTACGACAAAAGACTCTCTACGGCTAGTTAATGCTTGACAATACTAGATTGTCAACGAACGGGGAGCCAGTTTCATCAAGTGAGCTGTCTTCCTGATCACAAAAAACGCCATGTATTAAATAAAGTACCATCGGCCCTCATAGTGATATAATAGTGTACAGAATACATCATGTGTCTAAATATCCACCGACAGATTGATAAAGTAAGTAGTGGACAGATCTTTAATCTCAACCCCCTCTACCTCACCGTCACCTTCCCCTTCTCATGTACTAAAACTCATGACTCCTCACGACATGCTCAATCCACGTCATTGCGGCCTTCGCCTCGCTCAAGCCCAACGGGCCCTTCCCCGCGGCCAGGGGAAAGCAATGCATCTGGCCATCCCAGACAAGCCACTTTCCATTGACGCCACAAGCCTCACATTTGCGCATGAACAGCAACGCATCGGGACCCAATACATCATGCGTGCCGACCACACCGTGAACGCTGACGCCCTTCCGCCGCAGCGCATCAAACGCAACCTCGGTATTCAGCAGCGGACTGAGCTGCGCATCGGTCACGAGATGTGGGCGCGGCCCGTCCGGCATGTCGAGCAGATGGCGCGAGCGCGAGGGTTCGGACGCCCATGCGCGCGCGACACGCGACGTCAGTTCGACCGTCAGGATCGGGTCGTGTCTATCGGCGCCGTGCATCTCGGGATTCACGTTGCGCAGGTCGACGGCGGGCGAGATGGCCAGCAGCGACACTAGTGGGAAGCCTGTGCGTTTGTCGGAATGGGGGATTGCCGCCGCGTGCCCGGACGGGTCGGGCTGCGAGGATGCAGGGATGTGGTTCTCGACCGCCCAGAAGCCGAGTGACAGCGCGATGTTGCCGCCGCTGCTGTCGCCCATCAGCGTGATTTTGTCTGAGGTCAGGTCTGCCGAGTGGAGGGTTGCGGAGAGCCATTTTTGGAGGATCGGGTAGGATTGTGAGGCTGGTGAGTTCGGGGCTAGCGGGTATGAGATTAGTGTTACTTCGGGCGTGTATCTGTTGTTATTCTTGATGTTCTGTGGTTCGTCGTGCGAGGTAGACGAAGAGAGGTGTTTCGACAGCGTGGTGAGAAACTGCCAGTGTTGGCTGGACGGTGGTGATTGGAAGCCACCGCCGACGAAGTAGTAGATCTGATGTTTGCGTGCGCCATCGTGTTCCAGTTTATCCTCCTTCGATGTCGATGTCGAATTCTTCGGTTGAAATGTATACTGCCACACGCCCTCGGAGCAGGACTCGACGATATTGACACCCTGCTTGTTCGGTGGCGAGAGTCGAGGCGACCCTGCTGGGAATGGCTTGCCTGGACGCACGAGATTTGGTCGCAGGGGTCGAATGAGTGTCCGTAACACCCGATATAGTAGGCTGAGATCCGAGCGAGTCGTTATGTCTATTGATGATGAAGGTGATGTCGTAGGTGTACTGGTATTCTGTGTCTGACCCTTGTCCTGGCCATGATTTATCTCTAGAGTAGCTAGCTTCTCTGATTGAGCCTGAGTGCCTCCAGACTGCGATGCTACCACACTGTCGTCGTTGTGATGTTTGCCACTGGTGTTCTTTTCCGACGGCGACATTTCACCTGCTCAAGGAGAGGCAAACTCTGATGGATCGGAACGTTGCAGGACTCTCAGAAGAACGCCTTCTGAATTGGCCTTGATCTATTTCCCCTTCCACAAGAGAAATTGAATTGGTGTTGGCTTCAAGGTCATCCGAACGATGTCGAGATAGTTGTGTACACCAGTCCCTCTGTACACGCCACTCCCGGCTGGTGATATCAACGATGAATGAGAGATCCTCAAGCTACCAAGGGACGCGTCGTAACAAAGTTAGTTAGTATTCAAAGTCTATTGGAACAGCCTTAAAGCTAAGAGAATCTTTCGAAGATCTCGATCCACAATGCTGCAAGAGTGTATATGCAATTAGAAACGCCGATATCCTGGGATCTATCCCAAACTCTCTGGGATGTACAGCAAGTATTGAACATATTAATTGTTCTGATTTCGTACCGAACCCACAAATTGTCTTGTTGACGCGCAACCCAAACTCCAGGAAGTCATGACGTGGGCGGCGTAAAGTGGCACATGCCGAGTGTAGGGTCTCGCATTGGCGAAAGCGTTGACGATCGAGATCGGAGATCGATTGTTTTTGCAGGGTGAGGCGAGCTGGCATCCCTGTTCTTCATTATCAACAACATATTATTACCATTAGTGGAAATGTCAAAGTCATTAGAATCCCATCGACTTCATTTCGGGTTGTAATAAATCTGTATATGATTTTGTATACTAAATTCCTTAAGCCTAATATCCCATGTTAGATCTCCTCGCCAGATGAGCGTATGATACTTATTGTATATTAATGCTAAATATCAGCGATAGCATCTCCCACAACTCCCATCACAGCCGGCCTCTACTACAGCATCACCATTTCTGGTTCAGCCAGAGAACCTGCGAAAAGTCGTGCAAACAAGATCGAGAATGCATTGAGTCGCATTACCTAAAGTTGCAACACAGAATTGAGTAAAATGAGTGTCATCCCAAGGCCATAAGCCAGAACCTCAACAGCGCATTGCTTTTGGATTCGCGGGTTCATTGCGATGGCCTTGTTGTCTGTGCACCGACATAAGATGGTGTCAATCCAGGTATAATCTGTGTTTGAGATATTGAATTCGGTCGACGGGGATCATTCGCCATTTCACCAGATGTATGATGATTGTTGTTCAGTAGAAAGGGGCCTCCGTGGGTACCATTCATCCAGCTATGTCGAGCATTGCGTCTCTGTCCTGTTATGTCAGGGCTGTGGCTACGCTTATCACTCACAACCACTGGTGGCGTGCCCATGTCTTCACCTACGCTTGTTCTGATGTCTACCGGTCGAGACGGCATGTTTTGTCTTCGAGGTGGCGTCAACTGAGTGGGAAAGTGAGCAGTTCTTATCGAAGATCCCTGTGACACTGAGAATAACGGACGAGAATTGTCGTATTGAGGAGTGAGGCGTGGTCGAAGTGCTCTTTCTGAGGGTCTCTTTGGTGTAGCGCTATCGGGAATTGGTGTCGATCTACCTGTAGATGGCGCTATCTTGTTCGACAAAGGAAATGTCGCATTGGATGAGAATCCTGCCTGCGTTTCAATCCTGTCGATTGTTCTCATCACTGGTGTTTGATTGTTGACATTTGCAGATTTTGTGTTTCTCGCGTAGGTTGGGATTAAGGGCGCGTCTGTTCGAGTACCATTAGGCCTACTTGAAGCAATAGGCCCTGAAGGGTGAGCAGAAATCAGCCCGCCGGGCACCAATCCCGGCCTTGGGGAATCGTTGAGATATGGCCCACCATACGAGGTTGGAGTTGCAGTATCTTTAGGGAAGCCGGGGCCTGATGTCTGATTTGCAGTCGATGACGTCGGCGCTTGGGTGATGCTAGGAAAGCTTCGGAATGAAGGCGTTGGAGGGATGTTGACTTGCGAGGGTGGGTTCGCAGGAGTGGTGGGAGCTGCAACACTTGGAGTGGCTTCCAGGCCTGGAGGGCTTGGATTGGGCTCACCCCCTTGCCTGAACCTTCGAGGAATCGGAAGGATTGGCGAATCGAGGACACGCCGCATTGCGCGGCGCGGTGTGTTGTGGTCTCCGTCAGGATTTGGTTGACGACGAGCTCGATGAGCTCGAGAGCGGCAAGCACAAGCGGTTGTCCAACCTTCACGCTTGATCCCACAGTCGTAACAGAAATCTATGCCACAATTGCACGACATATGGGAACAACCATCGATGCGTTCAACCAAGTTTCGACATCCTGGACACTGCTTCCAGCGCTTGCTCGTCGCTAGCTTTTGATCTTCTTCCGTCATCAAATCTTGAATTTCCTTACAAACGATTTGATTGAGACCAATATGCTCTGTGGAGTTCTGCTTGCATTCAGTGCAGGTCTGAGTGTCACATTCCGAGCATTGTATGAATTTTCCTTGCTTGTTGCTAAGCCTGGTCTGCTCAAAATAGTGGCTGCAATGCTTGTTGGCGCAGTACATTGGATTGCGGTCACCGTATTCCTCGGATACGGTAACATAACGTATTAGGATGTCTTCGTCCAAGTGTCTCTGAATTCCTTCAATTTCGATTCCCAGGTTGCCCCCACAGCATCTCGGAGGCCAAGACGCTCTGTTTGAAGTACCGATGCGAAACAAGCGATTAAGGCATTCTTGACAGTACGCATGCCCACAAGTAGTGAAAATAGGCTTGCTCAAGTTTTCACGACACGCCTGGCATTGGACTTCCAACGGAGTTGGCAATGGAAGAGGTCTGTAAGCGGAAGCTGGCTCATGGAATTGCGTCAATCCAGGAGTGTAGGTGTCATCAGGGAGGATAGGTATCACGTCTCCTGTGTTTGGAACGACATGGAGCATCGAATGATCGAAGATGGGATCAGCTTGAGCATCACCGAGGGGGTGAACCGAACTCTCTCCATTGTTATGCCCAGTGGGAGATCCAGAATTGATATCCGCTCGGCCAGGGACAAATAGAAAGCTTCCATTCTCTGATCTGGCAGCAGTTGGCGTGCGTTCATTTCCATCCTCGCTGTCAACATCCATCTTCGAACCTGCTTCTGCCCGAAGGGTCATCAATTCGTTTTCTGAAGAAGAAATCCGCAGGGTATTTTGTGTCGGCTCTACAACTTCAACATTGGCCAAAGTCACCACGTCGGAAATCCCAGTGAGCAGATCAATGAACTGCTGGACCTGGGCTTCATCATAGAAACTGTGTGCAGGACCGACTCTTCTTAAGGTAACTGCGGGTACGGGGTTCGCCCTAACCGGTGTCTTAGAGGTACCTGTATCCACTAGAGAGGCTGAGAAGGTCGCATTCGTGGATTGAGACATCGTCGCTCGATTCTCCCTAGGACCTAGCATCATGGAACGTGAGGGCGGGCTGGTTATCCAAGGAGAGACCACCCAGACAATTGCTGAAAATGGTGGGGTTTGGAAGTTCAAAAAGCCTTCAGGCAGGTTAGGCAGATGATAGGCGGTTGCCAACTCATCTGAGGGGTTCTCGGGCGCAGTCAGTCCAGTTTGTAACGCCCGATCAAGGTGACAGCCTTGCTCAGTCAGATACCCCGTTCAGCCTATGGATCATCAACAAACGATGAAGAAGGGAATTAGAAGGCTGTTGAGTTCCAGCTGCTAGGAACAAACGATGGTTGAGTGGGATGACTTTGGTTTTAATGGATATGTGGTAGACGAGACAGAGGCATTGTATAAATCACGGACGATGATGGGCTGTGAACACTTTGGTGCCTGGCGTCAGGCTGAAAACGTGAGGTGCCACAAAGGATCCAGGCAACTGTGGCTATCACTGGATGATATTTAGGTACCCATTCTTCTTACCGGCTTTGCGGACATGCTGACCGATTGATTCGATTCAGCTTTTTGCTCACTCATTGAACTTACAATGCTTGTTCTGGCCATCCAAAATCACCGTCCTCAAAGCCCAGCCTCTGCCTGTTCTACCAACCCAGATATGATCAAGGCTCGCACATAGCATGGTAGCTAAAACCTACAGAGACCTTGACTCACATAAACAGGATTAAAGAATTGCAGGGAGCTTTTACTGGGCAATATCTCGTTGTAGCCTGGCAATATCACAACTGACGTTGTCAAGGATAGCTTCGGGGCTAGTAAAAAGCTCCATTGGAATTCCCTTGTGTCTGACAGTGGTTTGATCTGCATTTCTCCCCAATTTTCCCCTTGCCTGACAAAAACGTGCTCGAATATCACTCCTACGTAAACTTCATAACCTGAAGCCGTTCTCATGACTTTCTCTCCGGGGCGTTCAGGTCCAGAGTGCGTCCTCACTCGTGCAGGCTGAAGAACTTGGAGGCCAAACCTTTCGGTCAAGCAATCACGTGTATACAGCACGCTCCAGGTCTTTAGTGAGAATGAGCCTTGTCAAACGAGCTCTATCAATGGAGGCCTCCCCGTTGACAAAGCATGGCACTCGGTAGGACAATGGGACAAAATGTAGGTAAACAAGCGGAGATTCACCATTGTTATCCTTTGAAGTGAATGCCAGTCAAACTAAAGATATGTATAAGTGCAAATCTTGAGCACTGCCTATCGAACTGTCACACACTCTTCAAAGCCCGAGCAAATCTTGAGCTGTTTTTCTGATCGAGCAGCCGCGCGAGAGATCTCACAATTCCAAGACCAAATCTGCTGACCGAGGAGCTTTTCATCATGCACGTCCCCGACGAATTACAACGCGTGATTGGATCACCAACATCCCCAAGACCTTTGAAAGATACTGAAATTCATGCCGCCTTGGTTGAGGTATGTGTCCCTGTCAATTGCTCAAATCTAGGAGAGCACATTTCTGATATTCTTCAGCCTCAAATTGGTGCAATTTGGCAATGGACTCAAGCTGGGAATGGCAGTCAAAAGGTTGAGAGCTCTCCAGGCTCACCACACCTCGTACTCCAAGCTTCTGAAGTTGTCTCCAAACATCGTCCCGTTATCTTGACTGTCGCCGGAGAAGAGGTCTCTGGTAGTGACAAATCGTCTGAGTTGTTTCTTCACGGTTCCAGAGAAATTCAATCACAGCACAAGAGCCCCATTCCACTAACCTGTGCCTTTGGGTTCACTGGCAAGTTTGACACCCCTCCAATTTTGGCATCACGCACCAGACAGGCCTTCCTTGAGGCTATCAACAGCGAACATGCATCCATCATTGAACTCTACCAAGGCTTCAAGGCTTATCAAGATGCGATCACTTACTACGGAAACAATGCTTTCAGCACTCGCTTCTTGGAAAGAGAAACCACAGCAGTCCAAACCACACTTTGCCAACTTACTGGACTAGCAAACTTCATCACCGACACCCGTGCTGAAATCGAAGCCAAAGATGACAATCTCATTGTGGAACGTGATATGCTAGCAGCATTTCGTCACATTCAGGAGTTCGTCGCTAGGGTTCGTGCCATTTTGGTCCATTGCCATGTCTTCTACAAGATCAACTTTGTACTGGTCGCTAAGAAAGTCCATTGATTTTGCCTATGACGATCAAAAAATGGCCTGCTAGAGGAGGCTTTAGGTTCTACCTAGGTAGACATGGCTCGAGCAAACCTTGGAGTAATCGAACTTGCAAGCCAGCTATTATTGGGAGCATTAAACATAATCATTTGCCTATCTAGGATCATAATACTATCATGAAGCACTCCTTGTGTTTCATGATCTTTGCCGTGCTGACATGCCTTGTACCTGGCTGGCAGCCTTGAAATAAAAGCCCAAACGGTATTTCCCCGTCCTCGTATCTGTTCTTCCATTGTTGATACCAGCTCCCGTGCCTCGAAACGAACTACCTGATCATTGCCCGGTTAGGCGGCATCTGTTGCCAAGAAAGCCATTCTGCAGGCGTGATAGGTGGAGGCTCTTTCGTCTTCGTCTCTTCGCGCCCATCATGCCAAACAGGCCCAACAAGCCATCTTCAACGTTTCAATCAGCTGATAAGCGATCTCACTTGTGGCCTTGCTAATCACGCCAACAGCAACATGTCTTCCACAGATTATGCACAGGTCAAAGCTACCTGCCCTCGAGGGTGTTATCGGTAGAATTGAGCATTTGGTGTGATCCTGTCATATCGAGCCATTGATCGCCACTATTCCCATAAGGGGCGTTTTGGAGGGGTGAACGCCCTCCGGCCCACCAAAAGATGGGTCTCTGGCCTAGAAAGTCACAAAGGATGAGGGTGGCGTTGCCAAATAAAGCCTCCCTCGCCCAGGACCCCCCTGTGCCTGACATCGGACCGATACTGAACGAATCAGGACTACGTTCAGGCGCTCGAAAAGTCAACCACAAAAATGATAAACAAAATAAATTGAGGGGTGACAATGACGGGCCTCAAATCAGTAAGGTCATACGCGAGAAAACCTGGAGCTGATGCATGGTATCAGACAATGCCAGTTTCACATGTATTTGTTTCTGTTGTCCTTGATTCAATGCCGAAGTCAATCATTGCTTGCTCGTCTTCACCGCTAGATGATAGTCCGTGGGTCGAGTTCATGCAGACACCACAATGTCAACATTGAGATTGCCCCTCACCCTCCTCTCGTCCAAAGCTAGACAAGACCAAGGACGGCACCTTGCTCAATACAGCGGCCCGTCACTTTCCGTCACGCACTCTAATTCGATATCCTGATGAATCGGTGAACATGACCCCACCATGATTGGATCGACGTGACAACGACGTGGCCTTTAACTTCCAATCCTGTGGAGACGCGAAGGGCCCACGAGAAGGATGGTGCAATGCCAGGATCATGATCTTGGGCTCCAAAGGAGATGAGGGAGGGACAGTTTCGCCATGGAGGGGTCGAGGGGTAAGCTCGACCGAGTACTCCTTGATTGAGATATATAAACAACAAGGTCTACGCTGACTGACCTGTCTTCTTCCTTTCCCTCTTGCCCAAAAGTCAATAGAAACTTCACTTCCATCAAAAACTTCTTTTAAACCACACACATCTATCACCATGGCTGACGAGGCAACCAAGGCAAAGCTCCGCGCCAAGTTCGAGAAGCTCGGCCCTGCTGATTTCCAGGCCGCTGCCGGCAACAAGGACGCCCTCGCTGAGAAGGTTGCCTCTGCCTACGGTATCTCCAAGGAGGAGGCCCTCAAGCAAGTCGAGGAGGCTTTCTCCTCTTAGACGATCAACCACCTTCGAAATGTCCTCAAGTTAGGACCCTCGACAAACTCCAACGTCATCAGAATACCTCAATGCCCCTCTCTCTCACTCTACAACTTTTCTCGAAATCGGCATAACTCTTGATCAAATCTATCTACGACGAAATCAAAGAGATGTTTCCAGAAGGAAGGTGGGGGAAGTACAGCAAGGATGTATAACCCGATAACAATGTGTTTGTGCAGAGGGCACCGACGAGCATATCCATGCAAATCTTTGTGACGACAATTTTGTTCATAGCGAAGGGACTCTTCTTCAAGGATATATATACCAAATATACTCATTCGACAAAGGATCGAAAAGCGTGCGTCGACGTCTGAAATTGCAATGCCCGGGAGAAACCACCGAGCAGAACTATCCGTGTTTCCCAATGCCATGGTCGTGTGTTCGACCTCGTGTCGGGTCGACAGTCTGCGTTGTCAATGATTCCTTTCGGTGGTGCAACAACCCCTCATGTTCATGCCGCCTCCAAATTTGCCCCTCCTTTTTCCACTTTGCTGGGTGACCCAGCGCCCCTTTGATCCTCAGCCTATTTACTCTAGCCCCCTACCTACCCACCAGTTTGTTTCTCTGGCTCCCTGCCATGTGTCTCGTTGACTTGCACTGACGGTATGCAATGCAATGCGGTGCACTGCAGTCCAGTGCGGTACAGCTTATACCGTCTCTAGTTCGTCAACATGTACTGCTGTGCTCGAGGAACAGTATACTTGATGTTCAATTCCAACCATTTGAAATCGTCAACATTCCGCAAGTAATCTCAACTGAATCATTAAAATCTATTAAGGTTCAAACCTAACCCCTGATCCGTCCACTTAGCTAAGGTTCACACCAAGGCCGCCAGATCGGGCCTTGCTATCCTGGCATCCTATAGCACCATCCAATTCGACAGAAGAACTTGGAATGGCGTAGAAATTCAGCCTTAAAATTAGAGTACCGTCAATAGCATGTCCATGTGATGACGACTTTCTTAGACAAATGCATGAGAACGCGAAATAGGAGTCATGCGTTCTAGGATGAAAGATGCCAGTTTTGGCATGTGCTCACGTCGTAGAAAGGCCTGTATGCACGAAGCCGATCAAGGGGGATATCATTTACTCTCATAGCTCATTATATTGAAACTTCTTACGCTTGCCGATATGATGAGAAGATGCAGTACGGCACCGTGCCCAACACGCCTCGGCCTACTACACGAGATAGATTTATGGTATCGACGTGTTCCATTGAATTCTGCTTGAACACCAAGCATGGGCCATGCTGGGCGGTTCTCTATGTTCGTGTTTTCTCACATCACATCGATCTCTTCCCGTACGGCTCGAACGGCATGAGAATCGCAACGATAGCCTAGAAATCATAGCAAAGATATCAGCCGTCACCTTCTAAAACCTCGACTGTGAACTTCTACTCACCATCGCAATGTATAGAACAGCACAGATGTAAATCGGTGCACTGGTCTTGGTGTTGGCATATGTAGCGACGAATGCGGAAACAAGGCCCATGATGCGGTTGCATCCGACTGTTTCATCATTAGCTGATTGGAGCCGGCAAACGAAACTCAGAAGTCGAAGTCACGAACCTGCAATTCCATTTCCTGTCGCTCGATGCGCCGATGGCAGACTCTAGCTTTGATGTCAGCGAACAAGGCTCGACAACAGAGATGTCGGGTGAACGAAAAGCATACCTCAGGCGTATACGCATAGAGCGTCCCATAGTATATGTTCACCGTAAAGTAAATCGCACAAGTAAAGCCGATGTTCTGCGCCGACGTGCGCACAGCCGTGTACGCGAAGAAGAAAGCCATGGAGATCAAAGCCCCAATGACCATCGTATACCTCCGACCGAGATACTTCCAGTTACACAGGAAACCCGCTGCGACGGGTCCGAAAATGCCCACGGTGTTGGTGATCATGTAGTTCCGCCACGTATAGTACGGGCTATCCTCACCGGTCTGCGCGCCACGGCTGGCGAGGAATTCCGGCAAAAAAACATAGAATAGAGGGTAAGCTAGCCCGATAAGTGTCCAGGATAGCCAGATTAGACTGGTCGAGATACCGAGTTTCTTCGTCGCGAAGAGCCCGCGCAGGTGCGCGACGAACTCACCAACACCGTATCGCGAGTTGCCGTAGGTGGGTTTAATGGGCCCGCAGGCTTCGAGGTGCTCGAGGGTCAGGGAGCAGGGTCGATTGTACTTTGACGCAATATCTTGGAATGTCTTGACGACTTCTTCGTCCTGCCCCTTGGCGAGCAGGTATTTCGGTGTTTCTTTCAGGCGGATCACCGTCACACGGGCGATACTCAGGACGAATACGAGTGCGCCGTTCGCGTACCATACGTAGCGCCAGCCCTGACAGCTATGTTAGGCGTTGGAACATAAGATCACACCAGCTCTACACTGACCTTGTTGTTCTCATATGTGCAGGACTCCGCGTCCACGCAGATATACTGTGGCAGGGATAGAAATGGCCAGGCGAACGCCGCAGCGACAACGGGTGCTAATCCCCACCAGCAGGCCATCAGAGTCAAAAGCCATTGCTTGTCTCCCGGCAGGAACTCGAGGAAAACCGTTGTGTCAAGGATCAAGTTTCCGCCCGATCCAAAAGCTGCCAGCGCTGTAAAAGTTCCCAGGACATACCAATTCGGAGAGGCACCGGCGCAGATAGCAAAGACGGAGCAGGTAAAAAGGGAAACGTTGAAGGCGAATCTACGCCCGATAACATCGGCCCCTGTAGCACACGATCAGTGATGATCCATGGCGTTTGGTGACTGCTGACTGTCGATCTCTCCAGACACCATCGGGCGAGTATGCAGTAGCATGGATGGATCAGAACCGAAGCGGGCGACTCACCCAATCCCCAGAATAGCGCTCCTACAAGCATCCCAGTATATGCAGCCACGGTCAAGCCTCTTGTGAAGGACGGCTGAAACTCCAATGCCGCCTGCCCGGCCGTCACAGACTGGAGAAGCAGAATCAAAGAGTCGGCGGCATATCCAAACCCATTAAGGAAGAAGAGCTTCAGATGCATATTTGTCCAACCGATTTCGTCAATAGCCTGCTCGAATAGTTTAATACCCGCACGATACTCTGCAAAAGGCGTCTCGGGGGGATAGTAGAGAAGTAAGAACTGACGTTGTTTACGAGTCTCATCTTCGCATCGAGCGCAGGGTCGACATCGTTCATGGAGAAGATCTGTCCCTCCTTGGTGTTTTCATCCATACCTTGCGCCGAGACGCTATGGCGCACTCTTTCGCCGAAGCCTCCATGATGGACCTCCTTGCCATCGTGGCCTGTATGGTAGACCTCTTTCCCCTCTTCCGCGTCAATGACCTGCTTGGAGTCGGTAGTTGCCATGGCTGACCCCGCGCAGTTGGATTGCTCGTCCCTAGGAAGGGAATGCGGTGCTGAAAGATGGCAAGCGAGTAAGTAGGTTACAACAAAAGACCACGCACGCGAGGCGAGAGAATTGTTGGGTATGCGACCGTCTATCTCAGAGGCCAAAAAGAAGCAGATCAAAAACGAAGGCCAGGGTGTATTTGTACTCCACGAGAACGTGGACAGGGATGGTCGGGTCCATGGAGTAAACAATCTTACAGCTTAAATCCACTTGACAGAAAGCTCTTGTATCCATCCACTGACATCAGAGCCAGGATAGAGCTTCCCCATTACGTCGACGAGCTTTGTCCAAGCCCAAAAAAAAAGAGGCGTCGTAAAAACAGGGCTCAAGAGCGGTCAAGTCGCGATAAAGCAAGAAGTCTGTATGGACGATAGTCCATGCTCCCGCCCGTTCAAGTTCATGGGGTGCGACGCTGGCAAGGCAAAGAGCCTATTGAGGGAGGAGCACGAGACGAAAATCCCAGTGTAACTCTACCACGCGGGCCAGTGTTTTTGATGCTATTGTTGCTCTGGCAGGTAAAGGCTACAAGCTTTGAACCCTGCACGATCTTCCCAAACGCTGGTCATTGCACCAAAACAATGCCGAGGCTCTGCAATTCCGGCTTAGAGCCTTGGGAGTGAGGGGCATCGCGTCTCGAACGGGCAATGTTGGACGTGGTTTGAAGCTTAAAGGAAGGGATATCTGCCAATGATCGACACCACGTCAACACGTGTTATCGGTTGCTGATATGCTGATGGTAGTGTTGTAACTGTGTACCGATGCGCGCTCACGCTACCCTCCAAGTAAACGGTTTTTCTTGAGAGGGATCTGGTCGCATGACTTCGCTTCGTCTCCTCTGCTTCGGATTCCACTGATATCAACCCGAGCTTCATCGATAACGGGCGTTTAGACATGAGATAATGTAACGATGGCGACGGCATACTGCGGTAAAATAACTCTCTAGTTCGACTAGAATGATCCAGAATAACAGTGGGTATCTCAATGCACAAAGCTTACGTCCCTTCAATGCCAGTGGTGAAATTAGGAGTTTCCAACACAGACGCCAACGCTTTGGGCCTTCGTCCAAACCAACACCCGAGATATTTGACACGACCGTAACGGCATGCGCCAGGTCTATCCAACCACGACCTATCATCACAACTGAGTTAGATCAAGGCAGCCCTTCTCAAATTTCATAGTAGTAGTCATCGTCCAGGCCTTCTCTGCTTGGTATTTGCGGTCCATCTATTCCGTCCATGCCCTCGACAATGCCTTCCTCGTCATTGAAACGAACATTCAATAATCTCACCTTCAGTCCATAGTCACTGATCATATTGATCAATCTGTTGGTTTCAGCAGTGATAGGCTGCTGATCAAGGAGCATAAGGAGACCATCCAACCATTCCGAGGCTGATCCATGACTCTGAGGTTGGAATGTCAGCAATACCGATTCCTTCGTCGCACTCCTCGCCGACGATGTCTTTGACGAAGTTCGTGAATGCCCATCACGCCTGTCTCGAGATTTCGGCAAATGCCCATGAATGGTGATTTTGTTGGTGGTGAACTTGTCATTTGTCAAATCTTTGAGCGTCGAATCCGAGCTAGTGGATGAGCGATCAGTGGCAGTAACATTAGACACGACAGACGAGACGATCGAGAGATCAATCTTATCTCGTAAACTGGATATCGAGGGCGAGGACTCTTCTTTTTCGTCAAAGTCACCCCAATGCAAATATCTTCTGTTGTCCGAGAGCCGAAGAAAGCGGTAACGGTTGTGCGCGTTATGCAAAAGAGAGTTTTCGGTAACGGCGCCACCAGATTCCTGATCTGCATATGTAAAGCCTGTGGGAAACCAGGCTCCGGCAAGCAGACAACGAATCCGTTGCTCCTTGACGAATTGTAGGGCCTCTGTGTTCAACTCATCCTTTACTCCGTGGAGGTGTTGACCCCAGACATCCTCGTAAGTGAGTTCAAGGAGTTCCATTTGCAACTCTCTCAGCTTACTATACTCAAAAGCCACCAGCTCTTTCTCTATTTCGTCGATGCCCTTTGTTCGGTCCGCACTTCCCACCACACTTTCGATTAAGATACGTACCAGCTCGACAATCTTGGGAAAGTCGTCTGTTTCCGCCCCTGTGGCTTTCCAGAGTCTGAAAAAGGCATGAAGCCCTGCTACATGGAGCCGGCTCCAGTGTAACAAGAGTGGTTTGAAGACTTTATCAAAGTTGGTCCGACTCTCGAGAGCGAGATAACTCTTTGAATCCTCTAGTTCCATCTTTTCCACTTCAAAATGCTCAAATAGAATTGCAGTCATGGTCAAACTCGCTCGGGCGAGAGGGCATGCTTTTTGTTCTGGGGATACGGACTGTTCAAGCAAGATGTTCTGAAACTCATCCTGATGCTTGCGAACGTAATCGGATAGGTCCATCATACCTAAGAAGCCCATATCAACAAAGTCAGGCTCGGGGTTTTCAGACGAAAAGCCTATCCGTCGCCACTTTTGAGGGTTGTGTTTGGATTTTGAGTCATTTCCGTTCTCACCCTCTCCGTGTTTCTCTGGATTGCTGGAAAGATGGACGGCTTTGATCGTCCGTCGATGTTCTGGTTTGACTAGATCTACCGGAACATCTTTCCATCGCTTCAGGAGAACCTTGGTAAGAGCCTGAAATTCAAGCAAAGGGTGCGCTAAGTCTTGTAACGCCGAGCTTTGCATCAGAACATATACTGCCTTTATAACTCCGAGATCCTGGATGCGCTTGATGAATTTTGGCCACTCGGTCTCATTGTCGTTTGTGATGGCATCTCGCATCAGGGAATTGATCAACTGTAGTGCGTTTGCGCATAATGCATGATCAGCTGATGACAATCTCGTCACGAGCATCTCAAGAAACTGCGGATATAATAAGATTGCTGGTTTCAAGGCTTGAAATCCACCAGCACTGTTCGATGTATTGATCTGTGAGGATCTGTCGGCATGATAGGGTCGGGAAACGATAGACACGAGGATGGCCATCGCGCCTCTGAGAATATTGACCAATGGTTGACAAACCACCAACTCTACCACCTGTGCACACACGTTAGTATTTGGAGCATGATCAGACTTTGGATATCTTACCTTTTCCACCACCTTATTATTGACGGCCTCCCATCCTTGATCCACCTCGAGTAGTCGCGCGAAGCTGGCAAGACTGTATGCCAAAGTGTTCCCGCTGGTTTCGAGGATCAGTGCGCGCAGGCGGGGAAGACCCCCAGAGAGGACAAAATGTTCAGCGAAAGAAGGATCATTGGTGAGCGACTGCAGCTTGAAGGCTGCCATTTTTCGGGTGGCATCTTCAGAACTTGACAGGCCAGTCAAGAGATCGGCGAGATTTGGACTTCGGGAGGGATTGTCGAAATCCATGATTGGGATACCCGATGTGGGACAAGGAGTGGGCGGAGAGGAGTTCAGAATTGTCGCGGACAGAGGCTGAAATCGAGTTTGTTCTGCAACCTCCACCTCCTTGTCGACGCGGCCGACATTATTGTCTGGAAGTTGTTGGCCAGGTGTTGAACCGGTTACAATTGACGTGCGGTGACTGCGGGCAGAGCCATGAGAAAAAGGGTGAACGAGTTCAGATGCAGTGGAGTTGGAATTGGTGCGAGGGCTGCGAGGCAATTGGCTGCGCCGAGACAAACTCTGGAACAGTCGATTTAAGCCAGGAACCAGGGGCGTCTCGGACGCTTGGTCAGAAGGTTCCGGGGCCATCGAAGGTGATTTACGGGCCTCCCCGCCTCCAAGCCAGTGCCTGGAGAGCCAAGAAGGAGCCCGACTTTTAGGCGTGGAGAGATCGGCATCAGCCTCATCACCATCCGAGTCTGTCGTCTGAGAGATATCATGATCACCGTCAGAATCACCACGGCGAAGTGAGAATGAGGGCAACCACGATCTTCTTTTCGGCGTCGAGATTGATGTCGAACCTTTCTTCATGTTCTTGCAGTCACTGGAGATGATAACACTGTGATGTGAGCTATCACTGCATGAAACCCAGTCCGACTCGTCGTCGTGGTCGTGTTGAAGGTTCTTTAGCGACATTTTGATATTGAGGCTCTAGCTGTCAAACCCAAAATTGGTGAAACATTACGAAATCGAAGCGATAAAAGGGACAACAAACTCTGCACTCGGGAAGAAAGTGCAGGAAAAGTGAAGTGAACTCGGTCGAAGTGTGGTGAATTGACAACTGAACGCTGTCAAAGCCAAAGACCATATTATTCAGTTCTCAATGATGAATCTGCTCTCTTTCGAGGAGTGCAGTACTCAAGAATTCGCAAACTGCCAGTCTCATCAGACTCAGCTTTGTGCACTCTTCTTCTTGGTTTCATCCTTCATATCCAGATTGTCTTCTGGTATCTCGGGGTATTTCTCCTGGAGCCAGTCGTAAAGATCATCGCTAACATCGCCCTGGACTGTGATCTCCTCACCACCCGCTGCTGTCTTGGTGACACTACTTCCAGTCGCGAATTTCTTGCCCAACTCTTTGGCCACTTTCTTCAGTTCCAGACCGTGTTCCTCCAACCCAGAGACCACAGTGACATATTTCCGCTTGTTTCGTTCGACTCGCTTTATCAGCACTATCGCTTCTGCCTTTCTCTCGGCTTCACGTTGCTCAGCAGCCGCTGCCTTGGCTGTCTTTTTGGCTGCATCCTTATCGGCTCGCTTTTGCGCATCCACGGACAGTGCAGATAGATTGGCACTCAATACCTCTGTTCAGAGGATCAACACCACGCCTTCCGGCCGCTAGGGTCTAGGGTGTTCGTACCTGCTGAGTATAGTTTTTGATGTAAATCAGGATGTGCTTTCCCTAGCCATTCCTCACACTTCTTTGCCGTGCCACCGAATTCGCAGTACTGTTCTCATCGTGTCAGATTGATGCCTGACCAGTGCCACAGAGATAATCAGGTTCGGCTAGGCTATACCTCAGGTGGTAGGGAGCAGACTGGAACGTCGCAGCGTCAGCATTATTCTCTCACAGAGTACAGGACACAGTACAAACCTCCACAATAAACAACCTGTCTTGGGGCTGGCCCGGTGGGCTCGGTGGCTACTTCGGCCGACATGAAGCAATTAGGCTGAATCCCGCGTGGATGAGTAGACTCAAGTTATACCCGATGAGTAGGGTACGAGTAAGCCTTCAAGATAGTACGAGTATTCTTGCATGTGGCTTCACAAACCGTTTGACCACGCCACGTTGTAAGGACGCCCTCCGTAGGCATTGCGGGCAAGTGATGCACAAAACACGGCGCCAAGCCTGATAGAGGGGAGAAGGCCACGGTTAATCCTCGGCTGCATTTATGACTGTGCTTTCCTCCACTTCCTTTCCTCTCAGACTTCCTGGTCCACGCTGGTCGTAGCTCAGCCACCGCTGCCGGTGCTAGCATGAACCTCATCTCTCTTTCACGTGTAAATTTTACACAACTCAAACTGTCTTGACTTCTTGAGGTGGAGATATACAATACCTGATATGGCTCGGAGCACTACAGAATGCTCGTACTCGTTAGGCCGTCAGTTTACGCCTCCTGAAATCCCTCTCCGTTGGCCTCCGAATCCAACCAGTGGCGACCCTCAAACGGCCTGGCATTATCATTACTGCTGAAATTCACGGAGTCTCTCGTATCTGCAAGACAAGGGCCACCCTGGTGTGTGACTTTGAGATAGAGAAGCGCTCCGCGGTGCATGTTCTCCCCCGTGTTCCGGTGGATGGTCCATGTCGTACAGACTGTAAATCATACGCTCCACCGCTATGAACTATGATCAATCGCTTCTCAATCTCAGACAAACATCTATCGTGTTATCACATTTGTGTGAAATAGGACAGATTAGTGACCCACGAGGTATTCGAATGAGTCCTTATTGCTCCATCACCTCATCTGGTCTCCATCTGGTGCAGCTTCCTCCTACCAAACCCTGTCTGCAACTGCCTTATCGTACAGGACTCTCCTTCTGAATCTGTTTCGAAATGAGGGGTTCTGATCGTATCCCCGACCCAGCAGCACTGACACATCAGTTCGTCCAACCCCGGGACCATGGCATGTGAAAGCATTTCATTCGCGAGTATCCAGTGCTTGCCAACTCAAACTTTTGTGAGAAGAGGCCCTTACTGCTAACACCAGCCCCAGACCCCAGCCTGCAAGTGTTCTTCAGGGGTCAGCAACGCTGTATCAGTGGCATCAGCAACGGGGTTGGCGGCGTATCCCGGTGAAAAGTGCCTTTGTGGGATGGTCTAGCCAGCCCATGCAACTACTATTATTGCCTGAAACGGCGAAGTGAAATGTTCAGGCGAACCCTTGGCTTGGGCAGATTCTGCCTAGATACGCTCGCTACGAAGCAGTAGCCGAGGATGATTCTAACACCCATCAAGGTACGGAAGCCCTTGTCGTGTACGAGGCAGTACCTCGAGGTGGAAAGCCTCGACCAAAGCGTGTTGCAATCTGTTGTCGGCTCCTCCCCGGTGGTCATATATATACTTTCAATGTCCAGATTCGGAATATGGAGCCATTGGTAATTGACTTTGGGATTTCATCCTTCAATTTTATGTCAACAGAACAAGTGATTCAACATCAGGCTGGAGCCTCAAGAACACCTAAAAGACCTAGGCATCGGGAAGAACAAAGAAGCGTCGCCGAGCAGGCGCGATCTCCGTTGTTATCCGACTCCGAATCATCCTCACTCGCAAATCTGTTATCCGGGATATCACCGCTCCATCTGCATGTGTTGGCCGTTTCTCCTCAAGACATTGCCAAAGAAACGTGAAGTTGCCAATCCCTACGCGCCGGCCTAACTTCCCACAATTTGCAATCGACGGGATCATACGAGTGATCGCCAAGGCGACTCGCGAGGCAAGGCGATTGCGGCCCGCAGTTGTTCGCCATTGACCCGAGCCGTCGAAAAACAGCGGCCTGGCAACGCATGCCCAAAGCCAGGCTCTTACTTGATTGACCTCGTCCTTGAAAAGAGCGAGGAGCATGAGAGGAGATTACTACGGGGTCAGAGTAGTGTGGGTGACACAACTTTCCTCGGCCTGCCTTTGTCCGCCTCCCAGGACTATTTGTTCCAGCACAACCCTGCGACGTGTCGTGGCAATATGATGTACCAAAGCCAGAATGGGCACGATGAGGCTCTCCTAAGCCCCGCTGGAAACTGGTGATCTACGTACCAGGGCGTGGCAACTGTAAACATAGATTGTAGTTTGTAGATCACTCATCCACGTCCATTATTGCATGAGCAGGAGCAGGAGCATATTTTCACGGCATGGATATGGCCTACTGAGTCCGTTCGTCGGAAGATCGTTCCACTCACCTCGGATCCTGGTAGGCCAGGCCAGGGGTTGCGATGCATGATTCGAGCTCAGAAGCCGTTGAGAATGGATAATGAGGCAGGGAAGCTCCGAGAGTCCACCACTGTATCTGATATGGAGCATAATCACACTCCTACAATCACAAAGAGATCTCCATTTTTTTTAGCCCGTCAATCGAAACATGCAATTGAATGATGGCGAACTTGGACGTCTTTACTTGCTGGCATTTGCACGGCACGGCATGAAGGGGCGCAAGTCGCTGTCTGTTCTATGGATCCCATTCAGCATTCTTTCTTTTGTTTTTTCCGTTCGAAATATCGCTTTTGATCTACGCCGCCCAGGCAGCGGATGGACGAACACCGACACGTCAAAAATCAAGGTACTCGGAAGTAGGTAGGTAGGTAGGGGCCTTTGACACCAGCTCCAGCTACTCGTCGGCATGTCCCTGCTAGTTAGTTGCAAGGGAAATCCAGATCCATTGATACGTGTCCGCTTCCCGGAGCTGGGCGCGGCTTGACGGGAGTGTCCTGTTTGTTAGTGTTGTTTGGTCGCTCGCTCGTTGACTTACAGTGCACTATGGCAAAGCCTGGTGGTTTGACTAGAGGCAGGAGTCTGTGGTCTACTGAGGCGTACTTATGTAGCTTAATACTCTAGTTTGGGTAGTTTCAAGTGCTCGGAGGGCCTGGATCCATGTCTAATTCGAGATATTATATGGAGTGAGTTGTTAGCCCTGCTTGGGGCGCGCTGGGGATATCTATCTATCTATCTACGGAGTATTTAGTTAGTCAGTCTGGGTCCACCCTTGGAATCGACGTTGGTTCGGAATTCATCTCCGGGCGCGAATAACGCAATCCCGTAGGACTGTAATACACAGAGAGATATACTCGTACGCCTTATCAGCTGATGAGGACTACAACCTTGTTTCCCTTTGTCACTGCTGGCCGGATAACGCCATGGATTGCAGTGGGCCATGCACTTGCTTAGGACGAGTATTTGTGGATTGGAACGGCACGACAAGGGCTTGATGTGTGCAGAGACGGGTTACTACAAGTTACTGGGTGTTTTGCACAAGGCCTGGCCCGCTGTTGGGCGGGTAGAGATAGACTGTACTCACTGCGAGTCTGTGTCCAGCGCTCGAATGGATAGATAAAGTACGTATGCAAATGATGGCCAAGAAGGGTCCTCCACGAGGGACATCCACGGGGAACATCTGGACTTTGGAGACTCGGAGGGTTGAGGAGGAGCAGGGACAGGGCTCTCTTGCCTTTCGAAACTCCCAGACCAAGACGTTCATGTGGAAATTCCCGTTGTCAAATTTGCCTGTGCTGGTGACGGAACCAAGTGATCGGTTGGCTGGTTGGCTATCTCACCCATGTTGTTCGTATGCACGAATGATTGGTAAGATCAAGAAGGAGCTTTTGTTCTCGTCTGTAGAGTCTTCGTTTGACCCATTCTACCTTCAAATTCTTGCAGAATGAGTACGAACTGGCCAGAGCGGTGGTCATCCCAGTCATCGGAGTGAGTCAGATTGCGATTGCTGCGGTGGTAGCATTAGACCATGTCCAGGACTGACCTGGAGATTCTCGGACGATAACCAATGGACAGGCCCTCGGACCATGTTCTCAAACCAGGCTTCGGATTGGCCAGCAAGGCTGTTTCGATTAAGAAGACAAGGTTTCAACTGTGGCATTGGATATTCCTCCTCTGAGCATGTGTCAATTGGAAAAGCACGGGAGTTCGGCGTTCAACACCATTGATTTTCTGACAGTCCATGCAGGCACAGCGTGCCTCAGCTGATTGGCACCTAAACAAAGAAGGCATGAACTGCTTTACAAGAACGATGGAATTTTTCGGGTGGCGGGAAAAAACAGATCTGTGGCTCAGGGTTGCCATGCAGAGTGGGATGAGAACGGGTGGATCAGGGATGGAAATTTCAGCATGGCCAGTCCACTGGGGTTGTATCAGACCGAGTGCAATGCCTGAGCATGATATGCAGAATTCGAATTCAGCATTTATGGTTTGATGGAGCCTAGGGGAAAAGTTATTCTCAGATAGTGGCTGGAGCTGAGCGTCAATGGAGTATGTTGGTGGAAGACGTGTCGTTGGTCTTCCTCTGAGCAGTGGAACCCGCAGTGATGCCAGAGATAGGACTGCGAACTAGTTATCGAGTACTCGTATGTTGAAGCTTAGAAGAACCCACCGGGATGACTCGTAAGCAAGCACAGACAAGTCATGCCAAATCGCTATCAATATCGGAATGAGCATGATGTCGAATTACTCCGGAGACAGAGGCGAAACAGAATGAGGACCACGGTCTGAACCTTGCCCGTATCTTGATAAATTAGGCTGCTCTTACCACTTACCCCTCCACGGACGGTGACCTGGGAGCGATAAGCAATGAGTGGGCGGGCGTGGGGTGAAGGACACGAAGGCACTTGCAGTCTGTGTGTGACAGAGAGCATGGGCGTGCTGCATTGGGGCTCCACGTAGATTGCATGGCGAGTGAGAATATCAGGAGCAGCCATGTTACTTGCATGGAGTGTGGGCAAGAGGAGTGGTTTGGCTTGCATAGCCAATGCATGGCTGAGGCAAGAAAAGTTGGACATGGAGAATTAAATCGTGGCTTTCCAACTGTTTGATCAAAGTGTGGCTGTCTCTCACGGGTGGTTGATTCCAGGGTCTTGCAAGGAGCCACTTCGGTGGTTCTTTCTTTTCGACGTTGACCATGAGGATGAATGAAAGCAATTCAATCGGGCAACCACTGATATTATTTGCTCACAATAGCATGAGGGTGATGAGACGAATCGTAAGCGAAACCTGATGGTAAGCAGATCCTTGCGTCTAAAGTAGGGGGGCCCGAGTGTTCAGGGCACAGCCTACAGGGGAGTCTCCGGCATTAGGGCAGTCTGAAGGAGCCACAGACGCCCGGAAATGCCTCCCCGCAATCGACAACTTCGCCAAAGTCGCCATAGCACGCCATAGATCTTGGGATTTATCGGACACTCATGCACGCTTTGACTGCAACAGCCAAACAGACAAAGGCTGGGTATAGCACCTTCTATGACACGGTCTGCGCGGTACCCAGCACAACAACCCGCGTCAGACTGAGACATTCTTGAGGGGTTTTGTTATGGTGCAGTCTACGGGTGTCTGAGGCAATTCTCGCCTTTTGTCTTTTTGCGCTTGAAGCTTGACTTCGGACAGTTGCTCGCTGATATTGTGCAGAGACTCTCCAGTTTAATTTGTGGTTTCCCGCTGGCACTGGCACTGGCACTCGTAGGCACCTCTTCTTGTTCCACAGGCTGACGTTGGTGGTAGTCATCATCTGGCTTCAACTGGAATCCATTGCTGAAACTCGTCCCACGTTGGCCAATTTTAGTTTGTCGTTGGTGTTTCCGCCACAACGCTGGACGTTTCTATCTGTATCCTTCTGGAGTAGTGTAATGTTTGGACTGCAACTAACAAGGGAATCTATTTACCCGCATCCGTCGCATCATGTCCAGGGCGGGCGGCACGACGGGAGAAGAGGAGTTGTCTGTGCGTGCTGAAGCTTCCCTGCTTTTTTCTTGCATATCGCTCACCCGCCTGTACGCATAGGCACAAGCGTTTCTCTTTCATCATGGCTTGGATTGCCATCTGCGCGGACGTTCGGCAACCCGAAGCGGCTCCATGGGGGTGCCCGTGGCTCAGTGTAGGGACCCTTGTCCCTGTCCTTCTTCCCCCTCGTCCCCCTCTTAGCCTCTGTCATCCAGGTGCCTTTTGCCCTCTGACTTTTTTTCTCTTTCGTTAGTGTTTGTTAGTCTGTGCTCATTCCCTCGTGAGAGCGCGTGTTGTCGTCCTCCCTTCTCCGCCCATGGGCTGGGCAACCTTCCTCCCCCACTGGCACCGTCTTTTTTACTGCGATTCAGAGTCCACACGGGTCACCGCCTCCACTCGCCCACAATCCACAATTCACAATCCCTCCTGCTCAATGCTCATACACAACTGGCCACCCGCCTTCATTCTGTCCATGTTTGATTCTTGAGCAAATACACCAGATGTGCTCGGCCCACGACAAGACGACCCACGCTGCTCGATCCTCGATCCCTTCTTAGCCTTCCAACTTATCCATCCTGCAGATCATCCTCCATCGCTAGTAACATCCAACGCCATATCATATTCAAACACCTCAACTGCACCATTGCTAGCCGACCTCTAGACTCGCTTTTGACTGCCTACTACTCGTACATATCTCCTCCTCACCATTCAACCGGAGCCAAGTTGCTTTGGCATTCTCGACTAGCAGACAACAACATAGCCCATCAGCAACCACTTCGACTTGGACCAGAGCAATTGCAAACTACGACATCTAACAACATTCTGACAGTTGGATTGCATCTTGAAACAACTACTGCAACGCCACTTCCCTCCATTGTATACCACCTTCAGGTTCAGTCCTCCAAGTCATATTGCTCATGATTTCTGGTTTATGACATGACGACCATTCTTCAGGCTCCTCTTGCTGGGCCCTCTCATTATTCATCCAGTCCTATACATTCGTCTTCATATCCTAATCTTCCTACTCTCAACAACCCCCTCCCTTATGGACAGGCTCATACTCAGAATCAAGCATATTCACCACACGACTATGCTCCCATATACTCCGACTCGGCCCCTTCGACCGCTCCATCATCACCTCAGCTGACATATTCCAACTATTCCAGACGGGATTCCTATGCATCGACACCTGCCAGTAGCTTATCACTCGATCCGAGAGATCTGATGGAGGACGATGATATGGCATTCCCAGCGTTCGAGTCATCTGGAGATACCTCCAAACCTTCGGAGCCTACTCAGCAATTGCCGTTTCAAGACGACGATGCTACCTTGGTATCGAGTCCTTCAAATGAAAACGCCCCAGTTTCTTCTCGGTCGACACAGGACGACCACGCTATTGAAGTGGAGCCTACGAGACATGTAGACTATCTTTCCCACGAGTGGAAAGAAGAAGATATTTGGCGGTCTTGGAGTTATGTTGTTCATCGAAGGGGCAATCTGGCCAACGGAACACGTTTGGAGAATGCGTCATGGAGATCTTGGGTGAAAGCCAAGAATCAGCTCAAGACTGTGTCCCCCGAAGCCTTGAATTGGTTGAAGGATTGTGATGTTACGTGGTTGTATGGTCCACTGCAAACCAACACCAGTACGACTCAGTCGACCGCCAACACATCTCCACCGCCCAGTCGCATTTCCCACTCATCGTCTTTTATTTCCAAAAAACCAATTCTGAAGAAAAAATCGGCATCGGCGGTCATCCTTGAAAGGTCGAGATCTCAACATTCTCTTCTACAGAGGGCTAGCGACATTATAAGAATTCAGCAATCTAGCCCCGCTCATGGTCGACCTATACTAAGACGCGGACATTCGGATTTTACCCTTCCTCGTTATGCTGATAGCTCCGTCGCCAACACCCCTGCCGAGCAGGATGGGACCACGCCTGGGGTATACTCATCCTATAATTTTCCAGATGTGCCAACGCCATCAGAGTGTAAACACGTTCTCTTTAATGAAGAGGTCCGACAGGTGCAGGCCATTGACTCTGAAGATGACGACAAAATCGAAGAAGACGAGACAACCATATTTGATGAAGACGAGGACGATGATGGTGGACTAATGATGGCCCCAGCCACTAGGCCTGGCCGAGGCAGTGGACGAGCAACTCCACGTGGTAGCTTCAGCATGGAGTCCAAAACGATCGTACCATTGCCCTCTACCACACTCAAGTATCGGACTGACACGCCCGAACCTCGGGAACTCTCCAATGGTCAAGTTGGGCTTTGGCCTCTTGGGCGCAAATTATCGCCTTCACCTTCACAGGAAACATTGAGGCCTACAAGGCCAAATCAGAATTTCCTGATAGATGATGATCCGGAAGTCTCGGACGAACCATGGCAACCTCAGTCCAGTTATGGAGGGCAATCTCCGTATGACGACGAGGATGATGAATCCGACCGAAGTCGACACATGAGACGAACAGAATCTGGCATGTTCATGCCTTACGAAGAGAATGATGAGGAAGAAGCAATCATGAATAGTACCCTTTTCGGCCAGGCTATGTATGCTGTCAATACGTTTAAAGATATTGCTCATGTCGTCTGGAATGTGGGCTGGAACCGCAAATGACGCCATTAGCCGAACGTACTTGCATCCCAGCGAGTCTGTTCAGTCTTACGAATCATATATTGAACTTATAAAGCATAGCAATGGCGTTCAGGGATCAAGCAGCGATGACTGCTTTTAAAGGTTGGCCATGGGGGAAGGCTATTTGACCAGGTGGCATTACAGGACAACAAATTACATGAGAAGGACTTGACAGTGTTGCCTCCAAAATACCCCTTGATGTTTCTCTTGGGTAGTAAAGGTCACAGTTATCGAAAGTGGACAAACTTGTATATACGATGAATTGGAGTTCAATTGTCTGGATCACGATTGACGTGGGATGATATGGGATCGCGGGCTACTATAGATGGTGGTGATCATCTCACCAAACGAAATCAAATGGATATTGCAGGTGGGATCCCAAAACGCTTCAGGAGAACAATTTTTGGGTCAATGGTTGTGAGTCGGTCAGGAGGCAATCCAGAAAATGTGAGATGGGAAAATTCGGGAACTTCCAACCCTGACATGAGGCGAACTTGTGGTCTGTACGGATCAACCCGTCTTTCTCCGCAAAATGCTCCAACTTCCTCTTGCGGTGGATGGACATTACCTTCCTTAACCCCCGGTGGAATGATGATGTCGAACCTCGGTAAGAAGTTAGACACTCCTACCCTCGAGAAGCAATCGCCTTGCAGAGGGTGCAATTCAAAATCGCCTTTGGACCTATCTGGTATCATCCTGTACGCCGTAGTTAGTGCAACTTCCAAAGTGCTAGCTTGCCCTCATCCCCACAGACTAAAGTCGCACGAGTTTAACTCAGAGTCATCGACAAATCGAATGTGCGGAGTGTAAAATCACGAAACAGGGGACATGACTTCATGTCGATCGAATGATGCGTTTTCCTTGTCAGAGATGTCCCCAATGACGGAGTAGTTAGCTAGTCCACGCCTCGAGAAAACCCTCCCCTTGAGTCGTGGTGGTGTGATGACCGTTCGATCGCGACGATTTTGCGGGGTTATTATGTGCGGTCATCGGTAGATACGAGTAGCTGGCCCAGGTACCTGATCATCAAGACCCCATTATTAGTATTTTTATTATTTCGAAGGGCCCGCTTGGAGGTGGTCTTGGGACCTTGAAAGTTGAAAATGTCCAATGCGAAAAAAGATCGTACGTAAGTAATTACGACAAAACCCGCGAATGGCAATTGCCATTCCTTGTTTGAATAATGAAAACGACGACTTTCATGTACCCAGCCAGACCGCCAGTTGCGCCATTGTGACTGCTCTTGCTGAGACGAAGTTGGTTCGACTCCTCAACTATATGCCACTAAGATGTTTGCGACTTTGACTTCCGGGGAAGCGTGGTGAACCATTCTCTGCTCAGGCCTGTCGTGAAGTCAAGCTCGCATTGCATTTGATACGAGCCCTGACTGCTATGTACGAGTACTCGGTAGCTACTGGTTGACGTGCGGACCAGTCGTGGCCTGGTCTGGACTGACTACATGGGCATCTACACTAGACTCACGAGCCTGAATAGGACTACAATCAGTGGTGGAGACCTAGTAGTACATGCCTGCCTCTGTTTGGCTTCTTTCCGAGTCAGATACATGCCTCCCAGCGCACCCGTCTAAATGATAACCTCCAACAAGCATCCCATGGTAGGGGGCGTTACTGGGAAAGCATATTGTGCTTCACATCAATAGGAGACATGGGAGCTTGATTCGTTGGTTGGTTGGTTTGCTAGCAGCTACATAACGTACAGTTGGAGGCGAGCTATTTGCCATTATTATTGGCATATCTCCTCGTCTTTCGATCAACTGTAGAGCCAGTTTGCACATCGAGTTTTCCTACAGTACCTCGTAGAGGAACACAGCCGGTTGGCATCGGGAGGGGAGCACTGCGAGAATAATGGGCTTGAACACCACGCCAACTCCACGTCTCGTCTTGTCTCGTCTTGTCTTGGTGGTGAAAAACTTCGATGGACAGCGATAACGGGTCTTTGTACCATCCTGTCGCTCCCCCGGACGGGCGCACTTACGTGCTATAGGTCGACGTCGCTTTCTTCGCCACAGTTGTGGAGAAGGGTTGTTGGATGGAGAGATTATGGATACCATGTAAGGGCGGTCCTTGTCGATAATGCAGCGCAGCGCCTCGGCCACAGGCTCATGCTCGTGCGGGCGCTCGTGCTCATACTCGTGCTCGTGCTCGTGCTCGTTCGTGATGAGACGGCAAGTGCCTACCTACGGGTCTCCGTCCTCGCCATCCTCGCCAGTCGCCGAACGGATACGGGTAGGGACGGGGTCAGGAGCGACGGGACGGATAGTGGCCTTGGAATGGGAGCTTGGCGCGCTTTGGAGGTTTTTCTATTCCCGTTGAGTTTGCGCGCTATATTATCACATGTCATGTCATTTCTCAATGCCGACTCTTGAGACGAAACGCCCGGCCGCGATGGCATATCGACCGGTCGTGGCGAGCAGGGATGAACACGAACATGAACATGAATTCGAACATGAAGTGTCGGACACTCTGAGTCAAGCAGATCATCTGGGTGGTGTCGTTCGGAACCGGACGCCACAAGGCCTTGCAGTGAACTGAATAAATATCACGCTCGGCTTTTGTTCGGAAGACTCGGAGGTCTCATCTATTTCGCTCCCGTCGAGTATCTCATCCGACACGTGAACTACATAGCTGCGAGTCAATAGCCGACGTGTCTACATGGAGATGCTGCCGATGTCTTACTGGGCCCGGGTTTTGACTTGGTTTCTGTTATCGCTGAGTGATCGCTGGATAGATAGGTATGTAGGTTGGCCGGCGGCAGCACTTCAAAGGCCAAAGACATATTGCGTTCGTTGTATACATCCGATGCTGGCTCGAGGCTTCGGTCGGTCGGCTGCGATAATGATGGACGTGCACGTTCTGAAAGTTAATGCCATCTCGTGGTTATTTCTAATCCACAGTGACGACGAGGAGCCAAAGATTTGTTGCCGAATAATAGCTACCGATGTGCCTCTCGCTGATCTACTCCACATTCCAGACAAGTGATCCTCACTGCGCAATGGAATGCATCGTCCCAAACATTTGCTATGTCAACTTTTGATTCTTCTTGGTAGAGGTTCAATAAGACTAAATTAGATGATAAGGGCAAGAACAAGATGGCCGATTTTCGCTTTCCCATCGCCGACGCTCCGATGCTCGGCTCCTTTAACGAGTTCCTCCTCCATGCATTGTGGTGTTCGATCCCGAAGGCGCAAACTTGGACCTCCCAAATGATTATACAGACCATTTGACTCTTGCTTGATCAGCCAATTCTCCCATTCGAGAACAAGAACATTTTGGTTCAAAAGACAAAACACCACTAGTTTATGCAGAGAAGTGAAGGCAGGATGGTGACAGAAAAAAGTAGACACATTTCCCAGAAGCACAATAAAACATGTTATCTATATATATACACCCACATCTGCCGGAAAGGAGCAGGACAAGTGAAATATATGTATTAAGACAAAAGTCCCAGTCAACCGATATACACTGGCCATCAGCTTTTGATCGTGGGTCTCATTCATGGCGAAAGCTTGGAAGATGAATATACACCAGGATCAATTTGTTTACAAGACAGCAACAACAACACCGACAGCCACGGCGAAGACACCGCCCTGGACCTTCATGGCCACAGCGGCGTTACCGGTAGGTGCGGAGGTGGTTTGAGAAGCAGCGGAGGCAGTCGTCGAAGAGCTTGCACGGGTGCTGGTGGATGAGCCAGATGTGGTGGCAGATCGGGTGCTGCCAGATGAGGTGGAATCGGTGGTGGTAGCGGCTGAGGAGTCGGTTGACTCGGTGGCAGTGCCGGTGGAGCTTGCAGTGTTGGAACCTGTGCTGGCGGTGCTTCCAGTCACGGATGCGGTCGAGGCGGAACCGGTAGCAGTGCCAGTTGCACCTGTGATGCCAAAGTTGGGAGAGAAGTTGATGTTCGAGGTGTTTGTGTCATCGATGATCTCGATGGTATACTGGAACGAGTTCACATCGGCGGCATCGGGAATCTGGAGGGTGGCACTTCCAATGGAAGCTGGGATACCGGCTGCAGGTTTGTCAGAAATGAGGTGGGAGAACAGCCCAGAGGGAATACTCACAGGCTAAAACAACACCGCTGTCAGGGGTGATGGGTTGTTGGACCAGCTTGATGGTGATTGTGCCGGATGAAGGGTTGGTCCAGTCAATGGTGAGAGGTTGACCAGCGGCCACCTCTAGAGTGCTGGAGCCTTCAGGAATGCTGATGGCATTGTTCTGAGCAGCGACAACAGTGGCAAGAAGTGCCGTGGCGATGGTGGCGAAGAAACGCATGATGTGGAAAAAAAGGGTGTTGGGTGAAGAAAAAGTGGTGCTGAGCGAGCGAATATGAAGTATAGAGGATGAAACGGGGCAAAGGAGACCGTTCAAACGATTAAATGTGTGTATAGATAAAGGATTGTGTGAATGAAAGATTCGGTGTAGGAGTGAGTGGCAGCAGGGTTGAAATTAAATCATCAGTCAAGAGTCGGGACTCAGGAGGAAGGAAGACGAGCTGAAGAATTGAGAGAAGCCCAGCGCCAGCATCCAGGAGTCGCGTTTCGTGAAGACTGTTGCGTGTCGCTGTTGCCGTTGGGTGCGCGGTGGTCGCGCGAGACAACCATGCTTAGCCTTGCCATTAGCTCGAGCGGCTTTCACGAAATAGGGGTTAGCCTCTGCCATGCAATATTCGGCAGCCGTGGATCTGGTGTGGTGGCAGTGGTGAGGGCCCGTCTGGGCATTCTCTTTTGGTGCATAGTGTTCATCTAGGCGTCACTTTTAATCTTTGGGCGACCCCGACCAGCCAGTCATCATGCTCCGGGCGGAGAGTTCTGGCCCCCGCATCCGAGACACTGTGCCTATTCAGCCTGGAAAACATGGTCTTGGGGTGCACAAGCTCGAGATTGAGGTTGCAAATCTCAAGACTCGAGAGATTTCGACCAAATCACGAATAGTGGCAAGAGGGCTGAGGTGATTTTCATGATGTAGTCACTCCGGACGTATTCGTACTTACACTCACACTCACCGAATATCACACTTCAGTGAGCCGCTTCAAAAGTCTTCATCTGCTCGACCTCCCGAGACGCGACAACTCCAAGTCCCAAACTTGAAAAATGTCACCATATGTAGCCGAGAGCAAAAGATAGACCTTCTTGCTTCAGCTCGAGGGGAGGCTGTGCTCTTACGGTTGCAGATTTGTGAGGTCAACGCCGGAAGACAAATCGACCAGTCCGTGATTGTATCTTTTAAGCGGGCCGTTCCCCATGAAACTCACCGTCACTGTGACTTGCCAATATCTACAGATATGGAGTAGCCTACTGAGTCATCAAGTTAGATGTGGTCATAAATTCCCCGAAGGCACAGTCGACGCTCTGGGACCGATATAACTTACGGTGTGGTCTCGCTACCATCACTGACCCCATGCAACGGGCATCGCTTATATACATGAGCTTGAGCTGAGGCCATTTCTGTTCACCGTGGTTCTGCAATGTAACGCAGAGGCGCACCGAGGGCACGTGGACGATGGTGTTGCTTTAGCCATCGATCAAGGGTGTTTCATAGGCATCGCTAGCGATGGTGCTGTAAGGTTGTGCATTTTGGGCTGAAGCCTATCTCATACTACCGAGGACATACCCACGGTTTCACGCTGGCCGAGAAAGTGTTTGAGAAAGTGTTTGTAGGTGAGGGAGAAAGGCCACGTTTTGACTGTCTGCTACTCGTAGGAGCTTGAGCGAGACTTGCTTAGCGAGCATGATCTGGTCGTAGTTCTTTGGGTTGAATGGGTTTGGATAAGTTTCACTATAGTGTAGATGCTGTGCTCATGATATTCGAGACGCCGTGAACCATCACATCCGTCACAGGACTAGCTGTGCTTGGTACGTATTGTACAGATCAATGGCTGCAACGTCTCGTTCAGTCTGAGACAGAACTATCGACACTTTTCTGCAGGAGACAGCCTTCGCGAGGGGTTTTGAGTGAAGTTGATGTTGACATGACCAGAGACAGTTAATCGCTTGCCAAACGTAGTAGTCTGAATTGCACACATCCTCCATCTAACCTACATGTGTTACGGTGCTCTTTGCACCGATTTAAAAGGCACTGGATCAGGGCGTTGTCAACCCTCAAGAGGAAACTATAAACTACTTAGATACTTAGCAGCCACGGCGATTGCTCAATAATACCCGATTTCTGGATTGCGAATCAAGGATTCCCCCTTCTGGAGAACTAATGCAGCCACAATCCGCACATTTTATAGGAAAGCATGGCCTATCCCGGTCTGACCATGCAATGATTGACACAGAAGTCCCTATGAGTCGTCGGTCCACTTCGACACATGAGAAGGCAGTAAATTCTGTCGATCTGACTTAACCAAAGAATGCCAGTTGTGCAGGTGCGAATTCTGTCAGTCTGTCATTGCCCGTCCGTGATCATTTCAAGGAAAAATGACAGGTAGGTTTGACTAATGGTTTTACCAGCAGAAGCGAGGATGAATTGGCGAGCTTTTTGATAAAGACGTCGGCCATTTCACCATCAAGACCAGAGAGGTAGTAGCTCAGACTGAGTCAGTAGGAGTGAGGTGGTACAGAAACTGCTACAGACGGCGAACCCGGAGCTATTCGGTTGCTATCCGCGGCCAGTTCGTCTGGTTCCTGGCCCAAGGGCATCTAGGGAAGAAGCATGAACGATTCAAAGTTCAAAGAATGCCACGAGGATATCCACAAACGCCCATTTTCGGGTCTTTGGCGAAAGATTTCACCTGGGGGCGTTTCAAAGGCCGCCGTGGCTTGGGAATTGTACGTCAAATAACCTCCAGAGGCTGCTTTGGTGGCTGCTCACAGACCATTCCGGCCACGGCACAGCAAACGACTCTACACAGAAGCCCTTCACTCTGGTCATCGACCCCATGTAGTTTTAATCTCAGCGTACATCGCGGGTCCAACAGACTCATTTCTGAGGTGACAGCCTTCACCGTCTGGGGCAGAAAAGACCTCCGTACGGAGCACCCTCGTCCCTTGCATCTGTGTCGTGCTACTAAGCAAGGGATATTCTAGAGATTTAATAATAATAATGTTCTTGTCGCGTCCTGTTCTCATCGTCAATCTTTCTTTATTACATGTGGTGTTTTTCCTGTCGCTCCCGTTTACTATTCACCTGAAGTACCTAGGTCAGGCATCCAATTCTTTTATTGACACGGCCCTCCAAAATTGGAAACTGGTTAACAGATCACCCACGGGCAACTCGACTGCCTAAATAAACCCGCAGCCACCGACACGACCACATAGTGAACCATTGATAAAGACAACGCATCCTGTAAGGCCAACACAGACCTACCGTACCGAATCCTGAAGCTCCGTGCGGGCATGCAGGACGAGTAAGTGGCCAAGAAAAGCGATAAACGAATTTCTTGACGAAGCCCCATCAACTAAGAGTAGTCCAGACACGACGACTGCGCTACGGGGACTATGCGATCGGAGACTTTGACGTGTTAGGCTTCTTAATTGGCGGCGGGAAGGAAATCGGTCAAGCATCAGGATGGGATATTCACGTCGACATTCCATTTCCAGTATGGACTATGAATCATTACCACCTGCACTGCGTCGTAAGGTGAGAAGAAGGTTTTCATTTTGCTTGTTATACCAACACAGAAATATGCCCGAGAAAAAGACCCTGGATTCACCCATCCGAGATGGGCTGACAAGCAACCATGGAGGGAGTCCCTGATGATCAACAAGTCGGACTGCACATCTTTTCCCATTTACGACATTTCGACTCCATTCAGCCAGCATTCGAGTCTTTTGTAGACGACGGCTTGGGGCGCCGTTGAGAGGATGGGCGTGCTTGGATCAATCGAGATTAGGCTTGCCGGTCATTTCCCTTGTGGGCGGCGCCCACACCTAATCGCGCCCCTGGATTCGGCACGGTCCTCCAGCTTAGGCCATCTCTGTCCACCTCTGTCCACCACTGTTGCTGCTTCCCTGGCCATTCACACTTGTCGGATTCCACTCTTGTTGTGACCGTTGACATCTGTCTCGATCGCTTATTCTGCAGGTCCCTCGAGCTAACATGTGTGTTGCACCAGTATTTTAGCAGCTTAGAACGTCTGAGATTGGCACAAGATGCCACTGGCACGACTAACCGCCGCTCACCTCCTCCTTCTCGTCTGTCCATCCTCCCACCAAACCATCTTCGAACCATCTCACAACCATCTTCTACCGAGACCTCTCTCCAGCACCATCCCCGCCCAGAAGCGAAACTGTTCTTGAACCGAACCCTCTTACGCAAGAGACGATATCGCTCAAACCTCCACATCAACTCGTCCGCTGCCGCCTGGTTCGCTTCCTTGTCCCCCGCGGCACAACGAAAGCTCTTTTCTCAAGAGGAGTGCGAGCTCTATGGGCAAAGAAATCACAGTGTTATCCTTGACGCTGCGGACGAGACTTTACGCCGACGCAGTTGGTATCCTACCCTCTTCTCGTCCGACCACCGTCGCATCTCTGACGATCCCACTATTGTGGACTCGGAGGCTTCCTTCGGTTACGACTGTGAAGAAAACGTCGATTCAGCTATAGACATGGGCGACTATTCACTCGATGGGTTTCGGTGGTTGGACGACGAAACACATATCGACCTGAGACTTGATGACTATCATGAGGCAATAGCACAGACAGCGCGACGAACTGCATCATTTTCCGACGTGCGAATTCCTGCAAAACGAAAAACATCTCTATCTAGCTTGTCGATTCGACGCGGACGCAGCTCTACATCATCTTCAAGACCGCCACCAACGGCTCCAGCACACGACCCTCCAGCTACACCGGCCTTACCCAGTAGCAAGGCCATCAGCCGGTCACCCTCCTTCTCGCTGAAACATATCAGATCTCAAGCATCTATATCATCGATAGATCCTCGTGCAACCCATTATCAGGATCCTGCGGCTCGTCTGAAGCTGCGACTCTATCTTGCTTCACCTCAAAAGTTTGATGAAGCGGTTGAGTTTGGGTTCCCTTCTGTTCAAGGAGATCACCAACGGGTGCTGGCAAGACCGATGACAAGCCCCCACCCTCACAAGGACACCAATCGAACATTCTTCCACGATGATACTCCCGAGCTCTCCGGAGACGAGGGAGACGACGAAGGAGATGAACCAGATACTCTATATGACCCAAGAACACCTGAAGACCCCGTGTTTCAAATGCATCGAACGGTCCAAAAGAACAGTATGGAAGGCAATGGCAGTTTGCGGCCCTTCTCCCTACGTCGAAAAACAGAGTCGTACGCACGAGGAAGTGCGATAGACAGGGAAATGACTCTCCACATGACACTCACCAGACCGGATCTTCGAGCACCAGATGACATACCTCCAGTCCCACCTTTGGTCAACACCAAGATCAATCAGATCCCATTGGAGCGACCACAATTGAACTTGGATGGCAACCCACTTTCAATCTGGGACACACTGCCAACGGAAGAATCAAAGATGAAGAGATTCTTCCGCAAGTTCAAGCTGAAGTGAAGGAGCCAAAGAAAACAAATGCAGCAGGAGGAGGTAATTTTTAGTTTATTGAGCGATCAAAGCGACTGTGGGACATTACAATGACTGTATCAATAGAATCAAATGGCATCTGATAAGCTGAGCGAGTGTACTTTTTAGACGATGTCAATGATCGATCACAGAACCAATTAGCTGTACTCAGGCAGCCCAAGTATCAGGATATGCAGGGGACAACACTAGGATTGACATTCTCGACCGGTGGATTATATATATCTTGGTCGTGCTACCTAATAGACTGGTAATCAATTTGATTAATTCTCTAGCAATGATTGTCCTGAGTCGAATAACACCAAGTACTAACATGGCGTCTTGTGTTGTGAAAGAGACACGATTTGACTTCTCCCTGATGTCGAGAGTATCATACCGACTCGTATAGATATAGATAGGAGTTGAGATGAAGGATTGTGATTGGTGATGCCATTCAAGTTTGTTGGATGCCTTGAAATGATGACACGCGTTTGGAGAGTGGAAAGATCAGACGCGCCAGAAGCCTGAGACTTGGTACTGCATCAAGCCTGGAGTGGTCGCTCCCAGGCCCCTTTGAGCATCGATATTGGTACTAAACTCTGGAATCCGCGGGTGCCTCTTACGCTCAAACCTTCGTCCTCCTTGCCAACTCTTACCTAAGCATCCGTACACTGTTTCAGCTCCTCGATTATCGCAGCCGTGAACTGCTATCGACTAATTAGGCAAACTCGTTTTCCAGTCCGACTCCAAGGAACAATCTGTTCATTTGTTGTCTGTTCCATAATTCAATTCCTTGCTATTGTATTTCATTTCAAAAGCCTTTGGTTCTTGTCGAGCGAGTCTTGTCGCATTCACACTCGATGCACTAATCGATCATGATCATTCGGTCCTTCTGTCGTCGCGCTCTCGCCTCGTCACTCGCCTTACTCCTGTTCCTCAACCCGCAGCCTGCCTGCGCGAAGAAGGATGGCCCGACCATCTCCTCAACCAAGTTCGATGATCCGCTAGAGAGTCTTTTCTACTTTGATGATTCCAATGTCATCCTTGGCCATAATAAAGAGAAAAGTTCCATCTGGCGTAGTGCCGACGCTGGTGAGACCTGGGAAGAAGTCAACGATTCCGGTCAATCTGGCTCTGCTTGGGACCTCTGGCCCCATCCTTGGGACTCTCATCGCGCCTACGTCCTTGGCCTCGGCAAAGACCACTGGATCACCACCGATCGAGGCGAGACGTGGCGGAAATTCCAAACAAACGTGAATCTGGCCATCTTTCGCCAAAATCCCTTGAGTTTCCACGGTCGAGATCCCAAACGGGTCATCTGGAATGGAGAGGAATGCGCTGGTCGAGCCTGTACCGAAGTGGCCGTATATACCGATGATGATTTCAAGACGGTGGAACCCATAGGTAGCAAGACCAGAGGATGTCAATGGGCCGTCGGCACTCCAAGCTTTGCTGAAGACATTGCTGTCGAAGTCGATGACAGAGTCTTCTGCATTGTCGAAGGTTTATATTCTCCCTGGCCCAAGGACAACAGACTTCTCGTGTCTGATGACTTCTTCAAATCAAAAGGCTTCGAGCCACAGTTGGACGTTGGCCGTGCCGTCACCGGCATCATCAGCATGGCTGCGGTCAAAGGTTTTGTGGTTGCTGCTTCGAAGTCCGAGGGCACCGATGAGCTGGCCTTGTATGTCACAAAAGACGCTTCGCAGTGGCACCGAGCTCAATTCGGGCAACATCGTGTCGAAGAGGATGCATATACCATTTTGGAAAGCACAAACTACAGCATGCAGGTTGATGTACTCGGTTCCAGACCCTCTAATCCCATGGGCTTCCTCTTCACTTCAAATTCTAACGGAACTTATTTCACCCGAAATATTGACTACACAAACAGAAACATGTATGGTCGGGTCGATTTTGAGAAAGTCCAAACAATTCAGGGTATTGTGCTGGTGAATGTCGTGGACAACTTTAAGCAAGTTGGAGCTTCAATCATCGCCGAGAAGCAGGTCAGATCTCAAATCAGTTTTGATGATGGCAGAACTTTCCAGTCCCTCAAGGTGGGTAAGGAGGATCTCCATCTACATTCAGTCACCGATGCTCGACAAGGTGGAAGAATGTTTTCCAGTCCCGCCCCGGGTATTGTCATGGGGGTTGGAAACACTGGAAAATTTCTCAAGCCATATGATGATGGAGATCTCTACGTCTCAGATGATGCTGGTGTGACCTGGTACGAAGGACTAGATGGTGCTCACCTCTACGAGTTCGGCAACCAGGGCGCCGTAATCGTCGCTGTCTATGACGAAGACACCACCAGTCATTTGATGTATTCAATCGATCACGGCAAGAACTGGCAGAAGGCTGATTTGGGCACTAAGATACGTGCCAAATTCGTGACAACCGTCCCTGACTCTACAACACTCAAGTTTCTTTTGATGGGAACCCATGGATCAGGCTCCAAAACAGAGTACCATATTTTCAAGATTGATTTCGAAGGCCTACATGAGCGCGCTTGTACCGAGAAAGATTTCGAGCGATGGCCCGCCCGCGTTGATGAGAAAGGAAATCCTAGCTGCATCATGGGACACAAGCAGTTCTTCAACAGACGGAAAGCCAACGTGGAATGTTTCATTGATGAAGAGTTCAAGGACCCAGTACCCGAATTCGAGCCTTGCGTATGCACGATCGCCGATTTTGAATGCGACTACAATTTCGTCAGAGATCCCGATGATCGCACAAAATGCAATCCCGCCGAGACTATTTCCATTCCAGAAGGAGCATGCAAGAATGGAAAGGGAACTTTCCTAGGACCATCTGGCTGGCGGTTAATTCCTGGTGATGAGTGTACTCGGAAAGGTGGTGAAGAACTCGACAAGGAAATCGAGCGCCCATGCACAGATGCCGTCCATAAGCCTGTCTCCGGAGACATCACGGTCGAAAAGACAAATTTCAACGCTCAACGATTCTCGGAGTGGTACTATCTCGAACGAGGTGACACCTCAATTGGAGATGATGAAACTATTGTCATGCGTACAAGCGAACAGGACATTTATCTCTCCGACGATCATGGAAAGACTTGGGAGCCAATCCTCAAAGATGAACCCATCACCTCCATCGCTCCTAACCCTCATCAACATGATGTTGTTTTCTTTCTTACAGGCTCCAAAGTTGTTCATTATACCATTGATCGTGGAGCTCGCTTCCACCAATTTGAAGCACCTGAACGGCCCAGTAATCTGAGGCTAGCAACACTCAAGTTTCATCCGGATTACAAAGATTGGCTTCTGTGGTCTGGTGCGGTCGGAAAAGATGACCATACCAACATCTTTTACTCCAAGGACCGCGGTGATAATTGGCAAACACTAGTGAGATATGCTCGAAAGTGCGAGTTTATTACCAGAGAAGGTCGAACCAATGCAGACGAGCTCATCTACTGTGAGCAGTATGAAGACGAGAATCCGGACAAGAGCTTGAGGCTGTTGTCCAGTGAGAACTTTTTTGGCGACTCCAAGGTTCACTTCCCTGATATTCTAGACTTTGCCACGATGTCGGAATTTATCATTGTTGCTGCTAAAGCGGAAGATAAGCAAGGCCTAAAAGTCGATGCAAGTGTTGATGGCAGAACCTTTGCTTCTGCACAATTCCCCAAGAACTTCCAAGTCGCTCATCAACAAGCGTACACCGTTCTCGACAGTTCAACGCATGCGGTCTTTCTCCATGTCACCGTCAACGCGGCACCAGACCGCGAATATGGTACAATCATCAAATCAAACAGCAATGGCACGTCGTATGTCCTTACGATCAACGCAGTCAACCGAGATACCGAAGGATATGTCGACTTCGAAAAAATGCAAGGTCTCGAGGGTGTTGCCATGGTCAACGTTGTTTCCAACATTGGAGAAACACAGGATGGTGAGAAGAAGAAGTTGAAGTCAATGATCACTCACAATGATGGCGCCGAATGGTCTCTACTCCCGCCGCCTAAGAAGGATGCTTTGGGCAACAACTACAATTGTGTCAGTGATGCAAACAAGGCAACCGAGAAATGTTCGCTACATATCCACAGCTATACCGAACGTGCCGACAAGTCAGCTACGTTCTCCAGCCCAAGCGCCGTCGGTCTGATGATGGCTGTGGGTAACGTCGGTGATCACCTCCTACGCAAAGACGATGATGCAACAGACACCTTTATCACTCGTGACGCTGGAATAACTTGGAATTCGGTAAAGAAAGGTAGCTATATCTGGGAATATGGTGACCAGGGAAGTATCATTGTTATCCTCGAGGAGTCGAAACCCACCAAAGTCTTGTTCTATTCTTTGGATGAGGGAGCAACATGGAAGGAGTTTGAGTTTTCCTCTATCGAGATGCAGATTGATGCAATCACTACTCTGCCATCTGACAACTCTCGAAACTTCCTCCTCTGGGGACGTGAGCTCGGCAACGGTGCCAAAAAGGGCATTTTCACCGTCAATGTCGATTTCAGTGCTCTCAAGGAACGACAACGACAATGCAAGCTCGATGAAGTAAATCCTGTTAACGATGACTACCTTCTCTGGGAACCTAAGCACCCGATGCAAGACTCGAACTGTCTCTTTGGGCATGTTTCCGAATATCATCGCAAGAGAACGGACGCCGACTGCTACAACGGCAAGATCATCGATCATCTTCACAGCATCGCCCAGAACTGTACTTGCACTCGACAAGATTTCGAGTGTGATTACAACTATGAGGTTCAAGCAGACGGAAGTTGTCAGCTTGTTCCTGGCATGGAACCACCCGACCACGTACAAAACTGCTTGGACAATCCTAAACAAGTTGAATTCTACTATCCTACAGGATATAGACGCATACCGCTTACGACATGTTCTGGCGGACGGGAGTTGGATAAGCTCGAAAGCCAACCTTGTCCCGGCCACGAGGAGGAGTATCAAAAGAAACACGGCATCGGCGCTGTCGGCCTCTTCTTTGCTATTGTCATTCCCCTCGCTGCGGCGGCAGGTATTGGGTACTGGGTTTTCACCAAATGGCAGCAGGAAGGATTTGGCAACTTCGGTCAAATCCGACTCGGCGAGAGCATAAGTGGCTCCTCAAGCTCTGGAGATCCGCTCTGGATCACTATTCCCGTTGCCATCATCAGTGGTGTTGTCGCCGTGGCAAAAGCAACTCCTTTACTGGTCATGAGCCTCTTCCGGAGCGCAAGGGGCTACATGCCTGTGGGCTCTGGCAGCGGCGCTTCTGGTGGTAGATTTGGGGTTGGCAGAAGCGGAGGTGCCGGTGGTTATGGTGCGCCATATCGCTCCAGGGATGCCTTCGCAAGTCGGACGCAGGACTACTCTCAAGTGGTTGAGGATGATGAGTTGCTCGGTGATGGCTTGGATGAAGAAGAGGAGGTTTGAACAATAGATACGCTTTTTTTGTTCTCCTTGATGCCGTCTTCGAGGTAATGGGAATGGAACTTTGGCGGTATATATGTTACGATGGGAGACAAACGACGAGGAACTCATTACACCACTTCCCAACCTCAACCTGACGGGCTGGTATTTCAGGAGGTGGGGAAACATTGGAGATCTCCCCCTGGCCCAGCCTGTCGAGAATTCTGCTCTAAGAAAATGTTGCGATGCGAGGATGGAATGAATGGCCAGATGTCAGGGCAACCCATCTTCAGCTGATGCCGAAACCAGACTGCAACGACAAAATGGAATGTTTTCCATTGATTCGAGCCTATCCATCTGATCACCCTATCTCCTCTACGTGAGTCGAGATATGTACTTTTCTCCTTCTCGTTCTCTCTTTCTTATATGTGTATTTGTATTTAGCATGGAATAAAATACCTTGACTAGAAGTGTTTCGGGGGAGTGTATGTTGATATTCAATCCTCTCTTCTCAGTTGATAGCCGGCCTGGGCCATACATCGACATCATGTGCAGCGTTCTATCGGAGGACATGTCCACCCACTACCTTTGAACCTCTTTTTCACCTTCTCTTTATGTAAGATAGCTAACTCGACCTTCCCAAAAGAGTTAAATAGACTGAACGTGGGGAAACACCATTACGGGTATTATGCTGCAGATCCCGGCGTAGGTCAGCGGCCGAGGCTATCGACGTGTTGGAGTCGATCCTTCTTCTACACCCGACTCTATCTCTGTGCTCTCTGCGTCCCTCCTGATCTGCAGCGTGCCGATCATCCACCATTAAAACCATCCCCTGGAACCTCTCTTATCGTGATATCTCCATGGAAGCGTGGCACTGGTCACCACTTGTGCACAACTCCGTCATTTCTATGTCATGTCACACTACCTAGGTACACCACGAAGTACACCCGCCGAGATGGCCTGTGACAACTAGACCAGTTTCGTCTCCAAATACCTTCGCAACTCTGATCTCTGATTCGATAGCACGCATCAATCGCCGACCGCAAAGCACTGCCTGAGCATGCTTATCCCCGCCAAGCTCTGGTGCTTGCCGCACGCCACCAACGCCATGGCGTGGGCTAGGGTATGCAAACCGACCTTCCACCTTGCCTGGTGGTTACGTCTTCCCTGGGGAAGGTGGGAACGTGGTTCACTACTCGCAGATAGCGATTCTTTCAACGGGTTTGTGCACCGGTCGTTCGTGTGAGGGGCTTCTGGCAGCATGTAGTCGTCTTGCGTATCCGTTTTAGCTGTTCCTTTTGAGGCCATTGAGTAAACCTCGCTTGTGTACTTCGGACTTTCCTTTGTACCAGCCTGCTTAACGGCGAGAACTAATACCGGCCGTCGAGTACTGCTGTCATTATCTTCGCTCAAGAGCTGGCCCTCTTTCCCTCTCTCCCTCCATCTTACGCTCTCCCGCACACATTTGACCACCACGACACCTCTCGGTTCGCCTTCAAGCAAGTATAGGCATTTCTCGCGACGCCGCCATGCCGGACGTCGAAGCTCCCTCAGTCCAGGGCGATGAGAAGCATGAGGTCCACCAGATCTTACCCAGTGGGCGCTCCGTCTCGCCCGTTAATCTAGATGAAAAGCGCATGTCTATTTCATCGACCACGGCTGCTAAAAAGATCCTGGAACATAGCCATGATGCCGACGAAGCGTGAGTATATGCATAACACCGCAGCCTCAATTAATGGAATTGAAAGCAATAGTCGAGCCATCAATCAAGTGTACTGACATGGTGAAACCCGTAGGATGAAAGCATTCGCCAACGGCGAAGTGGTCGAACTCGACGAGGCCACCAACAAACGACTCCTGCGAATCATCGATTTCAGAATGATGCCATTGATGTGCGTCGTCTACGGTCTGAATTACCTCGATAAAACCACCTTGTCCTATGCTTCAATCATGGGCATCAAAAAGGACATCCACCTGGTCGGCGACAATTACCAGTGGCTTGGCTCCATGTTCTACTTTGGCTACCTTGCTTGGGAGTATCCGACCAACCGGTTGTTGCAACGACTTCCATTGGCCAAGTATTCAGCTTTCTGTATTGTCGCGTGGGGTGTCATACTTGCGTTGTTCGCAACCGTCAAGGATTTTGGTGGTGCTGTTGCCATCAGATGTGAGTTAGACTTTTCGATATGGTTGACCTGTGAATTTGATCAGCACCTAACACTGGATATAGTCTTACTGGGCGTCTTCGAGGCTGCCGTAACGCCAGGGTTTGCTCTCATCACTTCACAATGGTGGACCAAGAAAGAGCAAGGCGCAAGGACGGGTATCTGGTTCTCATTCAACGGCTTTGGCCAGATATTTGGCGGTTTGGTCGCATACGGTATTGCCGTGGGCGCCAGAAAGCATGGTACCGCCATCGCTCCCTGGAAAATCGTCTTCCTTGTCAATGGCTGTTTGACCGCCCTCTTGGGAGTGGTTTTCTTCTTCGTCATCCCTGACAACCAGCTCAATGCGTGGTGGTTGAAGCCCCGCGACCGCATTCTGGCGGTTGAGAGAGTACGAGTCAATCAACAGGGAATAGGAAACAAGCATTTCAAGTGGTATCAGTTGAAAGAAGCTCTTTTGGATCCTTTGACATGGGCCTTTGGCTTTTACGCGCTCACAGCTGATATTCCGAATGGAGGTATCAGTAATTTCTTTTCACAGCTGGTAACTACCTGTCCAGCATGGAAACCAGCACACCGTTGACTAACATGACCGTCACAGATCGTCTCATTCGGCTACACGCCCGAGGAATCACTACTTTACGGAACACCTGGTGGGGCCGTCGAAGTTGTGGCCTTGATATTCTGCGGCTGGCTAGGAGATAAGATCGGCCAACGTCTGCTGGTCTCAATGGGTGGCCTTGTCATCGCCATCCTCGGTATGGTTCTCATCGTGGCTTTACCACTGGAAAATAACTCCGGTCGATTGGCCGGCTATTACTTGACCCAAGCATCCCCAACGCCCTTCGTCGCATTGTTGTCGCTGATCGCCACCAATGTTGCGGGCTATACGAAGAAGACAACCGTTGCAGCCATTTATCTGATTTGCTACTGTGTGGGAAATATCATAGGTCAGTGACCCTACGACCAACTGCATCACTGGGATTTCTCCCCTAGATATTTCTCCCAAATGAATCTAACCTTTCCCTTTGCCACTCAACATAGGCCCTCAGACTTTCCGCCCCAAAGATGCACCGAGATATGAACCTGCCGAGATCACCATCATTGTGTGCTGGGGCGTATGCCTGATCGATCTGGCTTTCATCTGGTGGTACTGCAAACACTTGAATGCGAAGAAAGCGGCAATCAGAGCTGAGCCTGGATATCAGAAGTTGGAGAATCAAGAGTACGTTGCGTCCTTCCTCATCATTTCGTTCCGCTGTACTGACTCGAAACTCACAGATGGCTTGATCTCACCGATAAAGAGAACCCGGAGTTCGTATACAGCTTGTGATTGCTGGTACTGTAGGTAGAACTTCAGTACTTAACACGTCTAGACAGGCGATGGAACAGACTTGGATGGTCGGTCGTTCGGTTGAGGGAGCGAGGCTGTAGTTAGGCCTTGGGCACGTCACAATATGCCGAAGTGCGGGGTAGCACTAACTAACTAGTTAACTACGAGTAGGTTGAACCACTCCCGAGCCTGGAAGTACTGTACCTTGGGATCATTCCTCTCTAGTTAGTTAGCTACAGGTCAAGAATCAACATCTTCCGGTCCCTAGTTAGGGGCACCCCTATGAGTGCTCCGACTCGGCTTGATTGATTCCTCGCCTTTTGGATCAATGGGACCTGCCACCTGCAATAATACTAGCCTGCATGATTTCTATTGCGACGAGCTCTCTGCTAATTAAACCTTTGCTCCTATTCACTCTAATGCATAGTACTGTGAAACAATTTCGAGATGCCAGATCCTAGACCTCCAACGCGGGTCAGCGTTGCGTGTGACCGTTGTCGAAGAAATAAACAACGGGTATGTCAAGCTCGATCAAGATCTGTAGAACATCTACAATGATGTTGACTGCTAGCCTTCTAGTGTGACACCGCTGAACCATGCGGAAAATGTATTCAAGCCGCCGTGCCGTGCACAAAATCCGATCTACCTCCACCACATAAGTATGTCATTGATTTGCATAAAGCTACTTGCTTATTATATTTTCCAGGAAAGCACGAACCTTGAGTCGCGCACAATCTCACGAGGCCAATGCCACAGCTGTTCGAAGCTGTGCGAGTCCTCTGACATCCGGTCCAAGTCTCAACAGGCAGCTTTCAGAATTCGACCTTCAGCCACCTCGCGATGCATCTTTCGCCCAGGCGTTTCATCGCCAATCTGCCAGTGGCGCGATCAACGATCATCAGGATCGAAGTTCTCGCTACAGTCCAATTGCTGTGGAGCAAGGTAGATCGCCTGTGCGGGCGGAGAAATCGGTATTAGCAGATCTAGGCGGCTCAGAGTCTGCAGTGGACATCACGAAGAAGGTATTTCGGTATTCTGAGAGTTTCTTCGGAAGCGGTAGCTGACAGCGTATGAGATCTTGGGATATGGAACCTCTCCTCTGGCAACAGACCGGGCTACGTTTGCCATTCCAGGTGGAGGTCCGAACAGGTCCCTGAGCTCGATATCAACCTCGCGGACGCTCTTGCCAGTTTCGCAAATCGTTGGTGTCGACCTTCCGGAGCGAACACTTTGTGACGCCTTGATCGATGCATATTTCTACTCTGTACATTGGTTTTCTCTTGTCGTTTACGAGCCCAAATTCCGCCAAACTTATTCCAGAGTAGTTGAAAATGGTTTCGCGGAGCCCTCTGATCGACCCTTCCTGCTTTTGCTCTTGATGGTTCTTGTGATGGGCTGCTGGTACGGCCCAGGTCTAGGACATGATGGGATAGCCCCGGCGACCGAGTTGGCCGACCTACGCAATACCTACCTGCGTGTTATTCGCTCCAGTCTGATGGATCTGATGGATGACGACTGCCTCGAGTTTGTCCAGCTCTGCATCCTCCTTGGTAGCTATTGGCTTTATTGGGGCCGGCCCAAAAGTTCCTTTTCCATTCTGGGCGCAGCAACCAAATCTTCTCAGGCCATCGGATTGCATCGAGATCCTGACAAACGAGTTTCCCTTGCGGATGCTGAGGAGCGAAAGCGCATCTGGTGGACAATATACACATGGGATAGGTCTGTCTCCGAGAGTATTTGCATCTTGGGGGATTACTTACATCCTTTACAGGTTTGCTACTATCATATATGGAAGACCTCTTGGCATCAACGACAAGGATTGCAACGTCGCAATGCCAACAAGTTTCCCAGAGGACATTAATTTCACACTGCCCGACGAGAAAACCCCAGTTTCCCTATCCCCATATCAGATTCAGCTGAACCGAGTCTATCAAATTGCGTCTCCGCTCTTGGAGAACATCTATGGAATTCGATTCTCCACTGATCCCTCTCTCCGCTCCGAAATGCCAGCGATGATCACCAGGATTGACCAGATGATGCGAGACTGGCAGGAAAAATTACCAGTAGACTTGAATCTCGAGAAAAAAGGCGACATCGGTCTCACAACGCCAATTGAGGCTAAGCTGCACCGACTACAGGCCCTTGCATTACAGCTCACATACGACAATCTAATGATTGTAATCCACAGGCCTCTTTTGGCGGACCAACGCCATAAAAGATCCACTGGTGGTAACCAGAACGCGATCCACGCCCAGTCATCTACACTCAACACCAGCACCCATCGTAACAGCTTCCAGCAATGTCTCAACTCTGCTTTGAGGATTTCCCGCATTCAGCAATGCAACAGAAATTTATTGGCACTTGCTCGCCGAACCCATCTGGTCTCATTCATAGGCATGAATCTCTTCACGTCATCTGTCGTCATGTTCATCTGCGCATTGTCAGACACACTGTCCGACCTCGCTCAGGAAGCAAAAAGAGGCATCACTCGCAACTTGAAGATGCTGAAACTCCTCTCCGGGGATGGATCGCTGTCAATGCAGTGCAGCAAGATTCTGGAGGATCTAGTACAGATCATCGTCGACAAGGAGAAAGAAGAAATGCTGCGCAGCCATCCGACTGAAGATGAAGTGGCTCTCTTTGTCCCTACGCGTCGTAGCAGTGCTGTTGAGGGACATGGCGTAAATTTTGGGAACCAGGATGTCGCAGCCATGTCCTGGGCAACAACTCATCCACAGCAAAAAGAAGTTACTGGTACTGATGAGACTGCACCTAGTGGCGGCTTTCAGCTTCAGCGCACAATTGCGAGCCTACAAAAAGGTATTTCTCTCCATTTTTGCCAGGGACTCTACTGACTACCCTCTCCAATTGCAGTATTCAAAGACGCACAGACACCTAAGGCACCCACTACCATCGTACCTCCGGCTATTGCAGACCCCGCCGGACCTCTATCGCAAGGCGAGTTAATGTACAACTTTCCTGCTGGCCACAGCAGGCCTGAACAATCAGGCCTATTGTTTGACGGTGCAAACATTCAAGCAGAAGACCTTGGACAGTTCTGGCTGTGGAATATGGATCCATACAGGGACGACTTCTCCAGCTGGCATTCTGATAATGATTTCAACGGACTCGGTGAAGATTATTCAGGTGACCTGATTTGAAAGTTCTGGGTTTCTGCATGGGTTGACCCATGGTATGCCCCTAGTGTGTTGTTTGGGCCATATATGACGGTCTTTATGCCGCGACGCTGTTCGACATGCCTGAACGCCATCTCTGCTTGGTCGAAGTCGAACTTGTCCGTGATGAGCTCCTTCACACTCAGTTTCCGTTGTTGCAAGAGCTCGATCGCCATTTGGTAGTCGCCAGGACCATAGCGAAAACTGCCACGATAGGTCGCTTCTTTCGAACACAGCTGCGCGACTGGGAAAGCGATCTCGGCTGCCCCAAGCCCTGCTTGAATGAAAATACCACCATGTTTCAATACATGGATTCCGGTGCTGATACATTGTTGAGCTCCAGTTGCGTCAATGACAACTTTAGCCCCGTCAGTCAAGCCAGGCATTTTCATTATCCGACGGGCATTTTCATCGGCTGAGACGGAGTTCATTTGGTAGACGGCCGTGGCGGCATAATCCTTTGCAAATGCGAGGCGGCCGGCGTTGATATCAACCACGGTGACGTTTGAGGCTCCATATGCTCGGGCAACCGCGCAGCAAAGCAACCCGATCGGACCAGCGCCCAGGACCAGGACAGAGAGCCCAAAAGAAAGATCAGCTAGCCTAGCACAATGTACTGCAACACTGAGAGGCTCGATCAGAGCGCCTTCTTCCAAAGTAACATGCTCTGGCAATAGGTAGCAGAAGTCTTCTGGGAGGGTGTAGAATGTCGCCAGTGTCCCATCGTATGGTGGTGTGGCAGCAAACTTCATGGTGGTACAGAGGTTATATCGTCCAGCACGACAAAATTCACATCTCCGGCAGGGAGTTCCCGGTTCCAGTGCAACGCGGTCTCCTGGCTTCAACGTCTTTACCGCGGATCCACACTCTTGGACAATTCCTGTCGACTCGTGGCCGAGGACGAGAGGCTGGCGGACTTTGAAGTCACCGATCTCTCCATGTGTCCAGTAGTGAACCTGAGCGTTGGTGTGTGATCAGCCAACTAGTGGGTAAAAGAAGCGCAGCCAGAGAGCTCCATCTCACTTACATCGGAGCCGCAAATTCCAGTACAGCAGACCTTGACGATGACATAATCCTCGGACGGGAGTGATGGTTTTGGTCGATCTTCGTAATAGAAGTGGCCCTTCTCCTTCAGAACGAAGGCGGAATTGACGGCGGAAGGTTGGCTAGAGCTTGGAGTACGGCCATTAGTTTTGGAAATTCCGTTCAAGCGCTGTTCGTTGGTTTCGGCTGAGATAGCCATGATAAACTTGGTGTTATGTGTGATGCTAGCCTCTATTTCAGAGGGCGAGGATCAATCATAAATATACCATTCTGTTCTGTCAGCGGTGCTCTAACTGGCAGCCTGAATGCCTGCCGCCGGTCCGAGCCCTTTCGTATTCCTTGTAACTCAACATTCCACATTCTGGGTCGTTAGCTCCGCTGAATACCACTCTCTTCAACGACGAACACCCTGGCGTGCCCCTCAGTGGACTAAAACGCCATGATTCTGCGGGCCGATGATGCGAGGTCATCGGTTCCGATAATATAGCCGACCCGAGTGATGGAATCGGAAACCCCGTATTCCTATTTGCCGGCAGAGGCATAACACATCATACATCATACATGAGCCCAGAGCCTGAATGTAAAAACGATCAGGCATTCTAGTCGAGGAGAACAGGTCTAAGCCCTCTTCATGGATCCGTTTTTCATCACATCTACCGTTCATCCGCATCCCCTAATGTGTTTGAAGTGTTGGTGTTCTCAGAGATAAAGAATGGTCTAAGTTGTGCTCCTTAGATGCCAATACAATGGCACCATCAAATTACTCGCATCATACGCAACGTGCGGACCCAATTCTCGATGGCAGTTGGCGTGGAGACGCAACGGCAACCGCGGTGACATTGGAGGCCTGGGGTCAAGGCTTCATGGTTGGGGCATTGATTATTATGGCTTGCGGCACAGTCGCCAACATGCACAGGAGAGTCCTACTGCACAAGCTGATTCTGGCTGAGGCGAGTTCGCCATATCAAAGCGGGTGGAACTGGTTCTAACACATCTCTTCTTACTCGTAGCTCCTACTCGCGATCCCTCATGGAACCTTCTGCTTCATGACCTTCAATGGCTACGGGTGGTACCTCTCTGGAACGGCAGCACTACTCTACATATCATGCTTCGTGCACAACACTATCGCATGGCTGAAAATCAAGCCGTTCGTCTTTGACGGCAGATTTCTCTTCGACGAAAAACACGCGAGAATAGTCCGGTGGATCTACCTGGGGACACTTGGATTGACAATTGTACCAACCGTGACACAAATTGTCTGCAATTTCCTCTTCTTCAACAATATTAGCAGCATTTATACCAGGATCAGGCCTACGGAGTTTCTCTTCAGGTACACGAATATGCCAACTCATATAAATATATAATAATGATAGCCTTCAACCAGGGATCCATGGTGGCTGTTCCCCTGCGTCCTCCTCTTCCACGTTATCAGAAAATGCTACGGTGCTTCGGTCCTCACGCTGATCACTCGAAGTCCTCGCCTGGGCATTCTCCTAGCAGCGATATGCCTCTCCATGATTTTCACGGTCATGGATATCCTCGCAGTCGCCATTCCCAAGATTGGCGGCCCTGTTGATGGGTACGTGAGACTCCAACTCTGAATGCATGATGGTGACTTGGGTTTCTAATCTTCTTTATATAGAATCAATCCTTATTGGAAGCTGACTTTGATCTTCAAGTGTCTTACCGACAACATCTTACTGGACGACTTCAAGACTGAGCTACGGAAGATAGGTTTCGGGAACCTGGGTGGCGAGACTGCAGGACATCTAGATATCCAACGTCCATATCAGTCAAACAGGGTAGATGAGGAGAAGTTTCAGGGGAATAGAGAGCAGGTAGAGAGTGCACCTCCCGGGATTTAGGAGTATATCATCAATGCCATTTCCCACCCTCTCACACAAACGTGCTATTATTTCATTGTAAGGAGGCATCGGACTTGGAATATGCTCAATCCCTTCTTCTAGACCCTGTTTGTGCTGCAACTGTGATCCGCTTGCCTCAGAAGGCTTTCTTTCCGCCGGCCAAATATGCAAGCATCGAAGCCGTTCAATCATCCTCGTAACCAATATCTACCATTTCGGAGCCTATAGCAGTCAAGCCAGCCTGCAATTCGATAGCCCGCAAGTATGTAGACGCAACCTCATAAGCAGAGTATCCTGAAATGCAGCCTGGTGGTTCCTCTAAGATCTGCGTAGCTGGATGCTCGTGGAGATCACTCCAGCGTGTCGAGTCAGCGTGGACTTGCCAAGTGAGGTTAGCGCATCCGATAGCGCCATGCCCGGTACCGAAGATCTCACAGACCCATCCAATCAACAACGATCGGAACATTGCCAAGCTTTCTGGTTTTCTACTTCCTCCGATGAACCTCTTCATCTATCGTTCACGTTCGGCTCAACGACATTTTGCTTCCGACACGATCTTCTCCCCTTGACAGTCGGCAGGGCGACTGTGGGCGAAGTCTAGGATCGATCCTGCAACGGTAGGATCCATCAATTTCGGTACCGCAAAGCCTGTCTAGCGATGCTGCGCACGGCAGTCCGTGGTGAGCGATTCTTGGTCGGTAGGCGTGACCACCATGGCTAGAACACGGTCCTCCAGCTGGGTCCCTATGCCAGTCCGCTGTGGATCGTATGTGGGCATGTCACTATCGTTGACATTCGGAAACCGAGCCTGTGACTTGCTTCATACTCCTGACCCGGCCAGAGTTTTCTGGAAAGCAATCGTCAGGGAGATAAAAGCTCAGATATCCCCCAGAGACGTTCATCCCAACTCTCCACACATCTTAGAGGTCACAGGACAAGCGATTGTCCACTCCACAGCCAGTCTAACACCGACGATTTTCCTGCGTCCTCAACCATGGGCTCACGACGACCGTCTGCGGTCGAACACAACATCGCCATCAGAGACCGGGCGTCCTCAGTTGCGATCCAGGTCGCCGAGCAGCAAAGTTGGCTTGAGAAGACTTTGAAACCAACCAAAATCTCGGCTAGATATCCCATCACGGGCTCAGCACTTCTTTATGCAACATGCGGATTTGGAAGCTTGGGAGATGCTCTCTTCGGTTACAACTCCGGTACAGTTTCATTCGTGACGAGCCATGATGAAGCCTTCCTTTACTTACACATATGCAGGTATAATGTCTGGTTTGCTTGTAAACCCAGTATTTATCACACGATTCTTCTCCGACTATGGTGGAGCTGATGGCACAACTTCGTCCATCAACCCATCCATCACCGGCATATCGGTCGCGTGCCTGCAAGCCTCTGCGGCCGTGGGCGCATTGATCGCCGGTAGACTTGGAGACATTATGGGTCGCAAGAGATGTGTCCGCATCGGAGCATTTATCTACTTCTTCAGTGCATTCATTCAGATCTTCGCCGCCAATTTCGCCACCTTCGTCGCTGGGCGCACTATCCAAGGAGTGGGCGTGGGCTTCCTCTCGATGACCGTGCCGATTATCCAAACCGAAATAGCCAAACCTCACAGGCGAGGGATGATGGTTGGTATCGAGTATACCTTTCTCATTGCTGGATATATGCTGTCGTGCTGGGTCGATTATGGATTCAACTTCATGCTTCCGGACAAGATGTCCTGGCAAGGTCCCTTCATCGTTCAGATCATCTTGTCCTTCGTCTTGTTCACCATGTCATTCTTCTTGCCTGAAACTCCTAGATGGTTGGCAAAGAATGGATTCATGAAGGAAGCTCTCCAGACAGTTGCAGACCTCCACTCAAACGGAGATACCCAGGCGAAGCATGTGCAGGAAGTCTTCGTGGAGATTCAAGAGGCCGTCATCTATGAAACCAACCTTGGAAAATCTGGCTGGCTGGTGAGGTGAACCCTTCATTGGACTTTTTCTTTGCATTGCCATTCTACCTTGAGCTAACGTCCGAGTTCTGCAGGAGATGTTTACCAGATACCGTAAGCGGACCATCGTTGGAATCACCGTTCAGATGTTCGCCCAACTCAACGGCATCAACATAATTTCATTCTATTTGCCCAGCACCCTGGCAGCCGCGGGCTTTGATGAACGAAAGTCACTTCTATTCACTGCTGCTAACGCGATCCCTTACACGGCCGCCACTGTGGTTACCTGGTGGCTCGCTGACCGCTGGGGCCGTAAGCCCTTGTTGCTTCTGGGAGGTAAGTCGAAGACATATGGAACAAAACTTGATGTTCGTTGTTAAAGTAAGCTAACTCAACCAAACAGGTATCGCTATGGCTATATTGTTAGCGGTCGTTTGCGCTTTCACGGAGGCCGAGATGGCGTCGCAGACTAAAGCTAATGGTCAATACGCCTTTGTTATGCTCTACAATATAGTGTACGGTTTCACGTGGGGTCCTATGCCTTGGCTTTTGCCGGCCGAGTGCTTTCCGTTAAGAGCACGTAGCAAAGGAATGGCGCTGGCGACGACTTCGAACTGGATCTTCAACTTCATCATCGGCATGGTTTCGCCCGATGCCTTCGCGGGAATCGGCGGATATTTCTACCTCGTGATAGCCGGATTCTGCCTCTTCTCTGCGGGGCTGTCGCATTTCTACTATGTGGAAACCGCCGGCATAACACTGGAAGAGATCGCGGTCGCGTTTGGAGACCAGGCATTCGCCGACGGTGATACCGAGGTCATGGAAATCGTCCAGTTGAAGGATTCCAACAGGAGAAGCTCCGTCGCGCCCAGCCAGAAGTAAATTGAGCGTCACGCCATGTAACGAACGGACTTGAGAAGCTCGATGGGTGCGGGATGCGGGTGGAATGGGAAGGGGAATGGGAAGGAGAACGAGAATGGAGATGAAATTGGAATTGGTGGTGTGGAAAGACAGGCCGGTCGAAATTTGGTTGGGGTGTCTGGCACTGGCACTCGCATTGCAGTGACCACCACGTTCGCTTTATCAAATCTGTACTTCACGGGCAGTTGCAAAATCTTGCTTGTAAGTATTTTCAGAGTATCATTTTTGGTTCCCACATGGCGCTGCCGGCATCAAAATCACATGTTGCCAGCTCCATTTGTGCCCACGAGCCCTGTTTTTATGCCTTCGCTATCAGCGCCATACATATCTAGCATGAGTGGCCTATGACTTAGTATGCATCTACGATGAAATGATAGACACTGGCATTTAGCACATGCTTCAAGAGACGATGGTCGTCGTCATATAGGCTCCAACAACTCCGACACCGGATCAGATAACAGCGTTTCTCAGTGCATATTCCCATCAGATTAGATATTGTTTTTGCGAACATGTGCAGATCTCACATGCCCTGGTCCGACGGCGTGGCCCGCTCATGCACTACACTAGAACATCCCTGTAAGAAAAATAGTATGCATATGGTGGGGTTGAGGTCGATGTTGATGTTGATGTCGATATTGGTGCCGATGCTGCTGGTGGTGTTGCTGTTGGTGGGCCCCGTAATCGTCACGTCACCTACAAAGTAGGACTGCAATTGAGCAAGATGTCAGCATCATCACACCTTCCACGAATCATGAGGCAGGGTTTTGTCAGCAGCACGGGTTACTTGTCTCAATCACTGCTTCTTTGTCCGTGATGGGATTCGTTGAGAGCAAAATGGTGCGAAAAGTTTAACCGGGATTGGACGCATTGATCGATTGACAGTTTGCTGGTCACAAGGCCGCTGGTCGTTCGCTCGTGTGGCTTGGGGATGCAGGCGTGGGGCAAAGGAAGAGGCGTTACGAGACCCTCGTTGGTATACTGCCACTTTGGGAAGACATCACATATATCATTTTCGAATGACGGTTGATTTTATAACCAATAAGACTGACATCAAAGATGATGACCACCAAAACACCATGAATGCAAGCCTTTGAAAGGATCGAGAGAGTTTTCGCTATCAAGTTGCTCAAGCTTTGCTATCTGAATCATCGACGAAGCTTGTGAGAGGTGGGATGAACGTGGTGGTTGCAGAATGTGAACGACTTTCTACGTGTGGGTGTCACCCGCTAGGCATCCTGTTACCCAAAATTCTCGTGTTTAGAATAGTCAAACCAATCCGACGTCATACAAATGGGATGACAGTGCGTTTGCAGAGTTTGCTTTTTGCTTTGCACTTTGCAATGTTCCGTTTGTGTAAGATGTCAGCACACTCAGATCCGACGATACGGCGAGGTCTTTGTCGTCGATGCGCACTGAACACAGTTGAGAACGGAGTGCTGCCTAGTCACCGTGGGATGACAACCCGTTGTAAATCTCGACCCTTCCAGCAGAAGACAGCTGGTGGCCTTCCGAGAGACGATCCGGAGGAATGTGCTGCACAATGGACGACGACCGTCCAAGGGACATCACGCAATCTTTGAGCGCCCATCGACTCGTGGCTGTGCCTCCTCCCAATCCTCCTTCGACAGATATCTCTGAATCAACGTTTTCTTGCCTTGCCATTGGGCAATGGTGGATCCCAGAGCTTGGAGCTTCCACGGAATCCACCACCTGAGTGGGCCAAGGAACCATGCCCCAGGGAACATGACCATAGCTGTTGCCGACACGTGTCTGAGTTTTTGGGAGATTGAGTTAGCATACCCAGAAATCCGAGACCATGATGGGCCGACGGGAACAACTCACTGGATCAGCATGATCTGCAGGATATCCATCCGTTCTTTCTTCTCCGCCACATCACTGATATACTTCAGCAGAGACTGGAAGAAAAGTCGATCCATCCGCGCGTCCATACCGTCCAAGCTCGGGTGGGCCTTGATCAGAAACGTAGTGTCCTCTGTGGCTGCCGGATCCGGCCAAAAGGTATGAGGCATCATCGGGGTGATTTCGTACGGGTTGGCTTCGTTCGCAGTCTCTGGAGTATGAATAGTGTCAATGAGGCCGTAGGTCGTCGTTGTTCCTACTCGCCCACTGAGGACGACAAGGGATTCGGATTGCAGCAAGTGGACGTGCAGTGGAGGTGCCTGAGAAGAGTGGATGATTAGTACTTGCAGCATTGTAGTCCGTTTTGTATCCCAGTTTACATCGAAGGAAGGCGCTTCGGAGGTGGAAGCGTAAGACAATGGCGATGTAATAATCAAAACTTACTTGTATAAATTTCTTGCCGGCCTTGCATAGTGGGTGAGCGTGGTTATACGTAGCGCGCATCAAAACTCTGGATAGCAGTGCAAGTTAGCTTTAAGGGGGTTCAGCCTTGTCCTTCTAATCCAGAACACCGAAACACCAATTAAGCGGCCTCTTAACTAGTCTAACTCTCCGGCGTTACCTCAATCGCAAGATTTGACATTTTGCTTGCGGCCAAGTCAGTCCCAGCAAGATCTAATCGGCTTTCGACCGCCGACCATACGTGAAAGCGATCCCGCTTCGACAAATCAAAGAAAGAAATGGCGACGATACTTACGAGGCTTGCCTCTCCGGGCGAGGCTGTAGAAATTCCAGGATGAAGGACCCATCAAACAGAGTGAAGGGTCCCGCGATGGTCGGCTCGTCCGCGGAGTCAAAACGCGTGGGATCAGAAGTGAGTGGTGTCGCCATTAGTGTGTCAGCGACTATTCAAAATTGGCGAGGTAAAGGTGTTCCAATTCGTTTCTCTTGAGATGGCGTTGTCGTCGATTTCCAAGATATCGAGCGGGCAATAATTTGTGCGTGTAAAGTGTGAACTTGTATGTCTTGAGGGTCGGAGTAGGCGACTAGAGATCAATGATACAGAAGACGATAATTGAATAAGCACTGGCTTATGCTTTACTTCGCGTATAGCAATATTCATCCAAGACATGAGAGACAACATTGAAATAAATGTCCTTTTGGGAATTAAAATTTAAGGGTACGCCCCGAGCTTTGCTTATGAAATAGTGCTGACCACTCGTTGCAACGCTTCTCGCCCCCTTAGCCCAAAGGCGCTTTGACTTTGTCCCGGTGTGATTGGGCAGGAGAATGCCCGGAATTGCATTTGGTTCCCCCGTGCCTTAGGCGGTTGTAAGCAACGTAAACTAGTGTTTAGAAGGCGGCGAAGGAACCCAACTGCAATAACTAATTAATAGGCGAACAAACACCTTCCTCCACAGCTTGTACTCATTGACCACTCGTCCTAGAGCATTCAGATCCTAGAGCCACTTGAAAAACTGACCTACTTGACGATTCGTGTCGGCTATCTAACTACATATAAATGCACCCAGAGGTGAGCAGACAGGTGTGACCTACAGCCACCCGCCACCTCAGAGCGAATACTCGTATTCGTTCTTTGCAACCCTCAAGAAATTATCTTGATACCACCACATCTTTGTCAGCTGGTACAGCCCGCCCGCCCTGTGGATGAGCATGGATATCTAGCAAGCTAAAATCATTTCTTTATTCATGTATCCGTTAAACCTACCGTGTGCTTTCAATTTACCACGCTGACCGGCTGTGGCCGATATTTGCTGACTGGGGTGGATACACATGGAAGTTTGGAATGCTCGCCATGAGAGCTACTGGTTACGAGTAGGTGTGTATGTCACTCTTCTGTTCGGGTTTTATCTCCATCATGCAGTGAAACGAACAGCATTGTGGGTATGTCCAGGAAGGAATCAATTTCTAGAATTCTGTGGAACGCAAGATAGCTTGACCAACGCCCAAGCCTAATAACAACGCCTTTTCAAGTATCCCATCCCGAGACCTGTCGTAACTAGCTATCCCGAAGGCTATACCTCGTCTAAGAGTCTGCATAGACAACTACGACACCGACATCACAACATCCTTAATGTACTTTATCACCTCTTTCACATCATCCTCCGTGAGCATGCCTTGGGGCGAAAAGACACCGATTCCGAGATATCCATTGCTCACTTTCGCCTCGACATCGATGGAAGGCTGTAGCCGAAATTTGTTAGTATCAGATCGTAGCACATCATAAGAGTTTATTGAAGATGTTTCACTTACCATGCACCAATCATAACTTGCCAAACCCTTTTCGACGTCCTCATTGAACAGAGGAGAACTCTCTTTCATTTTAGCGGCCGCATCTTTCATTTCGCGATCCACTTGGATGTGGGTCACGCTCACAGCGTCATCGCTAGTCACACCGCCTGCCTTGCCTTCTCCATTGTCTTCTTCACGATCGCCAGCATCATTCTCTGGCAAGGCAAGGAAGTTCACATAAGTGTCGACCTTGTTACCTGTCCAAGCGTGTATTTCTCGCATACTGACACCACAGTGCTCCAGTCTGCTGATCTCGCCAAGATCCTTTTGCACTTCACGCGCGATTTGGATGATAGATGAGCTATTTAATCTGATCCTGAGAGGAACGAGGTTGAATGTTGGTGCTGAGAGCTCCGTCAGATTATCGATGTCGAGGGATCGATTCGCGAGGTAGATTCCCATGATGACATCTTTAATTTGATTCTCCAATCTAGAGGCGTAGACTTGAGCATACACCGCGAAAAAAAGTGCCTGTATGGTGATACCATGACGTCGCAGTGCCGCTTGTAGGTGAGATATATGCATCACCTTCGGGTCAAATATCTCGACCCTCGTGGCCTCGAACGAACCCTTTGCAGGGCTAGGGGTTATTTCACGAGCCTCGGTAAGATAGTTGATCCAAAACTCTTTTCTTGCGTCACCATTCGACTTGGTCTTTAAAACAAAATCTTTCAGGTTCCCATTGACTCGTACAACATGATCACTGTTCTGACACAACTTTCCGAGTTCCGACAGCATCAATCGCAGACTGACAGCATCATACAAAGAATGGTGGAGCTTCCAGGTAACCAAGTGACTCTGCTCGCGTTGTTCGATTTGTACGGACCAAGGAAACTCATGGTTGCCGATCGTTTCATTTTTCACGACCAAGGACAAGATTTCTCCCTGGTGAGTTCTGACAAACTTCGTCCTCAACATTGGTGTCGATTGCACAAGCCGATCAATTGCTTGATGAATCTTCTCAGTTGTCATCCCACATACATCAAGCCAAAATGTCGGATAAAATAAGTGCCCATGGCTCGCTGACCACATATCTAGCATGTAAGTTTGGCCGGCGGTAGTGGGAAACACCTCTTCGAAGTCGGCAGGGTTCATCCCAAGGCCCTGGAGGAATGAAAGTGTCATGGAATCGTCTCCCAAGGGAGGCGGGGATTGCTTCGCCCTAAGCACTGGCTGGTCGAGCTTCCCGGCCACCAATGCCATCTTTTCGATTGTTTGGGCCTTGACGATCTCACTCACGGGCAACCTGATTCCTTCTTGTCTCAAGAGACTGGCCACCTTGATTGCACTGACACTGTCAAGACCGAGGTGATAGAATCCGACCAATTTTGAGATTTGTCGCTTGTCGGTCTTGGAGACCTTTGCGAGAACATCTCTTATTTGAACTTCCACTGGTGACCAAGTATCAGATGGAACCTTAGTATTCCCTCGGGATCCATTTTGGCTCGGGTTGAGCTTGCCAGTAGTTCTCAATTCCATCTGTATAAAAGGCAATCCGCAGATCGAAACAGTGTCCGCCTTACGACGAACTATTTGTTCATTTGGACAGTTGATGATCGATGATAGAACCGCATTCAGCATAGCCATTAGTCCATCCACATACTTTTGATCCAGAAGTCCTTCTTGAACGGCGATAGTCCACCTTAATCCACTTTCATGGCCCTCAAACTCGATATTGACAGGATATGGTGGATTGATATCGTTGTCTTCCTCATTATACTCATCATAGAGCACAGGGGATTCTGCATCGGTGGTGGGAAGCTTCTGAAACGTGAACAAGGTGTCAAATAGGGTGCCCTGTTGTTGAGCTCGTGCAATCCGAAGTGCATTCCGGAGTGGAAAATGCTGATATTCAGAGACCCTGACCATAGTATTATGCACCTGCTTGAGGGTTGTGGCATTACTTCCATTTTCGTGCATGCTCGGGGCGAAAATAACTGTATTGAAGGTTGGGAATATCAGTTCTTCCGAGTTCTCGGTCGTGCGGCCAGAGAGCACGAGGCCAAAACACACATCGAGTCGTTGAATGATATGTGCCAGTGCAATAGTCCAGACAGTCAAACCAAGGGATTGCAACGTGACACCTTGTGTCCTGCAGAATCTGAGTGCATCTACCAGTTGGACCTCAGATGACGCTTGCGCTCTAATCCGGCCGATTGATGATTCGTCAACGGTAATGTGGTCTGCAACATTGCTAGGCTGGACAGCGCGCAAGCCTTCTTGCCAGAATTGTTTTGCTTCACTAACTCGGTTATGTCGGATGACCTCTTGGATGTGCTTGTCATAAGACATTGTCTTCGGTTGTGGAAGGAAATTCCCCGCAGAGCAATAGGTTGTACCGACCTTTCGATGGAGAAGATGCAGAGACCAAGCATCGTACAGAGCATGCGGTGACCCGAGAACTAAGAAAACTCCAGTACCTCCATTATCCACAATAAGGCTATGAAACTTGTGCCTCTCAATAGCTGAGCTCGTCACCATAGCCTTCATATTGTTAACGATGTTGGTAATGCTCTCATTGTATAGAACGTCCAGCTCGACGGCGCTTGTAGTAACATATTGGACGATCGAATCATCACCTTCTTCCGCATCGATGATTGCAAAACGGGTCCGCAGGATAGCTTCGCTTTGAAGAGTACTTTCCCAAGCTACTTTGAGCCGCTGAAGATCAACATCTCTCCGTAATTTGTAGACCAATACATTGAAGTATTTGCCCGGCTCCAATAGGAGACCCTCCTGCATCGGCGTCACTGGTAGAATGGATTGAACGTGTTCCAGATCGATGCCTTGTTTTTGTAGCTTGTCGCGATAATGTTGCTGCATTCTCGTGTCATTTGGCAGTGTGGCATCATGATGCTCATCTTGTTGAGAGTTCATTGCTAATGCACCGATATGGCTTGCAATTCCTGCAATAGTGGGCGATTTCATGATGGCACTAGTAGCGATCCTTGCGGAACGGATCCGAAGTCGGGCAGACAACTTCATTGCCTCTATGCTATCCAGACCGATCTCAAAGATGGTTGGACTGTCCTTACCAAGGCTGTCTTCTGGTACCGAGGCCAGCTGAGCTACCTCCGTCCTTATTATGAGTTCCATGTCACTCCATGGTGAGTCATCAACCAGTGTAGCTATACTGGTGCTGGATGAGAGGCTGCTGGGAGTCGTGAGCCCATTCGACGGAAATGTACCTTCGCAGAAGCTGTCCATGGCAAGATCGGAAATCTTGTCAACACCTCGCACAAGGTCAAGATATAGCCCTAGTAGCTCTTCAGCATGATTTTGATCGACATATTCTGGCTTTGTCAAAAGAGTAGCATTAAATTCGTCACCTTTCTGTTCAACTTCCAGGTTCAGTGGATATTCTGGCAAACTTTGCTGAGTTGGAATTTCTTGCCACAGACTGGCTTTGTTGTTCTTAGGATGAGCCTTCTGAAACACGAAGAGTACTTCGAAAAGCCCTTGACGTACATCTTGACCAATGTGGCGTGCGATCTGTCTCAAAGGAGTGTGATGGAAAGGTAGTAACTCGATATTGAATTGATGACATGCCTGAACGAGATCGGAAAATTTGGACTCTTTCTTTGGGAGGTTGCATACTGCGAAAGGGATAGTGTTGAACATTGGGCCGATAATGCCATCTGCGCCTTCTAAAGCCAAGGCTCGACCTGAGACGACAACACCAATCGTGGGATTGACACCATAGACCTGATGCAAGACGTACAACCAAGCAGCTTGGAAGAATGCAGAAACTGTCACGTCCAGCCTGTTGCAGAAACCAGACAGTTCTGTCTGAACAACTCTCTCCTGCAAGAATACAACTTTCCCCCTAGAATTTAGCGTGCTATCTTTCAGAGAGAGGTTGAGTCGCATTATTGAGGGCAGCTTCGATGTCCAGAATCCCTTTTCATTCGGCTGTGAACTGAGTGGGCCATAGGGAAGAGCATCGAAGAATTTTGTTTCTCCGTCTAGTTTCGGCTTCGTCGAGAAGTAGGAATTGTGAACCTTGTCTAGCAACAAGTTGAGACTGATCCCATCGTAAAGCCCATGGAAAATCTGCAAGGACATATATTTCCTCTTCCCAAAAGTGATCAAGTCAACTTTCCATGGAAGTTGTGCTGCAAAAGATCTCGTTGATTTGATCCAATCCATGAAGTAGTCGGTCCAAGGTACAGAAAGATGTGTCTTCCCATTTTGGAGTCGCCTCAGTTGCACTCCAGTGTGGACATTTGTTCGCAGAACCACTTGAGCAAAGCCATCGATCGTGGAGACAAATCGAGTTCTCAGAATAGCGGTTTCTTGCTCAGTAGCATTCCAGATAGCCTCAAGTCTTTCAAGGTCAACATCGACGCCCAAATCATAGTGAAATACTGAGAAATATGTGGTATCTTTATCGTTGTTAGCGCCAACAACCTTCGATATCATGCCTTCCTGCAGAGGAGTACATGGAGCAATGACGGCAATCTCATCTGGAGAAACCGCAAGCGTCTCAGTCACTATTGACAAATGAGCATGGGCAAACAATTGAATCCTTCTCTGGGCGTCCGCGATATTGGGGGTAATGTCAGTCTCATGGATGTCCCGAGTAAATGCTTGCGCCAAACCAATCACACTGGGGTAGCGCAGTATAGTTGCGACAGTTACGTGTTCGTATCCGCGTTTCTTGAATGCTCGAGACAGCCCAATTGCCGAAATGGAGTCTACCCCGAGTTCAAAAAGCCTCGAAGACGGTTGGACTGTAGAGTTTGAAATTTGTAAGAATGAAGCCACAACTTCAATCACTTGGGGAAGGTCTGACAGTTCCTTATTCGAATTCTGGAGCTCATCATTGGACGCTGAATTTGATGTCGCTGACAAGTGCTCCTCGAAGAGCGTTTTCAGACCCTTCTGATCAAGCTTATTATTGATTGTGAGGGGTATAACTGAGACCGCAAAATAATAGGTTGGAACCATATAGGAAGGCAAGCGATCGGCACACTCACTCTTGATTTCCTTGATCAGGGTCTCGACCACTTGAGTATCGATCAATGTGGGCTTGTGTTTGCGATTCTGTTTCTCTTCTGTGCAGAAAAACGTCACTAGCTGGTCTTTTTGCTGAATCGGATGTTTGAGGACCATAGTCGCAACATCTTTAAGCTTTGGAGAAGCACTCATAATGATATGGTTGATCTCCCCAATTTCGAGTCGCTGACCACGGAGTTTCACTTGGTCGTCTATTCTTCCAAGAAATTCAAAGCTGTCGTCATGGAGGACTCTTACTAAGTCTCCGGTTCGATAGATCCGTGTGTTATACACTTCTAAGGTGATGAACTTTTCAGCCGTGAGCTCCGGGCGATTAAGGTATCCTTTGCCGACAAGAGGGCCAGAAAGGCATAGTTCTCCAACTCCGCCCCTTATCACTGGTGTTTGGGTGTTTGGAATCAGCACAAAAGAACCAACATTATCCCACTGCCTGCCGATATTTGTCGGCTTCGCCGTCTTTGGTACATTTTGGTGGACTGTGCAGCCGATCGTCACTTCACTTGGACCATAGAAGTTGTACAGGCATTGGGAGTCTCCCCATGTTTCTAAGATTTCCTGCCTCACTTGTTCTCCGCCAACGATAAAAACACCGTCACATAGACTTGGAACCTCCTCGGGGGTTAGAAGTCGTGCCAAACTCGGTGTAAGATCAAGATGTGTAATTTTCAAGCGGCTGATCGTCCCGGGAAGGTCCTCGAATAGAATATCTCGTGGGACCGAGGTGACACAGATACCCACGCTCCAACTCCAGTATTGTTCCAGGACACTGACATCGAAATGAAAAGATGCAAATTGGAGCCATCGAGATTTCGAGTTCCATCTTCCTTTGAATATACGCTGGAATGATAGCATCGCTTGAACAGCACTGCTGTGACTGATGAGACATCCTTTAGGTGTACCAGTCGTACCTGATGTGTACAAGCAGTAACAAGTGTCTTGAGGATTGATAGCATTGATCAGCCTGGGCTTTTGATCTGATAGACTTTGCCAATCCGCTTTATCAACTGCAATAATAGATACTCCTGGTGTTTGAGAAAATTCCCGCACTTTATCGTGGGTAGTGAGCACGATGCTGCAGTTTGAGTCCTTGAGAATGAACGATTTTCGAGCATCAGGGGCACTTGGATCAATAGCAAGATAGCCACAACCTGCTTTCAAGACACCAAGGATTGAAAATGAGGCTTCAGGGCATTTTTCAAAGCAAATTGCGACAAGCTCATTTCCGCGTACACCTTGGCGGACCAAAAGTTGAGCAATCTGATTTCCGCATCGATCTAATTGATCATATGACCATGTCGCCCTTGAATCCACTTCAGCTTGCAGGTCGGTCACAAATTCCAAAGCAGGACGATCTGGATGCTTTTGGGTAGTGAGTTCGACGAATTCGTGCAAGAATTGTACCTGCGTAGGGATTCGCTCATCTTTCGGAGGAATGGCAGAAAAAACTGTTGTATTCGGTGTCGTATCCACCCCATCAATGGCTGAAATGATTTCGTTTACCGCGTAAGAGAACTGGTCGAGGATAGCCGCCGCCTGTGGTACGGGTACGATATCTTCTCGGCATGTGAGCTGGAAGAGAAATTTGTCGTTATGCTCAGGAAAGATTTCCAGCGAAAGGCAATATTCAGCACTAGCCTCGTCATTGATCTTGCTCCAGGGTCGTTCGATGTCCTCATGTCCCTCGTACACTTGCAAAGCCACAACAGTGTCAAACAGTTCACCCTCAACGCCAGCCAGGCGCTTGATGGTACTTAATGGCGTATACTGGTGCTTCAAGATCTCAGCACTCCGGTCAGTGGCTCGTTTTAGGGTCTCTGATAGATTCTCAGATACATGTAGCGCGAACGGAACGGTATTTATGCAAGGAAAACAAACATCATTATCCTGATCTGATCCAAAATCGCGACCAGAGAGGACAACACCAAATGTCACATGGTCTTGTGCAGTGTAAGCAGCCAGTAGCCTTGACCAAGCAGCCACAAATAATGACTGTAGACTAGAATCGGCCTGTGCGCATTTAGCCTTGATTTCTGCCTGATTCACGTCGAATTGTTTGGAAACAGCTTTTAGTGTTGATTTGGCAGTGTTGAATATCCTGAAGTCAGGGAATTTGGTGGGACAGAGTTCAGTACCTAGTCCAGACCAAAATTCCTGAGATCTCTCTGCACTGCCAAGTGAGAGGATCCTCATGATGGCGGTATTGATGCACGGAGGTTCTGGAATAGACATACCTCGATAAACACAAGCTACGTCATGCAGGATTATATCAAGCGATCTTGCATCGTACAACGCGTGTAGCATTGAGACTTCCAAGACAACTCCAGAGTCGTCTTCCGTCAATGAAAGATGCCATGGGGTTGTTGTGAGGCTCTTCGCGTTGGGGCTCGTCCTCAAGGCTGAGGACCCCTGAGCACGTGACCAAGGAAGCTCGAAGAAGTCTTGGCGATAGGTGACCATCGCAAACGGATACTTCGGATCGTCCAATTCAACAAATCTTGTTCGAAGCATATCATGCGAGGACATGACGATATACCAGCTGCTTTTGAGCTTCGAGATGTCAATAGACTTGTGGGGACAAAGTCTGAGAGTATTGAAATAAAGCGCACCATTTGTGCGAAGAAATTGCGATAAAATGCCTGATTGTGTTGGCGTGCAGGGTCTCACATCTTGAACATTCGTTTCATCAATGGAGTACTCCTCGCAGAGTTTGTGGCGATGGATGATATCAAAGTGTTGGATGTTGACTTTTGTGTAACTACTCACGTTGTTTGTATGGTTCTTCGAGCAGAAAGCGGCAATTCTTTGGATCGTCATCGCTTCTAGGATGTCTCCACTAGAGATTGTATAACTGAGCTTGCGGAGCGTTGCTGCAAGCTGGATAGCATTAATGCTATCTAGTCCAAGGCGGTAAATTGTTGTGTCTTTGGAGATGGCCGAAGGAAGTCCTGGCTTCAGCTGCCTTATGACTTGCATGATGCGCTGCTCGGTCTCAGAGAATCCAAGGTGAGAGGATTGCGCCTCAACATGCCGCTTGGCCCTGGCCACTGCAGTATTGTCTCTCTGCGCAGGCAAGAGGAATTTTGGTATAGATGCCTCGATCGTGGAATAATCTAGTGCCCTTGCCTGAGGAAATGATATGATATCTCGAAGAAGGTTATCATAGCAGCGCAAGATATCATTCAGTAGCTGGTCTTTTGCACTGAGAGAATGGAGTTTCAATCTCACGCAATCATATTTGGCATCCAAGATTATTTCGAGAATGAATGGAAATTCCATGTCTCCGGTTTCACTTTCAAGCCTCCAGATATTCTCATCGAGTTCGATTTCATTATGCTGAAGTAGTAGAAGTGTATCAAATAAAGGTCCTCCATCTTCCGAATTTTGCTGCTGAATCCTGCGAAGTGGGCTGGGTTGGAAAGATAGAACATCGGTGTTAATCTGTTGTAGATCGTGACACAGGCTAGAAGAAGATTGATTGTGCTTTATTTTCACCCTTGTTGGAGTCGTGTTGAAGCAGGGTCCCACGATATTTTCCACACCCTCAATTGGTAGGTTTCGACCACTGAGTACGGTCCCGAAGCAAACATCTCGCCTTTGAAAGACGCAGAAGAGTAATCGACTCCATGCGGTCTGTAGCACGCATAGACTCGTGGTTGAGAGCTTGCGAGTACCATCTTTGAAATTTTCCAGGCTCATTGTGGCTGTGTGTTGCACTGCTGAGATACCTCGCCTTATTTTTTTATCTTGTGGGCGCAGAATATCGCCCATCCTACAAGGGGAAAATTGCTGCAATTGAGTTTGCCAGAACCTGTCTTGCTCCGTCGGATGCTGACTTTTCATGAAAGAGAGATAGCGGTCGAATTTAATAGGGGGTGGAAGTCTCTCCGCGTAGTACCCTGACTGGATCTCAGTCAGCAGAATTGACATTGCTTCTGCATCATAAAGAACGTGATGAATCTCCAAGACTAACTTTGTTCCTTCACGGTCCTGTATAACCTTGATATGCCAAGGTGGAAGCATGAGTTCGTCGAGATTGCTAATAGTAGATGACTGATCGAGTTTGACTTGCCAAGGCAGCTCGAACTGTTTGAGTACCACTTGCAAGTATGGTCGCTCGGCCAACTCGGATGCCACAAGCCCAGTCCTGAGCAATTGATGTCTAACTATGGCCAAACTCCAGGCCGTTCTCAATTTCTCCAAATCCCCGTGTACCCCGAAAATGATGACATTTCGATACGCTCCTGTTTCGGAACCTGCAGATGTCATCGCCATGGATTCTTGTAATGGGGTACAAGGCCGGAAAGACTCGACTTCAAGCCCACATTGGGCATACTGCGCAGTGATATTTGCTTTCCACTGTGCGGGAAGAAACCTGTCAAATGATTCCATGTCATGCATACCCGACTGCAATGAGCTGCGGTCGCCGGAAGCAGATAGCAGCTGGATGATGGAGGGATTTCGCAAGATTGTAGAAACATCCATCTGTTGATGCGTGACCTTTTTGAGATTTTGCGTCAGGCGGATGGCGCTGATAGAGTCGAGACCAAGGGCAAAAAATGAACTGTCACGTTTCACATTGTCGAGAGGAACCTGAAGTGTTGCGGAGATGACTTCCGCCACTTCTCTTTCGAAGTCTGAAAGCAGTTCAGTATTTTCTGATGTTTTACTCTGTCTTGAAAAGTGTTGTAGTTGCTCCCGGCTAAGTGCGTGGTACATTTCTACCACCGCCCGGCGATCTGTTTTGCCCTGCCTGGTCAATGGGATCTGCTCAACATACAGTAACGTATCCGGAATCATATAAGTGGGAAGAATGCCGATCAACTGGTCAAAAAGTGCTTTAGTTTTCACAACTTCATCTTCTTTGTTCAAAGAGCGATGCGTATTCGAAGACCAGAAGGATATCAACCGATCAGTTTCATTCTTCTCTCTGATTATCATTGAGACCGCATCGTTCACACCTTCGCACCTCAGTAGTGAAGAATTGATCTCACCTAGTTCCAGACGTTGACCTCGAAGTTTGACCTGATCATCCTCTCGACCGGTGATGACCAGAGTTTCATCGACCAAGAGGCGTCCGATGTCACCAGAACGGTAGAGGCGGCCATAGACCGGATGTTGGAAGAAGCTCTTGGCCGTCAACTCAGGGTCAATATAGCCTCGACCGACTTGCTCGCCACCAACCCAGATCTCTCCAATGGCGCCCCTTGGAAGTAGTTGAAAATCTGTCAAAGACAATGAACTTGCATGTTCATTGGCTTTCGATGCAACATCTTGTCTCTCGCAAACAAAAAGCGATGTGTTTGGTAAGGCAGGCCCGACGTTACTCTGCATGTCCTGTTGAGAGACTGCTGGTCGGACGTTGCATACGTTGGTCGTTTCACTGGGCCCGTAGCCTTGATAGAGTCCATTACCACTCCACTCTGAAAACACTTTGGAGTTCATAGGTTCACCAGCAGTGACCAGCATCTTCACGCACGGGACATTCTGAGGACTGACCAGAGCAGCGACAGAAGGAGTGAGACTCAGGTGTGTTATCTTCAGCTCGCGGATAAGGGATTCGATATCTCTGAACAGAACATCGTTCGATGCAGCGCACAAAGTCATGCCTCTGCACCATGTCCAGAAGATCTCAAACACAGACACGTCGAATGCTGGCGAGCATGCTTGCAGGAGCTTGTCTTGGCTAGGATCAGATGGATATATCCGCGAAAGATCTCGTATATTGCTCAACAAATTGCGACGAGTTATTAGAACTCCTTTGGGTGTTCCAGTACTTCCGGACGTGAATACTGCATATGCAAGACCATCTGCAGGTGGGGGTTTATCCCCCTTCTCAAACTCTGATCCCCAGTAAATGGCATCGCTTATCCGGACAACGGTTTGCTCATCGTGGGGCTGGAAGTTCGAATAGTCACGACTATCAGACAAAATGATCTTTGATTTTGATTGTCGCAATATTTGTCTTGTTCTTTCTGCTGGCGTCCGAAAATCCACACAGAGATAAGCACTCCCAGCTAAAATAACACCCAGAATCCCCACATAAAGCTCAATTGATTTTGAGGCAAGGATGCAAACTAGCTCGTCTTGCTGAACCCCGAATTTGCCTGTAAGAGTCGAAGCAATTTTACAAGCTTGTGTATAAAGGCTGCCGTACGTCAGGTACTGTTTCGCGATTCGTGAGTCGTCAGGGCTGTAGAAATCTACATATTCCACAGCTACTCTTTCTGGATTTGAGTGTGCAAGCTCCGAGATTGCGGACACAAGATCAAAGTCTTCATTGAATGTCTCATAATTCGTGTTGGATAGAGACATGATGCTCGAGTCACAATCTTTCCACAGAGTGCTAAAAGGTTTATCGAGGTTATTGATCATTAGGGACACTAGAGCATTCATTTGGCTGGCCAGTAACGTCGCGTGTGCTTCAGGTAGTAAGCCTGAATCGAAGGTCATCTTCATAAAGAGCTGACCGTCACGCGGCTCAAACTCGAGAATGATGCTGTAGTCCAAATAGTCCTGGTAGTTCTTCGTAGACACCTTCGAACGATCTCTATTAGCTTGATCATAATCCTCCTGCCAAACACAAAGGGTGTCGAAAAGTCGCTGGCCTGGGTGAAGTCCTGCAGAACGGTGGATATCTATGAGGGCGAGGCTTCCGTATTTGAGATGATCCCAATGCTGTCGTTGAACGTGGTTGATCACGTCATGTACGGTTCTTAGAGTCCCAAGGTCTAGACGTAATGGAAGTGTGGCCAGACAGGGTCCAATGATGGTTTCAATTCCAAGCATTGGCAAATGACGACCAGCAGAAACGACTCCGATAGCAACATCGGTGGTGTCAGCATAAGAAGACAACAGCAAGACCCAAGCACATTCCAGAAAGCTCTGACGACTGCAGCGTATAGAACTGGAGCTGTCAGAAAGGCTCTGCATTTCGATGGAGAGCTTAGATATAATCGAGGTCTTCTTTTTTTCACTTTGGTCAAATTTGGTAGAGGAGAGATTAGGAAACGGGGTATGTGCGTATCCTCTCAGAGTCTCGTGCCAGTATCTGAGACTCTCATCTTTTTGCATCGCTAGTTGTCGAAGCTCACTTTCGTAAAAATCCGAGAATTGTTTTCGAGCAGGCAATGGTCGCTCCGATAGAAATGAGTTTAGATCGTCCAAGATCAAATCCCATGACCAGCCGTCATATAATGCATGGTGTATACGGATGGTAACTGTGTTCCGATTTGGCGAAACTGTGGAAAGTTGCAGTGGGTGAAGTAAATTCAGCTCCTCTTGTTGGAAGTTGTGCCAGATGACCCGTGCAAATGGCATTGCTTGGTCACCAGTTGAGACAAATCCAGATCGCAGTATCTCATTCTGGTCCGCTATCGATCGGAAGGCTTGCAAAAAATCGTTGTGATCTATTCCAGGCGCGGTGCTCAGAGAAATCTCGTTGAAATTCAGGTGATCTCGATTAGATGTTTCCACCAACATTGCGATCTGCATTGAACTACATGGTAAAATGGAGTCCCACGAGTCAAGAAAATGTTGAAAGTCGGGATTCTTGTACAGCGTAGCTTCAATGTTCTTCCACTGGGTCGTGGCCTCAACTGGAACTTCGCTTTGTTCGATCGAGGATTGTTCAGATTGTAAGACTGTTGCAAGATCCATAACATTGTCTGCTTCTGCAATCAGTGCGACGGAAATATTAGGGTATTTTCTTCGCAATTGCGAGGCGACCTTTATGGATCGTAGAGAGTCAAGTCCCGATGACCACAGAGAAGATGTTCGACGTAAAGGAGACTTGAGCTCATTTCGGAGCACCTCCAAGATATCCCGCTCGATTTCATTGTCGAGGCTATCGTCTTCCTCCGTAAACAAACGTGACTTCTGGAAGTTACCTTCGAGCGTCTTCCGGTCGACTTTTCCTGATGGCAGGCGAGGGATACCGTTCTGAAGGACTATAACCTCGCTAGGTCTCATATAAGAAGGGAGCCAGGACTTGCAAACGGTGGAAACGTCAGAAACGTCGATAGTCTTGGCACCTGCGCAAAATAACACAAGGACATCATCGATCACGCTTGCTACAGCGATGTCGACACCTTGTGCTTTAGAGGCGATTTCCTCAATTTCTCCAAGTTCAACTCGTTGACCTCTTATTTTGACTTGACCAGCGGATAGACGACCAAGGATTTCCAACTCGCCATCGGATTTGCAGACTGCTCGGTCACCAGTTTTGTAAATGGATCCATACCCAGGAAGTTCGACAAATGACGCCGAGTTCTGATCAGCGCGGTTAAGATATCCATCGGCCAACTGACCTGAGATAGCAAGTTCGCCAGGCTCTCCGACGTGGGCTATCTCGAGACTGTCGGCTTCCTTCAGTACGAAAGCTGTCACGGTTGAAAGTGGCTTGCCAATACTTCGGACGGAGGCGGTAGCATCTAGTCTGACAGCTAGAGTGCAATGAATTGCAGCCTCAGTCGGTCCATACATTGCGTAGAGCATGCTTGGCTTCTCTGTACTCCCGCCAAATTCAGAAATGACCTGTGTGGTCAGCATCTCTCCAATAGTCAACAGAACTTTAAGGTCTGGGGCTGCCTGTCTGGTCCGCAACAGTGTACCAGCTACCGTGGGCGTTAGCTCTGCGGCATCGGCTTGGAGTAATCTTAATGTCCCAGGAAGGTCTGAGAGCATTCTTTCTCGTTCACAGCTGACCAGGGTGGCGCCTCGGAAGAAGGGGAAGAATATTTCGAATACCGACACATCAAAGGTGGGCGAAGCGAATTGGAAAAATCGTTTGAAACGGGGTATGTGTTCATCGTGTGCAAGTAACGATTGCGTGACTGAGAGATGTGAGACCTTTACACCCTTTGGCAATCCCGTTGAACCAGAAGTATACATGACATATGCTGGGTGGTCAGGGGCAACCATCGGGAGTGCAGGAGATTGGGTCGTTGCGTCCCTAGGGCTGTTCGAGCTTCCCACTAGATTTTCCAAAGACACTGATAGGCACCTTCTTGCACCTAGGGTCTTCTGAACTTTTGCTCGATTCGTTGAAAGAGTCAGTATGCAAGGTGCATTGACGTCTTTGACAATGAAATTCAACCTCTCGGTGGGCACATCGAGACTGACTGGACAGTAAGCCGCACCCGCCTTTAGCACTGATACCCATGCGATATAAAGCTCCGGGCATTGTGGGATGACTGCTGGAATGATAGCATCGCCAGCTTTGCACGCTAGTAAATGACTCCGGATATCCCTGGCCAAGCTATCGGTGAAAAGGTGGAATTGTTCGTAATCCAGCTTGACGTGTTGTCCGCCTGCATTGACAAAGTCAAGTAGCAGCTTGTTCTGCCCATCGGTTGGTTTTGCGATCAACTCGTGTAGTAAATTTGGCCCTCGTAACATTTGGCGGTTGTGGTTGATGATCGCCAGATCCGAGTCCGACGACGGAGTATTGTGATACGCCATGCTGCCTCTCGCTCAACCTGCAATCACAGCAAGTGAAGGAGACAACCAGGCTGTCTGCAGAACAACTTGGGCGCAATGGTTCATGGACTCTATTGCCTTTGATTACCATTGAAAGGTAATAGTCATTGAGATATGGTGGTGGACAATGATGTCACAGTTCTGTAGCTGGGGCAGGCGTGTGTTTCAAATCAACGCTTCAGATCTTGCCAGGCGTTTTTTCCAGACGTAGCCTGCTTCATGGAGGCCAGTAGCAGTGAAGTCTTTGTTAGGACTCTTGATCACGCTCTGCTGAGCGTTTGTTATACCCATTTGCATGGTAATGCCTAGAGTGTACGGAAGTCCATTAAGACCGTATGAGCAGTCCAGATGTAGCTGGCTTGGTGTTCGTCAAATGACGACGCCAATGTTTTCAAGCCAGATGAAGATTGGATGGATGGGTCAGGGACAAACCAGGATCGACGCTGGACCTCCGGTCTTAGTCCGACATGTCATTCAAAGAAAAGAATTTTCACAATGGTTGCAACCGAGCCTCGTTAGCTTTGGAGACTGTGCAGCTTCATAGCAAGCTGTAGTGGAAGGTCCAGTGCAAATTACCAGTGGGTTTGCAGGAAGAGGGGGATTCTTCCTGGCAAGTGGATAGTGGATAGTGGGGGTGGTCGGCGGGTCTTTCCTCCCTGCCTGACTGGTAGCATCTTTCCATGGCGTGACACGGTTTTATCAGATAATCGCACAATCTTTGATCTGATTATCAGATAATCAGCATCAGTCTTTTCCCATCCCAGTCCCTCCGTCATCGGCCGCAGGGGTCTGCTCCACGATAGGATGTTCACCGAGTGTGCATTTCCCTCTAGCACAGTGACTTTGCCTTAGGTCCCGGTGGCGTGCGCTGCGTATTGGTATTTTGTAGGCGTTTGCATGCCTTCCAGACCCCTCAATGTCGTTCAGCATGGCCCTTCATTCGGTCAATCAGTCCCCAAGGGCGATCCTGTGCTTGACTTTTTTATTTTTTTTTTAAAAAATCCTTGTCTGGCGGACTATCCCGATCTTGATGACACCAGACGATGTTTCGTGTTTGGCGATTCCGATCTGCGCATCGGCTCATGGGCGGTTCTGGCTCAGTAGGCGGGATTTGGCATCGATTATAATGCAAAAAGGTTCGCTGCGCCAGTGTATTCTCATGCCTCCTTGAGTTATTAGTACTTTCACTCCACATTAGTTTTCCAAGGTAGAAACTTTGTTGCTCATTGTCGTGACCAAACACCTACCATGGCCCCGAGTGCTATTGCCCCAGAAGCTGGTACCGGGCGAGTGAGTGAATCTACCAGCCCTTTCCTCGGGAACGGTAGCTGGCAGGTCCGACCAGTGGACGAGAATGGATCATCTCAGACGTTTCCCTCGACATCCAGCCTTTATGCACCGGGTCTGCAAGAGGTTCACGACCTGATAGGAGTTGGATTCGGACCGGCTTCCCTCGCCATCGCCGTTGCTCTTAGTGATAGCTTGGAAGGTCAAGAACCCGTAGGACATGGCTTCAACACACCCAAAGTACGGTTCCTTGAGAGACAGCAAGGATTCAAGTGGCACGCAGGAATGCTGCTACCAGGTGCTAAGATGCAGATATCATTCCTCAAAGATCTGGCAACTCTTCGAGATCCTCGCAGCCACTTCACCTTTTTGAACTATCTCAAAGAACATGGACGGCTAGTACAGTTCACGAACCTGGCAACATTTCTACCCTCCAGACTTGAATTTGACGATTACCTCCAATGGGCTGCGGCACACTTTAATGATGTGGTGGAATATGGGCAGCAGGTTCAGTCGATTCACCCACGGAAACTAGGCAACAACGAGAAATATGACTGCTTTGAAGTGGTTTCACGGGACTTGTCGACAGGGCAATCGACGACTCTGTTGACTCGGAATGTTGTGGTTGCCGTTGGTGGTCAGCCCTCTAGACCATCCACATTTCCAGCGTTTCATGAGCGGATACTTCACTCATCAGAGTACAATACACGTATCGACAAGGTACTGCCCGACAAAGACGGTGCATACTCGATTGCAGTGATGGGAGGAGGTCAAAGTGGTGCGGAGGTGTTCAACAACCTCCATGAGCGATATCCAAATGCGACGACCAGACTGATCTTCCGAGATTCGGCACTTCGGCCAAGCGATGACTCGCCATTTGTCAACGAAGTGTTCAACCCCGAAGCCGTCGATACCTTTTTTGAGCAGCCCCTAGACTACCGATCAAGAACATTGGCCAAGAATAAAGCCACCAACTACAGTGTGGTGAGACTTGAGTTGATTGAGAAGATATATGATGATCTGTATCTGCAAAGCATCCATCATCCTGACCAGCGCGAATGGCAGCACCAGATTCTGCCGCTGAGGGACATTACTGGGTTCAGTGATAATGGAAAGCGACTGACACTGAACCTGACCAACTTGGATCCATTGAGTGGGAATTCGACCGAAACGATATCCTTTGATGCATTGATCCTTGCGACAGGATATCGCCGTGATGCCCATAATGAGCTACTCAAGGATTGTCAAACGATCAATGGCAGCCAAAGTGGACGTTGGGAGCCCGGGCGTGACTACAGCTTGCGATTGGATAACTTACAAGTCGAAGAAGGAGCTGGGCTGTGGCTCCAGGGATGTAACGAGGCAACGCATGGACTTTCTGATTCTTTGCTGTCTATCTTGTCCACGCGTAGTGGGGAAGTGGTGGACTCGATATTTGGGGGGCAGATCAAACTCAATGGGCATTAAAAACAAGTGGTAACAATGGTGGAAACTTGCATCCAGTTGGTGTATGAACGCTAGAACACCACTCACATGGCTATCTTTTCTTGAGCTTGAGCTTTGGGTTGTTGTTTTATATTATCGTTGGAAAGATTCTTGACCGATAGATTCTTGGTCTTTACCAGATCGATCCCGTGACCACCTTACCGGCATATAGTTAATCCGCAGCCGAGATTCAAGAGCGCCACATCCACCGGCAAGCCACAGCGGCCGATTCAAAGAATCTCAACTGCCGTGAAGGTCCAAGAGTCAAGTAAATCCAGGCACCCTCCTGTGCAGTCTAACAAAGATCAATCAGCTAGTTGACGCTGGCCAGGTCAACAATAACAACAGGAGGGTGTAGTCCAGTCGCTGTTGTCATTTCGGCTTCTCGATCGATGTAGCCACAGTCACAGCCCGTCAAAATTTGTGCCTCGGCATGTCACAAAATCCATCCACTCAAGGCCCATCAATTCCAAGCCCAGCTTTGACTTCCACTTCCTCTACCAACGACCAACCCGAATCACCGAGCAATCTGGATCCTTACGGGCGCAGGTCTATCAACGAACTCGTGTTTTTCCATCAAACTTTCCGACTGTCTGCTCAACAACTCAGCTTCAAGTTTATATATTTTGGCACTCCGGATTGATTCTCATTGTCAGATCATGCTGCCTGCGAACACGGCTGATTGATTGACCGACTGAGCGACTGGAAATGAGCCCCTCAGAACATGACCTCGAGCACCCCAAGAAGCGACGTAGGCGCGAGGTGCAACGCAATCCTCTCCCTGCTCGTCTACTGTTTGATGAAAGTGTAAAGGGAAACGCTGCTATTATTTCCCAGACTCTTTGGTCGCAGCTCGGTCTTCCCCATGGTATGCAACATCCATCATCTGGCCATATCCTCGACTAATCCACAGCAGAGTCTACAGATGCAGCTCCCCAGGAAACCATACCCCAGGCATTCCTAGCCATTACTCCTCGGTCAGCCCTGCACACAGAGATACAAGAGTCAACATGGACACTTCTCACTGCGCAATTGCAGCTCTCCACCACCACACCGGAAGCTCCACAGCAACCTGCAACCATTAGAATTTCCCCCGCCGCTTCAGCGTGTCAATCTATTCTCAAAACCTATACGACGGTCGATAGAGATCGTCATCCTGGCCATGTTCCCAAATCTATTGACATCCGGGTCCTTTCCTCCAAGCCTCTAATTCTAGACACTGTCTATGTCTCAGTTGAAAAAGGACTGCTGGAGAAGGTGGATGACATCCAGACCCGTTTTGGTGGAGGCTTTCAGTCCTCGAGAAATGCGCGAACTGACAAAAAGACAACCACTACCAATGGCATTCTACCAAATATCCCTCCACATATCGGACGTCTGACTTCGCTGGTCCGAGATGGACTCGGAGAACTTTCCATCATTCACTCAGGCGATGTTTTCCCCCTACCACTGCCTGCACATCCCATCACTCATGTGAGACCACCCCCCGCCATTGTCGTCGAGTGTGAACCTGTTTCCCAAGGTCAAATAGCGGCACATACCAAGATAGTCCTCATTCAGACTGGCTCATCCCAAGAAAAGGCTCTGAAGAAGCTAGCACCCGTCCTACCCATAATGGAGGAATCTATTGAAGACACTGCCGAAGATACCTCCAATGATCAGTTCTACTCCGCAGCAGAGGACCGTAATACGAGCCCTGGTTCGGATGAGGGCTCGGGTTCAGGTGATGACTCTGAAAGTGGCGATTCGGTTCACTCCGAGAGTGACTCGGACTCGGACTCCATGGATGATATAATCTCACTGAGCGCCCCTGGTCTTCCCCCTCAACAAGCCGGCACTTTGTCTGCAATGACAGCTGCCACCCCGAGACCCGGTGGAAAGAGAGCTACAGGTACCCAAACGCCAGGATCCTTATATTCGAGCTTCACCTCAACCACTACTCGCGCTGGAAGTCGTCCAGGTAAGGTCTTCAGAACTCAAGCTTTACTTCGAAAGGTCCCTACGGAATTGCTACATCCAAGGCCAAGCATCGAGGACGATGAGGAGGCTTTCGTCTTTATTGATACGAGCACTCTGGCCAAAATTGGCTGTTTCTCTGGTGACTGGGTTCGCATTGAAATTGCGAAGAACGTGAGCACCAATGGGTTTGCTGTATTGGGTCTGAGGTCATTAAGTGGCCTACCAGACGAGGAGGACTCGGACTGGCGGACAGTAAAGGTATTTGGCTTGTCTGGACTGTCGAACCAAGCCCCTCGCTACGCTGTGGATAAGACTGGTGAACGCCGCTCAAGTTTTTCGCAACGTGATCTGATAGCACCCACCTCGCCAGTTGTTCTTCTCTCACCAATCCTCCTAACCAACCTATCGAACGCCCAATTCGTCAAGATTGGAGCCCTGCCTTCTCCACCTCGGCACGATCCCAAATCGACACACGTTCCTCGATCCGCGACCGTCAAATTTCCTCCCTTTGCCAAAGAAGTGATCTTTTCAAAAATTGCCGACCCGACTACAACAAACCCTGCATTGCAGTCTACCCTGTTTTCTGCATTGAAACACTACCTAGAAAGCAAGAGACGCATACTCAAGAAAGGGGACCTCGTGGGTCTTCCCGTAGACCAGGAACTTGGGAAGGCTATGTTCTCCCAAGGCTCGACCGAAGAGATTCCTGGCGAAGATGAGACCATTACAAATCTCGGCAGGCCAGACAGAGCAGGAGCGCGAGCATTCAGTACTGCATGGTTTTCTGTGCAACATGTCGATATCGACCAATCTCAAGAACAAGATCCAGAACAGAACAATTGGGGAGGTGTCGCCGTGCTGGACAGTTCGCAAGCGCGGGTTTCTCAGAGTGGTAGCAGTGTTCATTCCATTTCTCATGCCGTCGAGTTGTGGACCCAGTACTGGTTCGGAGTACGCAAATTATCTTTGCAAAGCCTGAGTAGGATTGAACACATCACAACGGCGGCTGATCTTCCACCATTAGACAGACTGCCACTAGAGAAGCGGTTGTCTGGTCTAATTCAGGCTGCTACAAGCAACAGGGCTGCTAGTCTTGGTCTCCCACCATTGGTCATCCTCTTGTACTCAACTCAGCGACAGATTGGCAAATCATACATCGCCCATTCTGCATGCTCCTCTATTGGTGTGCATACTTTCCCAATATCAGTTCACGACCTCCTTTCTGAAAATGCCTCAACAACTGGAGGCGGAGATGTAAAGACTGAAGCGTTACTGAAAACACGGGCGGAGCGTGCTTTGTCGGGTGGAGCACAACAGACAGCACTTCTTATCCAGCACATCGATGCATTGACGGCAGATAGAATGATTCCCGTACTGCAGGAAATCATCTCGTCATCCCGCATTCTGTTTGCCACAACCACCAAGCTCGATGACATTCCCGCCGGCATTCGGAGTCTATTCTCACATGAGCTCGAGGTGGCAGCTCCGGATGAAAATGCTCGTGAACTAATCCTTCGCAACGCATGCACTTCGTCATCGGTTCCCCTCTCACCAAGCATCAATCTCAAGTCGATTGCTCTTCAAACTGCTGCCCTAGTTGCAGGTGACCTTCTTGATGTCGTCAACCGCGCAACTTTGGCCAGAACTGCTCGTCTTCTGACTTTGGCAGAAAAGCAGTCGTGCAAGCTTTCAGATATTTACATTTCGGGCGGTCAATCGGCTACACATTTGCTACCTGTTGACATCAATAGTGCTATTGCTGCTGCAAGATCGACTTTCTCTGACGCTATCGGTGCTCCCAAAATCCCCACAGTCACATGGAAAGATGTTGGCGGGCTGTCATCACAAAAGGATGCTATCATGGAGACCATCTCATTACCCTTGACACATCCCGAACTATTTGCCAATGGAATTCGAAAGCGATCTGGTATCCTATTTTATGGCCCGCCCGGCACAGGCAAGACTTTGCTGGCGAAAGCTATCGCAACCGAGTTCAGTCTTAATTTCTTCAGTGTCAAGGGCCCCGAACTACTGAATATGTACATTGGTGAATCTGAGGCCAATGTTCGACGAGTCTTCCAACGTGCAAGAGATGCACGCCCTTGTGTTGTCTTTTTCGACGAGTTGGACTCGGTGGCACCTAAACGTGGAAATCAAGGTGATAGTGGTGGCGTCATGGACCGAATCGTTTCTCAACTCCTCGCTGAATTAGATGGTATGTCTGGTGGAGGCAGTAGTGAAGATTCTGATGGAAGTCCGTCCAACGCTGGAGGAGTGTTTGTGATTGGCGCAACGAACAGACCAGATTTATTGGACCCAGCATTACTTCGACCAGGACGTTTCGATAAGATGCTCTACTTGGGTGTCGCCGACTCTCATGACCAACAAGTCACTATTATGAAAGCCCTCACGCGTAACTTCACTCTGGACGCGGATGTGGATCTCAACAGGGTTGCCGACCTGCTCCCTTTCACTTATACAGGCGCAGATCTTTATGCACTCTGTAGCGACGCCATGTTGAAAGCAATCACTCGCAAGACCAAATCCGTCGACGAAAAAGTCCAACAAGTCAGCAGAGCCCGCGGCGAGGACATAAGCACTGCATATTTCTTCGACCATCTCGCTACCGATGAAGACGTGCAAGTCGTTGTTTCCGAGGAAGATTTTGCAGCGGCGCAGAACGAACTGGTCGGCAGTGTGAGTAAAAAGGAACTAGAGCACTTTGAAAGGATCAGAAATCTGTTCGAGGAACAAGACATCACAGTTGGTACCAAGGACGGAGCTGGACCTAAAACAAACGATGGCAGTCCTGGTAAGAAAGCCGAAGAAGCCCAATTGCCTATACGACCAACACCACCGGGACTCTCCTTGCGCAACTCAGTCCGCCCTCAACCACCATCTGAGCCTGAAGGCACGAACACATCTCAGTTCCGTCCCCAAGCACATGCTCCGAACGCTTTACAGCAAGTGAAGGGAAAAGGAAAGCAAAAAGCCGGCAGTGGAAATATTTCTCACGCATCCCCCCCTGTTTCAGTCGCGTCTGCTCGCAAAGTGTCGCCACGAATCGGCAACCCGGACTCTGGGGCTTCGTCGGACGCAGACGACGACTATGGCGTGAGCTATCACCACCTGAACGGAAATGCCAACACAAATGCGAATGCGAATGCAGTCAACGGCGTCGGCGCCACGGATAAAGGCAAGGGGAAAGGCAAAGCGAGTGCAGTATCCCCGCCACCCCCTGCGGCCCGTGTCCCGAGCACGCCTGTGGTGGATGGGTTCGTGGACGATGTCGGCGGCGACGATGAGGGGCTCTACGATGATTGATTCACACAAAGTATCGAACCAAGTGAAGTCGGGGACATGTGTTTTGGCACGGCCCCCTCGATATAGTTGATGGAGCGTGTGGGCATCTAAACCCGGCGCATAGTATGATGAACGACTGATCGGAACGGCCCGCAGATAAAAGAAAATCATTTCCTATTGCTATTATGTAGGCAGCTATCTATCTATCTAATATCTCTATCTACTTGGAAGACGAAGCACACACACAGAGATCAGTCAATACGAGACAAACTACTTACATCATTGATCCATGATTCATCCTCTGCTGGCGCTCACGGCTCGTGTGTTTTAATTTCCTTGACGAAAGCAGACTAACTACCACGTTCCTCTGTCCTGCACATGAAACCCCGAACCCCCGAACGGGCACTACTGAAGAAATACATACGGATCTTGTGATTCAACCACCATCCTTGGTTCGAGTGGATGCAATGAGCAGGAGCGAGTAGAAAGGTCCTGCCACTGAGCTGGCTAATCGTATTCACAGTTGTGCTTTACGACAATGGACGGCATTTCCGTGTTAAGAAAACTCGGATATTCGTACGTACACGGGTGACGGCGCCTGTGCATCCGAGGTTTCTTCTTGGTCAAGCACGACCTCGTACCTGCCTAAGTTAGATATGCAGTGTTTGATCTCGCGTGCATGCATGCGAGGGGCGACGACATGGGAAGAGACGATGGAGAGAGGCAAAGACCTTGAAGGGAAGGAGCTGAGGGGTTTTGGCTTGGAGCTGCTGCATGGGTTCTGCGATGGGTAGTCGGCATGCAGTGATGGTGGTAGTGTGTAGCTGTGCCGACCGTTGGTAGATAAGTCACTAGTCTCAAGAGTACAGGAGAAATGGATTTCGTTATGGAGGAGATGTCGCTTCGGACGGCCAGTGGGCCCTCCTCGTCGCGCACAGCGCTCGGCAGATAGACAGGTCGACACCGACAGACAGACATAGGTGTGTCTCCAGGACTCTTGTTTCTGGCGCCTCGGTCAACATTGTCGACATCGGCTCATGAGACTTGAAGATGCAGGCATGCTCGTAAACCATGCAGTTCGAATTGCCGCTGTGGTCTGAGGAGGTCAGGCAGGAAACCCGTCACCCAGGGCAAATCCTGTTCAGGCCAGTCCCGTAGCTTCATGCATGTACTCAATAGGCAAATGGAAAAGCGCAAGAAAAGTTAGAGCAAAGAACTTCATTTCCTCCAAGCGATCCACTTGGCGATGAGGAATAATCTCCTCTTGTAGGAAAATGACGATCGAAAGGAGGAGAAATCCAAATTCGACTGCGCATTAGAGCGAAGGGACCGATGACCCTCGGCACATTCTAGTCGCATGGAGGAGATTAAAAGAAAGTAAAAAAGCCAAAAGAGGTGAAATGAATTCTTTGATGCGCAGCGTCTAGCATTGCAGAATGCATATGCAAAGTTAAGGAGAAGGCTTACCGCTGCATGCTGCAGGAGGCGGATTGAGTAAACACATGCACGGGCCACATACCTAGGTACCTAGCCGTCTCGCCGCAGTGTGCATCGCAGACTGCAGATACGAGTGCAGATGGGAAGAAGATCTCGGCTGGTTTCGCTGCCGTGAAACATGCAGTCGATAGCTTCATGCATGGATCATGGTATCTCCAGATTGAGGTGGAGAGAATTGATTGCAACATGACGATAATGACGATAAATGTGCGAATGCAGTAGTGGAGCTCGGATTCTTTCCTAAAATGTGGCCATTGGCCATGCGCTTTGACAATGGTAAGCGCGACCCGCCGACTCGACGATCGCGATGGATTGCAACGAAGTGAATGTCGTTTATCTCGAAACACAGGTTGAAACTTGAGAGATTTGGACGAGCCTGGTGCGGGCTTGTCTGTCAGTATTACAGAAATTAGAAATGGAGAATGAATCGGGAGTTGGCAGTTAGCTCTGCTGAGAGTAGCCGCAGGTAAATCTATTATTTGCTCGTCTCTGATTTTATCGCCGCCATCTGCAGTGGTCCAACTAGCTGGTGCATAGCACATGAGATCTGGCTGGCGGAATCAGCACAGGACCTGCCATGAAAGGTGTTTTCTTTCCCAAAAACTTGAAGGGGTGGATGTAGTTCGTGTGTAGAATTGAAAATGTGTTTTCTCGAAACCTCCGGGGCAACAATCACCTTCTATCCTAGATGGCCTTTCGTCTCTCGCTTGATGGAATCCCAGATGCCATCTAGTATAAATGATATATCACAAGAACCCAAAAAGGTCGACCAAAACCGTCGTGCCTTGTCCAAACCCGAGACCTATCAGGTAGGGGTTATACCGGTATCTTCATGCTCATGCTCATGCGCCTGCGCCTGCTAATGAGTATGAAATCGTGTTAACTCCGTCATGCGCGTCGTAATCCTTCTCTTTATTTTCTCTCTTCAGTTTTTACCTCTTTCTGGATCAGGTATCAGTGTATTATTGATTAATTTTTATGGCGGCGTTGCAGTTGCCACTGTTGTTCCAGGACACCTTCATCCGGACCCTGGTTCCCCTTTGAACCAAACCTTCCCAAATCCTATATGTAATCTGAACCAGCAGATTCAATTCATGGTCGTAAATTAAAAGTACATACGTGCGAAGAAAAAGCTTATAAGCTGATGCGGTTGTGTTGTAACCATTATGTAGTGGCTGAAATGCAAAATCGAGGGATGTGTAGGGGTGACTGGATGGAAAGCCCCTAGTCGAGAAAGAGTGCAAACAGATACAGCCACCAGGTGAAATCATTATAACCACGGGCCTCATGTGTATACCGAGTTTCCCTGTTCTAATAATCGTAGCTCGTCGAATTTTGGGGGTCTCAGTATTGTAAAATCGTCTTGATCTGAAGAACGTTATGTCGGGGAGTGGCGTGAAGAACAATTGGTCCTCCCAGGCTAGACGGAAGGAGAAGCACTATTGATAGACCCTTCTTGTCGCTGGTCCGGATCTTGTTTGAGTTCGAGTTGCGGGCTATTGACCTGTTGATGAAGATCTCGCGCGACCGCGGTGACCGCTTGTGTTCGTTCGTTCGACCGCAGTAGCAATCTATCAGACGGACTTTGCGCCACATCAATACTCCTCTCATTCCCAGAGTCCTCTAGTGGAGACTTAGGCTGTAGCCCCGACGGCGGATCATCGTAATTCTGGTAACGCTTTCTTCTCTTTCCACTAGAAGTTTCCTCTTGAGGATCAGTACGTGACGCCGACGGAGTCTCCACACCGGGTGACCTCGTCGAAAATGTTTCGGATAAAGAGTGCGGTGTGTCAGACGGTCTAGGCTTCTTTGCTGGTCGCTTCTTTGGTTCATAGGTCTGACCTGTTGCTGCCAGCCTCCGGTCGCGTTCCTCAGCCTCCTCTTTCGTTGGTCGACCACGCTTTCTGCGCCGTTCCACCCCAAGTTCTGGCGCAAAAGGTCGTAAGATGGTGAAGGCCTCTCCATTCGTACTCGCAGGAAGAGGTGAATCTGTTGTCCGAGGGGGACGAGGCTGGAGTGTGCGTTGAGTTGGTGCCGGGTTGAAGTCATGTTCGGATACTGCTCTCGTGGGCGGGTGTGGTCCCAACAAGGGTGGTTGCGCATAGCTTGTGGGACCAATTGCAGAGAACGATCGTGGATGCCGTAAATTGCGCACCATGTCTTCATAGTACTGTTGACACGCATTGAGCGAGCGGCCTAGGTTACTGTCAGCAAGTGTCCAGTGTGAGCAGCTCAACTACGACGGAGATATCAACGAGTTGTGCGCGCCCATCTCAACGACTTTGACGGCCATCGTTGTTGAGTATCACACGTACCTTCGGGTAACGCCATATCGGGCCATTTGGGTTGCATGTTGTGCTCTAGTATTCCCTGCAGAAGATACAACGGGACATCGTTGCCGGCGCTCTGAATAATGTTGGTCAAAAGGACGATTTTCTCCGAATTCTTCCATGGCGTGGTGAACTGATTTGACATCGGGAAGAGATGCAAGGAAGGGCAAGCTTGCTGTCAAAGAAGACGGGCTGCATGTGACTGTCATTAAGCGCAATAGTCATCGGCATGTGGGTTTCTGAACCGTGCGTCTAAGTCGGGCGGAAGTGAAGGATAGGAATCGATACGGCGGAGGCACAGAGACGAAGAAAAAGAGTGTGGTATTACTCGAATCAGGTGAGAGCCTGGAGGGCGTTTGAAGTCCAACTATAGAGCGGTCGCCATACAAGAAATCGATGAAAAATCGTGGCCTGCTCAAGGCATGGTTGGATGGTGCTCGCAAGAATTCATTAGTTGGTCCAGTGTTAGTGGCAGTCGATGGATGGAATGCCAGTCAACGGAAGAGCAGTCCAGTCAAACCCACCGCAATGATGAATCGAGGGAGTCCAGTGGCAGATGATCAGGAGGCGCGGGTAGGCCAGTGTAGGCCGCAGCTGCAGAACATCCAACGGCGCGACGTGAGTGGTGGATTCCAGATGACCATGTTTTTTCTCGTGCGCGACTCACGACAGACAAGGGACGAAGGAGGTTTGGATCGACTTCCTGCCTGCCACCGCATGTCAAGTGCTCGACTCCATCGCTCAAGGAAGGTTCCGTGGACCGTGAATCGTCAGTAGTGGGCAGTGGTGGGCAGCAGACCTCCGCCTGCAGAAGGACCTGTGACCTTTGGGCTCAGAGAATCTCGACTGAGCTGTTTGCAGCTGCAGCACACGTCAAAAAGCTATGCAAAGCTAGAGCCCAGAAGCGCATGGTGGAGGTTGGTAGTGGTATGGTAGTGGCTGAAATGGAGCTGGATCATGGTGAATGGTGGAAGATCCTGTTCTCCTGCAGCAACCCAGTGTCTTTCAGGTTTAGCCGGGGAGGTCTTGGTCTTGCTGGTTCATGGCCACAAGATTAGGGTAATTATAAACGGATCCCAAGATGGGATGGCCGGGGCAAAGCTCAGCTGTTGGGAACTCGAGAGCCATGCCCCTGCAGGTTGCAGCAGATCAATCTCGACAACTGCTTCGCCTCTGGGAAAAGTCATGGTCTCACCAAATGCTCCGTTTTCTTTGTCTCCGAGTCCATGATCGACTGAAATTTGATAGACGAGAGTGGATGTGACGGGGGGGTCCATCTCCAATAACGGAGCATCCCGCTCGGGGACCTTGGGTGCCAATTGCAAACCTCTATTGCGTGTTGGAGGCTGTCCCAGCCACCCAATGATCGCCCAAAAGTCGCCTAAGCTTCGTAGGTCGTACACCCACACCATGCAACATCTCCATTTCCATCACAACTGCTTGTCAATTCTATCCAGAGATCAGATGTCCTTTGAAAGGGCGACCCCATCGTTGTCGCAGCCTTGTCACTTTGTATCAACATCAACTTACTTGGAATCCGAAACTTGGGTAGGGTGTTGTACAACCCAATCTTTTAACCAGGTTGCACGAAGTGCCGGTGCCGGTGCCCCAGCGGTTCGGCGATAGATTAGACGTGACCCTAGGCTGCCATGGCTGTGTTTGGGGGCTCCCTTGCTTGAAAGTGGTCCGAGGGGCCGCTCGAGGCCGCCTGGGGGCCCCTCCCTTTCAAGTGCCCCGAGCGATCTCAACTTGAAAACTCCATCAGTATATGATCCCACCACTTTCAGTTACCAAAACGTTCTCGCTTTATATAGAGCTCATCAGCGTCACCATCATCATCTTGACCGCCCTTTGCCGCGCGACAGCTCGCCAATTCGAGCCAACGCATCAATGACGGTGTTGGGCAGTCTTGCAGAGCCACGTTGCAGCGTCTGGAGGTTTACCTGATGCTGGCCTTGAGTCTGCCGAAGCTAAAGAGCAACCGCCTCACTTTAGCGAGTACACTCTGCCATTCGGGACATGCGCTTAGATTCGCAATATCCCCGTGTTGTGCATGGGAGATCGGTCATGTGGTGATCGATTTGTTGATCGTGTTCCTCCTGACCAGGTTACAAGAGTGACTTTCCAGAATATACTTCGTCCACATTCCTCGTGCTCACCATTGATATTGTACCACGTGGCGTCGATTCAATGGTGCATTGCTGATCTGACTCTCCACAGTTATTTGAATGTCAAGACGAATGATGGTCTCTATATTGTTTGGAGTTGATCCGTGACATCAAAGAATAAAGAACGGACAATGATGCTGACCAAATATTGATCAAAGTTAAGCGGTGGCAGACTTCGCAGACCTTGTATCACAAGAATCATGCTGGTTCGGCAGTGCACTGGCAATTTCTCTGAAGCTCATGCAGGGTTGAGACGTCGGTCACCCTTTCGTCTATTGTCACGTTCCAAGCCATGAAACCTCCTCGAGAAGATTCACGAAACCGAGAAACATAAGGAGGAAAGCTGCAGGTGAGCCGAGCCATCAATTCTGATCGAGAGGAAATTGCAATTGAATATCATCATGGGAGATTTGATCTGGTCGTTCCAAAACTAGAACACCCAGTGTTCGACTATTTTTTCGTCTGGTTTGGGACATCGTGGTGCGACTACTGGCGGTGGACCAAACTCCTGTTACAGAGAAGATCAGGACATTGTTTTGCACGAGAACGAGAACCGCCATTTCCGTTGTTGTTTGGGAGGGCGATTCTCCGCAGAGTCCTGGACTTTTCTTTGCGTGTTGGGTTGGCAGGTATCCGTACTCGCTACAGGCGATGAAGGAGATGTGAGTGCGTGGGGAAACTCAACTCCCCTGAAGAGCTTCATGATGGCGGTGCCCTCCATCAGACTGGCTCTAGGTTCTTCAAAGTACAGAAGTCACTTCTCTGTACCTGGGCACATCACACGTCCTACTTAATTTCAATCGTACAAACAAATCTTCCATCTCCAGGTCATGCTCGGGCTGCGTGTGCACGTGACTTTCTATTTTTCCTGTCATATTCACCTCAAGATCTTTTGGATCACTGCTTCGACCATGTCACCACGATCATTTCACACAAATTTTGCTTCTGAACGCGCACCTGGCGCCTGCTTTCTCGCTCGGACCTAACCCATCGCTATCAACGCGTGCGCAATTTACGAGCCGCGATTAGAAAGTCGGCCAGAATGTCGCAACCAACCCCAAACTCTCCCTCGGTGGTGATGAACTCGGCGGGCAATAGACAGCAGGTGCCACTACGAGACTACCTCAACGCTCGCATTGCTCCATTCCTGAAAAAAGCCATTACAGAAAGTCTGGGAGTCGAGTATGTAATCTCAATCGATGTCCACTCCGTTGGTCTCGTCATCTTTTCAGGCAAATACTGACCATCTATGGCAGAGCTGAATTCCCTCTCCAATGGCTGGGCGAGTGCCTTATCCACCACTCGATTCTCTACGAAGGAAATCCTGACCGTACAAACATTCGCGAAAAGTTCGTCCACAAATTTGAAGATCCAAAGCCCGAAGAGCAATATATCCCCACGGAGAATGCTACATCGCCTGCCCCAGCCCCATCCACCTTACCCGAACCAAGTACTGCAGATGTACCGAACTCGCCAAATGCACCGGCAGAGAAAGAGATCACGATGGACGAAGCAGCTTCTACAGTACAACAATCCGCCCAACCATCCTCAGAATCAACACTCGTGCCCGATAGCGCGCAGCCACCGCCTGTGGTTAACGGTGTGAAAGAGGATGGAGCGACTGCTGTAAACAGCCCTGGAAAAGACGGCGACACTGAGATGGGTGGTGTGTCGTGAAGCAGACTGTGCATACAACATCATGCAGCTCATAATCTGGGCAAAATGCCCTTCTGTCACATCCAGTCGGAAAGGTTGCTGTCAGTCAATCCTACGTTGCACAAGAGCTGGGAGATCACAAGATCCGTACTGAATTGAGGCTACACGATACGCTGACAATGTGTTCATTGCTTCTATGGAGGAAATCCAGTACGATGGCCGGCCCTTGTCAGCACCAGCCCGAGGCCCTGTCCGTCTCAGCCATGATAGGAAGGCGTCAATTTCCCTTCAACGGAGAATTTCCCAATTTCGCTTCCTTAGCGAAGCATGGGCAGGACAATTATCACTGATGAAATTCACGCGGCGGCCTCGTGTGCTAGGAAAATACGAGGAATGACCAGGCTTAGAGAATTTCGTTGCCGGGGAATTCGTCACTCCGGTGTACAATGCAGGACCAGGTGGAAGAGAATCGATAAGTCTGAATCTAGTGGATGTAGAGCCTTGCTCATCCACAATTACGTGGACACTTGATGTCGTCTACCTTATAGCAGCCTGATATCCTGGTTCATCCAGCACCCAACATCTATCGAAACGAGGGCCACCGGTAGCACTGGACAACGGAACGACACAGACGTTGCACTGGGCTTGCAAAGGGACAACAGGGATAGTCTCCAGCTCACTCATTTGGTCGTACCCAATTAGTCTCTAGAAATAGCAACATAGCCTACTGGGTATTCGTACTACGAATTGAATGACGGGTTGACTCCTTCGTACAGTTGGCAACAGAAAAGGACTGATGCAATATTGTGGCACTTTCACCTGGACTGAATCAAGAATTAGTTTAGATCACAAAACATAAAAACTTGACATCAAGAGCAGGGTGAAGGCGAAGTATCAGAAGTCCATTGAGATCATCGAAGGAGCCACACATGAGTATGAATCCCTTCTGCAATCAAGAGGTACCAGAAATAAATAGTTTAAAAAACGTTGGGTGTCATCATTTGAGGGAAAATAGAGGGACAGTAAGTGATGGGCAAGTTCATACCTTTGATTTTTGATATCTGGTGGAAAAGACGAGGTCTCCTAAAGTGAGGCTCGCTGCGAGCTCATTATAAGCATCATGAAGGACATCATACCATAAAGTTCCATGGAAAGTACAAAGAGAACGATGAATGAGAGGGACTTGAGGCCGTCGGAGGAATGAACTTGGAAGGAACAAACATGGAAAAAGTTCAAGTTTCATGCTCCAAAAACTCCAACCAATCAGCACAGTGCCAAGATTTTCGGTCTTGGCACACAATTCCGAAAGTGCGACCGACTTCAGCAGACCTGCGACTTCAACGTCTTGCACCTCGTCCAACTGACAATTTCAGACAACAACGCCAACTGTCATCATGGGTCGTCTTCACAGCAAAGGAAAGGGTATCAGCTCTTCAGCTATCCCATACTCGCGATCTGTCCCCACCTGGTTCAAGAGCACCCCGGAGACCGTTGTCGAGAACATCTGCAGACTCGCCAGAAAGGGTGCCACTCCCTCGCAGATTGGTGTTGTCCTCCGAGATAGCCATGGTGTCGCTCAAGTCAAGGTCGTCACTGGTAAGAGGAGAAATTTGTACCCCGCGCAATTTTGTGTTGTGGGACGAAACTGACGAGTGTGCTTGCGCCAATAGGTAACAAGATTCTGAGAATCCTCAAGTCTCACGGTATGCATAACCCTCAGTTCGCCTTGATGTGAAAGCAAAAAAAAAAAGACGAAAAGGGTTTCTTCCGGCTTCCAGTTGGAACGAATGGATATTCCTCTCTCAATTTGCATTGTCCCTGTGGACACTAGCAAAAGTACAATACTGCCTCTGCATTGGTCCAAGAGACTGACAGAGAGACAATCAATAGGTCTTGCACCCGAAATCCCAGAAGATCTTTACATGTTGATCAAGAAGGTATGTTTGGATATCCCTCTGAGGATCAAGTCTCAAAATATTGTGAGGGAAATTTCGCTGACAATTGATTGTGAAGGCCGTCGCCGTCCGCAAGCATCTCGAGCGAAACCGCAAAGACAAGGACTCCAAGTTCCGTCTCATTCTCATCGAATCCAGAATCCACCGCCTCAGCAGATACTACAAGACCGTCGGTGTTCTACAGCCCAACTGGAAGTACGAGAGCGCCACCGCAAGCACCTTGGTTGCATAAGCGCGTGTCAAATGCATATTGTCAACTCTCAGCATCATGAATGGTGATGGTCAAAAATTCATCGACTTTAGAAATCGAAGCACTCAGAATCTGGGGAGGACCCGGTGGAATCACGATCTGGTGATAGTCACCCTTCCGGACATGGGCTTCGTGCCTTGATGATGCCATAGACGAAAAGCGATCGGTGTTTCAAACCAAATCAATAAAGATATCCCGCACCTAAAGTGTGAGCATTTGAATTCTATCTTGACGACTGTTTCTTCTGAGCATGAACGGCGATATCGTGAAACAAAATTGATCTTGATACCCGTGACTGACCCCAAAGCATGAATGCTGATAAAACGAAGCCCCATGATTGGTTTAAACTACTAACAATCATTCCAGACAGAAAGTGCTCGGAAATCATCCTTGAATATGACCATAAACTCACTCCCCGTGGACCAAGACGCGCAAGCGCGACTTTGTCGGTCATGTATGTGTCAATACGTACGCCAACCCCCTTATCAAGCTCAACAATCCTCCTGCTCACTTCTTCTCCTTTGACTTATTTTTCAAACGACTTGCGCTGCCAGCACTCGCAATCAAGTTCCTCACATCCGCGGCAATTGCCGCCCTCGTCCTGGTCGCAACGCCCGGAGCCGGCGGCTCCCACTTTGTTACATTCCGTGCCATCTTCATCTTCCTCAACCTCAGGTTCGGCACCTGCTTCGGCTGCAGCTCGGCCGTCCGGGGTACATCGCTCGCCCAAGTGATGTTCTTGACTGTCCTTCGAGTTCTCGTGGGACTACGTAGAACACCGCGTCTCGACTTGTTCTCTGGACTGTCATCGCCCAGGTTCGGTAAGGTGGGATAGGCGATTTGAGATTGGTCTTCTGTGGTGTCACTTCCAAGGTTGGTTCCACGTTTCCCTTGTTGGTCCTTGGACTGGACCTTTTATTGGAATTGGTTTGTCGTGCTTGTCTTGGGTGACGAGATACGTTACTTATGGCCGCAGGGCTTTCCTCGTACGGTTTCCGTGCTTTCCTGGCGGGTGCTGGAGCCCTCGAAATGGGATCATGTCGGCGGGCCTCAGCAGCTGATCGGGTAGTTCGCTGGGGAACATCTCGACTTCGTGACGCTGGACGCTGGCTTACATATCCTGGTAGTTTGGGGTAAGATATTTCGACAGGCAGTTCTGGGTAGGTGATCTCTATAGGCAATTCAGGGTAAGTGATCTTGATGGGTATTTTCTTCGTTCCAGGCAACTCAGGGTATGAGACTTTGACAGATCTTCTCTTCACCATCTTTCTCAAAGGCTCAATGGCAGGCAGGCAGAAATCACAATCAGAGTTATTCTAAATGAGATTAGAATCACATCAACTCGCTGAAGAAGAGATTTGACCGCTGGCACAGGTTGTAAATTGACGATAAGGACAACGCTCGAGAGAAGAGTGGCATGATCAAGCAAGCAATGTCGCAAGCTACGCACTTTGGACACGAGTCAGTTTGCTTTGTTTGCAAACACAATATCTCATGGCCACTCAACTATGAAGCCCAATTGTTCGACGAGTGAAACACCGAATGTGGACTTGAGAGCTCCATTGGCACAAAGGAATGTCAGTGCTGGAAACTCCACCTTCAATGAAAAATATTGATTGTGATAGCCCGGATTGGAACGAATGCTGCCAAACAAAGCGGCACGGGGGCTTTGTCTGGTGGATCCTGGACATGGCCAGGGGTGCAGAGACGATCATCCATATCACAACAGTCATATCCTTTGTCGACTCAACAGTGCGTTTCCGTAGCAGCAATGTCACTTGTAGCTTCGCGAGATCTTTGAGTCAATGATCATGCGAGATAACGTACAAGAGAAATTGGCAACTCGATTTACTACTAAAACGTTAGGTGTCGATGACGGACAAAGTTTACTCGTTTCTGAGCACGACCTATACATCAGGTCAACTCGTGTAAATATGTCTTCATGCTTTGTGTCAGGTAGGTATAACATGTCCCGAGCTATTCATAGAGATGTTTCCGAGAGACAAAAGAGCCTTGGTTGTCAGGCCATGTACTATTTAGGCATGTCTGCCGGAACCACTAGATCAACCATTCTCTTAGCGTCTACTACCGATTTACTTCGAGTCCGATACGTGAGATACGTTCAATACGCATAGTATTCGTGTCAGCCTCGAAATGTGGGAGTTATGAAGAGTCATTCCGACCGCGAAGTTGCATATGTTGTGCTGCCTCACTTCCCGTGAGAGGACAGAGTCCGGTCTCTTTGCATGGTAGAGATGGGGAACCGTGTTCCGCCACGTCCCTGTTCCACCTCGGCCGACCCTGGCGACGATTCCTATGGTCCCCAGATGACCGACGCGAGCTTCTGCTCATGCGCAGAAACCAAGGTAGGCAGTATGCGGCACCAATGCGTATCATACGCAGGTCAAATTTGGGGTTGCCGGATGTATATTTTCAGCTTGTCCTAGGACCCTGTTCAAACTCGGAACACGTTCCACACTACTCACTTCGACTTGGTGGGAGGCTTTCTCCGATATTCTTAAGATCTCGAGCTTTGAGTTACATTCCTAGAATCTATTGAGAGCTCACAATCAAGTCGGATTGAACTGGTATAATGACACAACCACTCATGAACGGTTCTACCAATGCCAACGATGGTAAGGCAGTCAACGGAGCACCCGAACACAGCACTGTACTAGTCGTTGGAGGAGCAGTAGTTGGCTGCTTTACAGCTCTCAAGCTCGGTCAGGCTGGAATTGATGTGACAATCATCGAGAGACAACCTACCACCAGCGACAGCCCACGGGCCGTTGGATACTATGGGGCAGCACAACTGTTTATGGATGAAGTTGGAGTGTACAAGTTCGTTCGCGATGAGGGCTTCATGACGCGTGGGCTGTGTTGGAGAAAAAGACCAACAGACGATGGTAAAGGTGGAAAGCAACTAGGAGATGTGATTGCACGCCAGCACCTATGTGCTCCAGACGAGACCGTCTTCGAAGTGAGTGCTGGACAGTTGAATCTCCCACAAGCGGATTTGAATAAAATTGTCCTTCGGCAAGCCCTGAAGACTGGCCATGTCAAACTCCATTTCAATACAGAACTTGTCTCCATCCTACACAACGAGGGGAAAGACGTCACTGTCCTTGTGAGAGACATCAATACAAACGTGGAACGCAAGTTGACTGCGACTTACTTGGTTGGTGCTGATGGTGCAAGGTCGCAAACACGAAAGGCTCTTGGTATTGCGTTTGCAGGCCATACTTGGCCGGAGAGGTTGATAGCCACGAATGCCCTAAAGTACAACGAGATTCAAGTCGACCTCCCCACTTGGTACACCATGGACAGAGTTCATTATACAATTACAACACCCCTGGAAGAGCCGGTGCTCGGAAAGAAAACCCTCTGGAGGTATACTATTGCTGCGGATCCTGCAGATACGAGACCGGATGAGGAGCTCATAAGCGATGAAAACATTTTCAAGCACTACGAAAATGTGATGTCCGGGCCCAGACCTCTGCAGGTCCAGATTGAAGCTAGGTCGACATATCGCATTCACCAACGTCTTGCCTCAACATTGAGAAAAGGCAATTGTCTTCTAGCAGGTGATGCTGCGCATGTTAACAATGTAAGTGCTTCCACTCAGTATCATTAGTAATCGTTAACTGATCACATGGAAGCCTTATGGAGCGCTAGGTCTCAACACTGGCATTCTGGATGCGGACGCTCTGGCTGAGGCACTGATCATGATTCTGAAGGAGCAGTATCCCCCCTCCTTACTGGACATCTATTCCGACGAGCGCCGCAAAGTCTTTCAATTCTTCGTCGATCCAACCTCGACTCAGAACAAATTACGAGTTCACTCGAATCACGAAGATGAAGCCGTCCAAAATGATTGGTTCTTCCGCCTGTTGCAGAACCCGACATACCAGGAGTTGAAGGAAATGGCCAAGCCATATTTTGAGACTTGGAGGACGAATATCAGGAAATTGGCTGAAGTTATCCAGCTTGGGTCCCCAATTCATCAATGAGGTCATGTATCCGGTTCAAGGAAAGAAGTGACCGGTCTTCTTCCGTGCTATTATAAATTTGGATCCCACTAATCATCTACGAACGAATAAGAGAGTGTAGTCTGCAAATCTTACAGATCTAGATGTACCTCACTCTATCCTCGGACTAAGGCCTTGGAGTTCTTACATCCTCGGCCCTACCTTTAACGATCATTAGTAAAATCCTCCTGATGAGGACATTTCTCACTGCTTATCACGGACCGATACCCAAGCTGATCAATATGAGCTCAGTCTTTCACGTATTTGACTTGTGTGGCCATCTGTCCACGAACCCCAAAGCTTTGGCCGAGGACGTGGGGAAAACGCCGACGGCAGGCCTCAACCCCATACAGCGGCCCGACAATCATTTCAGCTGACATTCTGTCTGTTCTGTCCTTCTACCGAATTTCGAAGCTCAGAGACTCCACTTGATCAGGAGGAAGCTGCAACAATGCGAGCCCCAGAGATGCAAGCTCAGGGGATGGTGCGAATCGCAAGATGGGATTGGAGACCCCAGATAGGTTCGGTGCAAGCTGTGGGGAACAAGGCGCTAAGCAAATGCAATGTGCCTGATCGACTACTTACAGGCCTACCGCAGAGGAAAATGTTACAATACATTAGCACGCCAGTTGCTCCATGACTCTGACTTTGATACTCGAACTGGCTCAAGTCAAACCACGCAGACATGACAGGAGCAATGGAAGTGATGCAGTTGGTCCAAATATCGTTCACTTTATCTCGAGCAATTTTTCTGGTCATCACTCTGATCACTGTCCATGTTCTGTATACAATCATATACCGGATATGGCTTCATCCTCTGGCAAAATACCCTGGTCCTTGGTTTGCCAAAATCTCCACTTTGTACATGATAACCAAGGCGGTCGGATGCAGGGATACGTATACTCGCCACGAGTTGTTCCAGAAGTACGGCAATGTCGTCCGCACTGGCCCCAATGAGTTATGCTTCGCAGACATAAATTCCATCAAAGAGATCTATGGCCAAAGTGCAGAGCCATGCCTCAAGAATTCTTTCTACGATGGCTTCACGTTAACTGGAGGAACACATTCCGTCTTCTCCTCCAGAGATCGTGCGGCTCACGCCCGAATGCGCAGACTCTTATCCAACGGTCTCTCGGAGCGTGGAGTACTTCGTGTACAAGACGAGCTCAAGGTGATGATTGAGCGATATCTAGACATAATTCTCGAACAGTCTAAGATACGGTCCCCAGACAAGGGTAGACAGCGCGAAACTCCTGTTATCGAGCTCCACGACCTGACTCATAACCTCTACCATGATATTATCAGCCTCCTCAGTTTCGGAAAATCATTCGACATCCTTGCAAATGGACGCAAAAACCAAGGTGCTGAAGACATTGAAACGTACTTTAGCATATGTCCCCTTTATGGCACCTTCCCCCTGGCACGATATCTTCCATTCGGAATCTTCAAAGCCGCCCGGCAAGCACAGCCGCGAATCATCAAGTTCGTGCAATCTTGTATCGACGATTACAGAGATAGACTCACCCACGAGAAGAATGGAGGTGCTGTGTCGTCACAAGAAGGCCTTCTCCGACTTATGCTCGAAGCCAAAGATGAAGAAACAGGCACGACGTTTTCGGATGAAGAGCTCATTGAGAACGCTGTTATTTTCATCCTCGCTGGGAGCGGGACCACCGCCTCAACACTCCTCTACCTGATTTATGAGCTAGGTAGAAGACCACATATGCAACGAAGGCTCGAGAAGGAAATTCGAGATGCTTTTCCTGAGCCGGCCGTCTTCCCGGACTTCGATACTGCCACAAGACTGGTGAGTGATAGACTCCGCTCCTCAATAGCTCCAAATCTGACAAATTTGTGCCTTTGCCCATCTATCATCCGTAAGCATTCGCTGACAATATCATTCCACGATTAACAGCCATATCTCAACAACATCGTCCAAGAAGTCCTTCGTCTCCGTGGGCCTATCCCCACGACAGCACCACGCCTCTCACCCGGGAAATCAATCGGGGGCCACCACATCCCTGCGGGCGTGACCGTTAGCAACCTACCTTACAGTACTCAGCGCGATGCGACCGTCTTCCCAGATCCGCACACCTTCGAACCCGACCGCTGGGACGAACCAACACCAGAGATGAAGCTCATGAACCGCCCGTTCAGCTCAGGCCCGCGCAACTGTGTCGGCATGCATCTTGCTCGCGTGCAGCTGTTCCTCACGGTCGTGGCGCTGTATCAAAGATTTGACATCGAGGTGGACCCGTCCACAACGGAGGAGATGATGGTGCTGCGGGATCAGGGTATCATGACGCCTGTGGGGAGAAAGCTGTGGGTGCGTGTTAGAGCTAAGTCAGATGACTAGATAGGATTCCACATGAAGGTGGCATTCGCCGTCGTGGGATTGAATGAGGAGTCTGCTACATAAATCCAGATACTGTGAGTCAATTTACGAAGATCCCAGGGGTAGTGAGACTGTATGCAAGCACATGTGGTACTGAATGAGATGAATGGCATACCAAACCTTGTTTTCGTTCTTCAAACCATAGGCTCCTGGAACAGCGATAGTCTATCTTGCTTCTCTTTTTCAGACCAGTCTTCAGAAAGCCAAGAGTAATAAGACTAGTAAGTCCCGGTTTGCGACCTCAAGATGTCATCTCTGACTCTGCAACCGAGTGCGATCTGACTTCGTAACAGCTCGGCATCCCCACCCGCGGCTGTCAGCCTCAGGTGTGTTCGCTACAACTCGGCGGTACGCCACTTCCCTGGCTTCATGTAACTAAAGAAAACTACCCAAGACCGGGTTCTTGAACGAAGTGTTCTGTATTCACAGGCCGCCAAATATACTACACCGTGCGATCTCGTATAGTCTCTGACTACACCACAACAACAGTTTTCTCAAAGCTACCCAAGGCTTCTCCCTAGCCACTCTTCAGAAACTTTTGGAACGGCCCTGGATACCGAAGTAGAATATGGCTGATTTCAACTCACCCGGCTCGATAGCACGCAGCGTGGCCAAAAGCGAAATCGAAAGCCTTTTCCACCGCTATGCAGTCCTAGCCAAGGAGACCGCAACGCCAGATAAAATGGCACAAGTGTTCCATCCAGACGGCGTGTTCAGACTTCCCAACGGCGTTGCCGTCAAGCCGGCAGATCTGCTCACAGTGGTACAGGGCAACAACCCAAAGTTCATTCGACACCATATCACCAGCATTGACATCGAGTTTGTCTCTCCGGATGAAGCGCATACCGAGGCATTCTATCTTGCTGTGACTAATTTGTCGTCTCCGGATCACTGGGGTTGCTGGAAAGACGTCGTCACCAAGGGACAGGATGGAAAATGGTTGATTTTCGACCGTACTGTTGTTGTCGATGGCGGCGATCCGAAGGGGTGGTTCAAGGCGACTTATCCTGGTTGAACGGAATTCGATCAATGCATGTGCGGGAACGCGTGCCAGAGATAGGACTTCAAAGGGTGCACCAGAACTCATGCTGCACGAAATCTGAAGGTGGCTCAAGGTTTCAGAGAGTGATATCTTTTTCTGATTGGTGGCTCAGATCTTATACAGTTCATCTGATGAGGCTTTTCACAATCGCGGCCATGTGCCTTGCACAGTCCCAATCCTGTTCGATCGCTTTCAAAGCCGTGTGGAACCCTTGCAAGATCCTGCGTGATGAAAATAAAGGCCGATTTGATGATCTTCTTGTAGTCGCTGTGGCCAGGCCCTCTTCCTCCAACCTACCCCACAAGACCAAAGCGCCGTAGAAAAGAGCTAAAGGATACCACATTGGGCACACAGTGACCCCTGGTTTAGATGCGCTGTCAGCCTCACTCAACGTGTTTTGTGCATCTTCGACCGCCTCCAGTATCTTGACAGCAGATTGAACGGCGTCGTCGCTGAAGAAGATTCCAATCTTGTGTGGTGAACATGGCCGGAGCACAGAAGCTGGCAGTGTCTCGTATGGCTCTGCGGTGTACCCAGCGAGTGAAGGAACCACATACATGGCAGGTCCTCCTTCCAGGAGAATTCTAGCTAGATGAAGTAGTGCCATCATTGAATAAGTCTGTGGTGGAGCGTCTTTTGCCGTGCCCAAGGTCTGCGTGGCACGGGCTGCAAACGATGTCTGCCACATTGTCAAAGAGTTTGATAGGCGAACTTTAAGATCGTTGTAGTCTCTATCTGTCGTGAAAGGAACATGGGGATTGGGTGGAGTGGCGTTGGGAGCCTGCGTTGTCATTCCCTGACCAAGTGCATCATGGAGTTCATGTTGATCTTGCCCTGAGATTCTGGTAGATCGCAGTCTAATTGAGCTGGCAGCCGATGTAAGAGGTCCTAGAGAGCACTGGAGGGTATTTATCGTTGACAGCAAGACAAGAAGAATCAATAAATAGTCCTCGTCTGAAAGCTTTGGTGGAAGGATGCGTCCCTCAAGCATAAGCGCATTGCATAAGGTTTTCAAGTCATGCTGACCTTTTTCTCCTAGACCCGTGGACCAGATGGGATCAACTGTCGAGCTGGTATATAAGTGGATTGATTTAAGTGTATCAACCATGATGTAGTAGCATCTAAGCCTAGAAAAGTTACTATATTGTATCGAAAGCCTGAACTTGGAACCGATTTGGACTTACGAGCGGATTTCACTTTCAATCGAACCTCTATCTGAAGAATCCAGAGACGTCATGTGAAAATCTTGGCGGAAGAGAGTCTGACGTTGGATTAATTGATGCTTAAGCAAATTAGGGAGACGACTTACTGCTACTAGGTAACCATCGATGCTTTTTGTGAGACGCCAAGCATTGAGACTTGTCTGCATTACGCCATACGAGACGAGAAGTGTTACCTGGTAGAGACTTCATCAGCTGCATGAGTCGAAAATTGAATGAAGTTGATGAGTGCCAGAGGGTGTATCGGATTCAATGGATTATCAGATGATTGAGGTGACAAACCGCTGAGAGCCAACCGACAACTCTACCTAGACTATTGTCCACAGATACAGAAGCGGTGACGAGCGTCGTACATGCCAGCCATAGTTTATCAGTCATCTTGCGATGCTGAGCATCTCTCGATGTGAACGCCCCGAATAGTGCTTTGCACAGAAGCAGATCGAAATGCTTGCTCCTGCGATGTGCAGCAAGCGACGGAACCTTGGAAAGAAAAGCCGTTGAAGGAACCACCCTCTCAAGGAAGCATTGTGACAATTGATGGAGAATGGTCGGTGGCGGCAGATCCTGGAGGTCTTCGAATAATGCCAATGGATAGCCGAGCCCAGCCTCAAAAGATTCTTGGTTGACGGTTGCGTCTGCATCTCGACTCACGTGGTCACAGGAGAAGGAACAGCATTCTGCATCTGTACAATAATTGCTTGTGTAAATCAGAGACTGTTTGAAGAAATCAACGAATGAGGTCTCGGGTGCTGCCAGTTCAATATGAGAGTCCTGTCGCTGTGGTCCAGCATATTCTACTACGACAAATGAGCAAAATGACCGGAAACTTCGAGCAGTGACCCTACCATTTAGTGGACTCTGCGACCGGGTATCAGCCATCTTCGGTCCATCGAAGGCTCTTCACTTGAGTGAGAGAAGAGAGCCAGCTCTCCCAGTAGAAATGGGTTGTTCCTATAGAAATGCAAAATAATACATTAGCGGTATCGAAAAGGAGAAGGAAGGGGTGGAGATAAACGGGGAAGAGCATTCTACGGATACGGAGAATCAAGAGACGATCTGCGTAGGAAAAATGTAGTTTTTACTTCTCCGTAGTTGACTTTCATTGGCCACACACCCACCACATTTGTACGTCAGGCTTCCTTTCACTCGGTCCCCCACATCAAGCCGAAGATCAGTCTGCTCGAATCCAGTCTGAAGGGTTTGGCCGAGGTCTGCCTTGGAGTTCAACATTGGTGATCTTTCTTCAGACCATGGATCCCCGTTATACGTGGTTCACAATGTACTAACTTTCCATTGGGGAGTTCTTCATGATGCCCGCCACTTATGCCACCCCAGATCTCTTCCCATGCGGACAATGTGGTCGGCGGTTTTCTCGGCGAGAGCACCTGGAGCGCCATAAGCGAATCCGTCAGTCCAACTGCCTCAGGAAAATGTACATTACATTACTGAAATCAATATTTAATCAGATACACAGGAGAAGCCTTTTACGTGCAAAACCTGCGGAAAGAGCTACGCGCGCCGAGATGTATTTGTCAGACATATTCAGCTCCACGATGCTCCAGAACCATCAGGACTCCCTCCGTCGAAGCGACGAAATTTCCGGATGGCATGTGACTCTTGTCACGACCGTAAGGTGAAGTGTAATGCAGCAGAAATTCCATGCGAACGGTGTAAACGAGCAGGCACGCCATGCACCTTTCTCCGGAGCAGTACCTCGCAAGATACTGTTGCGATCCTACAGCATCCTACAGTTATCACAGAATCTGGTCATGATAATAACTCTGTGGAGCAGCTGTTACATCATAATTCAGAATCAATGGTATGTTCCTAACATGGGAATGAGCATGCCGTCGCGTGCTGAGATTGCCAAGTCCAGCGCTTCCAGCGACCCTGCAATGCACAGTCCTAGTAATACCACAATGCTCGAAGTAGCCGCCCTCTCAATAGGAATCCCAAACAGTACTACACTGACTGCTACCTCTCCTTGCCCGATGGATCTTCCTGTCATGGACGACAATTTTCTTGGATTAGATCCCTTCTTCATGGCATTTGACGAGCACTCTGTTCAGCTTTTGCCTCAGGTTAGAGAAAACATATACGATGACATTGTTGCGGTAAGTCAGTACAATCTGGTACTTATGCAATGGTCTGTCTCAACCTGGTGGAACGTTGCCATCCTAGACTCGACTGACTAACTTTCTGTGAGAACTCTGGCCTGTGACTAACTCCTTTACAAGGCCTGTGGTTACCCAGTCGGCGATTATAATACGCCATCATGGATGGGCACCACTGATTCACCAGACTTGATGTTGAACAATCTTGCTATCCCGCTTTGGGGAGATCGCTTGAACAACAACGACCAGAGCCGAACGAGCACCTCTGCCCAGGTCGTTGGGGCGCAACACCAAAGACGAGTCGCAACTGCCTATGATATGCTGCGGCAATATTCTACGGCGGATCAACCTTCTCGGCCATCATCTCCTAAGTCTGTTCAGGCTCACAATAAGTATCTACAAGAACTAGGCCGTCCAGCAGCTGTCGCCTGTGACCCAATCATCACTAACATATTCATTGGTCTATTCTGTGTTTATGTTGCTCCTGCTCTCCCATGCTTCAGAGGTCAGGTTGTAGACTCCTCCATACCTGAAGAACTTTCACTAGCCATGGCTGCTGTTGGTGGGCTATTTTGTAAGGTTGCGAAGTCAGCAAGCATTGCCAGATGGTTGTTCCACACTGCACAACGGAAGCTAAATACCTTGGTAAGCTCATCTTGGAAACCAAAATCTGTCTCAGCGCGTATATCCTTCTGCCGGGAACCATGGCTCGATAAATTAGGAGCGTTGCTGAAATCATGATTGATAGCTACACTGTCAGACAACCCCCAGCCCTCGGCAAAGATGGACAATCATCAACTGCGTGAGTGAGATCCCTATTCTTTCTTGATTATGAGCAACTTCATAATGCTGACAAACTATGTTTTTAAAGTACATATTGATGGACGTTTTCGCATACATCTACGGGGACAAGCGTGTCCTCCTTCTGTACGAGGTCTACCACGGCCAGGTTATTCAGGTATGACATTTGACCCTAATGTTACTGGGTTCTAGTTTCTTACTCAGTCAGGAATTCTGTGCATTCAATGGTGAAGGTGACGACGGGAATCAAGACAGCATTCGAGGTGCGCCCCAGAAGAAATTGTAAGTTAGTCAGGGAGTTTACAGTAAACGCATCACCAACAGCTTCTAGACTTGCCGATACCATGTACCTATTGGAGTGTTATCGAGTAGTAATCCTGCAACTGCCATCAAGGCTTTATCCGACGACAATGTTTGGGGGTGTCGGTACCGATCAACAGCACACAGAAGATCTAAGACAGAGCCTAATACGTGCCATGACCACGTACGACCTCCCCCAGGCGCGCATTGAGACATCAGAAGACAGCATACAATCGCTTTGCTCCCTTGCACTACTGGCTTCGCATGGCCGACAACTCCCTGGCTCCTTGATGGCACTGTTGAAATCTCCCACCAGTGAACCAGGCCATCTTTACTCTAACCGCATGGGCCTGCAGCAAGAGTATATCGAGCTCGCGCTACAAAAGTGGCGCATGCTGCACACGACTCCACCGACTGCAAGTGCTGAGCTACTCTTTCATCTCATCCATCTGAATCTATATTGTAGCTATGCCGAGATAGAAGGGGTTGCTCGAGCATCCCAGCAGGCAATGGAAAAGGGAAAGTCGAATCCCACTTGGAAGGGCTTACGACAGCCTTCCACAGTTACTGTCACTCAATCCGACTCTGAACGGAAGACAACACTGCGCAAGTGTTTCACTACCCTAGAAAACTTGAAAAAGGCCACTTGGCATGCAGATCAACTCTTGGATATCGCAGCAGATATCGAGTTGGTCTCATTTTCCTGTTCTAGAGCTGGGCGGATCCACCTGCATCAAGAAGCCCGCAGAGCTCAACCCGGCGAACCGATTCACTTCGCTCAGGCAGTTTACCACGCAACAATGGTATTGCGACTCTCTTCAACCCTGTTGACACAGTCTGAAACGAGTCAATCTGTCGCTGACTTGCAAGGGGAACTCGACTCCATCACCAGAAGAGGAATTCAAATTCTTTCACGTTCGGCGGGCCGAATTGCGGGGGTCTCCAAGCAGGTGCTGGAGTCTCTGCGGACGACATCTCAGGATTGAGAATGAAAGACAGGGAATGGAGGGGCGGACGGACTGTCTGAAAAGACCTGTGTTTCAGGGTTCGACATTCGCTATTGACATCTAAGGGGTAGGTGGTAGGGCAAGATTCAATATTTCACCTATTTTATCTCAGCCTCGGCTTCCTGAAGCATCAACCGCGCCAGCTGTGCAGGAGTAGTTCCCGGGCGACCCAGTAACCACTCCAAAATGCCGGGATTCCCCACAAGACCTCTCCTGTTATAGTACAGCAAAAGCCGCTCAACCGCATCTCTGAAGTTCTGCTCTACATCGAGGCTCCCAAAAAACAGTCTGCAGTACATTTCCACTGCCTCCTCATAAGATAATTGCCTGACTGTGATGTCCTTACCCAACACCGCTCCAATCGACCGAACATATTCCGAATACTTCATCGGCAGTGTACTCACAAGAGGGTACGTGGCAAAGAAATGCCTGGAACGCTCGCGAATCACCTTGACCGAGGCTTCGGCGTGGTCGCGCACACAGGAGAACGAAAAGGACACCTCCGGGTCGTGTGCGGCCACGAATATTGGATCTGGGGTCGGATCTTTGCGCAACGAGAGGAGCCTCCCGATGGCATTGTCGGCGAAGTGGCTCGGTTGGAGGATCGTGTACGGCAGGCTGGACTCGACGAGATACTCCTCTATCAGGCGCTTGCGGTCGTGGTTGAGCAGCTTGCTGATCTCCGGATGCAGGACGGAGCTGAAGATGAAGTGCAAGAATTTAGAGTCTGGCTTGCGTGACTCGGAGAGCGCGGTGTCGATTATATTCGTGCCGTATTGGACTTCGTGCGGACTAAAAGTTGGGCTGACGTAGTAAATGGTGGTGGCACCGTGGAGAATGCGGCCGCAGCTGTCTAGATTGTCAAGGTCTGCCTGCACGACTTCGGCGTTGGGGTATTGTTTGCTTAATCGATCCAAGGAATGTTTGGAATGGACGACCAGTCGTAGTTTGTAGATCGATGGCTCCTGGTACAGTGCGGGAATAATCTGGTTGCACTGTTTGCCAGAGGCACATGTGAGGACGATGATCTCAGACATCAGGCTGGTTGTTGAGATAGATATCGAGTCCTTTTTGGGCTCCTTTTCAGCCCTGGTGCTGGTTTGATGAACAGTTGGGTCCTTTGAGTTAGTCGAAGATCTCCCAATTACTACAAGTGAGTCGGCTGAAAGACAAAAAATGAAGTCAATAGTACGCTCGATGGCTTACAGGCCCTAGCAGTTCGGAGCCCGCTGTACAAATAAGCCATCCGTGGCAGGGGGCCTGAAGAGAGTGACAAACTACTCGGGACATATTGCGGGGGTGGCGGTGCATACCATGGGTAAGGCTGTGATTATCAGGAGCCTTTGATGCCGATGAAGTTGTGGAGTAGAATTGGTAGTCTCAAGGTCAGGCGTTCGCCCGAATCGTGTCCTTCGACAACCCATCATGGCAGTCCCAAGAGGAGTGTTGGGGCAGCCCCTTCTCCCAGTCTATCATCGTCATCCTCATCGTCATCAATTGCACTCCTTTCCTCAGAATCACTGGTGTACTTCGACGAGCGATGGCGATTCATACCCGGTTGATGTGCTGCATGTATTGTAGGATCCGTCCCGCAGGCAGTATAAGCCGCCGCCGCAATAGCCTCTATGCCAGCACAATGCATTTGCGGGGCACAGCGGCCCAAGGGATATCTTGCTCCCATATGGTTGTCGAATCTTGGCAGCAGGCTGGTTTTTCGCCTGCACAGTAGTAATTGTAGGCTCCGTCACTGGAGCCTGCTGAAGAAGAGGGAGACTTGTTAGCTGCGCGGGCCCGCAGATGGACGCCGTCAACATTTCTGCGGGAGTACCAGCTTGCATCGTATTGCTGGTCAGTGCGAGCGCAGACACTCTGCTATGATTTCAAATGCATGCATGATAGGTTATGAAGATTGAGTAACGAGCAGAGAGCTATGTTACAGTCGTTGACTGATCGCGGATGATCAGTACCTAAATTATAGGTACTCGTGTACTTCAATAGCACATGACACAATCCGCACAAAACCTTCTCCAGTGGGAAACTGAGATCGGTCATATTCCCATGTATTCTCAGTAATGGTAAAGAGACCAAGATACCATAAGGCTGGCACTGATTGGCCAGATTCAGCTCTACTTGTTGAGCTTCATGTCTTCGCCTTACCTCTGTGGTTTAGGGCCAGTGCTTGATAGCATTCTCGAGAGTTCAGGACAGAATAGCCTCATGCTTCGATAGCCAGGCAAGAGAAACTGAAACACCGACGCAGTGCGATGGATTGCGATGTCCTTCTGCAACACGTCTTCCCCTATTCAGCTCAAGATTCATGACCTTAGGGAAGCACACAAGCCACGATGGATTGACAGCGGCGACAGAGGGGGTAATATCAGTATTCGACCACCACTTGTTTTGTCGGAAGCAAGACTGACTCCTTGAGGAAGATTTGGCCAAGACTCTTCCGACCCTCTGTTCGATACTGGTAAAGTATTGGTCTGATTAGAAATAGCATCAAGAGAATTGAAGAAGATATGACGCGCTATGCTGTGCACCAACCAGGAGCGCGTCGGTCCTTGAGTTCGACACTAGTCGAAATTGGGATTTCCTGTTTTTCAGCCTCGTGATGACGCTCGATATCTTCCTCCACTACCCATGAAAGACTTTCTTACTTCCTGCCGACGCCATGCTCTGTGCTTGTTTCCGTGACAAAGGCTGACTTTTTGCAACAGGCAGCAACGAAACGACCTCGACGGCCCAACGACCCTGATAGTATCAGTACACGATTCTCCCAATAGTGGCGAAATGCGTCAGGAGATCTGCAGACTCACAACAGCAGTCCTTATCTGTCCTATGGTGCCTGTGGCAATTTTTGCCAACAAAATTGTGCCTTGAGAATCTCTGGTGTTGGCTTGGAGGAGCCACCGATCGAGAATGCATTGCTCAACTGTTATGATATTGGATGGCTGCTAACCGCCCCCTGCCCTAGCTTGATCTTTTGCCTACAGATCCGCTGTTGTCATAAAGCCTCGTATCACAAGGGTTTGACGTAACAACAGATTCAATTTTTGTTCTAGAATATTCAAAGAACAACAAAATGCCTATCATGTTTATGGCTTTTCTAGAATCTCAATCTCACATGTTCTTGGACCACCACACTGAGTCAAAAGCCTTGCTACGTTGGTTTAACGAAACATTTTTGGAATACAAGTGTCCCGGATTAGACTGAACTAATGCTTCGGCCATTTCACTAACAGGGAAAGTTCTCAAAGACTTTGGCCTCAATACTCCCAACGACAGTGTTGAAGAAGCGAGTGATCACCTTCGTTCTTCGCTCAGCCCCCCAAAAATCAAACCCAACCAGCAAATTGTCTTCGTCAAGATACGCAATGACCGAGATGCTCCCTCCAAGGAGAAAGTTCCACTATGCAAGCCCCGTGTCAGATACAGTTCGTGTCGCATCTTCGGAACTTTTGATGGACTCACACTTTGTGTATAGCCCACTATGGGATCGATGACAACCCCTCCAAACGCAGCACCGTTGGTCTTCAAGATATCGGACGTCACGAGTGGGAAGCCAGGGCTGTCAATATGCTCGACGAAACATGATGGCGAGCTTCCGACACTGGGCCCAACCATTCTCAGCTTATTCAACACTTGTCCACCAGCCGTCACATCTGTGTAGTCAAACAGAGACGAGGCAAACTCGCCATCATATGTCTCATCTGCACGGACTTTGCCTTGCGCTGCAGAGTTATACCAGTAGCCTGAAGTAATGTGTGAGACGTTGTTGTCCCTGAATTGTCAGCTTCGGCGTATTTTCACCGAGTGCCGCCAGTGTTTCTCTTACCATTTGTGTTGGAAGAAATGTCCGCGAAGTTCTGTGAGAACATCTGGAGTTGGTGGTTGCACGAACCTGGCTGAAAATGCGGCATATGAGGATGGGAACGGACCAGTGTCAGACAGTGCTGCTTCGACGTCGGTAAAGGCACCGAGGGATGAAAGGGCGAGTAGTAGGACCTTCATTGCGGGCATTGAAAATTTAGAGCGTAGTTAATCTTTATGATTCAGAAGAAAAGGTGCATTGGGGGCGGATTGCTGCTGGTTTATATACCGTGATTAGTTCTGCGTTATGTCGCTCAGAGGGACTTTCCCTTTATCATTAGCTCATCTCAGTTGGACATTTCTGTACAACTCACACACTTACACACCATTAATGAACAATACGAGAGTGGGCTCTGTAAATCTGATATGTTCAGAGACAGGGGAATAAATTGTTCGGACCAATCAGCCAGGCAGCCTCGCATAAATCCCTTCTCGGTGTTTGAGTTCATAACACCCCGTATTCAGGCACCCGCCATTCGAAGAAGGGAAAAGCAGCTGTAACGGATTTTCGATCCTGCTACCCACACCTGCCTGAGTATCTGATGCTAGGGAATTCGGTCTCAGGCCTTCATAATGCTACCAACGCCAACGAGTGCACATCCTCCGGTCAAGTTGCCGAAGCGTACGCGAGTGAATGTGAGACAATCCAAGAATGGATGTTACACCTGCAAGTATGAATGTTTAGTCTGAGTTTTGCCAATCCAGAACCACGATCTAATCTCCACAGGGCTCGTCGAGTGAAATGCGATGAGACACAACCATTTTGTATTCGTTGCCAACGCCTGGGGAAAACTTGTGAAGGATACAGGTCGTCTGAGTCGTGGAGTTCAAAGTCGGAGTCTCCGAACTCAGATACACTTCAACGATGCGCCACGCCCCCCTCCGGTGGTGTCGTGCATTGCACACAGCTCGTCCGGAGTATGTCATCTGAATTGCAGCGTGACGCGGGCTCGCTGCGCTATAGCAAACTCTGCTTGGAGGTCCTCCTACACAACAAATACAACACGTTCTCATTCAACGGACAATCTACGTTTGCGAGTTTCTTGACTCAATTTTCATCGACGAACGTTGCGGTTAGCACAGCGCTGGCAACCTTCGGAGCAATCTACGAAGCCATCATTCTTCAAAGAACACAGTCTGGTTTATCTCTGACGTCCATCCAGTATTGCAAGGCCCTGGCTGCCCTGCATAAAGATGTAGCCCTGCAGAGCCATGGCCCTATCCCCAGCTTCCTTGCCAGCCTGGTATTGGCTGCTGCGCACGCCCTTCAACGACATTATACCGACTCCTTGACCCATCTTCACGGCGCCTTTACGGTGCTCACGAATTCGATAACGCCGAGAATCCAAGACAGTTCGGAAACCAGTCCTGCTTCGTCAAACAGCAGCATTTCCATGGTGATGAACACCTATCAAAGTGAACTATACTCGTTCGCTCAGTCCATAGACCTCCACACAGCAACATACGTCCTACACCGACCTCCAGAGCTCCCATCGTTCTTTGACGCCGCGACTCTGAATCAGTCCTGGGACCCGACTTTTCTGGAGACGGCATGTCACGTCCTTCAACAACTACTGCACCGCTGTTATCACGTCGCAAATGCAGTCTCGCACTACAAGTACCTTCCGCGCTCGCGATTCCCGGCAGACCTGATGCTGGAACAAGGCCGGTGTATCGCCTACCTGTCACAATGGCTCGCGAAATGCGACGACGGGTTCCGCGACCGACCCCTCAGCTGGACACAGTCGAGCTGCCGGCAGACGTACCTGGTGCACCGAGTTCAGTGTCTCAGCACATTGATACACCTGTCGTCGGTCTCGAGCCCATATGAGATGAACTATGATATATACACCACATACTTCGAGCAGATCATACGGAACGCAGACGAGGTGCTTGGCAGCAGTAGTTTTGGCTCCTCTCAATCGTCAACCTCCAGCTTCCGCGTCCAGCCAGGTCTAGCGCAGGCTCTGTTCTTCACGAGCTTGGAGTTTCGTGATGGGGTACAGCGCCGTAGGGCCATCGAACTACTCTCTAAGCTGGGCATGGAAGGACCCTGGAACCCGGATATTCTGTGCAGAATCGCTAGGCGCGCTGTCGAGATCGAGGAATCCAACGCGCTTTCCGCATCGTCGATGGAGGAATATGTCCATGCACCCCTCAAAGTCGAAATCCCCGAGAAATTTCGTTTACATGGTTGTGGCATTGACTCTGAGGCAGGTGATTTGGAGGCCAACAAGAATGGAACAGTGAACTTCAGCCTCTGTGTCGATGTGGACTACATGGTCAATTCGGAGGATCACGAAAATCATAGGCATTGGATCATTTGGGCAGAGCCAATCGCTCTAAGCCTGCCTGGAATGGAGACGTGATTCATTACGATAATGGGACCTGAGTTGATTTTACACAAGAAACACAACGCTGCACGTGTACGATACAATTGCTCGGATTTCAGGTAATTCGACCAACGCCTTGGGTATCTCGATGCATGAAAGAAAAATGCCACCGTTGCCTCTGATGCCGCTAGAAGGAGGAAATGATCTTGGTCATGTCATTTTCAGGTCAACCTCCCTGACTTGTGCCGCCAGATTGTTGCAATGAAAAAACTTGCTTGCGCAAATCGAGCCAAAAGTCTTTGCCACTGGCCATTGCCCCCGCTAAATCATTTGTCAATGGACTGACCAGAAGAAGGTAATGTTGAAGACTCACGCTTGGGGCCCCAGGGACTCTCCGACTTTGTCGGTTGTGTCTTTGACTCGGGTTTGAAGACTGGTGCTTTCGCATCATAGCCTTGCTTGAGAACAGTGTCCACGGCAGCCGGATTGAAACCCACATGCGAAACATGCTCGTCTTGGCCGGGGAGAGACGCTGGAGAAGCAGGGCCATTCTGGACGACGGTTTCCGTTGACCTATTCAAACCCTGAGGCGGTTTCCCACCTCTTCTGTTCTGGGTTGCACCAGGCGTGCCATCTCGGGATGATGTCGTAGATGTGGTAGAACGGTGTTGATTGGCACCTTTTGAGTCGTTGCCTCGACGTCCGTTGCGTGTGCTTTTCGGAGGCATATGGTCAGCGGAGGGAACGAGATACTAGTGGGATAGGGAGGGATAGAGGGAGTGACTGCCACGTGGATGACGAGAGGCAAGACTTACTCTTCGCTGGTGGCGTTCATGTGGTGCAGAAGGGCGGAGGCGGCGAGGATGACTGCGCTCTGAGTTTGAGACAAGCAGTGTTCAGCGTGACCTTGGTCTAGATTGAGAGAACACCAGTCCAGGGAATCACTACTCAGAGCCCACGAGGAATATGGTGCAGTGATTGTAGGCAGAGTGAATGATGCGTCTTGAAGCCTGAGATGGAGCAGGCCGATGCCAAGACATTTTCTCCGAAAAGTCAAAAGTGGCAGTGGCGACTCCCAGTTGTTGGTGGCAGAACTGGCAGTCACCCTTTGTAGCCGCGCTTTCCCCAATCGGGACCCCCTCTACTCGTTGTTGCAACTACACACGAGTCACCCGCAGGCTGTCTTCCAACGTCTACCCTCTTCAATCCCTCTATTCGTGTTAGTGGAACACAATTAACTGCTCTCCTATGCTTAATAACTCCTCTGATCACAGTCTGAATGGCACCTCGCGCGTATGAGCCCGATCCCCGACCCGCATGCCCCCTCCTGACCCATTGATAAATCCCAAAAAGCGCGTCAGTCGCCAGCAGGGTCGTCATCATGGGTCCTTTACGGAGTGCCCAGGCGAGAACGCGCCCTCGACGAGAGACCGTACAGCATCCTAGCGTTTTTGAGGACTCTGATCACGATGAATACGCCGATTTCCACCATGTTGAGCCACCTTCCAAACGCAGACGCACCCTGCGCAAGACTCAGGATTCGCCCAAATGGTCGCCCGGAGATCAAGAAGAAAGAACCAGACATTCGGAGCCAGATCGCGCACGCTCCAACTTGCGCACACCCCGGATAAACGACGAATACAAAACCCCTCGAACCCGCCCTCGAACAGGCAATGATGGGAGGAAGACAATACGCACTACATCTCGAGTATCTGCTAGAAGCACAACCCGTGGAGGTGCTCGTCCTCGTTACAGTACTGCCGCTGCCGCTTCGGCCGCCGTAGCACATGGAGATGGTTATAAGCCAAGAGAGGAGCGAGGCTGGGAAGAGTTTCATCCTGATCTGGATCTTGATGCCGATTTTGCCGTCTTACTCTCCGAGGAAGTTGATGGCACCCTCAAGAAGCTGTCAGTAGATTCGACTGGCCAAGTCGTGGGAGGCACACCAAACTCAACGCCTGTCGCGGGACCTCCGGTTTCTCCTCGAAAGAAACCTGGACGACCAGTTCGCAATCCAAACGCCATGGTACACGCTTTACTCACCCCCGAAGTCCCCAAGTTTGTTCCAATACCAGCTCCCAATCCTCGCGAACGCCTCACTTTGATGAAACCTTCCTACCGAGAACTTGATCCTTTCCTTTCCTATGAACAAAAGGATGTTGCCCAGGTCGATTTCGTTGATAAATCCATGGCCCATGTTGGTTATCAAGAGAGTGAAATATTCCTACGCCCGGAGCGGACACACATAAGGCAAACTGAGGGTTCTGCCGAAGAAGATCTCGATCTGAGCCCAGACTTAATCACTAATGGTGAGAACTCTGCTATCGGCAGTAGCGGGGTGGGTCGAGTCGAGTATGACATGGACGAACAGGATGTCAAGTGGTTGGAAAACTTCAACCGAGGTCGAGCCAAAGATGGCGTTCAAACTATCAAACCCGCCATATTTGAGATTACCATGACCAAGGTCGAGAAAGAGTGGCATGCTCTGGAGAAGAGGATACCGAAACCCAACCCTAAGGCACCTCAAACACAACGCCCCCGCTCCAGTTCTGCTGCCGCTGTCAATGGCGAGCCTGCAGGTGAAGAACCTGACAGTAAATGCGCTATTTGCGATGATGGTGATTGTGAAAATGCCAACGCCATCGTCTTCTGCGATGGTTGTGATTTGGCCGTCCACCAAGAATGCTATGGCGTTCCCTATATTCCTGAGGGTCAATGGCTCTGTAGGAAATGTCAATTGGTGGGGAATTCGCGGCCCAGTTGTATTTTCTGTCCAAATGAAGGGGGTGCGTTCAAACAAACCAACAACTCTAAGTGGGCACATTTGTTCTGCGCCAATTGGATTCCTGAAGTTACTATTGGCAACCCATCGTTGATGGAGCCAATTACCGATGTGGAAAAAGTTCCTGCCAGCCGTTGGAGGCTTACATGTTATATATGTAAGCAGGCTATGGGAGCTTCAATCCAATGCAGTGACGGCCGATGTTATGAAGCTTTCCACCTGACTTGCGCTCGCCAAGGTGGCCTCTATCTCAAGATGAAGACCGGAGGTGGTCAAAACACACTGATGGAACAATCACATCTGCGAGCATACTGTCACAGGCATACTCCTGGGGACTGGAAAGCCGAGCACAATACTGACCGCGCTTTTGAAGAGGCAACTAAATACTTCAAAGAACACTTCAAAGGCCAGATCTGGGCCGATAGCCGAGCTTCAGCACTAGCCATCAGCGATATTCACGACATGCCTAGTACTGAGAAAGGCTTGCAACGAATGACCCTGACTAATAAGAAGGGCCAAAAACAAAAAACCATATGGCGCCTACCATCTGGTGCTCCAGTTATCCCTGAAGTCATTTTGAAATCCATTGAGGATTCGCTCGTAAGATTCACCGTGCAGAAGAAGAAGGAGTATGTATCTGAGATTTGCAAATATTGGACGCTGAAGCGTGAGGCACGCCGCGGCGCCGCTCTATTGAAGCGACTCCAACTTCAGATGGATACCTTCAGCTCTTTTGAAGTCACTCGACGCGATTACAAAGCTCAAGGTGCAGTAGGACGAGCAAGGCTGGATCGACGCATTGAATTCGCCGATAGATTGGCAAAAGACATGAAACAAATCGTACAGCTTTGTGCACTGATAAAAGAACGCGAGGCCGCCAAGCTTCAGGATGCAATGCTGTTAAAGGATGTTGTCGACACTGTCTATTTCCCGATACCACATCTGCTCGAGCCAATCGTGGAGAAAGCAATAAAGTAAGGACCTCTCGAAAGCTCGACTGCACTAGCTAACCATTTTCTAGGCTTGATCGTGGGCTTTTTAGGACTGCCTTGCTTGAACTCCAAGCTCGAGTATTGAAGAGGGAGCATACTTCAGTGGCTTCTTTCTCCAATGATGTGGTGCGCGTGATCAATTCACAGTTTGGAAACAGTGCCTCCAACATCTCGGAGTTAATAGCGCTTGTCAGTGGACGAGCGGAGGACATGAAAACGGAAGAGAGAGACCGCCGTACACTGGCGCGAAGAATCGTCAAAGCCATCGAACCACTGTTAGAGGATGCGACTCGAAAAGAGGCTGAGTTAAATGGTCGACCATATGCACAACAAATACGCGAAATGGATGAAGCTCTCATTTCTCGGCGTGGGTCGTTGGCTGAGTCGATGGAAACACCTGGACTCGATATTCTGGAACTCAAACCTGCAGCCGAAGTAGAAACTTTCGGGGACGGCGACATTGAAATGCAAGATGTCGTTGATGTCATCACCAAGACCGAGCCCAGTCTCGAAGTGGCGACAGACCACAATGCCGTGACGGAGAAACCAGACGCTTTTAAACCGGGCGGCCTCCTGCAGGGAGATCTCATGGTCTCTGCAAGTACACCACCTGCATCAACCAATGGATTTAAACATGAACCAACGACCAATGACGCTTTGAACAATACACCCAACCCACCACTGGAACCTCCAACTCCGCCAATGAGCTTAGAAGGCCATGTGCAGACCCTAACCTGTCAAGGCGGCATCCCTTGGTACGTCGCCCAATTCGACCCAGAAGGCACGACAATTTTCGAAGAACGCTGGACTGGGCCCGAAGTACTTCGAGACATGAGCGAAGAGCTCAGCGAAATGGATGAAGACGAGCTCCAGGATCTCGGCGGTGAAGAGATTACCAACGATACCCAAATTAATGGCCTTCTCGGCGCCATTGAAGATGGCGTGGACGGACCGACTATCGCGGTTGAATCCTTGGCTATGAGGAAGAAAACGGCCGCTACTGGCGGCCGCCGCGGAGGCAGGCGAGGTCGGTCCTCGGATTGGGGTGGCAAGTCGTTCCGCCAGCGCAGATGATCTTAATATGGGGTGCGGAGAATATGGATTCTTGTACGTGTCTTGTGCGATCAAGGTGAGATGAGACGAGACGAAAGTATTGAGCACCGAGTACTACATTATAGCTTGTGTCAACAATGATTAGCTGGCTAGGTCTGCATGCCTACTTGAGCAACCAAGCCTGGAACGCGCTTATTATACCTTACCTTATTTCTTGAATTAATCAGCGTGGAATTGTACATGATGTGTTGCCATTGCATCTGGTTTATGTAGGTATGAAAGAATTCTTCCCCTTTGGCCGTTTCGGCCTCATCCTTGTATCCCGCCTCCACGCCGGTAGGCGGGTATTCGGGTCCGTCAGTCTGAAGTACGAAGTACACAGCCTCTACTTCACTTGGATAAGGCTGTGCTATCATGATAGGGTAGGGTAGGATTATGCGTCGTGGTGCCCAGCACCATTCTGTAGTTAGGCAGGGAGGCAGCCGTGGGGCGCGAAAGGGTGGTCGGATGTGGGTATGTATGTCTGGTATCTACGACTAGTTCACGTTCTCTTCTATTCTCCCTTTTGGTTCAGGCCTTTCAAATTTGTATTTTCAGGATCTCTTTGGAGGAGGCTTTGTTTATTTGACAGTCGATCGATCAATCGAGGGGCGCTGGCTAACTATCTGGGAAGGAACTAAGCTAAGGGTATTCACCAACAACTGGCTGAGTTGCATTAGAAGTCTCGCTGGGTAGAACAGTGCAAATAGGTGTTCTGGGGATGTTGCAAAAAGGGGTGGGGAGTCCATCCAATCAATCATGCTCGTACTGAATCTCGTGGGTAAATCTGAACATTGGCGCTTCTCTCTCTGTCTGCGTCCGATGACAACTTCTCATTCTTCGTGCCCGTGTAGGGTCTCGCTTTGCTGAACTCGTCACAACCGTCCGTCATCTGAACCATGAGCTTCTCCTTTCCCGCTGTTGAGTGGATCCAAGATGGTCTATTCTGGTGGTGGTGGTGGTGGTGGTGGTGGTGGTGGTGGTTGTCCTGCCTGGACAAAATATCTCGCAAAACCTGGTAGTTTAAGAAGTGGGTCGAAGTGCAACAAGATGTCCAACGGTTTTCGACACCATAAGTACGCCAACAGACTTGCGAAACAGTCAACGTCTAATACTCAGCACCAGTTTCGTCTTCGGCCTCCACGCTGTCGCTAGCAACCTCTTCATAATCTTTCTCCAAAGCAGCAAGATCTTCTCTGGCCTCAGAGAATTCTCCTTCTTCCATGCCTTCTCCCACGTACCAGTGAACGAAAGCACGCTTGGAATACATAAGATCGAATTTGTGGTCTAGCCGGCTCCATGCCTCAGCAATGGCTGTCGTATTGGATAGCATACTGACTGAGCGGTCAACGCGAGCGAGTTCGCCACCTGGAACGGGCATGGCTAGATACAGCATTAGTATACTCGGGTAAAAATAGTTTAGAGCTTCTCTTACGTGGTTGGTAGTTGATTCCGACCTTGAAGCCAGTTGGACACCAATCGACCAAATGGAAGCTGGACTTGGCCTTGAGGGAAGCGATAGCAGCGTTAGTATCACGGGGAACAACGTCACCACGGTAGAGTAGCGCGACAGCCATGTATTTTCCATTTCGAGGATCGCAAACCACCATCTGGTTGTTAGGCTCGAAGCACTGGAGGGTCAGATCGTGGACTTTGAAACTTTCATGAGATGATCGCTTGGTGGAAACCACAGGGGCATATGAGATGAGCGGGTAGTGGATTCGGGGGTATGGGACCAAGTTTGTTTGGAATTCGTTCAAGTCCACATTCAACGCGCCATCAAAGCGTAAGCTTGAGGTGACAGAAGAGACCACCTGAGCGATGAGACGGTTCAAATGTTCGTAATCTGGTCGAGGAATGTCAAGACTGCGACGGCAAATATCGTACACAGCTTCGTTGTCCACTAGAAAGGTACAATCGGCATGCTCGATGGTGCTGTGGGTGGAGAGAACGGCGTTGTAAGGCTCGACCACGGACGAAGACACTTGAGGAGCAGGGTAAACGGCGAACTCGAGCTTGCACTTCTTGCCATAGTCGACGGAAAGTCTCTCTAGAAGAAGGGCACCAAAACCAGAGCCAGTACCACCTCCGAAGGAGTGAAAGATCAGGAAACCTTGTAGGGAAGTGCAGTTGTCTGGTAGTAGTGTTAGTGGGTAGTCGGAGCAAAACAAAAGACTGCAGTATTCCTTACCAGCGACTCTGCGTATTTTATCTAGGACATCATCGACCAACTCCTTTCCAACGGTGTAGTGACCTCGGGCATAGTTGTTGGCAGCGTCCTCCTTACCACTTACCAGCAGCTCAGGATGGAAGAGTGATCTGTATTTTCCAGTGCGGATTTCGTCAATGGGGGAGGGGTCCAGGTCGACAAAGATGGAACGAGGAACGTGTTTATTGCCACTGGTTTCATTGAAGAAGGTTTCATATGAACCGGGATCGCCGACGTTCGCATCAGGGTCAGGACGGCCATCAGCCTTGAGTCCGTGTTCGAGAAGATATCTTGGAGGGAAGATTAGTTATGGCTTAGAAATAGCGGTGGGCCGGCCGGCGACTCACAGTTCCCAAGCGGCGTTACCCAGCTGGGTACCAGCCTGCCCAATATGCAGGTGGCAGACCTGTGTTATACCGTCAGTACATGGTGACCAAAGAGTCAAGAGTGTGGTTGTTGATGTGGCTGCAGAATGGGGGAGGGGCAGCGCAGCCTGGGGAACCCAGGGGCGTCCAGTAAAATCGAGGAAAGAGGGAAGGGGAGGATCTCGACTTACTTCTCCGCGCATCTTGAATGATATCAAATGGAGGTTGAGAGGGATACAAGAGGACGTCGAGTCGGGATAACCTGGTACAGGAGAAAGAGAGATGCAGAGGGGACAAAAGTGGTTCCTGTAGGTAAGTTCAGGTTGTACCTGGGCGGTGTCAGTTGAACTTGAACCCGAATGTTGATTTGATTCAATGTGCGCGGTCACGATCTGTTATCGATTGGCGCGTTCACGTTCAAAGTTAGTCCCACCAAAACATCGCCAAGAAAACACCGGGTAATCCCTAGTGTCTTGCCGCCTTAAGGTAATGTTTCAGATAATCTTCAATCTGCACGCTGCTATATCATGTTACCACGGTCAAGTATATGTCCCCCGTGCCTGTTTGACCTTCAAGTTCCAAGTCCCTATCAGATTTATTTCCCTGCTGTGCTACCTCCTTCGTTGTACAACAGATGATATAGATCAAACAAAAATCAAACCCTTATTTAATTGAAGAGATGCCACATCTCCCGAGAAACAGCAAAGGTCCATCTCTTGCTGGCACTCACCGACGCCTCCTAGACACTTCATCGCTCTCTCAAAGTCCCCCTGAGAATGGACAACTCTATCCTTCCTAAACTGGCGGTGCCGGGAGTTGTTCTACTTATTGCAATATTGTCCTATTCTTCTCAATATCTTTTCTATGCCATCGAGCCAGGCCCACTGGACTCTCGTCAAGCCAAGATCTTCAATCTGCTCGTTATTGGCATCTGGATCACTTATGCTCGTGCTTGCACAACCGACCCAGGTTCAATCCCGAAAGGATGGTCTCCTCAGAGTATCACCGACAATCCTGTCCCCTCGGATGGAAGAGGTCAAACAAGACAGCGGTATTGCCGTAAATGTGATGCCTTGAAACCTCCTAGGTCCCATCATTGCAAGGTCTGCAAGAGGTATGTCGATCATAAAGAAAACCTCGGTTGGCAAAGACTAACCATACCGGCCAAGATGTATCCCCAAAATGGACCATCACTGCCCTTGGACCTACAATTGTGTATCGCATTACACTTTCCCCCATTTCATGCGCTTTCTATGGTACGCTGTGTCCGCAATGACTTACCTCGAATATTTTCTCTTTCTTAGAGCTCAGGTGTTGTGGGGGAATCGAGACTTACCAAGCTATCTGGGTCCAAATATCGTTCAATTAGTCTCACTATTTCTCCTTCTCTTGCTCAACTCCCTCACCCTGTTCTTGGTCTCAATTACCTTCTTTCGTACAGTCTGGGGTCTTGGAGGAGGTGTGACAACGATCGAAAGCTGGGAGATTGAACGCCATGAACAGCTTCTTCGTCGAGCCCGTGTTCTCGGTGGTTACCTCGACGGACCAGATCGTATTCGTGTCAAGATTGTGAGGCAAGAGTTTCCTTACGACATCGGTATTTGGAGCAATATCGCGCAGGGGATGGGCTCTTCCAATCCTCTTGCATGGTTTTGGCCATTCTCCCAAACTCCCAAGACAGATGGTCTGTTATTTGAAGAAAATGGCTTCGAGGATCCTGGTCTCACCTGGCCTCCCCCTGATCCTGACAGAATGCCTCGAGCCAGCCGAGGTTCGGATGTTCTCGAAGACCCTTTCAACCACCACCAAGGCTTCTCCCCAGCCGAGGAGATTCTGGCTTTCAAAAAGCGCCAGCAAGCGGATTTCGAATCTCGAGCCGATTATTATGGTGTCAAGAGACGGCGCCCATTCCACGAGCGCTTCGAACAGAGCACTGTAGATGCTACAGAAGATATGTCTCGAGAAATGCACGACGGCGAAAGCAGCGGTGAAGAAGGCTGGCAAGACACAGGTGGAAATCGACTCAAGGACTTCGGTGTGGACGAAGATGTCGAGTTTTATGACGAGGATGATATCCCAATTTCTGAGTTGTTGAGAAGACGGAAAGCAAAGCCTTGACCAATTTCTTCTCTCGCTGGGCTTGGCCACCAGTGCAACTATTATTACACTGCGGCGAGTTTGTTGATGGGTCATCTTGCAGATATATGTGCAGCACGCGTACACTATGTCTCCGGTGGAACTCATCACTTCCCCTATTCAGCTGGAGAAACTGGCCAATCTCGACCATGATAGGTTTTGCGAGCGAGATGGCCTGAAACAGGCCTGGCTTCTTTGGCCAGCATTGAACCGTATAGATTGTGGCAGCGACCGTACCCTGTAGTGGTAGTGCAGGCATACTAGCACATCATCAGGTATTCTGACGTTAATCAGGGTCGATCACTATGTTCTAGGGACCGACGATCGCAGACGACTCTCAAGCTCGTGCTTCTATCACAAGTACAACCCCGCTCTGGACGGACTTCCCCCTTTCAATCGTGGGGGTGAGGAGTGAGGAGGGGGGCATGCTTCCTCCCCCACGCTCCAACCGGAGCCTTAGAGTACTGCCACAATTTGTGCAAGTCCATGCGGCCTGGTCGCCGGTTGTGATCATCCTCCACCACACACCCTCCTACATGCTCTCTCGCCACATGGCGTCCCTATTTCAGTGATAGAGTTCCGTCGGGGAAGTTGACTAGGACACCCTTGGCCGTTCACTCTCCAGTCGACGTCCAAACGCACTGTACGAACAACAATCCATTGTCACCTAGGTCCTGGTCTAAAAAGAGTCACGAGAGCTGTAGTCGGAGCTTCGTCATGTGAGTACAGCTGTGAATTTACGTATTGGATTTGAGGACCCATTGGTGTCAATCAAAGACCCTCGACCGTGTCAGGGAGGCGTCCCATGGAGATAGCCATCAAGTTGTCTTGTTCTGTAAAGGCACCAACGGAGCAGCAATGGTTAATTGCAGGAGGACGTCGAGCAAAGCCTAAGGGTGCGCCCTTATCACTGTTGAGCTCGTACACCTTGTCCGGCTATTCGGTACAGTTCTTCAACCCAACAAGTCCGACATCACCACTCTTGCCACCCCACGCCTCCACATTTTGCGGGGCTCAGGCACGGACGAGAGATCCCTCTGCTTGTTCAAACGTAGGTAGATGCTGTGCGTGTCGGTCCATTGTCAGGCGAATGTCACACGCCTCTCTTCTCCTCCCCTTATAAATTGTTGCATTTGGACTTTATTTTCAGTTTCCGCAACTATTCTTAGGACCCTTGCCTTTTCATCGTCCCTCGTACCCGATCGGTATCATTTCGGCCTTGGCCTTGATTCATATCTAAGGAATAGAATCTGAACTACTCGAGTCTACTCAACTCGAGTCACTATAAAGGAATATCGACAAGATGAATGGACATCATGCGACCCGGCCTTTGAAGGCGGGTATCAACGTGCCCATGGTCGCTTTCTTCCATCCAGATACCGAAGATGTAGATGTGGAAGCCACCGCAAAGCACGCAGTTAGACTTGCCAAGGCTGGACTGACTTCCATCACCACGCAAGGTTCAAACGGAGAAGCTGTGCATCTTACCAAGGATGAACGCATACAGGTTACAAGCGCCGCGCGTAAGGGTCTAGACGAGGCTGGATTTTCCGATATGCCCATCGTTGTCGGTTGTGCTGCACAGTCAGTAAGAGAAACCATTGATTTCTGCCGAGATGCCTACAAGGCCGGAGGCGACTACGCTCTTGTTCTTCCACCTTCATACTACAAGGCGTCATACACCCAACAGTCATTCATAGAATATTTCCAGGATGTCGCAACCGGATCACCAATCCCAATCATCATCTACAACTACCCAGGGGCGGTTGCAGGTGTTGACCTTGACTCGGACACCATTATCAAATTGGCCAAACACCCCAAGATTGTCGGCTGTAAACTCACATGTGGCAACACGGGCAAGCTCAGCCGAATTGCCAACACGGTCAACGCAGCAACAGCCACGGAGACCAATTCAGGTTGGATGTGCATTGGTGGTTCCGCAGACTTTACACTACAGACCATGATCGCTGGAGGATCTGGAATCATCACCGGTCTAGGCAACATTGTTCCCAAGGCCTGTGTCAAAGTGTTCGATCTCTGGGCCAAGGGCGAAGTTGAAGAAGCAAAGAAGATCCAGGCGATAGTGGCTCGTGGTGACTGGGCGGTGATCAAAGGAGGCGTCACAGGAACCAAGAGCGGACTGGAGTCATATTTTGGCTATGGTGGTTATGCCCGACGGCCACTGCCTAAGCCCAGCAAGGAGGACATTGCTCAAACCGAGGCCCTTTTGAAGGAGGTGATAGAGCTGGAGAACTCCCTTTAGATGCCGCTGGAGAGGTTGGAATCGTGTACATTTGGGCTTATTTCTAGCATTTTAGATGTTTGAGCGAGCTTAGGGAGGCTGTTCTGATTGACGACAAAAGATTCGAGGCTGAGAAAATACTTCTGAGGAAAATGTGGCTAACATCGTTCTTGGCTTCTTCTCGGGTCTGCCATATTGCAAGGCTTTATCTATGTATTCACCCCCTTGCTACCGCCTAGCCAACGTAGGCACCTAAGTTAGTGTTGGAGGATGCAAGGCAGCGTTTCCTTGCCCATCTCTTGCATATCTCATCGTGTCACCGCATCTCCGCCTTCGTATAATACGTCATCGCGCATCACACCAATGGGTGGGCATGGAAACGCCGTCAGGAAATTAAAAACATATTCCAAGTTGGTGACTGGATTCTTTAATTATCGGTCGGTTCTTATTTGTTCATGTCTCGCTCGTGCTTCGAGTGGTAAGCTGCATGCACTTCCTGATCTAATCTCCTCCGTGGTTCTTTTCTTCTTTGGAGTATGCTTCCGGAACGCCCACGTTAATTAGCCAGACTCTTCTTGAATCCCCTAAGCCGAGGGACGGCAGATTTTCAATTCAGCTCCGAGTTGCATGCAGTGAGCCGCACGTACATCAAACCGTATCCGTAATGGCGGGAACCCTTCATTGGATTTTCAACGTCGGTCTGATGCAGCTCACTGCCTTCATCGCCTTGATTGACAACGCATTACCACTTAGCTACTTGGGCTACCTGAGCTGACTCCATATCTACCTAGGCAAAACAGCGCATAAGGCGCATTTTTACCCGCCAAATTCTCAGACTTCCAGTCGCCTGGGCATGAATCCACCACGGCGGCTTGTGCCTTTTCTCTCTTGGGCCTTTGAAGATCCTTGGGTCCCCTTTTCTTGACGCTCAACTGCCTAATCGCAGGCGGCCACAATCTGGGGATTGGCTTTCAAGAGAGCTCGCCTACGCTTCCACGACCAGCGCATAAGACACTGGCATGAGCCACGTTGTCATGTGAGTTTCTCAGTGGTTCACCAGGCAAAATTGCCCTTGCCCATTTCTTTCATTTCGTGTTTCGTAAGACTTGGGTGAGGCGATCATCATACGACGGTGAGCTTGGCCCCCAGAAATCATGGATTGATACTTGAAATTGCACCTCACCGCCGTATTTGTACTAAGGTAGCTTTCTCGCTTCCTGCTCCCGGCCTAACTAACCAAGGCTTTAACTTTTTTTCTTCTGGACAAAGCTCCAAACTTACCAACCACCTCAACTTCAATATCATACCTACAAAATTTCTTTTTCTACTGTTCTCGAGCTCCGTGTTTCGATTGTTATATGTACTATTACTTTTATTTGGGTTTTCCAAAACATTAAGATTTAATACTCACCGTCAATCATTTCTCCAACGATCATTGGTGCAGAATAGTACCACATACAGTTCAAGCTCGAACATTGACGGTGAACAACTGGTGTTCCAAGTCCGTCATGAGTATTGAGATCGACGAAGATTGGAAGAGCTAGATCAGAGGAGGAGGTCGCGGCTGTAGAAATGGCGGAGACGTTGATTTCTCATGGTACCTATTCTATCTGGGTTGCGACTGACAGCTATAGATCAACTAATCGATATCTCTAGGCACAGGTGTCAATCATGGAGACCACACACACGATTCAATTGAGTCCGTTACAGAGTGCATACTCGGACTCAAAGCCAAGGCAAATGACAAAGATCTTCCAGGTTTCGGTGGCTTGATAGACGACTGGTTCAACCCCGATATGGAAGTGGACGAGGAGCAATTCGTTCGGCGCTTTTTACGAGTCTTCAAGCAGTCCGACAAAGACTTTACCTACGAAGATATACTGAAGGGCTACGACGATGATATCCAGGGCATTGTGAATCAATTTGTTGATGGAGAAATCGATGCCTCGGAAGCGGCCAAGAGATATACCCCTTTCACGACTCTGAAGGTGCCGAAAGGTGTTGTGCAGAAGCGTGGTCTTGCCAATATTATTCCTGGAGAGCGAAATATCTTGGAAGAACATACCGCTCTTCTACGAGCTTTGCCGACTTCTATTCCATCCAGAATTCGGGGGCTAATTGCCAAGATTGCGCCGTCACTAAAGGATCCAAAGGAATATCTTTACATTCCGGTGAGTACCCTGCCGGGCATCCGAAGTCCAAGGGCAAGTTACTGAAGACAGGACGAACAGTCTTACAAGCACCTCGAGTTTGAAAATCATGGCCGGAATATCAGATATACTCCGACTATCACGTGCGTTCCCAACACAGCACAAGATATTGCGGAGATTGTCAAGTATGCCAAAAATAAGAAGATGGGCGTTCGTGTATCAGGGTTCCGTAAGCAGTGCCGCAAATCTTCCCTCTACGCCCTCTGTTGCTAATTATTCGACTTTCTACTTGTAGGCCACTCATGGTCACCCGTCTTCGGCAGCGCGCGTAACAAGAACGAGAACAAGAACGGTGATATCCTAATCTCAACATTAGGACTGGTAGATGCATCCATCCTACCGAATTTTACTTCTCTTCCAACAGATCTCTTTCAGCCGGAGGCTAAGGACCTAAATTCGATAGTGTTCGTTACTCACGAATATGTCAATGGCCCAGCTTTGGCCAACGGCAAGAGATACGTGCGAGTCGGTACGTCGACGACGAACGAGCAATTGAGGAGATGGTGTGTAGGGACAGGAAAAGTGACTCTTCCGATGCAGATCATTGAGGCTGAAATCACGATGGGTGGAAGTAACGCTACGATCTGGTAAGTCCCCTTTCGTACTCGACCAATCAGCCGCTAATCTATCATCAGTCATGGAGCAGGTCTCGCCAACGCAACGTTAAGCGATCTCGTCCGCTGCATCGAATACGTCGATGCAAATGGCATCCTCAGGAAGGTCGATCTTTCCACACCTGGAATTCTCCGGGCAGCAGCAGGGTGCTTCGGACTCATCGGGGTAGTGACCCATCTCGTGCTGGAATTTGATCCAATGTCCTGCGCCCTGATGGAACCAAGGAAAGTTCCCGTGGTGGAAGCGATCCCACCGCCGCCAGATATGAAGGACTCCGATATCCCTGCACCACTCCGACCAAAGACGCCTTTGACGAAGGAACGCAAAGCTGAGGTACAAAAGGACTTCGAAATACGTGCCTCGACGCACGACTATGCCGAATGGTTCTGGTTCCCCTACTCGAGCGAAGTGTGGGTTAATACGTGGAAGAAGACGAGTGATTTGACCGGCGCGGTGGATTATCCAACCAATGTCAAAACGGTGCTTCAAGTTTTCGGAACCATCATGGTCAATGTCGCCCAAAACGCATCTATCCTCTTAAATCTTACACAAGCGTTGCCAGAGGTACAGACCAAACTCTTGACATGGCTGACCATGAAGAATCTCGACGACATTGGAAAGAACGGCAAGAAGATCAAAACCTGGGTGCCCGACGCCATCCACTTCCAAAGAGGTGTACAGAACCTTCGGGTGCGAGACCTCGAGATCGAATTCCCTCTACAACCGAGAAGATTCCCTGTAGCGGCAGAATCCAGCAGCACTCAGCCGACCGCCTCGGAACTTGCACACGAACCTCAAAATATGAGCACCAATACAACCCCAACCACCGGCATCATCGCCCCAGCATCAAGTCCCACGATCCCGAAGCAGGAAATCGACTTCACGCTCGTGCAACGTGCTTGGTGGGACGCGATCCTCACATGCTACCAAGAAATCAAGACCTGCCCACAGCGCATGCCGCTCGAGATGCGAATAATGTCCGGCTCGGACGTGACCCTTGCGCCCCAACGCGGACACCGCTTGGGGACCTGCTCCATCGAGATCCTGACGCTGCACAACGTCGCGGACATTTGGCCAGCATATGCACAGAAAGTGCTTGACAAGTGGTCTGGCTACAAAGACGCTGATGGGAAACCTCTACCTGTGCGTCCGCACTGGGCAAAAGAGTGGTACGGGTATAAGATGAAGGGCCAGCCGTGGCAGGAGGTGTTGAAGAACGAACTCCGTCTGGACGGAGGCTTCCGTGAGGAATTCGCCGAGTGGAGAAGCCTTATCGGCCAGTTGGCAAAGCGTGACGGGTGGCGCGTCGAGGATGCGAAGAAACGGTTCGGCAACGAGGCGTTGAATACTTTGGTCTGGAGCGAGCCGCCTGCGAAACTTATGAACCCTGGTGTGGCAGGTTTCGCCGGCGCGAATGGCAAGGTCACAGATTCGATCTCTCCCACTACGAATGGTTCGCTTGTCACAACCGGACCGGCGAAAACGAATGGCCATGTTAATGCTGGTACCGCGAATGGAAACGCCGGTAAGGGCAAGATCGACCCGAAGAGGAAGCACGACAGACCCCTCAAGCGCTTTCTCGCCAAATTGAAGGCTGCTTTTTAGACTGGAGACCGCGATATGCCGGTGCATCTCAGTAGGTATTTTCATAATGCCACGGACTATGTATGCAGGTGGAAGTCGGAGAGCCTCATTCGCCATTGCGGTATCAAGGACATCTACACTCTGGTCGACCATTCAATTCAAAATCTTTCCTCTTCAACACGCCTTTCTCGACACGTCGAAATTCAAGAACGAAGCTTTCCCCGAAATCGACCCAGAAAAACAACGAACACATGCAACACATACAAGTACTCGGCATCGCCTTGTCCACTATCATGGAAGGGTGCGATCATTCGTCCTATTCTGCACATTCTTATTCGTCTCGGTTCTGTTCTTTTGTATGTTTGTTTCAGCAAGCGTGGGTGAGGTGATTGAATACAGCGATTTCACTGAGGGGTTTCTATCTTTTCACCATAAATGCCATGCCATCTCATGACTAAAAATGGGGAATAAGAAATAAAAGAAAAGAAAAGACAAAAAATTAACGACCACTTACGATGATTACGATAATCTTTCGATTTTGCTGATGACCTGCCATGTCAAGCGGAGAGCCATCATGGGAGGGTGGCTCGATCATGATTAATGGGATCTCTTCATGAAAACAATGAGATCTGCTGTGTGGGCATGTTATGCCATGCCGTGGAATGGGAGTGGAATAAGGCACAAGTCGAATGGAATTGATACCATACACTTGATGTGGGGGGCCCTCGAATTGAGATTTTGATGTATTGATGCGTTTCTACCTTAGCGTCGTGCGTTGTTTTAGATGAAGAAATGTCTCACGAACGATCGATTAACGAATATTATGACCATGAGGTTTCCGACAAGGGCGCTTTGTATCTTTGCTTAAATAATGTCTCTGGGACTCTCGAATCGAAAGCCAATTCTATGCCATCCTCATCTCAACCGATATTTCACCAGTAAACCATTCAGTCAGTCAGTTAAACTAATAACCCCTCTTCCTCTGCACGAGATTAAACAGCGGCTCGCCCTTCTCATGCCTGGCCCAATTCGTGATCCACAAGTCATAGGCACGATCGAAATACTCGACGCCGAGCGAACTGACATGCGGCGTGATGATGACATTCTTCGCGTCCCACAACGGATCATCCTTGGGCAGGGGTTCGGGATCCGCCACGTCCAGCGCCGCACCGGACAGCGTCTCGTCGTTGAGCGCGGCCACCAGCGCCGCCTGGTCGAGAATCGGGCCGCGCGCGACATTGATGACGAACCCGCCTTTCGTGCCCTTCTTGCGCGTCGCGGCGGCGGGGGAGTCGGCCGCCGGAGCTGCCAGCAGTGCGAACTCCTCTTTGCCGAACAGGTGTCGTGTCGAGGGTGTCAATGGGAGGGCGATGAGGAGCGCGTCGAGACCTGACGAGAGAAACGTGTGCAGTGACTCCTTCGTCGTGCCGCTGTACCACGCTGCCGGAATCGTGCCGTCCGGGTCGCCCGTGCCCGGCACCCAGTAGCCGGCGTCTTTGCGCGACTCGGGCGTCGAGCGCGGACTGGCCGTGTATGCGTGGATGGAGGCGCCGAGGGCCGAAAACACGCGTGCGGCTATGTCGTGAGCGAGAAATTGTGTTAGGAAAAGAGTGCTTTAGACGCCAAATGAAGACAAGACGAAAACATTGCTCATGGTTGGGGAATTCATCGAGTACTGACCTTGTCGTCCAATGCTCCCGTACCCGGCAATGCCGACTCGCTTGCCGACCCAGTCAGTGGTGCCAGACAACGAGCGGCGGTCGGGGCCCCATGCGTGATCGACCTGCCACTGATGCTGCAGGTTGTAGTGCTTGCTCGCGACCAGTGAGGTCAAGATAATCCATTCCGTGATTGGGGGACCGTGGATGCCGGACGAGGTCGTGATGGCGATGTCGCTGTCCTTCACGATCGGGTGGTCCACCCAGCTGTCGATGCCGGCAGAGAACAGATGGATGAGTTTCAGGCTATATGAGTGATGGGATGTTAAGACTGAGATCAGGATTTTATATTCCACCGAGAGGAGGGTGATGATATGTGTTGAGCTTGATAGAAACTTACTTTGGCGCCGCTTCTTTATTTGGGGGTAGTGCAGTAAGTGTTATGAGCAGGGTAGCGGATTGAAATGCCTCTATGACATGAAGAGACATCGGTTAGCTCATTGTTGGTCACCCAAAAACCACCGGGAGGACCGCTTGATTTCCCTTTCATGATTTCAACTAGACTAAGTCGTCTAGGCCTCAGCTAGCGACAACATGGGACCTGCTTCTATGCGCCATGCGATGCGAAGGAAAGAAGCAGCAGTTTTGCGGGACTCCAGGAACTCATTCATCCTGTCGTCGAGCACCATGAAGACAATGACAAGAGATACTGAAGTAGAAAACAATCCAACACTCACCAGTGGGTACCGCATTAGCAGCATCCGCGATAGCCTGCTTCCACGAAGCTGAGCTGGGTGGTGGGATCTGGACATAGTTGATATCGACGTAGGGAAAGCGACGTTTGATCTCGCTGGTGAAATCCACAGGCTCGGGATCCCATAATGCGATTAGGAGTTGTTCTTTATCTGGACCACCCCCCATGATGTAGATACCGCAGAGAAGATAGGGAATAGGGTTCCTTAAATCTAGGGTGAATATTTTGATTTCAGGGCAATGGTCCTTTGTGTCGTGTTCTGGCGAAAAGAATGTTAGATATGGATGACGAGACCGTCCTAGCACGGGATGTCCCACGTGGGTAAATCGTCTTCTTATTAGAATATTGGCAGTTCGTGTGGATAGCACCCAGAGCGTTGTCCTATCGAAAACTTAGTAATCCTGTGAAGTATTGTGGATAAGAGCGACCTCGGATACAATAGTGATTCCGTTTTTGCCGTCGACGTCTTTTGCGGCTGGCATGGCGCAATCCAAGGACTTGTGCTAAAAACCATCTGACTCGAATCACCACAACAATATGTAGCACCAAAACTGATCATATTTGGTTTGTCATGCCTTATCACTGTCCAGAGAACTAGAATACCAATCCGAAAAAACTTATGCTGCCGTAACTCATGCATGCTGTGATTCCGTGACCAAAACGAACCATACAACCAAACACCAGGACACCCACGCTTTAGTAGCCCATGATTGAGGCTACCTCAAAAGAAAGCATTCAATCCCTCATCTGCTTCAACTGCCCTTCTCCATCACCACCAGGGCGACCAACCGTCACCCATTGCAACTTGATCTTGGATTCACCCATCCTTTCTTGTAGTCCACTCCAACCCAATCTCTCCTCTCCCATCCGACCCAAGCCACCTTCTTTGATCCAACATCCGGCGACAGCACGAATCCATGACAACTTCTCCTTGACTTCATTGGTCCTGACAATTTCCATGTCAACGCGCCCCAATCTGTCAAGTAGAATATCCTCGAGCGGGGAGCACATGGTGCTTCTTCGCTCCAATGCTTCTCCACTCGCCATTCCAAGATTGGCCAGATTCGATGCATCAGTCGACAGGAGATAGACGAAGTCCACCATGTATTTTTCGTCCCCACTCTCATCTCTCTTTTGATAAATCGAAACCTTGGTATGGTCTGGGAAGTTGAATTGCAGACCACCATCCACAAATCGCCATACACCTACATTTCCAACTCGCTGGTAGAAATGCACCAGAATCTTCGGCTTCTCCTCTGGTTTGGTCGTACTGGGAGTTTGTTTGTTCATATACTTTCCAAACTTGTCCAGAAGTACGATTTCTTTCATCCGCTCAGCTTCGCTACCCACCAGACTTCCCTGAATGGCTTCTAGAGCTGCAAGTTGATCTGGGTAGGTATCAAAGTCCAATTGGAACTCACTGGCTGGCACATCTAACCGCTTCATGTTCTTCTCATAGTCTGTCTGCTCATAGAACTCAATATTATGAGCATTAGGGCCCTGAGGAACGAATTGATAGTCCAGACCTCTGGCCCGTCTCATAGTGTGCTGACTTCCATTTCGAACGACGACACAAGTGCTCGCTCGCACATTGTCATCTGACGATCTTAGGATCATTCCCACACTACCATCACTTAACGTATACGCAATTCCATGGCGTGTTGAGTAGTCCACCCATTTGTCGACTCTGGGGTATGTTGTGGCTCGTTGCGTGGCCCGACTCCGATATGCAGATCGTGGCCTTCGGAGAGTATCACTGGGAGCTCGATTATCCAGTGCCTGGGTCAACGTTCGGAGAGAATTGAGCACGTCTGCATTGCCAGTTTTGCTGACCAACTCATAGGGATCATTCGTTGCTATTATTCTGCCATGAGCTTCGGAAGAAGAAAGATGAACTTCTGGACCAGATTTGGAAGCTGCTCGATGCCTAATAGAGAGTTTGGTATGCGCGAGATCGAGTTTAGTCTCTTGGTTTGGCATTTTCCGTCCATTGCCGGTTGTTGATTGAAGAATACGACCCATGATGTCTGCAGAAGATGATGACGATACTGGTCGTGTGGTTGCATTATCAACTGCCACGATGGATCTGACTGATCTCATGCTTGAATTATTCTTAAGACCAATTTGGGTGGAGGATACCATTTTCTTCACTCGGCGATTTTCAACTTTCTCAACATCTGCTTCAATCTCCTTTGCAAGTGCTTCGATCGTGTTGGGTACCGTGGTTGATCTAGGCAAAGTCTTCGAGGTCGTGGACAGTGTCTCTTTCGTAACAGTAGTCCTGGTAGCGCGGATTGTGGCTGCTCTCAATGGTCGTTGATTGAGAAGTGCTTGAGGCGGAACCTCAGACATGACCTGGTCCCTTGTTGGAAGTTCTTCAATTGGCCTCTTTTCCACTCTTCGAGAAACAGGAGCAGGCAGGGCTTGCTGCCTCTGCTGGGCCGCAAAGCTTTGGAAGGGTTTGGAAGTCGAGATGGTTCCGCTGATGGGAGCCTTGATACTAGCAATGTCGAGTCCTTCGACTTCAGACTTTGTTTGTACAATGGAACTGACGGATCTTCCTGGCAACAAGATTTGGTCCTTCCGTTTTCCTACTCGAGTAGGCAAGAGAGGCTGTTGTTGATGTGCAGCCCAATATGCATGTGCCTGCGTGAATTGCTTGTAAAGAATTCCAGAGGGCAGTGGAATGGATGGGGCACATCCCTCCCTATTTTCGATTTCAATTTCAATCAGTGCGGATATGTTAGCTCCAACACCGACACCAGGGCGAAGGCGACCGTCTGAGCCGGTACCCACGCCGCACTCGCGACATATTCGAGAATGACTAATACCTGAGCCAGGTTTCACTCTATCTCCTCGTGGATCCGCATTCTCAAGCCATGCTGGGGTCATCTTCAGACAGGAAAGGTCAAGCTGATCAGCAATAGAACCCATGGTGAAGAATTCATGATCAACTAGCTGGTCCATATCTGGTCTCTCGGCTGAATTGAGATTGAGGCAAGAAGCGACAAAATCCTTGGCTTGTTGGGGAATGTAATTCTTGCTATCGATTTTCCACTCGTATTCCAGAGTCTTGAGTTTGGAATAGATTTCTTGTTGTGTCTTTGATTGGAAGGGTGGAGTGCCCATTAACATGGCATAGCAAATCACTCCGACGGCCCAAGTATCGACTTTGTTGTCATGGCCTCGACTGCCTGACTTACTCAAAATCTCCGGCGCAATGTAGTTGGGAGTACCACAAAGGGTGGTTCTACGATCCTGCTCATCTGCCATGACAGCAGCCAGACCAAAGTCGCCAATCTTGAGATTCATGCGTTGATCAATGAAGATGTTGCCCATTTTTAGATCTCGGTGGATGACGGATCTCTTGTGAAGATATTTGACCCCCCCACATATTTGTACCATGTATCGTCGAACTTCCGGGAGACTCAGGCATGAACGTGCTTTGACCATTTCAGTCAAGCTTCCATTGGGGCACAGCTCCAGAACCACGTAGGTATGATCCTCAATGGTGAAAGCACGGAGAAACTCGACAATATTCGGGTGGTGCATCTTCGCATGAATTTGTAGTTCAGTTCGAAACTTTTCCATCATTTTCTTCTGTTCGACCTTTGCTTTGACAACCTTCAGTGCGAGGACTTCGGATGATCGCTTTGATTTCCCTTCAAAGCAAACGGCAAAACCTCCCTTGCCTAGCTTCTTGCCTATCAGATAGGTTTCAGGGGAAGCTCCAGGCTCAGTAATTGTGGTGGGAGGCCTCCATTTGTCGTCGATGCGATCAGGATTGCTGGGCTTCTCTTGAGGTTTGGGATTGGTGGCTACCTTGGGTTTCTTGATGATTGGCTTTGGTGGAGGAGCCATTGGAAGATTTCCGGATCGAGGAGAGAGCACCTCCATTTGTAAAGGATGTGTGCGTATGTGTAGTCTGTATGGCTACTGCGAGGAAGGAGAGGACCGGATTGAGTGCGCTTGCAGGATTGAGGACATGGAAGCAGTGCGAAGACCAAAGCAAATTTTTCTCAGGATGGTATACAGTGAGTACGACAAAACATAAGACGACAAGTTGATGGTATGTCGAGAGGCTAAGAGGCCGTTTCAAGAAGCAGAAGTGACGAACTTGAAGTGGCATAATTGATGTATCCTAGGATGGAAAGCCGTAAACATACAACCGAAAAGGGTTTAGTGCAAATGGTTGGGCTGTGTAGTTCATGTTGGAGATTTGGAGTCGTCGCTGGTTGAGAGCCGCACCACACACGCTGCTATTTAGGCTTCACCACGCCCGAAACTCGAGGAACAAGGCAGCAGGAATACCGCCTAGGTTACCCCCAGAAAGCTTGACACCCCCCACTTGACCACGCCTGACTATTAATGTGGTTAGGCCTAAGGTGCCTGCAGTCACAACGAGGCTGCACAGCAAGAAAATGGCTCAGCTTACCGGTTGACGAACACGGAGTCCCCCATTGAACTTGCACAAATACTTCTGCACATATCGATTCTGCAAAGATACACCATACACTGTCTCTATCTGTTAGGACCCGCGGGAGAGTTACACAAGAACGCTCCGCTGACTGTGCACCGTTGAATCGGTTCTCCCTGAAAATGTACTGGACAAGTCCATAGCCATTAGGTCACCCTCGGAATGTCTCTTGCTCTCAAATTCACCTCTCTCGCAGTCCGCACACTTTCCAAACCCATAGCTGTGAGTCGATATTTCGCTCGCTGATGTTATAGCTTGGCATTCTAACTGTTGTGTTCCAGAATTTCATCAAACGTCAAGCCCGCGAGCATGAAGGATTCCGTCGGACATGTATTTCGTTTGCCCAGTCTCTCCACCGGATTGACATGAGATGGAGGTTGGGTTTGTTGCAAGATGCTGCCGCAGTCGAGCGACAGGCTGCCAAAGAGGCTGCAGCAGAGGCAGCCAAGAAGCATAAACACAGTCAAATACCTACAGTGAAGACCGAAACACAGGCAAAAGCAGAAGAGGAGGCTGCTGCGAAAGCTGCCAAAGAAGCATCTGAACCACCCAAGCCACGACCCCGACCTAAGATCAGGCCACTCTCCGAGGCGAAAGCTATTGAGTCCGGTGCGACATTCATCAGTGAGACATTTCTGTTCAGTGTGGCAGCGGGTCTTCTGCTGTTCGAATCGTGGAGGTCACGGAGAAAAGAATCCAATCGACGAGATGATGTGGCAGAAAGACTTAATGACCTGGAAGAGTCGGAAAACGCTGCTCGCCGGGCTCTGGTTGAGCTTGAGCGGGAGGTGTTACGCCTTCGAGCCAAAGAAGGCAGTTCAAAGTCACAGAATTTAAAGAATGTAAGAATATTACCCAAGGAAATCTACGAGGAGAAGGAGGAAAAGGAGGAGCCTACAGGGATATTTGCCCGTCTCTCGGCGTGGGTGTCTACGAACAAAGCAGACGGTGAAGCAAAAGAAGTGATAGAGGCCAATGACCCAGGACCAGCGGAAAAGATTTTGGTGGAATCTGACAAGGCGTTGGCCGAAAAGCGGAAGCATGCAGCAGAGGCAGCTGCTCATGAGGAAGGAGCCAAACGGTGAGAAAAACTGCATAAAGGATCGTCTTACACTACTAGAAATCCAGGGGCATCGTGCCTTCTGTTTGGCCACAGCTAGTCGGCGTCTGGATGGCCATTCAGTTATATCAATATCTCGACTCTGTACATTGTTTTCTTTCAAGATACCCGACTCCGAGTCTAAATGTCACAATATGAACACGAACACAAACATGATCTCTGCAAAGTTTTCCGCATGTCTCAAAAGCAAAAGCCAATGGTTGAGATTAGAGCCTGTTCTTGCTGGAGCTTCTGCAATGCGTTTCCAAGAGTCATCTTCGACATCGTTTGATCTAGCTATTGCTCTCCTACCACAGACTGACAATTCTCCAACCTTGCATTGTTTTCTGGTCTGGCTGTCAGAATCAGACACTGATCTTGTTCAGATGACGGAGGAGTCAAAAACAGGAACGCCATCGAAAGACCATCGTCTCATTCTGTTGGTGAATGACAGTGAGGATGATGCACCGGGCGTGCAACTGGTATCAAAATACTCCCAGCTACAGGCCAGGTATGAGTGAATCCAATAACTCATGTCGACCACATTCTGAGGAAATGGGCAGCCAAATACAGCAAGCATCAATGCCACCCATTGTCATAGTTTCAGCAATGAACAAGCTTGTATGGACCATTCAGAGATATTGTGCGGAATTGGCCCATCAGACGGGCCCAAGTCGACGTGATATTCCATCAGCTACGAGTGTCGTGAGTTTTGCTACATCTACAGGCCCAAGACAGCCACTTTCAGAGCATGATGCAAAGGTGTTGACACAGCTGTTCCCTTCGATCCGCCGACTGGAAGAAGGGACCAGAACAGACCACGGAAGGAAGGCCATCAGGGAATACTTTGATCCGGCAAAGGAACAGGACCTGATGGACTTTTGGCTGGATGAATGGATTGGATGAGGGTCATCAATTAAGCTCTTGCACCGTCATTTGCTTGCGTGGAAAGAGGGCCCCAGCCACAATCAAAGTGCCACCAAGTGGCGGGGCAAGGATGGGTTTCCCGGATTAACTTGTCGCCTGGAAGTTGCGGTGCAGTGGTCGTTAGTCACCCGCCGCATTCCGTTCAACTGCCACTGCCACTGCCAGCTAAATATGTCATATCAGGCCCCAATTAAAACAATCGAGGTTAGTACCTCATACTCCAGAAGTTACTGAATAAACGCCGGCGCAGCAGGGTAATACGTGCCACTGCACCACTTGCAATCTACTGCTGTGGGCTTTCAATTCACAATCCAGAACTCACAATTGTTTCTTCTTTCTCCCCTCCCACAGAAACAACCTCGTCTCTTACTGTGCAACCGTACTTGTCCTCTCCTCTTCCGTTTTCCTGACCCCTCCTTGCTCAATCTCCCGCTGCGCTGCGCACGCATGTCCTAATCAATCGCACATTATCATGGTCGGTACCACCACTCACCCTCGCGAAACATGAAACATTCTCACTCACATTCCACCTACAGGGTCAAACAAAACGCCGTGAAGGCAAGTCGTCTCGCGCACCCAAATCCTCCCTCTTCGGCGGTGGCAGGTCCGGAGGAGGTGATGCTGGTCAGACTCAAATCAAGAAGGCCACCTTCGAAATCACAAAGAAGAAAGAGGTCGGTGTCTCGGATCTCACCTTACTGAGCAAAGTCTCCAATGAAGCCATCAACGACAACTTGAAAAAGCGTTTTGAACATGGCGAAATCTACACCTACATTGGCCATGTCTTGGTCTCGGTCAATCCCTTCCGAGATTTGGGTATCTATACCGATCAAGTTCTGGATTCTTATCGAGGCAGGAACCGACTCGAAGTTCCTCCTCATGTCTTTGCTGTCGCAGAATCCTCTTATTACAACATGAAAGCCTACAAGGAAAACCAGTGTGTTATCATTTCTGGTGAGTCGGGCGCAGGCAAAACAGAGGCCGCCAAACGCCTCATGCAGTATATTGCAAGTGTTTCGGGCGGGTCAGACTCGAGGATTCAGAGGACAAAGGACATGGTTCTTGCAACCAACCCTCTCCTCGAATCCTTTGGCAACGCCAAAACCCTTCGAAACAACAATTCCTCCCGCTTTGGTAAGTACCTCGAGCTCGAATTCAACGAGACTGGTGAGCCTGTGGGGGCCAAAATCACAAACTACCTACTAGAAAAATCCCGAGTCGTTGGCCAGATCACCAACGAGCGAAATTTCCACATCTTTTACCAATTCACAAAGGCTGCTCCAAAAGAATACCGTGACAATTTTGGCATTCAAACGCCTCAGTCATATGTCTACACAAGCAAGTCCAAATGTTTCGATGTCCCGGGCATTGACGATGCCAGTGAATTCAAAGATACTCTGGAGGCTATGCGGATTATTGGCCTGACCAAGCCTGAGCAAGACAACATCTTCCGAATGCTAGCCGCCATTCTGTGGGTTGGAAATGTCACCTTTAGGGAGAATGACCAGGGTGGTGTCGACATCGCTGATCAGTCCGTTGTTGACTTCGTGGCCTATCTCCTCGAGGTCGACTCCGCTCATGTCAACAAAGCCTTGACCATCAGAATTGTAGAAACCGCTCGTGGTGGTGGTCGCCGAGGCTCAATATATGAAAGCCCCTTGAATCCCACCCAGGCCATTGCCGTACGAGATGCTTTGGCAAAAGCCATCTACTTCAACCTTTTTGATTGGATTGTTGCACGTACAAACGTTTCTTTACGATCACAAGGTGTGGTGAAAAACACCGTAGGGATTTTGGATATCTATGGATTCGAAATATTCGAAAAGAACTCTTTCGAACAACTCTGTATCAACTACGTCAACGAGAAATTGCAGCAGATTTTCATTCAGCTGACCCTGAAGACAGAGCAAGAAGAATATGCTCGCGAAGAAATTCAATGGACCCCCATCAAATATTTTGATAACAAGGTGGTGTGTTCCTTGATTGAAGACAAGAAACCACCAGGTGTCTTTGCAGCCCTCAATGACGCTTGTGCCACAGCTCATGCGGATTCTGGCGCAGCAGATCAAACCTTTGTTGGTCGGCTCAATTTCTTGTCAAATAACCCGAATTTCGAGGCTCGGCAAGGGCAATTCATCATCAAGCATTATGCTGGTGATGTGAGTTACCAAGTGGCGGGTATGACCGATAAGAACAAAGATCAACTTCTTAAAGACCTGCTCAATTTGGTCGGTGAAAGCTCGAATACTTTCGTGCATGAAATATTCCCCAATCAGGTCGACCAGGATGACAAACGCCGTCCTCCAACTGCTGGTGACAAGATCAAATTCTCCGCAAATGAACTGGTGGATACTCTCATGCAAGCACAACCATCATACATCCGAACAATCAAACCCAACGAGAACAAATCGCCCAAGGAGTATAACGAGCCCAACGTCATGCATCAGATCAAATATCTTGGTCTTCAAGAAAACGTCCGCATTCGAAGAGCTGGTTTCGCTTATCGTCAAACATTTGACAAATTTGTTGAGAGATTCGCACTTCTATCCCCTCGACTTTCCTACGCTGGAGAATACACCTATACAGGAGATGTCAAGACTGCTTCAAAAATCATTTTCAAAGACACCAGTATTCCAGAAGAAGAATTCCAGATGGGTGTAACTAAGGCCTTTATCAAAACTCCCGAAACTCTATTTGGTCTTGAGCATATGCGAGATCGCTATTGGCACAACATGGCTGTCCGTATTCAAAGAGCCTGGAGAAATTATCTCAGATACCGGGCTGAAGCAGCGACTAGGATCCAAAGGTTCTGGCGCAAGTCCAAAGTGGGTGTCAAGGAGATCGAATTTCGAGACCAAGGCCATAGATTACTGGGCGGCCGAAAAGAACGTCGCAGATACAGTTTACTTGGGTCAAGACGCTTTTATGGTGACTATCTGGGACTCAATATGCCTGGTGGGCAGGGCAGAGTTCTCCGAGACTCTATCAACCTCAATCCACAAGAAAGAGCCGTCTTTTCTGCTCGATGTGAGTTGTTGGTCACAAAGTTTGGAAGATCCTCCAAACCAATGCCCCGAATTCTGGTTCTCACAAACAAATCAATATACATCATCGTCCAGACTGTCATCAACAATCAGCTTCAAATTTCATCCGAGAGGACAATACCCATCGGTGCAGTCAAGTATATCTCCACCTCGAGTATGCGAGATGATTGGTTTGCTCTAGGTGTTGGATCTCCTCAAGAGCCTGATCCACTGATCAATTGTGTTTTCAAGTCGGAATTTTTCCTTCAGTTCAAGACCGTTGCTGTTGGTGGAATGAACTTGAAGATCGGCCCGACCATAGAATTCAACAAGAAACCCGGAAAACCAGCAACCATCAAAGTCCAAAAGGACCCTGCTGTACCACGAGACGATGTCTACAAGTCTGGCGTAATACACGTTCCGAACGGAGAATCACCAAACTCAGTTTCAAGGCCTACTCCCCGAGGCAAAGCAATTGCTAAACCCATTACAAGTGGGAAATTGCTCCGACCTGGTGGACCTGGAGGTCAACCATCTAAGACACAAAGTCGTCGCCCAACACCCGCCGCTCGACCTGTACCTGCACAAACTCCCTTGGCAGCTCGTCCTGTTCCTGCTACACGCCCAGTCCCACAACCTACGAATGGAGTGGCTTCTCACACCAGTCAACCAGCAGCATCTATACCACGTGGAGGCCCTCCTGCACCACCACCGCCGCCGCCACCGCCTGCGGCGGCTCCGGCTGCCGTACCGTCTAAACCCCAAGCCAAGGTCAAATTCGATTTCAACTCTCCCAATGGCAACGAACTGTCCATCAAAGCTGGACAAGTCGTAGAGATCGTACGGAAAGAAGACAATGGTAAGCTACTCTCTCTTCTCAAGATATTATGTACCTCTTTTCCCAGTACTAAATCCCCTCTCAACAGGATGGTGGCTCTGCCGCAATGCACAAACCGACCAACAAGGATGGACGCCATCCGCGTACGTCGAAGAAATCGAACAATCCCGCGCTGCACCACCACCTCCTCCGCCCCCGCCAGCTGCACCACCGCGTGCGATCCCCACGCCCTCTGTCATGGTTAACGGCGCCTCAAACCCCGGAGCGACCGCAACAACACGCGCGAAGCCCACCCCTCCCGCTCCACCGGCGAAACGCCCCGCTCCAGCCACAGGCCGCAAACCGGGTGTTTCTCCCGCCCGAGACAGCGGCATGAGTCTCGGCACCGGTGGCAGTGGTCGGGATTCTGGCCGCTCCACGCCGAACAGTATTGGCGGCGGCAGTCTTGCGGGTGGCCTTGCTGAGGCACTACGCGCGAGGCAGAGTGCCATGAGTGGGAGTGGGAATCTGAAGAATGCCAAAGATGACGATGATGATTGGTAAATGGATCAAATGGAGGTTGATAGAAGAGGGCTACAGGCGAAGAAAGTGAGTTAGGATAGGTGGGACACTGGGGCGGGTAGATGTCTATATGTGGCAATCGGGGAAAAGCTTTGCTCGTCTGGCCTTCTTATGGGTACGTGATTAACGGCATGCAGAGATACCTATGTGCCTAGGCAAGCCAACCTAGATGCCCAAACGAAACGAATGAAACGACTGTTTTCTTGGTTTTTTCTCCCTTCTCTCTCTTTTTTTTTCTACTTCTACTTCAACTTTCGCTATCATCATCGCTACCATCCCGACTGTCAGTGATCGATCCGAAGCCCCAGTCAGTCAGTCAGTCAGTCAGTGATGACGGTCCTTTTTCGGTTCGGTTCATTTTCTTCAACCGCGTACTCGGATTTTTACTAGGGCGAGTCCCAGATCATATGTGACTTCTGACAGCTCCATTCCTGGATATCTACGACGATGAGTCTACTTTTCGAGCCTCGCTCTCTTTCTTGGAGTTTCCCCTCTTGCTGGTGTCTTTCTGATTCCGTGACGGTGGGTGGCGCACGTATGTCGATGTGGATGTATGTATATATATATTGGGGGGGAAGAGTATGCTCGCTTGAACCGGACTGGGAATTTTCGATAAATTATCAGGGGATTGTTGATTTCGTTGCTTTTTCCCAAGATGTCGTAGAATGGATACTTGGTTAGGCTACTTAAGCAGATTGAGTGGCCCAGTGTCTACGGTGACACTAATTGAGGCGCATACACACCGAGCCCCCAAAGTATTTAGGCGTCGGGTCTTCATTCCTGGGCAGTAGCCGAACAGCATAGGCATATTCTAACGAGGCGGGAAATTGGTCATCGCCATCATGAACGTCATGCCACCCCTCCGTATCCGAGTCTCAGTACCAGACTTGATGCGCATTGTTGCGAATGTGGCCCCTCTATGGGACTATACAATGATGTCTAGCTAATGTCGGCTAAATGTCGTCGATGTACGACCCCGTATGGGTCATTCGCGGCTGAATTCAGTGGTTGTTTCCCCCTCACAGGCCAAGGATGGTCTCCAAAAGGACCACCGGGGTGCCTTGGGGCCCCGAGTGATTCATTCAGTGATTCGTCTCAGATTCTTCGTCAGGAGTATATGAGAACCCCGAGGGGTAAGACGGATTGATTGTGGTCTGAAATATGCAATTGGCTGAGAGACCGTACTTCTCAGCGTCAGTTTGACCATTTATTATTTCCCCTCCGCTCTCCTTTCGTGAACTCTCCTTTCGGCGTCGAATCTGCTGAAGAAACTACCACAAGGCTCGCTACTCCTTTTTTCCTCGCTTAATTGACTTTGAGTAGCATTGTTAGCCAAGGGTACCTCTGTGATTCCATTTCTCAAACCCAAAGAGCTCAAGATGGCAAGCAGCGGGAAGAAATATAAAGTGCTTTCTCCATCAGACGTGGAACATTTCCTTACCCATGGGTTCGTCCGAATTGAAGGGTGCTTCACCAACGAGGACGCAGAGAAATGGACTGAAGATGTCTGGCTCCGGCTAGGGATGTCACCTACCGACAAGACAACATGGTCCCGCGAAAGAACCAACATGCCTAGTCATCAGGCTCTAAAAGTCAGTGACTTTGCACCAAAAGCTTGGGATGCCATTTGCGATGTGGTAGGTGGAGAGGATAAGGTGACTGAGAAAAGTAAGATGTGGAAGGACTCATTTATCGTAAATCTTGGGACAGCGGAAAACGAAGGCAAACAGTTTGATCCTCGGGATCTAGATCAATGGCACGTCGATGGTAAGATAACGATCCCCGTTTATGAGCCTTTGATCTCGTGCATCAGTGCTGGTTTCCCAAAGTTGCCTGACTAAGAAAAATTCGCTGGGTATTCTGTCTTTGACTGACGATATCAAGGTGATTTCTTCATCCATTTCCTCGATTCGCCAGAGCAAGGTTTACTAGTCATCCCGTTGTTCACAGACATTCTGCCGAACGGCGGTGGCACCTGGATTTGTTCTGAAGGAGGATCGAGAATCGGTAAATGGTTGGTGAGTGGAATAGTTCTTGAGGACTTGCTAGATTTTGAGATCTAGACATGCTTCACATATATGCCAGTTTCTCACTAATTGAATGCAGTATGACCACCCAGACGGAGTCGATCCACGTATGAACCCCGTTGGTATCCCTGAGTCAGAAAAATACGAACACCTCGCATTCTTCAATCAGACGGTCCAAAAGTGCGCCCCGGAATCATTTCACGAGATGACTGGAAAGGTGGGCGACGTTATTCTGCTGCATCCGTTGATGCTGCATTCGGCATCGAAGAATGGACTGCGAAATATCCGTATAATCACCAATCCACCCGTGTCGCTCCTCGAGCCATTCAAGTTTGACCGCGGTTCAAACGAGGATGATTACAGCCTTGTCGAGTTGAAGACGATCAAAGATCTCGGAGGCATGGACAAATTAAAAGGATGGAAAATCACCGGAGAGAGGAAAGAGGTTATTCCTCCCAGAGTTCAAATACAGGCCAAGATGATGGAGGAAGAGAATAGGAGATTAAGGGAAAGCGGGCGTCAATATCTCGACAGGGCAAAGGCAGAAGGAGAGGCGGTCAGATCGCACCCGGTCGCCGCTGCTTGAACAAATTCAAGGAATGCCACCGGCCATGCGACTGCCAGTATTGAGAGATTGGATTGGTAGCATTTTGGCAGGCACTATGCCCTTAAGGACAATTTGCATACAGTAAGACTTGGAGTATTGATTTGGGTTGCTGTTCGTTGTTGCTCCTTTTAACTTGCTTCTGAACGGCGTCATTGCCGTTGGAGTATACGATATTGCTCCTGCCGGTGGAAAAGTACTACCCAAACGATAGACTGTCCTCTGAGCCGCGTTTATCGGAGTCAATTGTGCTTTTCCCCATTGATCTAAACCCAATGAAGGAGTTTCATCTCAAGATGCGATGTATGGTAAAAGATTGAATAACTGTTTCTACGGGGGTAGAAGCGCCTAATATAAGTTAATCTAATCCAACTCCGATACTATACATGGCATCGCTAATCCAGCACGGCTCACACCCACGGTCTGTCCCGAAAACAAGCCGACCACTCCACAAGCTGAGCGAAATACTTTTATACTCATCGAGCCACTATCTGCATGCCAATTGAACCATCTCTGTTTTCAGCCAAAGTGGACTTCAAGCAGAAACACACCCGACTTCGATCAGCCTTAAACCCGGCGATTTGCGAGCTCATCCATCGAGTGTTCCCTCTGACCAGTACTTGGAGCCTTTCTAGAGATCTCCTTCCACTGTCGTGATCTCGAGCCACGAAACTCGAAGAACGACAATATCGCCATGTATAGTGCAATGATTCTGTAGGGACGCCTCATGTTAGAACTGAGCTAAAATCGAAGTAAGACTGGCTAACTCACGTCATGACGACTGCAATTGCAACGGTGACCCAACCCAGTGTGCATCCAACGCCCACACAAATTTGAAGCTGCGCTTGTAGCACAAGAAACACGACAGCAGCCCAAAAGACCACTTCCAGTGCATTGAGGATGGCATACGCCTTCAGGCTACGCCATTTCTTGAACCGCGCAACATGCTCCGTGAGGATTTGGTAGAAGATTATGATCATGGACTTGCCACCCTAAAGCAAGGAGAACCCTTGTCAGCTTTAGATCTTGAAGAGGTCAATGGGAATGGAACTGACCATGCCCAAAGCAATAGTATTGGCACGAGTTCTTGGCTGGCCCTTCAGAAACATTCGTGGTGCAGATACACCTATGATTATGTGAATCAAGATGATTTGAATGATGTGAACCTTGAGCTTGTATCGAGGGTCGAAAATTCCCATTGTGGCTGTCGTGTTCTGCTCGTTATCAATTCGTTCGCAATGAATTGCTGGCTTCTATGGTTGAATGGGCTGAAGAGAGAATACATATCAAGCGATGGGTCGTCGACTTTCTTAAGTATATTCATCTTGTGCTCGACGGGTTGCAAGCCCAACGGCCGACCTGTATTACAACAGTCATCATGGTTGCACAGGTAGCATCTCTGTTTTTCACAAACATGCAATCGTCCCTGCCAAGCACGGTCACTTCTGTGTCCAAGTATAGTTCCTTTCTGTGAAGGTTTCGGATCGATACGCGAATCTACGCGTAAGTTCAGAAGGCTGCAACTTTTCTCAAGGCTGAAGGCTGAATAATGGGGTTAGAGTTGATGATTTGAACCTTTCATTGGGCCGTGTAGATATGCCAAGCCCTTTTCAATTCTTGAACACGAACACGAACACGACCTCGGAAGGCATCAACTCCAACACGAGCCTGGAAAGCCGGGCATTGACGCTACCGACACGGACCTGCATTATCTTGCGGTTGTCGGATGTCTCTTGTTATGCTTGTCCATTAGAAGCATATTGCCCAGGTAAGTCAATGCACGCAAATCATTGCTGATCAAGGGAAAGTATGCCCTTTTTTGAACCCCGGGTGCCCCCAAGATTCTCGGCCCTTTTCTGACATCAGTATTCTCCCAACTTTGCGGGCAAATGCTCGACGGAATCTTTGACTTGAGGCCACTCATCTCCGGAGATCTGTTTCTTTGTCCTGCGGTGTCGTGTTGTCAGCGTTGAAGAAGGGAGTGTCCTTCTGCCACTCCTACATCATAAACACTCATTCCTCCATCAGCCTCAGAGGATAGTCCAGCCATCTATCCCATCGCTTGCCTAGGTACGATCGTATATGCCGCAGCAAGCGTCTCCCAGCGTCACCAATGACCCAAGATTGATTTCGACGGTGGAGCAGGAGGGCGAAGTAAGCCAAGAATACCAGAGCTTCTGGTCGCCTCTGATCAAGCAAGTCAGTGTAGGCTTCGGAAGCGACCACCAACCAAGCAAAAACTTGATGTGTCGAAGATGCAGACGTGCCGAATGCGTTTTCGCTATCGAAATATGTCTGCAAACTTTCCAGGGAATCGCAGTACACACCCATAGAAGCTTCGCTGATATCTGCTTCGTCTATCATTTTCTGAAGGTGGTCACATTCCTGTGATGACGGTTTTGGGGTGTTCTGCTGCTGATCAGCGTTCAAGATGATCGCACCTAGCTCGGTCTGGACGAGTGTGTTCCACCAGGTCCGTATAACGACGTTGATCCCTCGAAGCATTCGGATACACCCTAGGAGCCTGTCAAGAAAAACACTCAAGTCATCATCTATCGAGGTGAATATGTCCCAGAAGGCATGCAAAGCTATGAGGTGAGAAAATAGAAGCACATCCAAGCAATTTGCTTCGTTGACACTTTTCAGGACTTGGTTGAACTCGGCGAGCGCACAAATTTGTTGACTGGAGGCGATTTCACGGTAAAATGTCGCCTTCTCTGGTCTTTTCAGGCTCATATGGCAGGCGGAAAAGGCCACTATCTCAGCAAGAAGACAATGCTGTCCAAAGGCTCGCTCTGTCACTATTCGCCGATAAATATCGACATGACTTGGATTTATAGCAATAGTTTGACAGGTGTCGACCGTGAAGCAATAGAATAGCTCGACATGGTGAACATTGACTGCCGAGTCAGAACTCGACTGAACCGTGTGCCGATTCAAGTTGATAGCCGTATCAGTAGGGGAGTGAGTAGCACTGCCAGTGCGTGCTGACAGCACCGCAGTTGCATCATCCGCCACTTGATGTATTGGCGGGTCCGACTGTCCTTCGGGAGGGCCTGGAAAGGAACATGTGCGCTGAGAAATAATACATTTCCGACAAACAGGGCGGCCTTCGTCACACTTGAGATGCCGGCGCTTGCACTCGATGCAACCTGCACGAGATTTCGTGTGGCTCTTACGAGCCATCAGAGATAGACTGCTAGCTCCACCTTATCGGTCAGGACATGATGGTGTTTCGGGCGCGGTGAAGTAGTTGCGGCACATGGTCTTTGGTTGTTGCCTGAGCTGAGACTTTGCAAGGCTGGGGCTGATCCGCAATTAAGCTTTATGTCAAACCTTGGCACTCGTCCAACTCCCAACTTCGACATTGTTGACCTTCACCTAATCACCTCGCTAGATAGACCTTGCATCAGGAAGCATTGAGTCGGTAGTACGGAGATAGTCGTATATGGTACAATGGTGGTCGAGATGGGTGTGCGGTCAAGACGCGGCTGATGTCCAGATCACAGCCAACGACGTCGGAACCGGGCACCCACCGAGACTGCCTCAGTTACGACGCCAAGTTCCTTAGATACCTACCTAGGCACCTGGAGAGGCACACGGCTTCCACGGGCGCCGAATGCTCCCACCAGAGAACTCCGTTTCTGATCTTCGTTCACAAAATTGTCCATTTCATCTCTTCGAGCCGGATAGCCTAGTCCCCGGCTTTAATGCCATTCGTTCACGTACGTCGTATGATGCGGATTCAGAGTTTAAATACTCAAATGGTGGACGCCTGGCAACCGCGCCACACCTTGGACTTGCTCTAAATGGTGTAGCAATCGGTAAGAATAAGTGCGGGTTTATGGCCCTAGCCAAGGAACTGTCGTGGGTATAACAGTCAGAAAAGAGTTTTCAATGACTGGTTCCATGCCATGGTGGCTGATATTAGATAATTGCGGCAGGTACCAGTCATAGGTACCACAACGTGCGTACGGAATAAGACATCTCAACAGACCGTGAAAACCGCTTTCTGGACGTCAGAAGTATCAATAAACAAAGAACAACTTGAGCCTTGACTAGCCCGGTCCAGTACAGCACCACCTCAATCTACCAAAATGCTGCAAATTTACACAGCAACGCAACTACTAGCTCCCACCTCAAGAGACATATACGATGAGGTGGTCGAGGTCATAAGTCTTTCCTTCGCCAAGGACCCCGGCACCAGATGGCTATTTCAACACCTCACAGAGGAACAATACATGACCGCCGTTCCACACTACTTCCAGTTCCTCCTGCAAGCAGCTCTACAAGTAGGCGCGTTCGTCGTCGTGAGCAGAGAAGATGCACCGGGGCAGTCGTCAACGACGCCAACCTCCAGCAACCACCACAGCAAGATCCAGGCCGTTGCGGTCGTGATCCCACCCAGCGGCAACGCCGGGATGAACTCGAGCATGAACGCCCTACGCGCCGGCTTCTTCGGACTCGTATGGCACTGTGGAGTCCGCATGATCTGGACACTGCTGACGCAGCTCCTGCCCGCGATGGAAGCGCTGGAGAAGCGTCTGCATCCCAACGGTGCAGAGCGCCACCACCATTTCACGCTGCTGGCGCTGGCGGCCCGCCCGGAGATGCAGGGCAAGGGTCTCGGGAAGACGCTGTTGATCGAGTTGCAGCGGATTGTGTCTGAAGCTGCGGGAAAGACGGTGTTTGGGCAGGCTGCGGCCGAGGTGGACAGTGGAAAGGAGCGTCAAGCCGCCGGGAGCAGTCGTGGTCCCGCGCCGCTTTACCTGGAAGCGAGTACGCCTTCGAGTAAGCGCTTGTATGAACGCGTTGGGTTTGTCGCACGCGATACGCTGGTCTATGGGACACTGGATGAGCAGGCTGGGAAAGACCTGGTTATTAAAGAGGATGGAGAGGTGGTTGGAGGGCGGATGTTTGCTATGTTTTGGTCACCTCCTTGATTTGTAGGTGCCAGGGTGAGAAACAGCGATCGAAGAGAATGTCATTGCTCATTTTTCTAGTTTGACCTGCTCGTGCGTTCCATTCTGCAGATGGGATCTGTCACACAACTGATGAATTTCCTTTCTGCTCAGAGCATGTGCTCTGGTAGGACCTTATACTCTCGACAACATCACATAGAATGCTCATCTACTATCTTGACTAGCAGATCCACGATGGTACTAAGAACTTGCTCTTGGTCAGGTGTATGAAGCCCAAAAAGGGAAGCCGTCCTCCGCCTTATCAAGCACCATGGTACCATTGGGCAACATTAAGACACTGCCGACGTTTCCAACGACGAGCGTGGCGTTGTTGAAATCCCGAACAGTCCCATCCCACCACTCAATGCACCATGAAACACCAAACTCGTCGAGACAGGGCTTTGCATACTTGAATTGGCAATGGCAGAAATTGTTGCAGTAGGTGATGCCAGAATCTGAATGAGTCGAGGTCCGCATAACCTGTATCTTTTCATCGCAGAAATAGCCACGTTCGGGTGTGCTGCAGTAGGAGGGGCCTTGTCGACTATTCCCGCAGTTGAGGGTATATTGATCTACTGTCTGGCTGGGGACACCTTTAGGTGGAGCAGTGTTGGTCGACTTAGTGCTGGCTTCAGAATCGTCTTCTAGGAGCATCTGTGGATGTTGGCATAGGCAAGACTTGTCGCAGTCAGTGTCCGATTCACCATGCTGGATCTTCCCGTTGCTGTGGCAGTTGTAGCCCCGGAAACGTTGGCAATATGTAGTGATGTTGTAGTCACTTATGCAACTGAGGGTATAGTCGATCTCGGCAGCTGTACGATGCAAAGCTTCAGCGCCTTCGTTTGCCAATGAGTTGGATCTCTTGACCTTAATTGAATCATCTGCTGAGTCCACTGCAACATCCAAAGCCTTTGCATCACGGTCGGCCCATGTGTGCACCTCAAAATGAACACAGTGACAATGGTCGTAACATCGAGGATACTTGTCCCAGTGGTTGGGAGTCACTGGTGTGAAACCTAACGCACCAGTAGGTGAAACATTTGCGCAGTAGAACCCCTCATTTTGGCAGAACTCGACTAGGCGTATATCGATTTCCGAGTCGTAAGCATTGAGGGTATGGATACAATAATAGACTGATACACCTGTCCGTATGTAATTGGGGACTGATGGGTCTGCCCTGGGTTCTAACAGAACTTGGCCACCATTCACCTTGTTCTGAAATTCGACTCGTTGATGATTGCCAATGCAGTGACATCCTGCCGCACATTGATCGATCGACTCTGAATCTGTAAGAAGAGACGACTTGGCGTACCCGTCTTCCATATGGAGGGAACAGTAGTAGTCATGTTCCACGCAGAATTCGGTCAATACTGTGTCGAGACTACCGTTTGTTTCACACATGACAGGGAGATCTCCGGACGGAAGAGACTCAGAAGGCGAAGCGAACGGGATATCAGACGTGGTTGATGTGCCGTTGCGTGTCTGGTTGAAATCCAAGGTCGCACCCAAGGTTTCGGCTGCATTTGAAAGACCTTCATCGTCTCCCAAGGCAACGAGACAAGTCGAAACCCAGCGCTGATTCTTGAAGCAGCTGGCAACAGCACCCAGGTTGACACAGCCACAAATAGCTTCGCAGTAGACATCTATTTGCTTTCTTCCAACTACGCCATTTGCGTTGCATGAGTATGCGTATGGATTGTTTCTGCACTGTCTGGTCCAATCTGACTCAATGCAGACGAGAGCATAGTTGTGATAGACTCGTGGAAACAGGCTGTTGGGCATATTGGACCAAGCAAGCTCCTGATCATGCTCCACCAAGTCGAGTGCTTTGAGCTCCGGATCTTGTGTCGGGGCTTTGGCCTCTGGAGTTAGATTGTCAGTCGGCGTGCGCAGTGCTTCACTTGAGAGTGCTCTAGAATCATTGCCACCTTGATCATTTTCACCACCAGGTACATCAAAGAAGCAACGTCCGTGAATGTAAATACAGTCAGGGACGGGGTGTCCTCTCTTGCATTCGCATGCCCAGCCGCACATGATTTGCTCCTCACCAGATTTGGTGAGAATGTATTGACCGCAATAATAGCCATAGAGACGCTGCTCACAGAACTGGACAGACATCTTGTTATCTCCAGCACAAGTCATGTACCATTCATCATTGCTGTTATCTGCTGCTCCATCCTCACGAGCCTCGCGAGCTTTGAGGTCATGATCAAAGGCAGCTGGAGTGAATGGGGCAACAGTTGACACTGTCAGTGGCGTTGTGGGTTGAGCGACGGACGCATCTGTAACGGACTCGAGATTGTCGAAAGGAATGGCATTTATTGCGTAAGCCAGGAGAACAAGAAGAGGGATTGCTGCTTTCAGGGCAGAGAGCAGACCTGGAAACAATATTGTTATTGCTGCCGGAAGAGTCAGATTGTTGAGGGAGAGACATACCCTTGAGACCCATGGTGAAATTTGGCAAGCACAGAGGTGAGTGATAGGATAGCACGTGTGGCTTTCGATGAAAAGCACAACGTTTTGATGGTAGAGGTTCTGAATGAAAGTGGTGTGGAAGAGAAAGAACGAAGGAGGGGAGGGAATGGTGAGCAAGATGGATGGATGATGGACAGCAAGTGGTGAATGAGAATGTTAGAGCCACTGCAGCAGTGGTGAAGGAGATATGTCACTGTCGCTGCCTCAGAGAGAGCCTGCTTCTTGATCTGTGAAATACTTCACTCACTTACACTAGGAAAGCATTCGTAGTACCATCATGCTAGGTGCCCGCCCAGACACCAAATCCCAACGGTAAAAGCACCTCATCCAGATGAGCATATAAATGACGCTTTTTCTTCAACATGAGCAATCTCATTGAGTGCAGAAACCATGTTTTGTTACCGAGGTACTCGTTATACTGAAACGGACGCTTCCAAGAGCCCCGCCGGTGCTGCACTTGTCTTCTTCAACCTGCTTGACTTCCTATGTGGGCAATGCTGGTCAATTCTCCCGGGTAACAGTCTGAAAAGAAGTGTCATTCAGATCATATCGTACAGTTCACCTTGCTTGGGACTTAGTTGGCCCTGTCGTCTTCAGAAACTACCTACCTACTTTAGGTGTGGTTTCCGGACTCGCTGCAGACCGACAAACTCGAAAACCCGGAGGCTCGTTGCCCATATAATTGCCACAATTAAGCGGCAGAACTCTCTTCAAATCACAGAGAATGCAATGTTTTAAGGAGTCTCTCGTGTCTAACACAGACTTTCGATTAATGATGATGGAAGGTTGATGTCGTCATGAGGATAACTTTGAAAATCGCGGCTCCCACGCGTCATGACGCGAAAGTGACACGTTCAATGCTTGGCGAAATGCGTCACTATTTCAGAAATAGGATACCAGGCGAGGACTGTGCTACCCCCTACAAGACATCGATCAATACCTACATAGTCGGTTGGTAGCACAGCAATGCGCAGGATGCCTCTTCAGGATCCGCAACATTGTCCATCATGCCAATTGAGGCTTTACCAGCAAGCACCAGCAGAATCATTGGATCCACCCTTGTGCTCAACGATGCAAAATCGGTGGTAAAAGAGCTCATCGACAATGCACTTGATGCTCGCGCTACCACAATCAATGTCGAAATCTCCCAGAATACCTTGGATCTCATCCAAGTAAAGGACAATGGCATCGGCATCGGCGTCCAGGACAGGCAGCTCCTTTGTAAAAGAGGCTGTACCTCAAAGATTCGATCACTCCAAGACCTGAGCCGTCTTGGAGGTTCCTTTCTTGGATTCCGTGGAGAGGCTCTTGCAAGTATAGCTGAGCTAAGCAAGACTGTGACGGTCACAACTCGGGTTGATGGCGAGATAGTTGGCTCGTCTTTGACATTTGGCTCTTCAGAAATGTTGAGGTAGGTCGGGGCATTTCTATTTTCCTCAAGTGATTGGTCATGACTCGAGTCCACCAGTTCTTCATCCGCATCTCATCCAGTCGGAACAACCTTTCGTGTACAAGGTTTTCTCCACAATATCCCTGTAAGAAAACAGACGGCTTTGAAGAGTACAACAAAGACATTGCAAGCCATCAAGACTCTCCTACATTCCTTTGCGTTCGCCCGGCCCAATGTCAGATTCTCACTGAAAGTCCTGAAAGCCAAAAATGATAAGTGTAATTGGACATACGCCCCTAGCCCAAAAGACTCACTAGTGGAAGTGGCATCGAAGATTGTTGGACAGGACATCGCTTCGGCATGTGATTGTCATCAGATGTGTTCGGATGACATTGAGGGACTTGAAAAGAGTTGGTCAATTGAAACGTTGATTGCCTCACCAAGTGCAGGTAACATACCCTCCATAGTACCAATGCCCATGCTGAGTTCGCTAGACTTATCCAAGATACGCAACGCGACGCAGTATGTCTCAGTTGACGGCCGGTCAATGACACCAGATCGTGGTACCATCAAGGAGCTTGTCAAGCTGTACAGGCAAAAGCTGCAAGCCTCCCATGAGTCCTCGGGAAATACATCAATATCAAGACCATTCCTGTGCCTGAAGATCAAATGCCCTCCTGAGAGTTATGATGTGAATGTGGAGCCAGCAAAGGATGAGGTTCTGTTCTTCTACCCTGCTGTACTTCGCTCGATGCTGGAAAAGCTGTTTGAAGGAGTCTACCCAATTCACGAGGGGCATGAAACAGATTGTCAGCCTTCTACTGAAGCTTCGCAAGGTCAAACTCTTTCAACCGGGCTCGATCACAGTGCGTCACAAAATGGCAAACACAGTATCGTTGAGCCACAAGAATATCACCACGACGATGCCAGGAGCTCCGCCCCTGAGGACGATGATCTCCTGTCAAATATTGCAATTTCAAATCCTTTCACAATCGCAGCGATGACTTCCAGAGTATTGCCGAAGAAAATGAATATCACCGGTACACAACTCAATACTCCTTTCGCTGCAACTCCAAGATCTCAAGACAACGACGAATGCTACGAGACAGCCGCAAGCGCAACTCGGTCTCATCGAACTCCTCTTGGCCAGAATATCCATCTGCCATCTCCTATCTCTTCATCTGATGACGGGAGCCCGCATCAGAACCCGGGTCCACCCCTTAGACGTCGCACGGCGGTCGCCATCAAGCAAAGGACTGGACCGGCTACAGAATCCAACGAACCTGTCATTGCTGAAAATTCACTACTCAAGACCTGGTTAACACCTCAGACTCAACAGCGTCGGCCTGTTAACCTTGAGGACCACACGACGGAATCCCCTTCCAGATCCGATGGGCTCAGGAGTCTAGAACGGCTACCAGTGTCAGAAATGAATGACTTGTTCCCAACTGCCATAAATTCAACTTCTGCATTGAAATGGGGTCCAGGATCCAGGCCATTCCGTCCGCCTCTCAAATCCTCGTCCAAAGGTCAAAAGTCCGCTCTTATCGTACCGGCCTTGTCTTCGACTTCTCAAGATGAGTTCGGTCCTCTTCCATCCTCAATGGCTCCAGCTGTGGCAGATGATACCCTTCGGCCTAGGCCAACTTTTCGAAGATTGTCAAATGAAATGTCACCCCAGCGGCCGGCCGAGTCTCAAAGGTTATTTTACGAAACATCATCAACGGTCGAATTGCCTACGAACACAGAATTAGAAGAGATTTTGGACTTTGAGTACAGGAAGAAGGCTGCCATTGCTCAGCACCGTCGTCAAGTCGCCAAGTTCCCTTCGAGATCAATCAATGATGTCTTGAAATCTCGAATGGGCGGAAACAAATCGTCTCAAGCTGTTGACTTGAGCACGTCTGTCAAGACATCTAGTGGAAGATCTGAGTACTCCATTATTGAAGAAGATGCGTTCGCCGCAAGATTCGGTGACACAGATCAAACTCCGCCCAGCATAGACAAATTCTCCTCCCACCAGAGCCGCTTCCCAGCAGTAGCCAAAGAACTATCTCGCTCTCATCCCAATCTTACTCAAGTCTCGTTGGTTGATTCACCTCCACCTGTCCAAGGACGCGTCATCTCTCCTCATAACTTCCCAGACATCCCAGCACGTTCCTTTCGAGAGGACGACCCACGTGCCTATTACATCCGACAGCAAAAAAGAGGTAGTCCTTCCAAACTCTACCGAACCAAATCTGCAAAATTACCCCTTGAGACGATCCCCGCAGATATGATGACCATATACTTACGTCAATCTGTGGACGCATTCCGCAGACCACAAACCAGTCGAACACTTGTACAATGTCTATCGAAGTATGATCAATATATCATTGATGGACAAATCACTTATGCTGATCTTGTGGAGGCTTCGTTGCCCATGGGTTGGCAAGATACTGTTCGAGAGCTAGTCCAGCAAAATCATGGCGACCCAGATAGCCATGATCTAGGGATGATGATAGACGAGGTTGAGATCAGCATTCCGACCCATGCTTGTTAGGACTTTTTGTCGACTTCTATTTTCTCAGACTGTTTTATTTTGGCACTTTATGACGGCGGCGTATTTGAATGATACTAGACTTTGATTGAAGTTTTCACGGGATGCTGTGTGATCGGAGCTCACATCAGATGAATTGCAACCAGCAACTAGATATGGAACGATGTCAAATGAGCGTTTGTGATTGCTTTAGCGAAGAGGTTCGAGACCTGGTGGCACGTTATATCCCTTGATTATTACTACAAGACGTGGCAATGCCCATTGATAAAACATTGACCCAAACACTCAAATGACCAGCCATCGTTGCACATGAGACATAGCCCTCTCATTGCCCTCTCCCAAGGATTCACTTCTCTCCATCCGCATCAAGCTCCTTCCTCGCCCTCGTCACGACCCCTTCCAACAAAGCCACCGCGTCCTTCTCCCTCCCCACCGGCACAAACAAATGATCATGGTAAAACGCACTGACAGGATTACAGCTAATACCACTCTCCGCAAGTTCCCTGGTCAACACAGCCAGGAACCCCACGGCCTCGAGGCTCGAATGCACGGCGCACGTGATCAAACGACATTCGTACTGGTACGGGAATTGGTGATATTTCCGGGCGTTCTCGAGCGGCGCGATGATGGTGATGCCCTCGGAGTCGGCTTCGCGGAACGTCATGATTGCAGATTCGAGAGGAAAGGGGTATGGTGGCTTGAATTGGGTGGTGGGGATGGTGAGGAAGACGTAGGTTGTCGGGGAGAGTGTGAGGGTTAGGGTTGAGATGAGGGCCGTGAGCGATGTTTCGCCTATGGGTGCCATGGAGATGTGATTTATGGACGATCGATACTTGATTATTGAAGATGTACTACAGCATGGAATCATCAGAATACCGGTCAGAATTCTGCAGGCTTGGAGCTGATGTCGTTGGAGACAAGGCTGCGCCTTGTGCTCTGCGAGGCACCCAATCAAACTTAGACGGCATCTTGCGGACAACTACGAGTAGCAATCTTGCTCCCACAAATTAAAATCTCTTCGAGCTCCAATGCATTGCATGGCAACTACTTGACTCCTACTGCCTAGTGGTTGTATCTGAAACTTCTTGGAATTCTTGACGTCTAATTTGTACTAGTTGATATGTAATGTTACCGTAAGTTGCATGACAGGCTTCCCATACCTTGCACTGTTTGTACCAAGACTGAGGAACGTGGCTGTTTTCGTAGGGGCGCAAGAGAACAGGAGTAGAGTTACTAGTTGTTATCGCACAGACACACCTTGTGATAGGATATTTAGCCTCATTAGCTCCAGATCAATCTTTGTCGAACGAGAAGGGCATGTGGACTTGCACTTTACACCGAGCATCACCCTCCGCGAGTACTTCATCCTCCAGTCATTCACATGACGTGGTGGTCTTCTTGACAACGGCCTCCAACTCCCTACTACTAAATCTCCCATTCGCTTGCAGGACATCTTTCGTGCGCCCGTACCAGTTACTTGAAAGGCGTTTCGGATTAAAAACCTTTCTCGAGAGCTGCAAATATGCAGACTGACAGTCGTCCAGTGACATTCGAAGGCGACGAGAATTATAGCAATTAACCTTTGAGTCGCAATTGGTAAGAGACCCTACCTAATAGATGGATGGAGAGAGAACAGACCCCCCAGTACTGGTCCCGCCAATCATATTGAATACTTCCCAAGGTTGAAGTTCCTGGGCGCGATCTTTGTTCAACTCCTTCATGATGTCCTTCAAGATTAGGAAGGGCGATAAGCCTCGAGTGCCTCCTCCATCTATGAACAGAACAATCAGTAACGATATTTCCACTCGCAACATTTCCCATTACTCACCCAAGGACAACAATCTCAACGGCGGTAAGTTATTAGTGTCCATATTTACGGCCTGTTGTTGGTTGAGAATCGAGAAAATGGAAAGAAATACTAGACGATGATGAGAAATGGAGAAGTGGTTCGCGGCTACCGCAGTAGTTTGTAATCGTTGCCCTGTGCAGTGGTTGTTTTCTCATAACCAGCAGGACATGCTTCTGGGAATGTGTTTCAAACCTGGTAACGCGCCATCTTTGCAATTGGGAAGCTGGAGGCTTCCCCTGAGATAGTCTGAGTTTGGGTTCTGCGGGTGCCCGTTGGTAGTAGGAAGGTACAAAAAGTCTCTGATTCTTTATGATATTGCTGTGTAGATAGGCACAATCTCATCCATAACTCAGCCGAAAGAATGCATCGTTATCACTTGAGGCAGCAGTAACATCAGACTAAGATGAGTCGGCCAGCTAGTATCAGCGATCGGAGCGTTCAGGATGAGGACCTGTGGACATTATTCATCTGAGTATGAGGCACTAATTAATGAAAGGAGGAATAATTTGTGGTTCGTAGGTAGCCTGGTTGAAGTTAAGCACGATTTCCAACTCGAGCCACGTGATCAATCATGTGACCATATGCAGTCTGTACTATCTCAGGGCGGCGTCGTTCTCATCTCGATTTAGGCCTCACTAGTAGGCCAGATTCCCCGATTTATCTGTGGAGGCCTCCATCTACATAGTAGGCTTTGGACTTTGGAGAAGGTCCTAGGAGAATCAGCGAGCGAGTGTTAAGATTCAAAGATCATACTCACGTCCGATACGTTAACATGGTCAATACCCCAACCCACATGCAACGATAGGTTCAATTCTTGCACTCACCATCCTGCTTGCTTACCTACCCACGATGAATGACTGCGGTTGATCCGCCCGCCATGGACTACCAACAACCCGCTGGCCTTGCCCAAGCCTCCGACCAACCCGGCCGCACCATCTTTCCTCAAGGCCCGGCATTCAACCTCAATGACTTCTCCGATCGTGATTTCATAGCCAAAGACTTCATTGAATCCCTCACCGAAAGTGCCCAACCCTCCAAGCGACGTTCACATGGCGCGGCTGCTCCTTTCGACCCCAAACCCTTGATTCGTACCTTTGAACAGGCTGCTCGACGACTAGATGACCTGTCGGGCGAATTAGAACAGAGTGAAAATGAACTGTCTGCTGCGGTAAGAAAGGCAGAGGCTCAGCATGCAGGAAACACCGAGACTTTGGGTAGAAAACTCAACCAGACAATTGAAAGTTTCCAGAAATTGGACACATCTTTAAAGTCGGACAGGGGTGAGAGATGGGGAGGTAATGTCGCCGTCGAGACAGGCCGACGTCTGGAAGAACTAGATCGACAAAGGAGAAGGGCTCTTGATGCCCACTTCCTGATCGAATGCTGGGATGAAGTCAGTAATCGGGGCGAAGTGACTCTCCTGGAGAACCTGCGACGGTCTGGAACCGGCGAGGGAAAGATCCGATCTGCTAACATCGCAAGGCAGCTCCTGAGAATAAGTCAACGCCTTGATCCCAAAAGTCACGGTCAAGTAAATGGCACAAAGACTGTTGGAATTACAAATGGTGTTGCAGGATCCAAGAATTTCAACACTCGAGAGATCATTGAGAAATTCATCGAAACACTGGAGAATGATATGCTCAAACTATTCGACGACTTTTACCGGCGGCAGAATTTCGAGGAAATGAAAAACTGTGCCATTGTTTTACAAGATTTCAATGGTGGTGCCTCAGTCCAAGCATCCTTTGTCAATCAGCACCAATTCTTCATCGACCGAAGTAATTTGGTGACCGATGAAGTGGGTGGGGACCAAGATACCTGGATTCATCTTTCTGATCCTGATGCCGAATTGCCAGGTGTGGAACCAGGCCTACAATCACTGATAGATGAAGTAAGAGTGGTTGTCCAGGAAGAATCAGCGATTATCAAGAGAGCATTCCCATATCCCGAGCAAGTTCTAGGCAAGTTTGTGCAACGTGTATTCCAACAATCCATCCAACAGAGATTGGAGCTCGTACTAGAGAAGGCCGAGTCAGAGTCGACCCTGGCGTATCTCAGATCCCTGCAAGCAGCAAGGAGCTATATCAGTATTCTAGTGGAGGACCTCAAAGCGCACGGGCTGACGGAGCACCCGGAGACTGTCACATCACAAACCAGTCAATTATTGGACCAACAGCTCGACGAACTATTTACTCCCTACTTTGGCGGATCAGCCTACATTGACAAAGAGAAACACAACCTGCAAGAATTATACAAATCACTGTTGTTCAAATTCGAGCTTTTTCACTCGAGAAGACAAAAAGAGCCCAAGACATATCTCGCGTCTTTGAGAAATCGTGGTCAGGAGCTTCTGGCTTCGGCAAGGGAAGCTACGGACGCGTATGTCAAGAGCCTGGATCTGGAGAAAATGTCGTCCACCCAGAAAAGAATCCTTCTATCCGTTGCCGGTCTTAAAAGCACCGACAAATCTTTGCCTGAAATTGAGCTATCTGAAGAGAATGGAAGGCTACATGTTGCCTTTGCTAAACGAATGCTCAAATGGCTCGCCGAAGGAGTCCGTCGAGGTCTTGAGCTCGGCGGAGGCTCCGAGACACCCAAGGACGTTGCGGCTCTGTTGAACCTGATCATTAAGAATCTCATGACAAACTATGTCGAAGTGTCTTTAGAAGCCGCAGCAGAATCCGCCTCATCGGCCGAAAACACGAAACGGGAACCAGACATGTCCTACCTAGGCAACCTACGGATGGCAGTGCACATCACACATCTTGTCCACAGCTGCATCAACACACTGCTGATCCCACTCGCAGCATCGAGCCTCACAACCCGACGAGAAATGGAAAAGAACACACGCACAGCCATCGTGCGCGTCGAAGACCAAATTAACACGATCGAGCAACAAACCGTCGACGCGATCCTCAACTGGACATCGCGATTGCTCACCAACCAAGCGCGCACCGACTTCCGGCCCCGCGCCGACAACGAAGCCCTCTCCCTCGAACAAGCCCAAACACCCACGTGCGACAGCGTCTACAAATTCCTGCACAACTTCTACGAAACCTCGGCGCAGTCCTTCGACGGCGCGAACCTGAACACGCTCCTTGCCGAAGTGGCCGTGGGCTTCCGCTCGCAGATCCTCGAGCATTTCAAGAAATATCAGGTCAACCGGATCGGTGGCGTCATGCTGGCGCGCGACATGAGCCGCTATGTCCAGCTGCTGCGGTCCTGGAACCTCGACGACGGCTTCAAAGCCAGTCTGGAGATCCTCACCGAGTTGGCCAGTGTCTTTGTCTTGCATCCCGAGGCGTTGAAGGAGAGGTTGAGGGGCCAGGTGTTGGGGAACATTGGGAAGGAGAATCTCAGGCCCTATTTGTTGAAGAGGGATGATTACATGGAGGTCGGAATGCAGAGTCTTTTGAATTCGCTTTAGGCTGGGCCAAATGGGTGGAATTAGGGTGCTTGTCAACCGACTGGCATCGATACTAGGCATTTACTCGGCTCATGGTATTTTTATACATATGTACTTCGTTCCTCGATCATGACGACTTCCAAAAAATGACACGCTAGTGCTGCGAGTGGAGATTCAAATAGCAATACCCATCATGCTCGATCCCAGTCCACGGTTTATTCTATTCCTCCGTTGACGTATGTGTTGTACAAATGTCAATTGTACCCATCTAACGCTCTTGTGTAACAGGTCTTGATCGTTGTGTTCGGTGCTATACATGCGGGAGACGTCCACAGTATGTTGCGTGCTGGGCGAAGAGAGAACGCTGCGGTGTATTACCTCTCCCGCTATTGTCGTTCGAGATCGGTGCTTTTGGAGCTGGCTCTGTGGGCGAAGCGCCATGTCGACAGCTCACGTGGGGATCGATTGATGTGCAGCCCTTTGCCTTCGGAGCGCCACCATTGAATAAGACAGCTCTACTGTCGAGCGGTCGCTCCGCTACTCTCCCGTCCATCCGACATCCAGCATGATTATATCTTGAACCCGTACGTGGCCATGCAATCCTTGTACTTTGTCACCAGACTCTTGCAGTCCTCTTGGGGATCGTCGGCTCGGGAGAACAGCATGCACTCATCGCGAATGGATTTCTCGTCTTTGCATACACAGCACGGCTGTTGTAGGAAGACAGACATGTTAATCTCGGGACTTGAGAAAATGAGGGGGCAAATCATCAGGTCGCCGAGGTTCGAGGAGGAAGACCAACCTTGACCTTTTCGGTTGTTGTAGGCTTGAGCTCACATGCGAGATTTTCTGGTGTTGACGGCTGCTCCAGAACTGTCGAATCGAGGTCAAATGTCAGTGAATGATCCTTGCATTACAAATCCATGGTGGAATGTCTTCTTCCCTGATGTATGGGAGAGGTGTAGGCAGCGGGGACTCATGGGCGACGGACATACTTGCAACAGATTGTGGCGACAAAGCGGAACTGAACCAACCCATTGCGACAGTGTAGATAGCGACGAAGGGAGTGCTGAAGGCGAGCTCTTAACGTGGAGTGAGGAAGAAGACGCAGACTAGAAACGAGTGAACAATTAATAATTGGAGAAGCAGCTGCCGTTCTTTAGTCGAGAAGACGTCATTGGATCGTTAAATCGGCGACAGGCTAGGCTATATTCGGTTACGGCGTTTCCACCAGAAGAGAGCGGCAACATATCGTTTGGTTCGAAGCAGAGCTGGCCCTGATCCCTTTTTCAAAAGTGAACTTCGCCATTGCGTTTGAAGCTACAGTTTGCTGGTTGCTGATAGCTCTTCCCTGTTCTGACCCTCCGTTCAAATCGATGTGGAGATTGTCAGGTCCACCAAAGGACAGATGACATCTGCAGGTCAACCGTTCAAGGAAACGCAATTTAGGTTGCAGATCTACCGTGCTATGCACCGGTCCGTGCAACCCCAAATGAAGGCACGTCGATGCTCTTTGGACGACTAGGCCTAAGAAGAGGTCCGGTAAATAGCAGTTTATGCAACGGCTTTTGTACAGTGCCAATCCAGTGTGTTGGACAGTCATAACCAAAGCTCGAGCCTACTCAACTTGTCATAGTAGTCAACCATGGACACCACTACTCAGCCTTGATCTTCAACAACTGAAGTCTGCCAAACATCATTTGTGATTATTGCTGCAAGAGGCCTGTTAACGCCAAAAGCACTGGTGATCTATATAATATGGCCGCCATTGAGGCTGCCTCCTCGGTCGACCTCACTAGCGGTATTCGTCGCCCACCACCATCACTCCTTTAAGGTGGTCTCATCCCTTTCATTTCTTTTTTTGACCTGTAACCACTCCTGCATTATGCATTTATTAACCTCAGTGGCCGAGATGGCTGCTCTTACATTTCTATTAGTTGAGATGACTTTTGGTGAATTCCTAACGACAACCATACAACCGTGTACAGAGGTATCTAATCTGGCATTCGCCCCGATCACTGTGACTTCTCAATATCAGCCTGTCTCAACCTGCTATGCCAGTACGGCGTGCATTAAGGGAAAGTGTTCGACTCTGTATCCCTTTCGAACCTATCCATTCTTATCCACTGTCATCCCTGCAGCATGGAATGGAATGACTGTACAAGAGTCGACAGTGACCGACGTTAGACAACTAATCCGAGTAGCAGAGCATCTGGAGACACGAACACTCCTTACCGCTGCTCCTACCGGTAATGGAAGGAATTGGGCGAACTGGGTTGCGCGGAAAAAGCCTGACCTAAAATCAATTACTATTTACGAAACGATAACAAAGCGTGCGGTAGCACCTTTCGACCAATGCGGACCCCTAGCTGTTCCTGGTTGGGATGGCAGTGGACTATGCGAAAAGTGTGACTATCTTGGAGATGGCAGTCATGGTCAACTCTTAGATATCATCGAATGTCGAAATGGGATCAATGCTGCCGGAAAAAGCTTTCAAAAATGCGCAGAATGGTATGAAACTTGGATCTCGCCGGCGCCTTCTTCAACCGTGACGACTAGCGCTCTCTGCTCGACTCAAGGTAATATTGACAGTGCAGGTATCTATACATGGACGTTTTCTCAGACCGCCTCTCCAGTAACTATTACGGTACCTTCGAGGACCGTAACCGCTACTGTTCACAGTCGGGTTACGGTTTCCGTAGATCCCAAGTATACTTATACGATTCCTGGTCATCATTGGAACGCCTATATAACTGAGTCGTTCGCGGGTCCAACTGTTTTCAACTTCAATACTTACATTACCAAGGTCGTTGTTGTAAATATTCCCATCTTTACTCAACGTGCAGAAAAGTAAGTTAACACCCTCCCCTTATTTCTGGCCGCATGGAGGTTGAACATTACCCAGTCCCCGTAAAGTGCCTGTACCCACAGGCTCCAGCAGCAATAGAGATGCAGGTTGGCCATTGTCTAATGAGAATGGTGACTCGTTCTACATTGGAGACTCAGGGAAGGGCTGGGAAGACTGGTCTCCCAAGATCAAGCCCGCACCAGCGACGAAGACGGGTGTGAAGACGTATACGTGGGCCAGCTCTGCCTCAGCTAGCTCTGGCTCAGGTTTGGAGCAAACCACGCCAACGAGAACCACAACCACAACCACGTCAGTGAGCACAGGTACCTCAAACTTCCCACAAACGCAGATAATTTCAGGTCAGAGCACCACAAGCTCTAGAGGCTCCAGCATGTCTACGACCACTAGCACTACCTCTAATAACCTGTTGGTATTATCAAACACGGCATATTCGTTTGTTAGTTCCTCCACATCGAATGGCCCAATCCAAGCTACAACTATGAGCACATCGACTTTGACCACTGCTTTATACTCGTCCACTACATCAAGCCCTAGTTTCTCGATTAATCCCGTTTTCGTGACAACAACGACAGCTGCTTTGTCCTCCACAAGCTCTTCGACATCTGATGTGACCTCTAGCACCGACTTCGCCGCTTCTAGCTTAACAACAACGTCGCCTTCATCGAGGAATGCTGTTGATCCTAACCAGAGATCCACGACATCTTTAGGATCCACGACATCATCTCACTCCGCAACCTCGTTCATAACAACGACACCCTCAATGACAACTTCTGCCCCAGTCGTTACCGATTCGGCGGGTACAATCTGCCGAATCAATGCAAACCTTTGCTTGAACGCGCAATTGATCACTACGAATGTAATTGCAAGTATAACCTGTCCCCTAGGCAATGGAGCGATTTGCAGTTTGAGCGACTTGGTAGATCTGGTACCGCAGCTGTTAAGCAGCAATCCCAACATTCGATCCATTATCCTTGCAGCTAACCTCATCCTTCCCAATAACCAAGTCCTCGGTCTCAGCATCACGACACAGGAGCTACAAGCTGGCATTCTCGACGGCAGACTGACCTCGCCTTGCAACGTCGATGAAGCAACAACCATCATACAAACGGATGGAACATCAACCTCTATAAGCATCATCCCGCTGAGAAGCTTCGTAATCGTCGATCCTATATGTCCCCTTAAGCCAACATCCAGTTCTGTATTTGGTATCTCGACAGGCTCGAGCACCAGCGCTACCATGACTACCACTACCACTAGTTCGGCTAGTTTATAGCCATATTCTGTACCCAGGAATATAAAGACAGCCCGGCCCTCTTCTTGATGGTGAGTAAACCACAAATCAAGTCCTAGCGCGCTCCGTAAATGCCACCAGCGCTGCAATATGGATTGCTGAGGATTAAGAAGACACCACGAGGCTGGTACTTCTGGACTCCGCCGATTGTGGGGGCGTTTTCCTGCGAGTAAGACATCTAAATCGGTTCCTCATTCATGCCACGCCAAGCCTAGCTTGCTCAACACAATCTTCAGCCACAGATTACAAAGCGCCAGGAAAATAAGAAAACGAGGTAGATGATGATCTCATCAGGTTCAGGTATCTTGCAGAACATATCGAATAAGGCCGACCAAACCGCTGTGCCCCAACACCTCCGACGGCGATATGTTGGTGCTTATGACTAACCATTCTGCGACTCTCGCAATTCAACTGCGGGGCTAAACTCCTCTCGGAACTTTATCAGGTCGATCTTCATGATATTCACTATCAATATGTTTCTAAAGAGGGCTCTTTCAGCTCTTAATGAGCACTTGTTATTCAATACTGAAGGCGTATACGTCGGTCGTCTGATGCCACACGAGGCTGTGCAACAATGTGAATCATTTCCCCGCTGTTCAGTCAAGTGGGCGACGAAGCCTCGAATCCTGGAAATTGCGCAGTTGAGTGAAGAAATACTTGGACATCATTCTTTTGACCGGTTTGAATACTTGCTATATTCCTATAAAGATGGCGGGTTCTACTCAGCGTACATCAGGAATATATTACAACAAGCCTGATAAAAACCACAACTCCGACGAAACTCTCCGACGAAACAGTGTCCTCTCGACCATCGTTAGCGAACAAATTCCCAATTGCTAAACTGCACTGGAATTCAAAGCAGAAATAATCATTATCACACTATCCGTCCTCACACAAATAGACGCAACCACAATGGCTGACACATTCCACTTCGACGCCGCCCGCTTCGCCGCCACGTGCCACACATTGAGCACAGAAAAACTCCAAAACAACGAAATCCGGTTCAGCCGCTCCAAAGTAGCCAGTGGTTTTGGCCTGTTCTACGGCACCGTCGCCACCGCGGCGACGCATGGGGCTGCCTTTCCTATCCCGCTGTACTGCATCAGAGCATGTGAACTTGCGTCTCGCAAGCGGGAGCTCGTGCGGGCGGAGCTTGCGCGCCGAGGTGTTTCGCCTACAAAGACGACTTCAGGAGATGTTGGGCGTGGGTTTGGCGCAGCTTGGCTCGGCCAGCTTGTCTTACCATTCGCTGAGGGGTTGGCGGCTGATGGTGCTGGTGCTGCTGGGGAAGTCGCTGCAGGGAAGCATGTTGGCGTGGAGGCTGTTGTCAAGGAGACGGGCAAACAGATCCCTGGAGAATTGGTCACGGGTGCAGTAATCAAAGGGCATAAGGTGGTCAGGAAGTGATGGCGTCCATTGTCGTTCGAGGTTGACCTGCTGCCATTGGGTCGAGGCAGCCATTAGTACTATCAACATGTCATGGCGTAAGGTCCGGCGTTCGGCTAATGCTTCGAGGATGGCGTTGAGGTGCAATAGTTTAGTTGATATTTGAATATAATCTTCACTTCATGTCGAAATCGAATCCTGGTCGCATGTTTTCATGGGACGACCCCTGTTCATGCCCAGCCTTGCGGATATGATATCCGTGTCCTCGTCCTCATCCTCAACCACCTGCGTGCTTCAAGGTACTTGTTTACAATTCCAAAACAAACAATAGAAACCACTGGGGAAGATTCGAGATCCATGTTCAGCCAGAAGTTACTATCCCGAGGGATGAATCAATGATTAATGGATTCGAAGAGGCTCAATTCTCGTGCAGGGTGCGAGTCCCGCCTATCAAAAAGCTCCGATAACCAAGTCTTATCATGGGGGATTTCTGGAAGCAAATTCCTATCAACAAATCCACGAATCTCGTACCTGCGCGGAGAAACCAACCTGCTGGCTGAGAGCAGGCGATCTGCCATACGCTCTGGATCTGCATCTGAACGGCGGTCCAGATGATGCTTTATCACATTGAATACCCTGTGATTGGCCTAAGGAATGCTGAGGCAGGCTTGAACATTCTCCAACTGCAGCCTCAACACCGTCGAGATCTTGCTTCTCCTGGGAGACTGGATTGCACTAACTCATAGATTGGCGTTTATTGTATTTTATACGTACACTGACAACTAGCTTTGAAGTCGTGATACATCTTCCTCCCTCTGAGTTGACGAGCATTCATCAGCTTTCTTTCTCTGACCCTCGAATCGAAGAGAGATATACCTACTAGCGCAACCCCCCATAATGCCCGATGCGATGTCGATACAGGAGGAGTCAGACCATTTTTCGCCTTACCGATCGGATGGAAAGCTCTATGGTTTCGTGTGTGTTGTCACGGGTGCAAACATGCCGGTAGGAGGGGCTATTGTGACAGAGCTAGCAGGTGCGTTACACAAACAACTTGCAAAAGTGTGAGGGCTTGAGAGGATGTCTTTCGGGTTGGAGAGTGTAAAAAGTTGACATATAAATGCTTCGATATGCAGCTCATGGCGCAGCAAGCATCTACGCATGCACGGCAACAGACCAGCCCAGCGGCTTACAATCTACACTGTCGAGCCTCTACCCAAACACCAAGATCATTGATTACCCGTACTCCATTTCGAGCGAGCAAGACACCTTGACTCTAATCGACGAAGCTCTAAACACATTCGGCCGACTGGACGTATGGGTATGCAGTTCAGGACTCCTTGGCCCGCCGTCAATCGATCAGACCACGCCAGCAGACCTGCAAAAATGCTTCGAAGCAAATTCACTCGCGCCGTTCTTCGCCCTGAAGTATGCGCCTCACGCGATGCAGAAGACCAGCCCCAAGGGAAACTACGCCAATGCTGCGCCCAAGGATCGTCGCTACGGGAGTATTATTGTCGTGAGCAGTACGGCGAGCACTTACGGCGGCTGCTGGGGACCTTGTTTCACGATGAGTTCTCACGCTGCGTTGGGTGTAGTCAGGAGTGGTGTTGCCGTGCTCAAGGGGACAGGGATCAGGATCAATGCGATCTCGCCGGGTCAAATTGACGTGGGTGTGAGTTTGAAGGACGGTTATGATACCCGGGGATTGGGCATGGGTCAGCAGTTGCCTCCGGCGGAGCTGCAAAGCCCACAGGCTCAAGCGATGAACATTGGTCTCGAAAGAGCAGGTCTACCACAAGAGGTTGGACGTGTTGCTGGTTTCCTTGCCAGTGGCTTCAGTAGCTACATCACGGGATCTAATATGGTGGTAGATGGAGGTGCCAGTGTCATGTGTCCTTTAATGGTACCCATATAGACTATGTATCGCCTAGGATAATAGGATCATGGTGAGAAAATGAGCCAGGCTGTTGTTAGAACACTAGGTTGGTATGTAGGGGGTAACTATCTAACAGTACCGTCATAAAAATTGGATAAATCGGTCCTGCTAGCGAAAAAAGACCCCCTTGAACCTTTGCAGATCCTTCTTCTGGGCACCATGTAAATGATCAAAGAGCTATAGAATGAAAAGCATAATTGATGATAAGGATCGGTGCCATGAGCTTTTAGTAAGTGTTTATTTTGGTGAGAAAATGTTCGATTAAATGAGCTGGGCACATCGCTGCTACTTCTGGGAACCTAGGGAGGTCAAACAGAGAAAGGCAAGACCATTAACGGCTAGTTCCTAGAGCCTAGTTGTATTCATGACAATTGAGGCATGTCTCGCTCCTCGAACATTGATATTGAAAAGTGGAAAGCCCAGGCAAAAATTAAATTGAAGAGTTCCTTCCGAAAGTTGAAGGTGAGTGTCGGCTAACTTGCCTGTTCCATTCTAGGAATAGGCCCAAATCTGTCGAGGTTCGTGAACTTTTTGGAACTCGTGCTTCAAAGCCAGCATACAACGGAGGTGACATCTGATCTTCACGATCCGCTTCCTGGAGTTTTAACGGACTTGAGCCATATCCAGAACATGGCTCCTCGTTCAAGAGGCGCCCAGCGCATAGCCGAAGCATTAATATGTAGGCGTCCTACCCAAATCAAACCCCTACCCGCATAGACAAGAATCAAAACTAATACGATACTTCACAGCACAATCATCCTCCAGAGTCCCAACGTTACACGTCTGCCGCTCATGCCGTGTGGCTCTTTCTCTCCCTTTCTCACAGTCTCTCCGCTTGGCTTCAACCGCAGCCGCACGAGCGACCCATGACACACCACCAATCACACAGCTCTCCCCGTCAGGTCCTGAAGCATCACCCGCGCCACAACCTCTCTTCACCATCAAGGCAGGTATTGTAGTTAGCCGGCCTCCTCTAATCACACCCGATCCTCACCCTTTCGAGACCGCATATCATTTGTACCAACGTCGACTGAACGAACGACTCGCCTTGCCTTTTAGCCAGTATTTCTATTACAAAAAGAACACTCCAGCCGTGGAACAATGGCGAGCGAATCGTCGCGCACGCGGTGGTGCAGCGGCGAGAGACATCGGCAACTATAATGCATATACTCCCGAGGCTTGGAACGATGAAATCCTGGTCGGTGATGACACCGCACAGCCAGCTAAGATTGTCGAGCAATTGATTGCTGAGGAAGGCCGCTCCGAAGAATTTACCGGCTCCGGAGATCCACGATACGCTGGGCTTAAGCGGAGAACGGAAGCGGATGAGAAGAATGATCAGAAGAGCCTCGAGAGAAGTCTGACACGGACGCTGTATCTGCTGGTGAAGACTACAGGTGATGGTGGGTCTTGGAAATTTCCTGCCGGTACTCTGGCAGAGACGGAGGGTTTAAAAGAGGTGAGAAGGGATTCATGATTTTTCAACGAGTTTGAATAAGATTACTAACATGCCGTGTCTCGCAGGCTGCCCAGCGCGTTCTTTTCGCATCTTGCGGCGTCAATATGAACACTTTCTTCGTTGGGAATCATCCTGTCGGTCATTATGTACACCAATTCGCCAAACCGCAGACGCCCGAACCTGCTGCATCCACACAATCAAAGGCTCAGGACTCCAAAGCAACCACCGAAACATCAAAAACAACGTCAAAGACCCCGTCTAAGCAAGGCCTCGCAGCAGCTCAGGATACCACGCTTGTTGACGGGGAGAAAACGTTTTTCATGAAAGCTAGAATACTGGCTGGTCAGGCAGATCTTAGCATTGCGCAGAACAAGACTATTGAAGACTTCAAATGGGTCAGCAAGGAGGAGCTGGAGACACTGGTAGCTCCTGAGTATTGGCTGAAGATCAAGAATATGCTTGTTGCTCAGTAATGGAGACGAGGACGCGAAATGCGTGTCTTGTATATTGAGTACTTGTCTGGCATGAGAGGACCTCAATGGACTATGGAGCATACTGACTGTATTATACATTCGGAGTTCTGTCTAGCTGCGACACTCTCTGGATCATGGGGCGATCTAGCCATCACCCCTTTTTTGTAAATACTTCAAATGATGTCTAAATATATGAGACACTGTATTCCTCTTTCGCATCAAGTTTTACCAATAGGGCAGATAAGAATATGCTATTCAACCTGTTCTGCCATCAACGATGATCTGAAGGACACAGCTCGTCGATGCGGTGAGCATAGGTATCTACCTAGGTACCTCCCTTAGGCAGAACAAGGCTGAGCTTGCCATTCTTGGCATATCTTCGCCTTCAAATTGACAACGACTTAACATTATCAACAGAGTTTCAGCATTATCTACCTTCCAAATCCGTCCTGAGACTCCGATGCAAAGTACGTATCACTCAATCGAAGAATGGATGAATCTGCTGGATTCATTCCGCAAACGTCGATCGAGTCTAGCAAACTCACATTGGCGGCTCAAATCACGCCATCCAATGCCTGCAACGCACCATCGATGATGATCCATCGCCCGCGCAGATGCGCTAGAATATCCATTAGATGTCATACTTGCATCTGAATGATCGACATGGATCCCATTCTCCAGGCGATCCATGATGATATGCAATATCACACTTCTCCTATGTCATCCTTTTGGTTGGTATCTATTAATGACAGGTAAGGATCCTCCTCCATCCTCAGGTGTGATGTTTTCAATCTTTCACTCTTCTACCTGCGGTTCATGTTCTTTGCTGTGATCGGACAAGCCCAGTTATTTTGAATCTGTCGCCGTCTTTAAACTCTAGGAGCCAGCAAGCTCCAAGCATCCGATAACAACCAAGCTTCTTAAGCTCCAGCCACCATGGCCTCGGCGCAAGAAGCGGTACTCAACACAAGCGTTGGAACGCCTGCAGATTCAACCAATGAAAAGCAGCAGGAGAGCAATACCAGCTCCGATAAAGAAATCGACCTAGAAGGTGTCAATGAGAAGGCTCTTGTTCGAAAACTTGACCGGAGACTCCTTCCACCTCTCACATTACTCTACCTTTTATCGTTTCTGGATCGTTCAAACGTGGGCAATGCTCGTATCGAAGGTCTGGTAACTGATCTTCACATTACGGGCAACCAGTATTTGACGGGGTTGACGCTCTACTTTATTGGATATGTACTCTTTGAGGTTCCTTGCAACATTGTCCTCAAGATATGGAGTCCGAGGCTCTGGTTTCCCACGCTCACAGTGATTTGGGGTGTAGTTGCGACGTTGATGGGAGTGACACAGAACCGAGCTGGTTTCTTTGCCGTTCGATTCTTCCTGGGCGTGGCTGAATCAGGGCTGTTTCCAGGTGTGTGCCCAATCCATGGCAGGGAACAAGCAGATTTCGGTGCTAAATGACATTCGCCAGGCATTGTATTCTATCTCGCCATGTGGTACAAGCGTAACGAGAGACAATTCCGTGTCGCTTTGTTTTTTAGTGCGGCTTCGCTTGCTGGCGCATTTGGCGGAATTCTGGCATGGGGAATTGCACATATGCGGTTCGTCCAAGGCCCATCTTCAACCATCCACAGTATGCTAAACTCTTTCCAGCGGCGTCGGCGGCTACGGAGGCTGGAGATGGATTTTTATCCTCGAAGGATTGCTCACCATAGTCATCGCTGCAGGAGCTTACTTCTTCATCTACAACTATCCCGATACGGCCTCATTCCTAAGCGACAGTGAAAGGGCAGCAGTCCAACATCGCTTGAAAGAAGATAGCGATGCGACCGAAGACGAAGCATTCAACTGGCATAATGTCCGAAAGGCATTTACCGATATCAAAGTATATCTGTACGCACTGGGCTTCCACACCATGTCACTTCCCCTATATACACTATCGTTGTTCTTGCCCTCCATAATTCGTGGTCTTGGGTACACTGCTGCGCAGGCCCAACTGATGACGATCCCACCATACGCCATTGCATTCGTCGCGACGATTACGTCAGCAGTACTCTCAGAGAAATACCATTTTCGCGCCCCGATCATCCTAGGATCGACCTCGTTCGCCATCATCGGATACATTCTCCTGCTCACCGACCATCGCCCTGGAGTCTCCTACCTCGGCACCATCTTCGCCGCAACGGGCATCTATCCCTCGGTCGCACTGGTCCTTGCATGGCCCGCAAACAACGTCAGCGGACAGACGAAGCGTGCCATCGCGAACGCGTTGCAAATCAGGTACGTGATCGCATGTTTTTGTAAATCGACTCGATTACAGTCATAGACTTTACTAACTTTTCCGCTATTCATAGCATTGGAAATCTAGGTGCTGTGCTGGGCACACAGCTGTACCGGACCGAGACAGCCCCGAGATACTATCTCGGCCATGGCTTCGCGCTCGGGTATCTCGTAGCCAATCTCGTGGTCGTTTCGACGCTGTGGTATGTCCTGAAGCGCGAAAACACCAGGAAAGAGGCTATTGATCACGGTATTGATCCGGGCACTCCTTTCTCTGGTGATGATGATCCGAGGTGGAAGTTTCATGTGTGAACGCTTCCATTGTCTCGGGTGGCGGTAAAAGGCAATCTGCGAAGCGATAGACTATTTTAGCGACCACTAGGGATATATTTGTGGGCTATACTGTGTACAGGATAAGCTATGTCTACTTAGTAGTATCTCAGGTGAGCTGATATTGCTATACATGACAAATAACTATTAGGTATTCAATTTACAAGAATGTGCTGAGCTCCACATCTCGTATGGTTTTCCAAGAGCCGGTAGTTTTGCACCCTTGATATAGTACTCCACTACCACAATGCCACCATGAGCGACATGAAACAGACCCCAAGTCCGGTTGCGATCATATTTCCAGCGACGCTGGAAGCAGCATTCCCCTGAGCAGTCCCTGTACCATTATTGGGAGACTCGGCCTGACCATCCGGTCCACCCTGGCCTTGTCCCTCCAGCCCCTCCACAACCTCACCCACCAAACTCGCAAAGCGCATTTCATTCTTCCCAAAGTCAAAGACTCCAAGCACGTTCTTGAAGAATCCAGCCCCGACGATGTTCAAGGTAATGCCGTCGATCCCGACCGTCTCGGACGGAACAAGATTCGAGACGCAGATCCCCTCCTCCGTCTGATATACGAGGTCACGCCCGTCATGGAAGAACGTCTGGTTCGCAAGCGTGATCCCAAACGTCGGTGCGACGGCGTCACACTGCAAGACGTAGATGGACAGCTCGGCGTTCCAGACGGCAGGCGGTTCGAACAGCGCGTTGATGGGTGCGAGGACCGCGTCGGGGAAGAAGCTGAAGTGGTTGCCGTTGTCGAAGAATACTTGTGTGCGTGTCGTGTCGGTGGTGAGGTTTGAGTTTTCACGTTGAGTGTTGGCTGATGCAGGTCCGTACTTGAAGCCGTCGATCGTCGTCGTCCAGTAAGAGATGACGTGCTTCCCACTCGTGAAGTTCTCTGGAATAGTCTCGTGGATCTCGACGGGGAGCGTCGCCCACTCGGCGCTGTGATTCACCGGTGCGAGCCCGCCGAGCGTGAGATAGCCGCCGAAGCCGGTCGTTGAGTTCTGAGGTGTGCGCGCGATTGCGAGACTGTAGTATGGTTCGATCAGGCCTTGATCCGCCATGGTGAACAACAGGGGGTCGTATGGTAGCCTATTGAACCAGTATGTCGTGTTGTCTTGGAATGGACCTGGGTGTGCAGATGTCAGGGCCGGATATCCGATCCCCAATAGGCCGGAGTTGATGCCGTCGCCCATTGGGGTGCTGACGTTGGCGAGGCCGACTTTCTGTCGGACGGTCATCCCTGCGAGGGTGATGTTCTCATATGCCATCAGTCCGGACGCAATGCCGTCGCCGTACTGGATACCGAAGATTTCGTCGGGGATTTCCTCATAGCCGGCACTCTTGGAAGGGTCATATGATGAGGGTCCGTAGAGGCAGGCATCTCGTGGGAGGTCGAGCCCCGACGTGCGATTCACACATTGAAAATCTTTCTGCACGACCCAGGTGTCGCTGCTGCCGGTATCGATGAAAAGTTGGAAGGTTTGATCGCCAAATTTTACCTCCGTGTCGAAGACGGATCCGAATGATGTCGCTGTGATTGGTGTTGTACCGTTGAGTGATGTGAGTGCCGTGGACTTATCCCGGCGATTTAAGGGCAAGTGCACTGCTTTTGCTGTGTTTGCTGCGAGCGTGGCGGTGACAAGGATACTTGTTGAAAGCAGGGTTGATGAATGCATGGTGTTAAGCCTCTAGAGACTGGATTGGTCGGAAGAAAGATACCCAGGTGGAGAGGGAGTGGTTCAGTATTCGGTAGTTTTAAGGCCATCTCTTTGAGCAATACACGCAGTTTATATAATGCTATATGATGAATGCAGCCTGTTCAGCATGAAATTTCCAAGATTTTCCGATAACAACGCCAGCTCGAAAACGCTGAATATCTGAGCATACGAACCGCCGAGCCTCATGGATCTAATCATGAAAACGGGTCGTAACGCGTGTTGTCGAGAACATTGGCATTGTTCATATCTCTGAGCCACAAAAGTATGATGGAGCTTGATTTACTCTGATATCCAAGTGGGGCCCTCTCTGGAGTCTGCGTTGCACGGAAATCCCTTCGGCTCTGATGGCAAGGCTGTAGCCACTAGTACGAGGCTAGGGGGGATCATGATGCTCAGAAAGGTAAAGCGTCTGGTTCGTATAATAAGGTTTCGAATATGTGAAGCCATTGGTTTTACAGCCTTGTCCAAGCCCCGCTCAAGGCTTCAGGCATTGCCTAGCTCCGTGTTCATTGGGAAATGGTTGGCCTGATCTCTGCGACAACAAAAATGGCTTGAGATCAATGAAATTTCTGGAGTAAACGAAAAAGTTTCTCTCGCACATCACGTACCTGACAACTCTTGCCGTAGACTGATGACCGTGGAAGTACCTATCCAAATATGCCGCAGCCACGAAACAAGCCACAAGGAACGAAGGATGCCGCCGCCGTTGGTCCAGGATCACGACGGAGTACACCAAAGGTTCGCACTGGATGCAAAACCTGCAAGTAGGTTCCCAAGCCCTAGTTCAATCCTACGATGATCCTTCCGAAGCTTAATCATCTTGTCCACAGGGTGCGTCGTATTAAATGCGACGAAACTCGACCATCGTGTCGGCGTTGCGAGCGGTCGGATCGCCAGTGTGAGGGGTACGACAACATGGTATCCCGCTTTTTGACCGCCAACCCTTCCGGAGAGATTGAGCTCTCCAAGCCAAAGATTAAGGAGTATAGTATTCCATTCCAAGTTCCGGGCAGTAAAGCAGATCGTGAGTTGCTGCATTACTATTGTTGCCAAACAGCGGGAGATCTTTCTTCCTCACTTGATGGTGATTTTTGGACACACCTTATTCTCAGTCGCGGCCACGATGAGCCGGTGATTCGCAACGCGTTGGTCACGTTGTCGCGCCTTCACAAGGACTATATCTTCGAAGAAGTGGGGACCAGCTCGCCAAACCCGGGCGATACTCCCGTGCATCATGCTCGAAACTTGTCTCTCGTTGCAAGATCTCATCGTCAATTGAGGAACTATCTTTTCAGAATGGACGCAACGCTTGAGGTGGCACTGATTTGCAGTATCATCTTCTACTCGTTCGAGTCTTTGCTTGGTGAACCTGAGCGAGCAATCGATCATCTCAATCACGGGTTAATGCTTTTGAAGCAATCGCAGGTACAGCAAGTATTGGGTTTCAGCGATGATGGACTTATGAAACGCCTCGTCAGGCTTTATGAGCGTCTTGACGTTCAGGCGAGCACATTCGAGGATCGTAGGCCGCCAATCTTGACCCTTGTCACTTCTGAGGAGCGAATGGGACTTTGCAGTGTCGTGCCACCACATCTTTCCGATACCGTCCAGGCCGAAGCGGTTCTGATCAAATTGCAGAACTGGGCTTTACATCATTTCATCACACACGTCGATTTAAAGCATCGCCCCTGGGAGGAGTACCCACTCGACGTCCTGTGTGAACGTCGAGTACTTGCAATGCAATTTGATCGATATGGACATGTACTGGAGCAGTATTGCGTGGTAAGCGGAATAAAGTCACAAAGGCTGGGTTTGGTAATGCAGCAAGAGCAGACCACGCAATTGCTTCATCTCCAAACCCAGTTCCTTCTCTTTCGCGCCTTACTGAGTGAGAATTTGCCAAGCATGTTCTGGATGAAGTCGCTCTTGTCCTCCGATGATGGACTCACGTGTCAGGGGACGCGCCAACTCCTTACATTCTCTTCCAACCCAGACGATAGCCTTCGACAGGCGTTATCCAGCTTGACGAGAATCCTCTCAGCCGACAACGGGACCCCGACGGCATCAAACTCGAAACCAATGTCGTCGAAAGACCAGAATCCTTTTCCAGAAAAACAAAGACGTACCTTTACCTTGTCGGGTCAAATTGTGCCCGCTCTCTACTTCACCTGCATAAAAACGACGGATCCGGACATCCTGTCATGGGCTCGTGCTGCAACCTTGGCGATTCGTGGCCGTGATGGACTCTGGGATGCGGAGACTGTATCATTCATCATTGAGGAAGTAGCACAGATTAATGCCCTAAGCGAGCACTCGGATTTAACCACGATCATATCTCCGATGTCGGAAGACGATACCCAACCAAGCGGGAAAATATTAGACTCCAAAGCGATTGACCTGGCTTGTTACTGTGACGAGTCCTGTGCAGGAAGACAAGGCCACGAGCCGCAAATTCCGAAAAGGCTGAAGTATGAACCAGGCTATCGACTCGAGGATGCTGGGCTTGAGATACTCGATGCCGATGGAGGTATCCGAGACGTTGCCAAACAGCTACACGAAAAATTGATTGCTCGAACAGAAGGAAGCGATCCATGGAGATATCATTCTCCAAAACTCAAAGACAGGGGAAAGACGAGCGAAGAATCGTTTCTAAATCATGTCGAAATTATCCAGGAACCCCACTTTCACCCCTCAACCTCGGCCATGTATTCCACCTTTGATGCTTCCAGACCGGCCAGCATCTGATTTGCCATTATTTACATACACTATATGCTAATATGGCTGTCATAAAGTCGATGGTGAATCGAGAAGCATTATCCAAGTCGCTATAGTCATAGTCATATGCACTTATGACAGGTCGACTTTACCAGCCTAGGTGTTCCAGGTTATCACAAAGGCTTGGTAAGGATGCCTGAAATGTATGTGAATGGCGCCCACTCGAAGTCTAGCTTCAGATCAAACTTTGCCCAATTGCCTGCATTTTTCAGTGCGGCTGCCGTATCTCGGTTGAGATGGCAACCAGCAAGAAAGAACTTCCAGCCGAGCAGGTGCCAGACTATTTGCATCGATCTTGCAAAAAGACTACCAGTTGTCGTCCAAGGATTCTTGACATGTTCGACGAGGATGAGCTGGCCACCTGGCTTCAGCATCTGGTACAGTTCGCGAGTTGTCTTATCTAAATCAGGGACCGAGCACAGCACGCGTACACTGATGATTGAGTCGAATATATGCTCACTGGACTTGAATTGTTCATCGTAAGTGCGTAATGCGGGAATGAGAGACGCTTTGTCAGCGGTACTGTTGATGATCTGATACTTGAATGGCAAGTTGGCAGCATCGATGCAACCCTGAAGGTCAGAATGCATTCCCACAGCAGGCTCGGCAGCAAGGACAACATCAATATTGGAGTTGCCTGAAAAGTAGGCGACATGGGCTCCCGATCCAGGGCCGATATGAAGAACCTTTCCATGAGCCTTTGCAATCAATGGAGGAACAAGAGTTGCTGACCCGACCGGCTGCGGTGGTGGAATTACTGGCTCTGAAAAGGACATCAGCATGGTTCTGGGTGCTCACTGCAATGGTGTCGACCTACTGGTCAACCAATTCCAGAAAGAGGCAAAGGCATCCTCCTTAACCTTTTTGAGGTTGGTGAGGGTTGGTAAATGATGCTCTACCACCAGGAACTGATATGCAGTAGTGATGTGGTCTGCCCGATTTGTTAGTATCAAAGACTGATACGGACGGCAAGCACATTACATATTGCACTATACCACAAGAGATATCCAGGATCCATTGCATTGGACAGTTGCTGTTTGAGAGGCGGCCAAGCCATGACGAGGATTTGATATTTGATGTGCGGGAATGCAAGAGCTATGAGGATTTTCAGGAGTGTGACAGAGTGAAAGGGAAGAGAAAACAACAGGCGGACTGGATGGTGGGGAATGGCGATTTATATGATTTTCTGGGAACGAACGCGGACATGGTGCATGGTGCCATCCGTGGTAGCCGTACCAACTATATGCCATGCCATCTTATGACAGACAGCCTCGCGAATACGACCGAGACTCGAGGGGTGGCATATTACCTGAGTAGACTGTGGACGAAGCCAGGAACGACATGCCCAATCGAAACCCCTGGTTGACTTTAGGTGGTTAGGCACCCGACTCTGGCGAGACGGGCCTAGTCTTTCTCTGAACGGGCTCTGTTACTCAGTTCTCAGCATCATTATACATCATTCCAGACGGCCACTCGTGAGGAGACGACGGCGAGGCCTTGGACAGCGGCGAATGTAATGCTTTGAAGTATCCTAGACGTCTCATCAAGGAACGAAAATAACATTATTCCTCCTCCCAGGGAAATTCCCCTTCGCCGATCTCCGCAGTTCGGAGACTGAGGGAGATGGTTTTTCCATTCCGTTCAAGATCCGCCCCGCCGCACAAAAGAAAGATGCTTTGAGCAGATTAGCTCATGGGATGATGAGAGGTCTCTCAAGACTCAAGAGAAGAGGCAAAAGCCCTTATCCTTATCCATCATCTCTCACAGCTAACCCCGCTCCGTCCCACGCTATCAATCATGCCAACCAACCAACCAACCAACCAACCAACCAACCTGGTTGGGTCGCAAAAACAGATACTTCTTCATCATCATGTAGAGAGGTACCTAAGTCCCTAGGTAGGTATCGTGTTCGCCCGGCAAGTACCTTCCGTTCATCCTCATCATAAAACAACCGGGTTTTCTGCAAAGTTTTCTCTTGTCTCTTTTTCTACAAGTATCCCGTGAAGTGCTGAGCTCTCCCAACATTAAGATTATTGCGATACTCGATCAGGGTGCAAGACCCTAGCTCTCAAAGAGGTGTCTCTCAAGCGGCCGACGGGTGTCTCTTCGGCCTGGCTGATCTGTATATAATCACTCCTGCACGACGATTGAGGTGATATACCATGGAAAGTTCAATGAGGTCGATGGAGTCACCACTTACGAGCGACATGCAAGGAGCAACGACCAAATCTCGCTTCGTCAGAACAAAAAGGCGCGTCCTTCATCGCATGTCCAGGCTGCATAGCCGGATACCATATCTACGAAAACTGCCACTAGCGGCCATTCTCATTATCCTATTACTAATTCTCGTCAACCTGATTGTCTGGGCAGCTTGCGGCATCGTTCTCGCTTATCACACGAATTTGCTCTCGACAGCGGCGTTGTCGTATACTCTAGGCCTCCGACATGCCCTGGACGCGGATCACATTTCCGCCATCGATCTGATGACACGGCGGTTGATCGCGACCGGTCAACGCCCAGTCACTGTCGGTACATTTTTCAGTCTTGGACATAGTACCATCGTCATTGTCACATCGATTGTCGTCGCGGCCACGGCAGCAGGGGTGTCCAGCCGCTTTGATAGTTTCGGCAACGTCGGCGGCATAATCGGCACATCCGTCTCTGCGGCTTTCCTGATCCTCCTCGGAATAATGAACGCCTACATCTTGTACAAGCTCATCGTGCAGATCCAAAAGGTGATCCGCATGCAACCCGACCAAGCGGCCGAAGAAGCTTGGAAGATCGAAGGCGGTGGGGTCCTCTTCCGGGTGCTGAAGCGAATGTTCAAACTCATCGACCGTCCCTGGAAAATGTATCCCCTGGGGGTCCTCTTCGGCCTGGGATTCGACACGAGCTCCGAAATTGCACTTCTGGGCATCAGCAGCATCGAGGCAACCAGAGGCACCAGCATCTGGCTCATCTTGATCTTCCCCATCCTCTTCACTGCCGGAATGTGTCTGGTCGACACCACCGACGGCGCCCTGATGATGAGTCTCTACGTCGCACCAATGGGCATGGGCGGCGACGACAAGAAAGACACCCCTCCCGGCCCCGCCACAGACGACATAACAGTCACTACTCAACCGGTCCCTCTCTCAGACGTCGACGTCGACCTGCCACCCACCCAATCCACCACCACCACTGGCACCGACAGAGACACCGACAGACAAATCCGACCACGAATCAAAGACCCGCTAACATTCCTCTACTACAGCATCGTGCTGACCTCCCTGACGGTCGTATGCGCCATCGTGATCGGCATGCTCCAGCTCCTGTCGCTGATCCTGAACACGGCGCACCCGACCGGCCGGTTCTGGGACGGCGTCGAGACAGCCGGCGAGTACTACGAGGTGATCGGCGGCGCCATCTGCGGCAGCTTCGTCGTCTTCGGCGGCCTCAGCGTCCTGTGCTACCGCCCGTGGAAGCGCTGGGTGCAGAGGAAACGCGCCCAGCTGCGCGCTGAAGGCGAGTTGTTCGGTGTCGACGTCGGCGTCGCTGGCCCGCCCTATCGTGACCATGTCGATGGTGACGAGGGAGGGGCCGCCGTGGCGCGCGAGCGGCGTGCTGCTGAAGTCGTTGTGGACGCTTGGGATCATACCGATGGCAAGCCGTCTTCGGCGTCTGAAAGTCGTGCTCAGACTACGAGGGTGCCTGGAAAGGCGTATGATTCTGGAAGCGCTGGACGTTCAGGTGCGGCGGCATCGAGGGAGAGATAGAGCGTGGGCTACGAAGAAGAGACAGGAAAGCTCACTGGGGTTCGATTCAGGATCGTCGAGACATGAGATGCTTGGATCCTTGGCATACACATCACAGGCGCGTTCTAACAGGGGATTTGTGTTGTGGTGATTTACCAATGGATTTGGAGGATTTATTCTTTTGCTATCCAGGTAGCTAGTATGCTAGACCACAGCGAGGCTGGGTGGAGCTCGCCGCTCAATATCTTTAGAGAGCACAGCATCCCAGGTTTAAATCAACACGAAAAATTCGAGTGAAGCAAGTGAACATTTCGCACCCGTCAGAAGCAACCCAATCGAGCTTTCCAATAGTGAGGGCCCAAATTTCATGAAAAGACGCCAACACACACGGCGATGAAACTTCAAATGTTATCCATCAATTCGTGGCATCTCATAATCCAGATGCAGAGTGTGAAGCGTCAACTCCATTCGTCAAAATCCCGTTCTGAACATGAGATATGCCGTTGACGCTATCGCGGCGTTGCTGCTGCTGGGATTTATTTTTCGCCAGCGTCTCAGCAGTCACTTTGTCAAGGACACCAGCACTGGCAGCCACAAAGCCTAAATAAGGCGGGCTTGGTCGAAGGACGCGACTCAGGTATTCTGGGTGGAATTGCACTCCGACGAAAAAGGGATGGTCTTTCAACTCGACAATTTCCATCCGCTCCCCTTTGTCATCCTTGCCGATGAATGTTAGACCCGCCTCAGATAGACGTTCGATGTACTCTGGATTGACCTCGTAGCGGTGACGGTGGCGCTCAAGAACGCTAGGTTCGTTTTTATATAATTTTCGTAGGCGAGACCATTCTGTGTCTTCTTGAAACAGGGTCGGTCGGAGTCCTAGTCGCATGTTACCTCCCATGGTAGCCTTGTCAATCTCTGGCATGAAGATAACAACAGGATCGGCTGTCTGGGCATTTAGTTCCACGGAAGATGCTTCTTTGAGTCCACAAACATTTCGAGCGAATTCGATGACAGATATCTGCATACCGAGGCAAATACCTAGGTACGGCTTCGGCTTGGTACGTGCCCACTGTGCAGCTGCCACCATGCCCTCCGTGCCACGAGAACCAAACCCTCCAGGAACGAGAACACCATCGGCTGTGCAGAGCTCGTGCCATGCTTTGTGGTATGATTCCGGGGATGAGTCCAAGGTTGCTTTCTCTAGATTGCTGGCATCAAGCCAAACGAGGTTTAATTTTCGATGGCATGCCATTGCACTGTGCTCCAGAGACTTGATGACGGAGAGATACGAATCATGCAGGTTCGTATACTTTCCAACCAAGACAATGGTGACTTTTTCGTTGTCGAGGAATCGGTCTTGTGATGTAGTCAACGTCTTCCACTCTTGCCAGATTGCTTGGCCTTTAGTAACCAATGCAGGTGAAATTGGATAAGCCTCTAATCGGAATAGTTCTCGTAGCTGGCTGAGAAGACCCTGTTCTTCTAGAAGCATAGGTACATGGTAGGTGGAAGAGACATCGTGAACCGCAATGACTTGCTCAGGTTCAACCTGGCAGAAAAGTGCGATTTTGTTGGTTGTGGCTTCGATGAGAGGTTCTTGACATCGACATGCAATCTAGAAATGGGTCAGTCATGCTGTGAGTGCTTGCTCGCGAGAGGGAAGAAACTGACCAAGTCCGGAGATAGACCAGCTGAACGTGCATCTCGGATTGCCTGTTGAGTTGGCTTTGTCTTCTGTTCTCCACTAATGACCGGGACGAGCGAGACGTGAATCTGACAGAAGTTGTCTTTGCCAGCACGTCGTCGCAGCTGGCGCATGGCTTCAATGAAAGGAGCACTTTCAATATCACCAACTGTACCACCAAGCTCGATAATGCAGACATCTGGTTGTTCATTTGTATCATCCACAGGTACTCTTGCAACTCTTTCTATCCAGTCCTGAATAGCGTTTGTGACATGTGGGACGACCTGAACAGTCTTGCCCAGATAATCACCACGTCTTTCCCGCTCAATGACATGTTGGTACATCTTTCCGGTTGTGACACTGTTTTCTCGGGTCAAGGTGATGTTGAGGTATCGCTCGTAGTTTCCAAGATCGAGGTCGACTTCACCGCCATCGTCCAACACGAAACACTCTCCGTGCCTATGAGGTACCAGTCAGCCTTGGAACGTAACTAGAACATCTTTTCGACATACTCGGTCGGAGCCATCGTGCCGGCATCGACATTGATGTAAGGATCGATTTTTATGGCGGTGACCTTGAGGCCCAAAGTCTTCAACAGAAGACCGGTTGACGACGCAGTGATGCCCTTTCCGATTCCGGAGATTACTCCACCAGAGACGAGGATGTATTTCATGATGTCGATTGAGAGTAGTAAAGATCGAAATGTAGGTCGCCGTCGCTGGCCAATGCCAGCGGGAAGGAAGGGAAAAGAAGGACTCGAGGCAGATTGCCTGGCAGACGTTGACTCTTGTTGCGGCGGGGCACTGCCAAATTTTTGTCTTGGCACCTCCGAACGCGTAAAGTGGAAAACGCGTGATGTACACGAAGATCGCGTCGCTGGCTGCTTCCCTTCAAGTCCAACAACATACATACTTAGGTGGGTTATGAAAACCACTCGCTTCTCTCATACACCGAGTCTAGTCTTTTCAAGGGCATCGCGAACAGGCCGAGTGAAGATCAGAGAAAAGGGTTGGTTAGCCTCGTGAAGAGGACAGCGGATTTTGAAGATTCTGGGTTGGATAGATTTGTTGATCTGTGTCTTTATTTTTATGGCGATTAGAAGTATAGCCACAGGGTCGCGGGCGCATATTAAGAGAAGAATTGTATCTCGAAGACTTTTGGGAAGGTTATGACCAAACATTAATAGTAAGATTGCTCCTGTGGTCGCTGAGTGCTTACTAAAAAGACAAATAGCTCCAGTGTCGCTTGGAAAAGGAACACATCGTTTCTCGTAATCATACACACTTCCAGCTTGTACTCATGTCCAAGACTTCATCTCGTGCCATCATCTTCCCACAAATCACTGAGTTTGACTCTCAACGAAGTCCAAGGCATTTTCGATTGATTCGACACGGATACTAGAGACGTTGTTTGCGAATGTAACTCCGTAAACTTTGTCGGCCACCCTCAACATTTCTGGTCTGAAAGTTGTACAAATAAATTGACCGCTTGAGGGCAGGTCATCCTCAGTCGCTCCGTCATCAACCTTATTTGCCAGGTACATAAGATGGTCGGCAACTGCGGTACGATACTGAGCGTCGAGATTGGCGTCGATTTCATCAAAGATGTAAAAAGGAGCCGGATCCGTTGCTTGGATGGCAAAAATGAGTGCGAGACTGCACAAACCTGGCATGATGATCAGTTATTTGTTTGTAATCGGGTTTCAAGATCAGACTTACTCTTTTGTCCACCACTAAGCTGTTGAATACGTTGTTGGTCATCGTGCTTGCTATTGAAACTCACACTAATTCCAACACCAGTATAATTCTCGACACCACGTTTGCTTATAGGTTCTGCATCGGACTCTTCATCATCTGCTTGTCGAGCATCGGTTTTGCGTTGAATGATCAATCGACCTCTGCCGGCTGGCACCAGTTTGTGGAAAACTTCAGCGAATGCTTTACTGACTTGCTTGAATGTTCGTTCGATGGCTTCATCTTTTCTCTGATCGAGCACTTCAATCAGATTTTGAATGGATGTCTTGGCTGCTTCAAGGTCTTTTCGCCGGCTGTCGAGTTCCTCTCTTTGCTTTGTGGACTTGCGATAGTGTTCGAAAGCGTGCTTGTTAACAGAACTGTACTTCTTTAGCGATTCTTTGACTTTCTGAAGCCGTTTCACAATTGTGTTGGAGTCCATGGAACGGTACTTGGTCCTTGACTCTTCCGGTATTGCACCAAGTTCGCGAATGTTCTCCTGGGCTTCTTGCTTAGAAGCCAGCAATGCAGCTTTCTTCTGTACCGACTTCTCAAGCCGACGTTGATGACGTTCAATTGCCTTTGCCAAGTCATCTAGCTGTCTTCGAATGTCAGAAGCTTCTGTCTCATAAGCAGCCACTTTCGTTGCAGAGTCCTCTAACTTTTCCTCCAGGTCGTTCAGATTCTGTTGGACAGAATTCAAGTCTTTGGTTAACCGTGCTAATTCAGCCCGTTTGGCTTTCAGACCAGCAGACGAGGTAGCCTCTGAGTCCCCCTCATCTGCCTCAAGTGCGAGTAATTGTGGTTTCAGGCTTGAATTCAACCTAACTTCTAGGTCTGCTTTCTTGGTCTCAATCTCCGCTCGTGATGCAGAAACATTGTTATACTCAAGTCTGAGCTTTTGAATGCTTGTGGTTAAATTGGCCAATTGCGATTCCTCAGCAGTCGTCAGAGCTTTCTTAAAGTCCGAATTCAATTCTGAGGAGTATGCTGTCTGTTGGTCGCTAAGGCTTTTCACGTTGGAGGCAATGGTAGCCTCTTGCCTTCTTTTTGCATCCAGATCGTCCTTTTTTCGAGAGAGCATTTCTGATTTATTTCTGAGTTCTTGTCGTTGTAGTCGTTGTTGATTTTGGCCTTGGTTCTTTCTCTGTTCCAGTCTCTGGACATCACCTACGGATTTTGTGATCGTTTGGTCAATCTTTTCGATCTGTCGCTTGATGTCATTGCTTTCTGCCCTGACACGTTCGAATTTTTCGCGCGCAGAGATGACAGCTTTCGTTGCTTTCAGTCGCGAGGTACGAATGTCATGATAGCCACCCGTCAAAGCACCTTTCTTATCAGATCTATCACCCTCAGGGGTAACTGCAGTCAGGCCATGCGTTCGAGCGTATTGAGCTGCGATACTGAGATTTTGAGCGATGATTGCCTTGCCAAATACTTGCTGCACTGCTTTCTCGAATTTCGGATCATAGCTCATCAGTGACATGAGAGGCCGAGCATCTTGTGCATTTGGAAAGTTTGCCATCTTGGGCTTCAAGCGATTCAAGGGCATGAATGTGATACGTCCAGCACGCTCAGTGTTCAATATTTCCATGACTCGGGTAGCTGTTTCATCATTGTCGACAACATAATGGAAGAGAGATGCTCCAGCGGTAACCTCGACTGCAGTATGATGTTGAGGTACATCAATCAATTCTGCAAGTGTGCCATAGCACCCCTCAAGGTTGTATTGTTGCTTGATTCGTCGAACCGCCTCTAAACCTCGACTGGTATTGCCGTCCATCATGTGAGACAAACTGCGCTCTGCTTTTCTGAGGTCGTCTTGTGCGGAGGCATATTCTGAATGCAACTGGGCTTCTCTCCTCCATAACAGCTTTCTCTCATCCATCAGAGTCTCTTTTCGCTCATTCGCTGTCTGAATTTCATGATCGATAACCTCGTCAGAGGTCCCCGCATCATCTTGTAGCTCTTGAACCTCCTTTTCAAGCTGGTCGATCAATTTCTGGTCTTCAATAATGCCTTCTGAGGTCTGCATACGTGTAGCTTTGAAGCGTGATAGAGATTCGAAAGCCTCATCAATTTGGGTCTGCAACCAGCTGTCGCGATCTTTCTTGGTCTTGAATCGCGCATTTCTGCCTTGTTTGGAGTATAGCCGCTGGGAACTTGTTTCTGCCTCATCTAGGCGAGCTTTGACAGAGCTTTCTTTAGCCTTTTCCGCCTCGAATTGTGGGACCACAGTTTTGAGTTCCTTCTCGATTTGTCTGATTTGTGCTCGCACGCTCTGCAACTCCTTGTCGCGATTGTCTTTGGAACGCTGTGCGGAAGCCTGCCCATGCGACATGTTGCGCTCCTCGAGTTCCGCTTGAGCCCGTAATTTCGCCTTTTCGCGCTTTTCATCTTCGTACTGCCGCTTTTCAAGCCGTGCTGCGTGCATTTGTTGATTTAATAATTGTACCTTCTGGGTGATCTTGGCCAAAGTCTCTTCACCTTGAGCATATTGTTCGCGATTCTCATCGGCATCGTCAATGCCCCCCGCTCTCCTGTCTTCCAGGCCGGACAAGGCTTTGTTGATTTCTTCTTGTTCGCGATGGAATAGGGTATACTCCAAAGCGCGCTTCTCGCGATCTTGGTCCTGAAAATCCCGCAGCTCGTCTTGTTCCTCCTCAAGTTCTGCAAGCCTCTCATTAATTTGTTCGAAGGTTTGATCAATGGCAGCAAGTTTGTTATTTGTTTCGCTCATGATCTTCTGCGATTCTTCCTTCTTGGCAACGAATTGCTGTGTACCAGCAACACTCTTCAAAACATCAAGCCGTTCTGAGTCTTTCATATTGGTTAAACGCGTGATACGACCTTGAGGAACAATGTAATAGGGATTAGCGCGTGAGAAGCCAGCATTTTCAAGCAACTGCATCACATCCTGTTTCGTTGCGTTCTTACGATCAAGTGAATATTCATCTTTCTTGAGCCCGATCGTTCGCCGTAGAATGAGTTCGTCATTTCCGGTGGGGAATCGGCCGTCAGAATTATCGAAGACAACCTCAACATATGCAGACATCACGGCCGAGCCAGATCCTTCCTAAGACAGGTTAGAAAGCGGTTGCGCTACAATTGTGACATCCCGCTTACATGAATAAGAGCCTGCCTCTCCTCACGGCCCATCTGCGAATAAGCATCGCTGAGTACGAATCGGATAGCTGCGAAAAAGTTGCTTTTCCCGGAGCCATTGCGCCCAACAATGACATTCAACTTTGGTGAGAATGGGTCGACGACGGTTTGATTCTTGTAGCTTCGGAGAAGTTAGAGTGGTGCTGCGGAGGAAAGAGTGATCCCACCTTTTGAACCCTTGAATGGTTATCTGTTTGATATGCATCTTCGCAGTTTGGTGGGGCAACCGAATCGCGTGGCAGGTATGCAGAACTTCGAGGTAGGCGTAGGCCTCTGCAGCCTACTAATGATGCCGCAAGTGATTTTTGGGATTGCGCAGAAAAGGAAGGACTTTCGCAGAGAATTGGTGAGTATCTCATGGAGAAATTCACCGAGCATTTACTTCCTCTCGATGTGACAAGACGCGGTCACCCAAACGCGTCTGCCAATTAATTGTCTTGGCGGAGTCACTTCCCTGTCACGTGAATCACCAGCAGTACTTACATAAGCATGCAGATAGGGGCAGCCCGTGCCATGAAATTTAGGTTTTCATTCCATCATGATGAGCTCATACAGAGATATATACGGAGAACCTCCATCTTACCAAAAGGGCACGAATTCGAGCAGCACTGCTCCCATTCTCCAGAACCCGTTTTAATCATCCTCAAAGTCCTCGAACTCGAACTTGCGCTCATAATGAAACGGATTCCCAGCCAGGCCGATAGCTTGCTGGGTTGCTGCGATGACAGTAGCAGTGTGTCCTTCATTGGCATCAACTCTCGATGGTTCCCTAGCCGGCCTTGTGGAGTGCTCCCCAGTATGAAGGAGCTCTTTGGCCGTTACAGACCGAGTGATGACATTTTCCCCGCGCAATAAGGTGTTCAAGTCGTCTTGTAGTGACCCAATATCGTCCAACATTTCCTGAGCGATTCGACTAAAGGTGCTGCGTTCATTGAGGATGTCAATACATTCTTGTGAGGCTATAAGATCCTCCACTGCGCGTCCGTCGTTTCTTTCAAGCAGACTTTGCGCCACATCGAGCAGGAGTATGCTACATGCCGCCGAAGCATGACTTCTAATGCAAATGTTAGACTGGTATGCCAAAGAACACAAGGATCTTCCTTGGGGCCGCTGCCACTTACATGCACAACCAATGGCTACCAGAATTCAGAAGATTGAGGAGCCGTACGCAAGTCTTTGCTACGTCAACAGCCTCGCTTTGAAGGTGGCGTCCCATCTCAACGGGACCGTCCAGGACCCATCTCCCACTGATATTACATTGAGCGATTGCCACGAGTAGAGGTCTGTATAACAACATCCTTACTCCCATATAAATCGCATGAATCAGAAACAGTGACCTTCGATGTCTGTCAACATGCTCTGCCGTCTCCGTTGCTGTGATCGCAGACAGCTCCATCAGTGGTGGCAAACTTCGTCGCCAGTTATTCAAGGTTTCGGAACACCGCCCGACCACGGCAAATGTGATAGGTTTGGAGCCATACACTTCTTGCAGGACACCTGCCATCAATAAGCCAATCGTACTGATTTGGGCTTGAATCGCGTTTTCGAAGCTTGGGACAGGTTCCAAGATATCACTTTTGGTGAACTATCAGGACTGTCAACATCCGGATTCCACCGAAAGCAGCCGGCTCTTACCTCTATCTCACCCTCACTCAAATCGAATTGATAACCTAGACTTGCGGCTAGCCAACTTGGAACGTTCACGTCAGTGTTTTTCTGACCTTCCTGAAGAGTCGGAGTTCTTTACCATTCGAGAAAGACAAGTGTCCTATAAACCTTCCTCCAGGATACCCACCCATCCAGCTCAGGAGAGAGATCTAGCCGCGCCCACCTCGCTATTTGTAGACCTGTGGCTAAACAATGCACACTCAGCAACACAAAACCTCTATCATATGTGATACTCACCCACGGACAAACGAGCGCTATATTTCCTAGTCATGAATGCATACATGCTTAAGGAGACAAGTACTCTCATAACCCGGAGAGGTTTTTCGTCTAAGCACTCATTTGACAACGATGATGCTGTGCGATACAATGCTTCCATCATTGCCACCGAAACCTCATCACCGTCATAGATATGGCCAACGGCTGCTAGGGCACATAGCTCACTGAGTGTCATTCTAGTTGGCGGCTCATCAGACTGATACACTTGATCGCAGAGGGCTGTGGCTTCATCTTCTTCCAAAACATAGAATAAGATGAAGCTCCCAGCGTAAAAGGTGGTTAAGCCCAGCCTAATGACATCCTCAGGAGGGAGGTCCTGGGGACTGAAAATTTCTGTCGATGAGGTGAGGTTAGAATCTGAGCCTTGACAGTCAACTAAATTCACAGACACGAGATGGCCATTTTGACTGACTTGGTGAAGGTGCTTGCCGCCGGTTTGTGTGATCTTTTGGAGGTTGATCAGGTATTGCCTGCATATCAAATTTGTTCGACTCCGAATCACTCGCCCCAGCGTCCTCCCGAATACTACTGATCAGATTGCCAATCTCTTCATTTGATCCATGTTTCAAACAGATCATGATAGCTTCAAACCCACGAATCTTCTCGTGAAGTAAGTCCAGCTCGACCTCTTTGTCTCCCTTTCGTCGTCGATCGAGGTCGCTGTATTCGCATCGTCTCTGGTTGTGAAGACAAGCAGAGCATGACGGTGTTCGACCATCGCACTTGCGAGTTGTCAGTAAGTAAAGACGGTTCGTGTGTATCTTTGGCACCATACCTTTATGCGTCGAGAACGGCACGACTCACATGCATGGGATGTCTTCTTGACTTTTGGCGCGGTGTTTGCCGCCCATATTTGACCATGTACACCTAGATATTCCGGACCGAGCGATTCTCTTGGGTGTAATCTCGGAACCAATATTGACTGAGGCATTCAAGGTAAGTCGTCCGCATAAGAAATCCAGGTACGAAATGGGTAATGAAGGCATCAGTCGGTATTTGAAATGATGTGGAACGTAGACTGGCCCGAAAACACCATCTCGAACATGATGCTTTCCAAGTGCTAAGTTATGCGCTTCACTTATATTGATGGATTTCTTAGCAGTCTAGCTGGAATCTTTACCCCATGCAAGGATAACGAAGTCTAGGCCTTGGGGTGGCTTCTGGTATCAGATGCCCTGCATCGGCGATCACCCCACCTATTTCTCGGTTGAGTCAATGAAATCCTAACTCCTGTGGAAGAATATACAACCAACACGGATTTGGAGTCCTATTGGCTGTAAATCTCTCAAGAGATAAGTTTTCTGTTCCAAATCATAGCTCAGCATTGTCCTGCAATCATATCTAGGATGGTAAAGATCTGCAATCGGAGATCGAGTGAGAAAATCAATATCATGATGCCGATGCTCTTTCATGTTTCTGATCGTTTACCGATTTCTGTCCATGATGTGGCGTTCCCGGCTTCTGGGGAGCAAACTTTGGCGTCCCTAAGAATTATACCGATAGGCTGATGAGCGGTGGGGTTTCCCCCCTCCAGAGCCTGCAACACACTTCTAACTACTTACTTGATTAGCCATGTGCGACTTCTTCCACGAGGGCATGGTCGAGACGAGGACACTCATGCCATCAAGTAGGGTAACTAGTGAGCACCAGTACGAACTCAAGTTACGAATATCTGCTTTCATTGGAACGGCCCTGTAAGCACATATCATTGACATATATTATTGTTGATCAAGGGCTCGACCTGAGTCTGTATTCTGCTATCCGAAACTCATGGCGTCCGACGTACTTTCAGTAACTGTCAACTACTCAGACAATTAACTCGGTACTCGAGTACATAGGAAACCACCCATAGGTAGGTCTTGGAAAGCGCAGGAAACTTTCTAGTCACAGTGGACAATGCTCGCATACCACCCACACTTCTGATCCGAATTGCTACCGACCCAGTCACGCCCACTTCAGGTTTGTGATTATCGCCAAAGGTGCTGTTGCCAGTTGTCAATAAGAAAACAATCTGGGGACACATGGCCCCTGTATCACGATTCATTCCTACCGCGGGACGCTTTCATCAAACATACCGACAGGATGACCCAAACGTCAACTTTTGGACCCATTCCTGGCCAAATTACAGACTCGCGAGACACCGTTACGTTCATAGATTCTGATGAAGACTCGGACTATTCTGATGTCTGAGATGAATCTCCGTGAGCCGGTATGCCCGCACGTTCCTAGCCTCAATGCTGCGGTGCAGCAAGGACGCAAGGAGGGAAATTCTAGGCATAACTCCGAAATCGGACTGTCCACGGACCATTTTTATCAGATAAGATGCAGTTCGCCCTGAGAGCCTTCCCCAAGTCCGTATGGCCCTGATTGCATTGCGTTTGCTACACAATATCTATTCATACATGGAAGATGTCCGACAAGGCACTGATCTATCTTAAACTTGCTGGGCACATTCTGACTACCTTGAACTACCTCCTGAGAACCTTCATCTCATCAAAGATTAACCATTGGACTTACGAGCCTGGAGACAACCCCAAAACAATTGTTGTTATCGGCGCATCGTTCGCTGGCTACCACCTAGCGAAACAACTCGTCCAGACCATCCCCAGTGGCTATAGAGTGGTGCTGATCGAAAAGAATTCCCACTTTTTCTTCACATGGATCTTTCCACGATCGACAGCCATCCCCGACCACATTCACAAAGCATTCATCCCGTATCTTGAGCAGCCGCCATGGAGCCCGAAAGGAGCATACACATTCAGAAAGGGTACTGTCATCTCCATTGACTCGAAGAAGGTCTTTCTGGAAGACGGGTCGGAGATCGAATACGAGTATCTCGCTATTGCAACTGGTTCCCATGCGAGATACCCATCCAAGATGCAGACGACTGATAAACCAGACTGCATCAATTATTTCCACGATCAACAAGAGCGCATCAGGAAAGCACAGAGTGTTATAGTGGTCGGGGGCGGCGCGGCAGGCATGGAGATAGCCAGTGACACGAAGTCCAAATACCCAGAAAAGGACGTGACTCTGATCCATTCCCGTGATCGGCTCTTGAACCAGTTTGGACCTCTACTCCATGCCAAAGCACAGGAGGCGCTTGATACGCTAGGGGTCAAGACTTACCTCAACGAACGTGCCACCACTGGGATTGATGAAGAATATCCAAAGGAAGTCACACTCAAAAGTGGTCTCGTTCTGCATTGTGACACGCTAGTAAGTCTGCTGACTATCCGCCCCACGAATTTCGCTGATGACCATACAGGTCCGTTGTACGGGCCAGCATCCACGTGGAGATTTAATCAAAGACTACTCTCCTGCATCGATCTCCCCTTCAGGCAAAATCCTTGTTGACAAGGACATGAGGCTGGCCAGCTCGCCGAACCCCAATATCTTCGCTGCCGGCGATGTAGTCGACACTCCAGGTCCGAGCTTGGGACGAGCGGCCGCAAACCATGGCATTTTCGTGGCGGAGAACATTATACGCGCCATAAAGGGCAAGGCCTTGAAGCCGTTCAAGCCAGGAATGTTCGACTGGTCAATCGTATTGACGCTTGGTCTGGTGAGTTTGAATTTGGTCCGTCCTTTGTGGCGGCTACAGTTGGCTGATAAAACCTGGTGCGTGCTCATGTAGGCAAAAGAAGCATCCTATATGAGCGACGGGGTGAGAGAAATCGCTTTTGTGCATAAATCGCACCACGGAGATCTTGGGGCGAGTCGTGTGTGGCAGATGTTCGGTGTTAAGCCATTCGAAGATCCTAACGACAGTGACGAAAGTAAGGCTGTTGAAGCTTAGTTGTCCGAGAGAAATGAGCTTCCTCTCGAAAGGGGTATCTCGTTGTATCCATCTCCTTCATGCCCCGCGCGTTGTTGAATCGTCCTCGTCATACATCCTATTTCTTAAATTCAGATATGGTCAAAACCGGATGCTCTCGTGCAGCCTATCGCATCCGGAAATGCTGGTGCTGCTCGAAACCAAGGGTTTCCTTCTTCCGTTTCGACACTTTAGCTGCAAGATATTTTAGAAGTGAAGCAGCGTGTCAATTCACCCGTTTGTTTGCCAACAGCCTGGAGGCTAAGTGAACTCAGTGTGCGCTCTGCAAACCACCGATGAACGCCTCATGATTGTGGCCAAGCACTTAGAAAGGCACCTCGGGAGGACAGAGACCACTAGGGATTGTGCCAACGAGACCTGAGAGCCCGCGCCCCGGCCGTTCAAGGAGGCTTGGTTAGCCTTAGTTGGTACGTCCTTCTGGAACTCAGGCAGAAAGTACAGACATGTCGATCGTGTCCTTTAGAGCTGTTTGACTGACTAACTCCTTGGTTACTGTGATTGCCGAAAGTTCTTCACATCTACCGACAAGTCAGGGCGCCTGAACGAATCCCCTTAGAAAGCGGACGGTCGCCTTGAGGCAGGGAGTCCAACCAATAAGGCTGAAACTCCCGGCAAACTTAGGCAACAATTGAGCCTTGGCCAAAACAACCTTTCCCACCGCTGAACCCAGGACAAATGTTTCCAGGCGTTAGTCCGCACATCCCATGTTCCTTGACTGCGGATCTTCTCTTTTTCTCTCCCACGATGTTGCTATTTTTTGTTTACTCGCAAGGACATGGGACCTCATGCTCTGTGCCCTTATTTCGAGGTCCGAGTGATAAGGTGATAATGGGTCAAAGGCTCGGATGATGAAACATGACGGTTCGTGCCTGTGCTGGGCTGCGCCTCGAATTGGGTGGGACGTCGTCACATAAAGAGGCATCTTTAGGCTTTCGAAAGCAAAATGGCCCGAGCCTTTCGTTTATTGTTGTGTTTTGCTGTCGAGGACTTGTCGGCTTACGGTACAAGTACTAAGCACTCGCTCCGAATGGGATCGGCGAAGGATTTTTTGTTCTTTGCTTCTTAGATCTTAAAACCAGGTTCGAGAATCTGATCATCGTTGCGTATCCCAATGTTATAAGCTGAACATTGAATTTCCGAATCCTGACACCAGCTATCGATATCGGGAACACATACTCCATCTGAAGTCTTTCGACATTTGAAACTGTGCAGCAGGACATTGCCAGCATAAGTGGTATGCCTCGCCCTCGGCAAATCGAAGCAGAACAACTCTTTAACTTATGATGCAGTAATACGTGGCAACGATGTGCTATACCAACATCACATACACGTGCGGACATTCGGAGAAGTCATATGCATTGAACTGCAAATGCGAGAACGAACGAGGTAGTGGATCCTCAAGTTTCAAATGCAGCGATCACTGTAAAGGATGAGTCACTGGCCCCCAGGGGCCACTGGTCAGCCCCAAAGCACTCGTCATGTTACATACTATCCATACAGAGACAGGATAGTGAGGAGTATTTGAGAGGGATTTATGGGATGCGATAGGATGGGCGGGAACTTTGTATTGCAATACTATGGCGCGAAACTGCCTGTACTTGTGTCTGCTATTTTTGTCTGTTTGGGAGTTTCGGCCTTCCGAGCTCTGATTGTATTTATGAGATTTCCCGATTACTCGATACTTACTTCAACAACAAAGAATGAACCCATGCGAGACCGCTGTCGGGGCCGTGCAAGTGAACAACCTGCTCCGTCAACTTTGCAAAATGTCGCAAATTCTCAGCGTCAACACCTTCTTCCTCACAACCTCGTATGATATTATTGATTGCAATGCGCATCATCTCCATGGGATTCCCATGATTGTTATCTTGGTCGTTATTGTCGATGGCGGCTGCGAGGAGCTCGTTGTGGGGGATCAGAGAGGTGAGGAGCGGATTGAAGTAGGTGGTGACCACGTTGGTAAGATTGACATCAGCGACAGCTTTCTTCGTACCATCTGCACCACTTGTCTTCCTGGCTCGATCAATCTGCTTTCGAATCATTGCTAGAGCAGTCAGGGATCCGATGAACATTCCAAACATGCCAGAAAGAAGTGCGATGTCATAGCCAGCGGCGATGCCGGCATCTTCTCCCTTGTAATCTGGTAGGCCGATACTGCTGATCAAGCCTCTAACTCCACTGCTCTCAAGCATATCCTCGTCTTCACCGCTGATGAGCACGATTGATACTGGAGTACCAACATTCTGAGGTGTCACCATGATACCACCGTCGAAGTAATTAGCGACACCACGCTCCTTCAACCATACGGACGCCTCTCGTGCGTCCTGAGGTGTTCCATTTGTCAGATTCACCATGACCTTGTCCTTGAGAACGCCACTGGCGACAAGTGGCTGGAGGCCTTGGTAGATATTCTGATATTCAAGAACACAGAAGACGATGATATTGTTGGCCGAAATTGCTTCGGCGAGGTCTGGTTCATAAGAAGCGCCTGCTACGACAAGTTCAGTCACTGATGGCCTGGTGCTTGTGCGGTTCCAGATGGTGAGGGACCGGCCTGATTTGAGGAAGGCATGAGCGATTGCCGTTCCCATATTCCCCAAGCCGACCAGGGTGACCCCTGAGTTTGATGCTGCCATTTCTGAGATTCTCAATGTTTTTGATAGTTCGCTGTCGTGATTGCGATTATGGTCTCGAACTGTCTTCATCCTTTCTCCTTTCCTCGAGCATCTTCAAATACTTCTCGTCGACTGCCATACGGGCCCCGAGGAGCCCGTTTTCTAGCAGACAACGACGACAGTGGTATTGTCGATAGCCAGGCATCAGTCTACAGAAAGGAAAGACTCATCGATCCGTGCCATGTTCGACTGCGTAGCATTGTATCCTGAAGCTGAGTTGAATAAGCGCCAAGGCAGAGTCCAAGGTTTTATACTATGGTATGTGCGATATGCTTCGAGGCTGATAAATGGGATTGCGGCAGAATGGCATCGTCATCGGTGGCGGGCTTGTATCTATGGCCGCCGTTGTGAGTGCTGAATAATCTGTGAAGGGCATAACAATATTACGATCAATATTTGGTGCAGAAGTTGCTTCCAAGGAGATGCTCCCACTAAGACGCGTTTATCGTTACCTAAAGACTTGAGATGTGTGGATACTCGGAGCAATTATCATTCCGCAAATGCATGGTTCGTATTCGGATTTCACACTCTGCTCACTTGCCATGAATTTGCAGGGTTCTCCATACCTACAGTTGTACAAGGTTAGGTTAAGACATTGAAAATATCTAGTGATAATGGATTGATTTGGCAGATGTAAATGGAGAATACTGATCGAAGCACGATCAATTTGAGGAGGAAAACAACCACGAGGAGAAGATAATGCAGTAAGTAGTAGCCCATAAACTATCCATGCCATAGTTACGAAAAATTTCCAAGTCCGACATTACCCGGTGTATCTTCATCCGAGGCGAGTGGTGTATCGTGTTTTAGCTTCATTAGATAGCAAAGGTTGCTCGACCAATAAAGCAATCGCAGCTGTTGGAACAGATTGGTGCTAGATGCTCGCATAGTCAACCCACACACTAGGACCGACTCTTTCCCAACTCACTCTGCGCAGTTGAAGTAGGACCACCCTTTACTCGTTCGCCTCCAGTGATTATCTTCTCGCCCTCGGTGATGTCGTGAAGGTTGTCGCTGTTGATAGCCTCGTTTGCATGTCTTTGGGCTTGTGCGGTTGGGCCACCACTCACAGGGTCCGCTGACCCAGTTATTTCAGATTCAGCTTCATGGATCTGCGCGATCGTAGATGAGTCGAGTATGCCACTGTGATTACTTGTTGCATTGCGATTTCTAGATGTGGTATTAACATTGCTGTTGGTTGCGGTGCTAGTCGTCTGGTCATTCTAGGAAAAAAGTCAGAAACCTTGAGATAAGTCCTCATGTGGTTCTCCTACCCTGGTTGCCATGCTTTGAGCTTCAGCAGTAGGACCAGACTTGAGCGTTTCGCGACCGGTGATCTTTTGCTCGCCCTCATTTATAGCACGAATTGTTTTGCTATCGATCTGCTGGCCGACATGACTTTGGGCTTTAGCTGTTGGCCCACCTCTGACTGGTCCATCTCGTCCACTTATCTCCTTTTCCTTTTCAGTGATCTTGGAGATGGTGTCAGAATTGAGAGTTGCCGCCATTCTGCGGCTCGAGTTCATATGAAAACCACGGTGGCTTGTTGTCCATATCGATCTGCTGGTTGATCTTGCGCATCTTGCTAATAGGATAAATGAAGACATTATCGTAAGTAAGGAGTAGATCATAAGGGATATCCGATGAAGTCTTTATCTGAAATGTGTCTAGAGTATGAGTTTAATGAGTGACACGACAGCGATATGCGGGAAGTGCAAAGGCCTTGTTGATGTTAATATCTATACCGTACCCTAGTAAGTGGAGTATTTTGTGCATAATGTAGAGTTGATGACGCGTGGTTAGCAAATCATTGACGTGTTGAAAAAGCCTCCGCGGATCGCGCAGCCTTGCATCGCGTGTGCATGTGTCCAATTACATCATGTACATTTCTGCCAGCTAGAAGCTCCGTAACTAAATGCAGAGCAAGAGATAGTAGGTAAATCCAGCGTTTGAGATGATGTGGTTGTCAGAAGGGATTCCGTCTTTGAACAAGGCAAACAGGCGCTCTTCCTCCCTCATCGCCCAGAGAAATAGATGAACAGTGGCCGCTAGGTGTCAAAATGGGACTGTTAGGTTATCATGGCACAGCACGTGGGTTTGAATGAAGGAGGTATTTCATTATGTGATGAAGATGAGGTCAACCTCAAGCTCACCGAGAGGTTTCTTCGACAGCAGGTCGCTATGATGATGATGGTAAAGCAGCAATACTTAATCACAAGCAAGTTAGATCTCCCGAATGGCATTCTTGGCAATGACGGAGCCAGAAAATCAAAAATTAGTATGTCTTCCTGAGTCATGTCTCATTCGGAAGAGAAATTAAATCTGTGGCGAAAAATACATGTCCAAGTACTTGCAATCTATTTCTTCCTTTCAGATTGATTGAAAAACTTGATACGATTTGACTGCCAAAATGGCCACCAACACTCAGCCATCAGAGTCCGCCGCAAGAGGTATTGCAGACGGAATTATGCCGACACACACATTCGTGCCTAACCAAGGTTATTCGAGTGACAATACAACAAATCTCCAACGAAGATTAGCGCCTGGATCTTTCATTCAGGAGCAAGACGAATATTCCGACGAAGATGAGGACGAAGAGTACGAAGACTATGCCGAGGAAGCACTTGATGACCCTGAACAACTCGGATCATCGAATCCCGCAGATCTCACAAAATCTTACAATCGACAGAAACGACTCAATGAGGTCGCTGGTGACTCTAATGTACCATCCTGGCAACACCCGAAAGCAAACCCTCAAAAACCACCGAAGCTAAAAATGGGTGAACTCGGCTACGACATGAAGAAGCTCAAGATCGAGGGCCCCGAATCACTGCCTGGAACTTCACGGCAACGGGACAAGAGTGATCGAGCGACGACAGAACAAGTCCTCGACCCAAAGACCCGACGCATTCTGTTTCAAATGATCAATTCTGGCATCGTGACGGAAATCAACGGCACAATCTCAACGGGAAAAGAAGCCAATGTCTATCATGGCATGTCGGCATCAGAGGATGAAACACAACCCGACATTCACGTGGCCATCAAGGTGTACAAGACCAGCATTCTCATCTTCAAAGACCGAGAAAAGTACGTGACGGGAGAATTTCGCTTCCGGAAGGGGTTCAACAAGGGCGACAACAGAGCCATGGTGAAGTTATGGGCGGAGAAGGAAATGAGGAATCTGAAGAGAATCCATACTAGCGGAATTCCATGCCCTGAACCGCTTTACCTTCGGAGACATGTCCTTGGAATGAGCTTCATTGGCGACTCTAAAGGCAAAGCCGCCCCTCGACTCAAGGACGTGGAGTTTACTGAAGAAGATCCATTGGCAAGATGGCGCGGCGTTTACATCGACATCCTCGCCTACATGCGTATCATGTTACAGCAGTGTAAACTTGTCCACGCAGATTTGAGCGAGTACAATATCCTATATCACAAACATCGACCATACATCATCGACGTGAGCCAAAGTGTGGAAGGTGATCATCCCCGAAGTCTAGACTTTCTTCGAATGGACATCAAGAACATTTCCGACTTCTTCAAACGACAAGGTGTTTCCGTTTTGTCCGATAAACAAGCCTTTAGATATATCACCAAGCTAGCCGAGGGCGATGCAAGCCTAGGGCTCGATGTCCTCCGAGCCGAGATCGACAAAACCATGGCCGAGCGCACGGAAGAAGAAGATGAGGAAGACGAGGTTGAGAACGAAGTATTCCGCAAGCAGTACATCCCGCAAACACTCGACGAAGTATACGACGTCGAAAGGGACGGAAACCAAATCCAGACTGCAGGCCGGGAATCACTCGTCTATAAAGACCTCCTCGCGCCTTCCAAAGACGAACTCCTCAAGGAAACCCCATCATCGACAACAACGCGCCCCAATCTGGCGACCAACGCGGCAGAATCCGAGCTTGCAGAAGATGCCCAGGAAGGCGGGGGCGTGTCTCTCTCCCACGACTCTGCGTCTCACGGCGACGGCAGCGGAGATTCAGATGGCCAATCCGACGCCTCAGCATTCAGCGATTCCGACCCCGACGCGCGTCCCCGCGGCAAGCGCTTCCAAGACAAGGACGACAAACGCGAGCACAAGAAGAAAGTCAAGGAGGAGAAGCGGGAGAAGCGCGCCACTAAGATGCCCAAGGCCGTCAAGAAGAAACTTGTCTCGCAGAGTGCGAGGCATAAGCATTAGAGAGTAAGAGAAATGGTATCCGAGGCTAGGACCGACGTTGATGATGATGATGTGTTGTCACCATGATGTCTCGAAACGAAATGCACGACTTATGATAGTGATGCGAAGGAATCAAAATGATGTACAGCATCGCCCATGATCTGCTGAGGTGCAGTGGATGTCCAAAGAGTTCCGACAGACAAAACCCTAAACTCCGTGGTGTTCACACTGCCAATCCACATGCGTGCTTGGTGATATCTCTGTGGTGTGCTGTGATGTGCCGTGGTGGGAAGGTCTTGGGCCAATCCTCACTCCTCACAGTTGCCCTAATCTCAATAGCCCATACCGACCAAATCAAGCTGCCCATTACAGCCATCGGAGGAATAGCCATGCCCAAACTGTCTCTGTTCAAAGCGTGTTTGAATTGGTGCAAGAATGCGTAAGTCGAGTCCATCTCTTGCCAGAATCCCTATTGCCCAAATATCCAAACCCGAACAAATACTACTGCTACATCACCCACAGAATGCAATCCGGGACAGAGGGAAAGTGGGAGTTTCAATGAAGACACCACACAACACTTGATATGATAAGAATCTCTTGTTGCCAAGGTAGCGAGCAGCGATGATATGCATTGTTGAGGGAAACCGGGGATATGATGTGTCGTTCATCTTGTCCACAGACAGTCATCAACAACCTCTGTCCTCTCCCTCTTCAATGCATTCATCGTTAGTTCGGCCGAGCTATGGAGATATGCTTTCCAGAAAAAAATTGATGGAAAAGCTATGATATACAAAGAGAGCACTGAGAAACACCACGTCCCTCTTTCCCTGGATATTGCAAAGACTCTATTTCGCTTCGACTCCTTCTCCAAAAATTGAAGCTTGGGGTATCTCAAAAACTGTGGAGAAGTTTCGGTTCATTTGCGGTCATTAGGGATCATTATGCCAGACGTCTCAGTTGCACATCATTTACTGCCTGCCACAGGGCGTTGCTCAGGGTAAACCTCGCACGCCAGCCTTGAGGCGTTTCAACGCGTCCTCGACCGTCTTTCTCGGCAGATCTGGTATACTGGTCGCACCACCTGCCCCGGCAATGTCGTCATCTGATCTGGAGATCACGTACCTAGGCGGCAGACTGTTGACGCCATGCCAAATATCGCTAGGGAGGAATTCTCCCTGGTCGTTTTTGAACTCTAAACGCTGCGTACGGTCTTGTTCGTAGAGCTGCTCGAGCTTCTCGTGGGCATCAGCGATGACCCGCTCCATTTGTTTCTTGACCGTCTTACGTCGGGCGACCTCAACGATTAATCCGTCGTAGGCATGCAGGAAATTGGCGTAGTAGTCGCATAATTCTTCCATACCGCCGATTCCGTCTTCGATCTTGGCTCGCTCTTCGACCCAGCGCATGGAATGGCGAGCCGCTTCCGCGACGTAGCCAGAGAGGCGACCGCCAATCTTTTCGACGAGTTTGAATGCGGTTGCGACGTCGTTGTGGGCCGTTTCCTGTCTTTCTCGCCATAGGATTACTCTCTCAAGTTGGCTCTCCATTTCAGTATTGCGGTCATGGAGTTCCAAGACGACCTCATCAACTTCTGCCGCATCGCCTTCGACCACGTCGAGCAGCTCCACAAGTTCCTCTTCGCTCATGGGCTGTGCTGGATCTTGCAGGGCGTGAATGTCTGTGCCAACTGCATCTGGCAAACCTTCAGCGCTCATGGTCTGGGCGATAGCCTCTCCACCGCCTTCTGTGTGCTTGATGACCCGGACACAATTGTCAAAGTGAGTTGCCAGGCTTTCTAGCCCATGGGCCATTTCTCTCGCATTGTTCTCAAGTAATGAAAGCACTTTGGGGATAGTGAGAAATTGTAACTCACTCTCGATTCCTGATGATTCTATCCGATTATTGAGAACTTCATTGACGGATTGCAAATCCTCTTCAAGAGTCTGAATGGATTGATTCATCTCATGCTGAGTGTTTTGTACACTGTCAATGGCTATTTTCATGGCATCCTTGATGGTCTCCACCCCCTGGTCATCGACAAAGTCGTGCAGGGTCTTTTTAGTGGTGCCGGATACATCTTCCAACTGGGGATATGGGCTGAATGCCTCCTCGATTTGGGTTTGTTTCAAGAGGTCTATGCATTGGAATAATCTTGCATCAGTATTGTCTAGCTCCTTTATGACAGCTTGAAATTCGAATTGAGCGGACTGGGCAGCGGCTTCCAACTCAAACTGAATGCCACGGAGGATCTTCAACTGGGCAGCCAGCGAGCGACGGAGGTAGGCTGTTTTGGCCAGGAGAGCAGTGGTGGACTCAACAGCGGCACGTGCCTCGGAGAGGATGGTTGTAGCGCGGTGAACCAGGGGGATGCTGCCGAGGGATCGTTTGGCAGCCACTAGATGGGAGACAAGTGTTTCGACGATTGCTACTGGGGGCGGTATGGCAGCAGCCTGGAATGAACCGGCTGGAGAGGAGCCCCCTGAATGATGCAGATTGGGATGGGAGGATTGCGCCATTGTCAGGAAGAGTGAGCAAATCTGAGCAAGACTCGATATATTATGTCGTGATACGACTGTAGACAAGGGAGCAAGCGGACGTAGACATCGTTCGGATGGTCTGTGAGTCAAATGATTTACGCATCAGCCTCGTAAGAAGCGTCAGCGCTTGTGTGAGAGGTTGAAGAGGGGTAGGTCTGTGGCAGAAGTGGTGAGGGATCTGAGATTGTGAGATTGGCCAACTTGTCAATTGTCAAGCAAGTCCGAAGTGGATTCGCGCGAAATGGATGCGGTGTGATCCGTCTGGGGTACAGGAAATAGGCATCAAGGCGGTCTGATTGTCAAGCTGAAGGATGCAACTAGATTGGATGCGGGGAGGTCAAGGCTCCGACCATTATAGACTTTGCCGTTACGAGGATTAGTGGTCGGCAGTAGTCGGTAGTAGTGATATCGTGGTACCTCGTACCCTGCAATGATGCAAGGGACCGGGGGTTGATGGATTTGAAACTCTGTGTGATATTATGAGTGGTGGATGTCACTGATGAGAAAATATTCGCAATGAAGCACGCAATTTGTGCGGCGAGTTTCGATGAGTCACGTGATAGAATAGTCAAGGGAGTTCCCGTGGACTAGTGACTAAGAATCTCTGAGTAGTGTGGTCAGACGCGAGTTTCTCCGCCATTTTACCCGTGAGCTCAACATGTCAGACTAAAAGATGCTATTTTCTAGCTCCTCTAATTTTGAGATCCCGTGTTCGTCAGGCCCTTTTTACTTTCTCCTCCCGCTCCACTTCTGAGTCCCTCCGCCTTCAAAGTATCCGACTGCCGTCCGTATCTTCAGCCAGGAACGAGTTACAACCCACCAGAACCATCTGTGGACTGTACCCATTCATCTCTTACCAACCCGCTTTGCCATCTTGCACCATCTGCTCGCCATTCTTGGTCATACCCTGCGCCTTCACTCGGACGATATCTCAGCCTCTTGACCTGCATCCTCTTGTACCTCCTCACCTCGCATCTAACTCCACCCGACCGCTTTTTCCTCCCTCCCTCGTGCAAGCCGTGCTACTCATACCCACACCATGTGAAGACTTCATCCAGCACAACACACAATGTCAGAGAAACACAGGAGAGAGTCCCTCGTAGTCGACGAGTGGAATGAGTCCAACCGGAAGAGATTACGAACCGCCTCAACAACCCATGATGAGTCCCAACACCACGACCACACCCACACCCACACCCACACCCACAACCCAATCTCCGATTCTGCAAAAGACTTCACCATCGCTGCAACTGCGAAACATGCTCGCGAAACTGTTGCTCCCTTTCTTGCCAAACACATTCCTGCACAGTATGCTCCTCTAGGAAATTCTGGGATTCCACAGACTCTCTTCACCTCCACCAAGGACAAGGACTCCAACTCAAAGTTCTGTTACCGCCACCGACCTGACAAACTATGTCGAAGACAAGCCGATGAACCGTCGATGGAGAAGTTGCAGCACGATCTTGAGTCGCTCGACCAACAAGACCGTCAGGGCATAGTCCAGGTCTGGTCTTTATTCTCCGCCGCTCCGTCCAAGTATCGAAATCTCATGCTCAAGGGCATTCTTGCTCAATGTTGCTTTCCCCAACTTTCCTTCCTGTCCGCCAATGTTCGCGAGCTCATTCGCATCGACTTCCTGTCCGCTTTACCCTCTGAAGTATCCTTCCGAATTTTATGTTTTCTCGACACAACCTCTCTATGCAAGGCCGCCCAAGTCTCCCGGAAATGGAGACAATTGGCTGATGACGATGTGGTCTGGCATCGCATGTGTGAACAACATATCGATCGAAAATGTACCACATGTGGCTGGGGTCTTCCATTACTAGAGCGGAAGTTGCTTCGCAGCTCCAAACGTCAGATCGAACTTCGAGCCGCGGGCATTGCTGCCGAGGGATTCGCCTACACTCAAGTTGATCATGCAGAAACTGGAGACCCTTCTACAACCGGTGATGATGATAGCCACAGTGAGGCCACTGTCGTTGATGAGACACAAGATGGAAGTACCTCACCACTTGTCGTCAGAAGGCCTCGTATTGGTACTTCAGACAGTGAACTGCTCCGAGCCAGGCGTCCGTGGAAGGATGTATACAAGGACAGGTTCAAAGTCGGCACGAACTGGAAGTATGGGCGATGCAGTATCAACATTCTAAAAGGTCACTCGAATGGCGTCATGGCTCTTCAACTCCTCGACAATTTTCTGGCTACCGGTTCTTACGATGCCACAATCAAGATATGGAACATCGAAACAGGTGAAGAAGTCAGAACCCTACGAGGACATACCATGGGTATCCGATGTCTTCAATTCGATGAAAACAAACTCATTAGTGGAAGCCTCGATAAATCCTTGAAAGTGTGGAATTGGAGAACTGGCGAGTGTATCTCCACTTTCAATGGCCATAGTGAAGGTGTCATTGCTCTTCATTTCGACTCAGACATTCTAGTTTCCGGTTCAGTTGACAATACTGCCCGCGTATGGAATTTCCGGGATAAATCAGTCTTCACCCTCCGTGGTCACACCGATTGGGTCAACTCGGTCAGAATTGACTCGGCGTCTCGAACTATCTTCACTGCGTCTGATGATTGCACTGTCAAGCTTTGGGACCTCGACACCAAGAAATGCATTCACACTTTTGAAGGTCATGTCGGCCAAGTCCAGACTGTACTGCCACTACCAGCCGAATTTGAAGCTGATGAATGTCAAGTCGAAGATGATGAAGAAGCCTCCGATCCTGGAAGTCCTTCCAGTTCTTCAACCACTGGTTCAACATATGGAGGCATCAAGATCTTGACAAGGAAAGATCGCCACCCCAGCTTATATCACACTGATGCGAGTCGTCCTCAACCACCACGATATATGCTTACTTCTGCTCTTGACTCAACCATCCGTCTATGGGACGTGCACTCTGGTCGATGCATCAAGAAGTTCTTCGGTCATGTCGAAGGTGTCTGGGCTGTAGCTGCAGATACCCTTCGTATCGTTTCTGGAGCTGAAGATAGAATGGTCAAGGTCTGGGATCCCCGAACAGGAAAGTGTGAACGCACTTTTACAGGTCATGCTGGCCCAGTCACCTGCATTGGCCTTAGCGAGAGTCGAATGGTCTCTGCTGGTGAAGATGGCGAGGTTCGCGTCTACAACTTCACTGCATGATTTCTTTTCTCTTTCCCTTCTGTTTTCTTTTACTGTTCTTTTAGCGGGAGTCCTTGGTCAGATTGGACATCTTGCATGGCACCATTCATGGGCCAAGGAAACTCATTCAAAACATGGAGGTCACCGAGGATTGAAACATTGTCCGAACAATCCTCAGTATGGACGGGTCTGGAATATTGCTATCTTTGATGACGAAACGTGATATGAACCCATTCTTTTCTTTCTCTCTTTTACATTATATTTTTAGCCGGCGAGCATTTGGTTCGGGTCATTTCAATGGCGCAATTTTCGGTCCAAACTCAGTGGAATTTGGAAGTACTTAGGTGTGGACTGCACTGTGCGGGTGAGGTGTTCATCATGAGACTCATCATTTTCTACCCGACCGCTGTCTGTCGCGGTACATTGCCATTGGTGGTGACTGTTTAGCGCATTGGTTGTGGCAGCTTGTTTTATTTGCGCCGGATAAATAAAATAGCATCCCATCGCAGGGAATTGAACCGGATAGGTGACCATAGTGGTCTAAGGTAGTCTTCAAAAGATCAAACACTTAAACATAACACGTTCATAATGATAACCCATACCTTGCTTAGATGTGCACATATCCTCTTGCGGTGCTTCAATCATTAACCATTGCGATTTCCCAGTATCAGTGTTACATCGGTAACTAACTATCAATTCTCATCTGCCTCTTGTCTCATCGCGTTTCATGTACGAATAAGCCTTCCACATACCTCATAATTTGACAAACATGTATCCCGTCGACCGATCGAGAAAGCTGGATATTCGGCACCAGACACCGGTATATGCACCGCCCCATGCTCTCCGGGCGCATACCCAAGCAAGGGCTCAACATCCACAGACCGTCTACCCTGTCATGATTCTCACCCGACCTCATCCCACAAGACGTCTAAACACCTGTAACGCGCCTGACAGTCCTCCTTGCCCCATCACCCAGGACCTGGACCTTGCCCTCGAGCTCCAACGCACGCAGTGCATCCTGGAACTCGGCGCCCTCAACCTCCGCCGAACTCCCGTCGCCCACGGCGCGATATAGTTCGCTATAGCGGATGGGGTTGCCAGCCCTGACGACGGGATTCTCATCGATGGCGGCGAGGACGGCACGCTTGAGGTCTTCTTTGCGGCGGCGGTCGGAGGCGCTGCCGCCTTCGGACAGCAGACCCATGTCGATCAAGCCGGTGCGGGCGTCGGTCGCGGACGCTTTGATGGCGGATTTGATCAGGCGCACTGCTTCGTCCACGTCGGCTTCGGTGACGATAGGAGAGAGGCGCATCTTCGCGTGCGCTTCGCTGAGTCGGATCATCGATTCAAGTTGTCGTGTTGTCGCGGTGATGCGTCGGTCGGTTGCTTGAATGGAGTTGCCTAGTGATCGCATTTGGACATACGCCGTGGTGAGGGCATGGGCAGCTGGGGGTGTTATGGTCGGGTGGATGTTGGTGCGGGCGTAGGAGATGTAGGATGTCAAGAATTCGATGGGCTATAGGAGAAGGGGAAAGGTTAGTTGGGGTGTAAAGTGTGGGATGGGGAGAGGATGACTTACAAGGACTTCTTCCTTGGTTGCGTTCTCCGGTGTGTCTTCAAGATACATGCCGACAACATGCTTTGCAAGTCTTCGGTCGTTGACTTCGTCAATGCGGTCCAGCACAAGGTAGACGAGGTCGAATCGCGAGAGTAGAGTTGGTGGCAGATCGATATTCTGGGGAACTGGTAGGTTTGGGTTGTACTTGCTGCCGATGGGATTGGCAGAAGCGAGGAGGCTGGTTCTGGCGTTCAGAGTGGTGATGATGCCAGCTTTCGCAATTGAAACGGTCTGCTGTTCCATGACTTCGTGCAGGACTGATCGAGTTGCCTCGTTCATCTTGTCGAACTCGTCGATACAGCATACGCCTCCGTCTGAAAGGACGAGTGCTCCAGACTCGAGGACGAGCTGTTTCGACTCCGGATCTCTGGTCACATATGCAGTAAGACCAACAGCGGAAGACCCTTTCCCTGAAGTGTAAACACCTCTTGGTGCGATCTTGTGCACATACTGTAAGAGTTGCGATTTTGCAGTTGAAGGATCACCGCAGAGCAGGATGTTGACATCACCTCTGTATTTAGGACTGCCACCTTTCTCAAAGGATTTGTTTGTGCCTCCGAAGAGTTGAAGCAGTATACCCTTCTTGACATCATCAAGCTCGTAGATACTAGGAGCCAAACTTCTCGAAAGGAGATCGTAGATGTCCTCGCGTTCGGCTGTGCTCTTGATCTTTGCCTCCTCCTTGGCCGAGAATTTTCTGACCTGTTCTGGGGCACCTGCAACCTGCTCGGCCAATTCTTGCTCCACAGTTGAGGCATCGATGCCAACTTTTCGCTTATCCACTTTCTGGATATGCAGAACGTCGACGTATGTCTTGAAAAGTGCTTTGATAACACGCTGCCGTGGGTTCACTCGAACAGCATTGCTTCTGAAGATGCCAGTAACCTCAATCCTGTCACCGGCTTTACACGCGTCCACAATCTCGTCGTAACAACACAACGACACACTATGCGGTGTTTGTCCGTCTGGTACTGAGTCTGGTGTTTCTTGGAGTTTTATGACTTGTTTGTCGGCAAAGACACAACGATTGTGAACAATCTCCATGCTATCTTTGGACTTGCAAGCCTGTCGAGGACATTCAGTTGGCTCTGCAATTTTACCTCGATCAATCGCAACCAGAACAGTTTGGTTACAAACCGTACACTTAAAGAAGGCTTCTTTCATGTCTGGAATGACTGGAGTGGTTCGGATGACCAAGCCTTTGACTGAAATGAGCCTGTCGAGGTCGGCTGGGTCGAGATCTCGCATGTTGATGGATTTATCCAGGCCAAAGATCGAAACTTTCCACCGGTTTTCTTGAGCTTGCGTCATGAGGTTGTCCATATTGTCTGTAGCATGCCCTGGAGTGGCTCCTGGGGTTAGAGCACTATCTAGGTCAGATTGTGGCAAAGCTGGCATAGAACTTGTGTCCCTGGCGCGTGTAGCTGCATTTGTTCGCTGCATATCACGCATCTGATTTTGGGCGATTTCGATCATTACCTGGCGGAGTGTCTGATCCATTAATGGAATGATCTCCTGAGGGTAAGACTGCATTTGATGCCAGAGTTTGTTGGTAGCGGGATATGCCTTGAGATTTCGTGCATCAAGATTCAATTGTTCAAGTCCGGTGTTCAGCATATTCTGCATCATGTCGACATACTCGCGCTCCTGAGCGACCTCAAGATTCGCAGTCTCTGCCTCTGTGTATCCTTCGGCCCACATGCGATATTTCTTGGTATAGCCATGGAGGAAACTCTTAAATGCGGCTGATGAATCGATGATGGAGATATTGGATCCCCAGATCACTCTTGATGAATTCCCACCAAGCGCGTCGGCTTCTGAGGTGTCGGGATTTATGTTGGTAAAAGTGGCTTCGGAGGCAGGATCCTCGTTATCTCGTACTGGCATGCCATCCTCTCCCACCAAGATTCGTCGGCGGCGCGCAGAGGGACCATCGAAGGTGTCCGAATGGATGTCACCCCTTCTTGCATCTGTGCGTAGTGGTCGATCCTGGCGGACGAAAAGACCACTGCTGCTGCTGGGAATGTCTGAATCAATACGATTGCCATTCGGAGCTGGACTGGAGCTGGGGTCATATCGAACTGGAGATGATTCTATCAAAAGTCAGAGGCTGTTGCAGCAGATTCCCAGTGAAAACGTACCATCAATGGGCCGTGTAGTTGGTCGAGGTGTCAATTCGCGGTCACCAGCATCCGATGAGTTTCTGGGCGGAGAACTAATTATCATGCCATCGCTTGCTAGTTGCGAGGCAGGACCTGGCGTTTGCCGACGAGGTGACGACTGAAAGAATAAAGGCGAAGAAGATGGCACTGCGTTACCATTGGGCGCTTGACGTGTGCTTCTCGGGGTTGACTGCGGTTGTCGTGCAGGAGTTGAGGACTGCGAATTCCTGGAAGAGTGCCCTCTTCGGCGAGAAGACGGTGTAGAAGACATTTCGATGAGTTTGTGCGGGCTGCGCAGGGAATCTGAGGCTTCGACTCTGTCAGATGGTGGTTTAAGGGGAATTGGAAAAAGAGAGGGGCACGCGTCGCGTACTAAGTTCGCGTCGCGCGTAAAGTGGTTTCCAAAATCTTGGCACTGTCGATTCGCTGCTTTAACTCACCCCACTAGATCGTAATTAATTCATACTGTACCCATTCACTCCACTTTCTTTCTCAGTTCACCAATCATCAAAAGTCTGAGAACAACACCAGAAGATAGCGACGCCTTACATAATCCGCTCACACGGGCGACAAAATTCCAGCACTATTCCAAATGGACGAATCGTAAGCACAATCTTCTCCCCAAGACTATTCATTCAGCATTAACCAGAAAACCAGCAATGGATTTAATGGAGCCACATTCAACCTTCACATTGGCCCTTCGAAAAATTCATTCTTAGTTCACGCAGATATTGTCTCTTGGCATTCCAAAGTACTTCAACGACTCATCGATGGAACTTTCAAAGAGAGTACCGAGAGCTGTGCTGAGCTCCCAGAAGTCGAGCCAGACACATTCAGACAATTTCTTGCATATGCGTATGCCAGGTCTAGCAGCACTCCAGAGAACGAGGTTGCTGAGAAGCCTAAGGCAACACAGAAATTGTCACCAAGCAAAATCATTGAGCTTCTTCTTGCGAATGGGTACGGCAGATTCCGGTGCCAAAAGCCGAGCTGTGTCGCTATAAACAAGCTGAAATCATCCTTGACTTTCCCGCTGTGTGACACTTGTTCTCAAGTTAATGATTGTGTATGGCGATCAAAATCCCGCTGCGTCGTGCCTCAGTGCTTAAGACCAGCTGAATACTGTCAAAGTCTTCTGTGCGGACAGTGCATGTTGAGCCTGAGCCTACCGCTCCAACAGGGCGAATGGTGGACATGGGACGGCCGCCTCATGCCTGAAGCGGTTGAAGTCATCTTCTTCAGGGTCCCCGAACGGTTCGAAGACTTTGCCAGCTACTGCTTCGACGTACCCTTGCGCGTCACAGAGGTTTTAGAAGCTAGGAGGGACCTTTTTGTACCGTTTCCATCATCCGCCAGTCTATTCGACATCACCAGATACGCCATATTTGCAGACATCTATGATGTCGAGCCATTGGCGCAAGCTGCTTTCATGATATTCTACCAGAAGCTGAGTGACGAACCTCTGGATGCGGAAAGCATTTCGACGATTTGTGAGCTTGCAAATACTGTGTACGACAATACACCCAACTCTTTCACAGATGGTTCTCTCCAAGAGAAGCACGTGCTCCGAAGAATGTTATCTGAATTCGTCGCGGTCTACAGCGTCTCGTTCACAGAATCCAAAAGCTTCATGAAACTCTTGTCTCAAGGTGGAGATTTTGCAAGTGATCTATTTCTTGCCGCTGCCCAATGCAGTCGGCTATGAATGCTGAACGACTTTACGAAATGGTTTGATAACGCAGGGTATCGTCTCTACAGATGGTATTGAATAGCAAGGTTTCAAAGCTGATTTTCATTTCCAGACGGACACTCGCCCAAGAGGGGCTTGAAGTTACAGAAATGGGCGCAACGCAAGACCTGCGATATCTTTTTGGGCACGGTGTTGCTGCTGCATATCGGATACTCCATCTGGCTATCCCGCTTCACAGGTGTGGCCAAATTCTGAGATAGATGAATAATAACAAAATTTTCACAAACCACAGCCTATTTGGCCATGTAAAGCACGACTGGGAAAAATGTTTCTTTGACTTTACTGCTTGTTGCTCGCAGCTTGCAAGACACGCATTGACCTTCTTGTCTGAGCACATAGCGATCACCTTCAAATTCTGGCCCCAGAATCATGCCCATCGACCTAGCAGAAGAAATCGAAAAGTCCATCTCAGGTTTCCCTACATCCTGAGAATCTTTTGTAAGGCTGACAGTGCTCGCTTATGTGTGACCGGGTAGAATTTAATCACACCCATCGAGCCTTTTCGAACACAGCTCAAGCTGTGGAAGAAAGAGGAAGCTCCTTTCCATATCACGAACTTGATCTCAAATCTGCTTGGATATCACTATCTTGGTAAATTGCAAGTCTCATACTATTTTGTCGTTATTCGATAATACCACGTCTTTCTGCATCAATGCGGTCTCAAAATCTTTCAAGAATCCCCATCTCTCCTTCTCCTTCCAGCCCTGCTTCCGCCACTCGCTGAGATCCCCATTGGGAAACCATCTCATTTCAACTTCCTCATGTAGGAGACTCGCATCATGCGCAATGATAACAAAAACATCATCATTTGCGTCGAACACTGTCATGTCCTGAATCGTTTGATTTGCAGCCTTGGTGTCGTACGCTACGCCCTCGACCACGCCGTACAGTGGCTCGGTTGCATATTTATCCGGTGCTGAATGAATGGAGGCGAAGATCTCACCCGGACAGAACGAAGCGTGCTTATGCTTGTGAGCCGGCAATGGCGAAGGAGTGATCTGCTTTGGCAATGGAAGATACTCCGTTGGGCGATATTCGGCACCGTGGTGGGCCGCATCTCCACCCATAAATACGTAGGTACTCGGTGCACTAGAGACTCGAGCTAGGCCACATAGATGTCCGATCGTATGTCCAGGCGCATCTAAGAGGTAGAAGCTGCCATCTCCGAAGAAATCGAAGGCCTTGAAGCCGTTGATGACGGTGGATCCATTAAAATTGATCTCCTTCACCTCCCGCCCAGCAAAGTCGGATTCAAGAACCATACCATTGGGGTTCCTCGGATAGCATTGAGCAGGGATGAAAGCCTCTTTGAACCCAGGGCCAACAATCAGCGATGTCAAGGGCGGAAACGTCGACGGATCGCCTGTGTGGTCATAATGCCAATGACTCCAAATGATACAGTCGATCGCGCCGGCTTCGACGTCGATGCCGTTCTCAGTCAAGATCTCTCGAACATCTTTGGTCACTTCAAGACCCCAGCCTGGGCTTGTGATGATGTTTAGAACTGCAGGAGGGAGGTTTTTCCAGTCTTTACGGCTGCCAAGGTCGAAAAGAACACGCTTGTCTGTTGGGCCGTGATGGATGAGAAACGATATCGAAGGTCCCAGAAGACTTTCATGTCCTACTTGGGCAGGACCTGCGAACGGGGCCATCGGGACTGTTAAAGAAGTTGTTCTACAGAAGCAGATGTCAACAATGTCACCAAGAATGTATGTGATCTAAATTGAGGAGGAACTTACGTGTCGATTATCTGAACGTTGACAATGGCTGTGGAGTCTGGAAGTTCCAATGTGGGACATGACTTAGGAGTTGCAAGAAACTCTTCTGGCGATTTCGACGTCATGGTGGGAGAAGATCAACCTTTGCAAATCGTAGATGTCGGTTGTTTTGTGCACTGAATTTGAGGTAGAGTAGATTAGCAGAAGGATGAGGGTACATTTTATACCTTCAATGATCTTGAGACTGTCGGTATTTTTCGAGAGTACGGCTGATGCAGAGTAAAATCCGAGAACGCTAAACACGATTTTCATTACGCGTGAATCGTAGAGGCTCAGAGAAGGCTGAATCTCAATAGGGGCAAGCCGCGGGCCGTGGAAGGCTGTATTGAGTTAGATTGGAAGCCTTGCGGTAGGCTTGGCGAGCCGACGGGCTGAACTTGAAGGACCGTAACATTCCTGTTGAGGCTCCACGAGCTCCGTTACTCCACTCGTGAGATCACAGAATCAAAAGCGTAGGATGAGCTCAACATGCGCAGTGATACTTGGTAGTTGGTATTTTGTGGCAAGTTAATGGCAAACCGAGTGCTGTCAATACTCGAATTTCCAGAGGTTTGAACATGGTCGAGAATTGCTTGGATGATATGAGTGTCAATCTTATTTGATCATGAAAGATGGTATACTCCTATCTTGAATATCTGACGCGGTGAGAAAAACTGCCACTGATTCATGATGACGCTGAGAGGCATCCTCGTCCCCAGCCATAAGATGGTAAGATCCGCTGGATGATGGATTGCGTCGCGGACTCATCTCAAGCTCTTTGTCAACACCAAGGAACATTGTGAAGCAGGCAGTTTTACACTGTCCGTCTTTGTCTCTCATACCGCACAGATGATACTTTGCAGTGGGAAATTCTCAGCATGACTTCCAGGGTCCTTTCACACAAAGGGTGAAAGAGCCAACAGTGAAATATGACAAAGACGTGACGGAGAAGAGAAAGATTCACAACGATGGCTTTAAGGCACTGCCGGAACATGTGTGACAGCGTTAGACAATCCCTTTATGACAAGTGAAACGTCGTGAGCTATGTCCTTTGAACATGAACAACGGTCTTCTTGCAGTTATATTGCGCAAAACATCTTTCAACTCTCCTTTCCTACAACCTCATTTCCGCAAATCAAATCTGATAACAATCCCTCCCTATCCAAACCATCACATTACAGTTCAAAATCCTCATATCAACACCTTCCATATTCCATAATGACTTTGAAAATCACTGCTCTCCTCACGCTGCTGATCGCCAGCGTATCCATGGCCAACCCCGCGGTAATGTCCAGCAAAGCCAGAACATGTCCTGCTAAATACAGTAAGTTGGCGTGCTGCATGCCCACCTATGAGAGAGATCGCTATACATGTAAGTACTGACTGACCCCCTTTTGCCCCGAATTGTCTCCATTTCTTGTATGTGAGCTTGCTAACCAGATGCGTGCGCAGGCGAACCTGCCGGAGGCCTCTGCGGAGGATCTCAATACTGTTGCAACGACAACAAGGCCCATGGCGTGATCATCACTGCCCAAGGCGAACAACAATGTAAGTGGACCTGAGTTCCTCCTCGTAACTTGAAGTGGAATATTTGCTAATTCTGTTTTTAGATCTTCGCTGCGTCGGTATTAATGCCTGAACCACGAATTAATACCCCTCAAGCCGATTCCCAGAGGCCATTTGCCGAATTCTGTCTTGTCCCTCCATCAAATATAGGGTTTGCAATGGGAAATGGTCTGGGGGACGCGGGTGACAATGCTTTGGCTGACCAGATCAGTCATCCGCCACCACAGAAGCCACTGAGCGCTGTGGGTGATACGTGGTCTATAGATCCTCTGGCTGGGCCAATTTCTCATCGCATTCAGCCATCGCATTCTTGCTCATGGTATCTTGCTGCTTCCACAAATGGGCTGCATCGGTCCTAAGAAGCAAGGCTTGAGTAGGCAACTAGAATCAGATAGCAAATAAAGCATTCAAGTTGACCTTCTTCCACGCACTGCACTGTTGACAGAAAAGGGAATAGTTTAATCGCCTTCTCAAGGGTACTTCGTGAGAGACCCTACCCTTTATGGACAAAGGAATAGGCATTCACGACGTAAGTCGCATCAGTCACTGCTTAGCCAGACGCAATGATCAAGTAGTCACTTCATAGGCATGAGATCCTGCTGTGATTGAAGCACTGATGCAAGAAGTGACACTCCCTGAATTCAGAGAGTTGTGAGTGAGTAGTCGCAATGCTGTTTGAAAGCGAAGAGCTGTCGCAAGTGATTCATCCTACTGTGACCACAAGTCGAGGGTTCACTCGGGTACAAAGTTCTTTGTTCCTAGCAGGCATGCATTCATCGATTTTTCTTTAATTCTCACCGATTTGCATTTGACACTCCTCGACCAAGCGCCAGAAGCTTTTAGTAGCTCTTCAATAGCAAGTTCAGCATTACCACCATGGTTGTCCTCAAATCACTTCTGCAGGCCACCATCATCCTGGCACTCATCGCCGCCGTAACCGCTAAAATCACCTGCACTGATCCAACATTCGACACACCAGCATGCTGTATGCCGATGAAGGATGACAGAAACCACTGGAAATGTGAGAGATTACCCCCTCATAAATGCACTTATACCTTCCCGTCGCTGAAAGCACTGGATCTCACAACTAACATGGTTCACACTAGGTGGCACTGCCGACAAATGTACCAGAGGAGACGTTGGCGATGCGGTGTACTGTTGCAATGCTCAAAAAGGCGAGATCGTTATTAAGCCCAAGCCAAAGAATCGTATGTGTCCATCCATATGGAGTTCATACTGCTATTATACTGATCGTGTGCTCAGCATCCATTCGTTGTCTTGGCATCAACAACTAAGCATCCGGATTGTTGTGGTTGGGACCACTCGCGACCTTTTGCGTCAATCTTCACCTTGGTAGTAGCGAAGGAGCCCCGTGTTGTCTGAGAGCCAGACAAGTCTCCCACAGAAGTGACGAATGCAAGTCATAGTCAGGAATGATTGACATGAGCACTGCTGCGGCATTTTAATGCTCATGGTACAAACTTCTGTGCATCATAATGCCGATGCTCCCCTACCAGTAGTCGGCAGCTCATTTAGTTGACACACAATCCATCAGATAAACCCATAACGTACCCCTCTTTCATTGTTCTTGTGCACTATTACCTTCACCGGACACTATTCCTCTCGTAGAAGGAAGTACAGTGGAGTGAGAACTAGGACAATGTTTCAAGGATGTGGTGTAGCCCAGAAGTCGGGGTCGAAATTGAAATCTGCATCCGGAGAATTGAGGAAGTCGAACTGTTCAAGGAACATCATGTCCGTAGGACTGACCCAGTTCTGATGATTGACATCAGGTAATATGGATGCGTCCCCAGTAGTCGACGGGAGTGTTGCAGAATCATAACGTCGATTTTGCGAATATCCAAACCTATCCAGTAGTTTCCGCATACTTTTGGCTATATTCGTGAGCAGATGGCGCGAATGCATGCTCTCCGTCATTTTTTCCAGTACAGCGGCCAATTTATCCAGCGTGTCAGAGATGTCAGCCTTGTCCATCCATATGTTGGCAGGGTTCTTCACCGTAACCCTGAGGAGGAAGACGAATGCAAATGCTATCATCGTGTCAAAGTATGCTGGAAGTTCTCTAAGGAAAGATTGAATCTCCTGGTCGGAGGTGATAGCTTGCAAGATGGATGTAGAAGCGTGGACAGCCATATCAGCAAATTCTTTCAGGTCTGGACCAAAGTTCAGAGGCTGGCCTTCCGCTATAGGTGCCTTTCTGAAGACATGGGAGCATAGGAACAGCTTTGCGAAATAATAGTGAAGTCCAGCCTCCTTTCGTGGATGACTGCCGGTTGTTTCATTAAAACCAAATCTGTCTGGCCAATCTGCTCTCCAGGTATCGAGATCAATGCTCAGGCGTCGAAGTTGAGGGATAAGCTGTTCCGAAAGATGAGCTTCAGGATCGAGACTGAATCGGTCGAAGATTCGAGTACTGATTGTCCATATCTCGATTTGGCTGACTAACCTCACATCATCCCCCGTGGCAAATTCGGATTTGAGGAAATCGGTCGGTGGCGTGATGGAGCCAAAATCTCGAGTCAAAGGAGGCCTGCCATATGCGATGGAGAAATGGTGGTCGCAGATGTACACAAGATAGTATAGTCTGGTTCGCAGATAACAGGCTCGTTTGGTGTGTGGTGCCTTGGGAATACAACGATGTAGGTTAAGTTCTCCTGCCAATCGAACAGCTACAGCCATTAGTTTATCAGGAATGCTTCTTCGTCCAACGGAGGCGGCTTACCTGTCCCTGACAAATTCCAGGAGATGTCACTGAGCCAAAAGGCCCCGATGCAAAGTGCACGAACATCATCGTGGCTGTTCTTCTTTGAAAACATTCGAGAGCTAGCCAAGTGAACAAAATGCTGATAACATGCCTGGTACTGCAAGGAGGGTTGGTGAAGGGCACCAACAACACAGATTGCCGCAGTGAGCAACGCAGAGCTCTTGCGAACACTCGACAGTGAATCGTGTTCGGCAAGAACTCTGTACAGAAAATGGTCGAGTCGTCCATAGTAAAAGGTGAAATAGCCCTCGGCATCGGCGAGGGAAATGATGCCACGATCAATTAGGTCCAATTCACGTGTAGCACCGATATATGTGCCTGGTATAGCTTCTGCGATTTCCGAGACAACTGAGGCCGGGATAACACCCGGTCCCCTGTTGAGGTCCATTATCACCTCCCAGCCCGATTCGTGCTGTTGAGTAACAAGGCCGGTCCTTTCAGTATTATTCCGGGTATGGCTTGTCGTCTCAGGGGCCATGACGACTGGTATGGAATCTTTGTCAACGCTGGCCGACTTTTCATTCAGCTTTTGGATGGCGTCCTCCAGCACCCTCAACTTCTGCTCAACACTAGACTTCCAGCTGAATTTCATTAGCATGTCGGGTTATGCAGTCTCCCGATAGAAAGAAACGTACGTGACGTCGCTCTCCAGTAGCATTTGTAGGCTTCGATTCACGACACATGATAGACTTCGCTTCTGGCAACGTGTGCATGGTGGCTTTCCCCCAGGCATGTGACATTTGATCTTCAACTTTCGACACGGGACACATGCTGTAATTTTGCGGCTGATGTCGATAGGTTTGCGGTCCCCAAATGACTCTCGCAAGGCCTGAGCGGCCGAAGATCCTGCCTCCATCACGTTGGACCATGTTGTGACTGCTTCCAACGGAAAGTTGAGAGGGGATATAGCAATAATGGAAAAGGTAAGCCCATTCCACTTGAATGTGGGGTTTGAGCCTGTGAGCCGCGACAGGACGGCACCGAAGGTGGTCATTCGAGGTTAAAAAGGGCCCTGGCCTAGTAAGCCTCGTTATTAAGATCCTAGCTACTCGTACGTCATGCGATCTAAATGCGGAATAGCTCTATTTTGATGGATATCCTTCCTGCGGCACTTGGAACTTCATTTCTACGACCATACCACTACAAGCGGTACTAATTGCTCAACTAATAGTTTTTTCGTCCAAAGCGCGTGGGGCACATCTGCTATAGACGGTCAGGCAGTGTAATTGGTGCCAGTGACGGTACCATATATATAACACGCCCAGCCCCCAAGAAGAAGGGCCACTAGGAAAGCGAAACACGATTTGGATATAAGTCGATTCCGGGGATAGTTCTCGCCATAGAAAAGGCGAATTCTTTCTTGTAAAAGCTCCGAATTCGCCAATCTCCGTGTTCTCGTCCACTGGAGTATTTTCATGTCAGTTGAAAGAAAGGTACAGCCCAGCAAAAGGATCGATATGAAGACCGATGCACAAGCGAATATCATGAAGAGAACCACAACACGGTCGTACGAGTTGTCGTCAGCATCTTGTAAAACGCCAGCAATGACGCGCACAATAGAGGATATCCTAATGAAATCTTTAGTCAAAGTCCTTAACACGGGACATTCTCCGGCATGCTTACGAATTGCTCATCATCGATTTTGTGGCGTATGCTGTCCCAAAGGTGGTTTGCTCATGCAGGGAGGTGCGAATACCGTCCACAATTGACATTGGGCTATAAATGAAAAAAACACCAAAAATGGCAAAGGCTGCTGTCGCTCCAGGAATTGTCTTAGTAAAGCTAAGGAGAGCCATGGACGTAAGCACTCCAACTCCTCCAGCAGCCACTTCAAAAAGCTTTGAGTTAGCATCCAGCAAATCTCTTCGGAACGTGGAGCGGTCTTACTCAGGGTGATGCGGTTTCCGAACAAATCCACGAATACTCCTAGAACAGGGATCAAGAAGAAACCTCCGTACCGCACCAATGAGGTGTACCACCCAGCCTTGACAGAGTCGATATCGAATCTTTGCTCGGCAAGCTCAGTTGAATTTGCATTGAACACTACGATGGTAGTGGTAGTAAAGAGAGAATATGCCAAAATACTCCAATATGTCCAGGGCAGTTCGAAAACTTTGCCGAGCTGCAGCCTTTTGGATTTACTGGCCAACCTCTTCCCGGTTGCTGGATCTCTGATTTCGCCAAATTTTCCGCTTGAATAACGCGCAAACCAAAAGAAGATCGCACAGACGACGTTCGTGAAGAGATTCACGAAAAAGGCTATCCAGTAGACCCATGAAAAGCCGACGTTCTGGGGGGAAATCTCAATAAGCCAACGTTGTGACAATTATCGCCGTGCAAACTTACCTTTCGGATCACATTGGAGGTGCCCGAGCCTGCAAAAGCACCTAGCTTCTGCACCATAAGCTCCAGTCCCAATGTCGATGCAAAACCATTGCTGGGAGCAAACCAGGACGAGAAGACCTGGTATTGAGCAACCTGGGTGGAAACATCTCCTAGTGCAGATATGACGTGGCCAACGATCATGAAGGGATAACTGCGGATGTGGGCCGCTGCTGCTAAGAGGAGCGAACCAAGCGAGTAGACAATGTTGCCATAGAACAACATACTAGCACCTCCGAATCGATCAGTTGCGAAGCCCGTGATGAGGATTAGAATGCTGTCCACAAAGTTCTCGCTCGCCTCCAAGAGGGCGTATTGAGTATTTCCGATCTTGAGCTCTCGCTTCAAGCTGGTCTTCATTGTCGCTGTGATACCCGAGCCCCATGAGCTGCCGAAACGGATGAGCGAAACAAGTATCACCGCAGCTAGTTTCCATTGCCATGGTGGTGGAGGCTTGTCTTCAATAGATGACTTCGAAGAGACATCAGTGTCAGCCTCCGGGGAGTTCTCTGTCGTTATCTCCACCGTTTTGATAGTATCTTCGGGCCTCTCCATCATTGATGGCTATGATCACACCAGTAGCTATGCGGCTGCGAGACGCCGCAAGGAGAAATTGGGCGTATTTAGTATTTTGAAATCTCTCAGGCTGTTATCTTATCACCACCTCGATGGAGTACTGTAACACTGCCTACCAGTCCAGCTTGGAGGCATTCGCCCATTATCTAGTCTTATCAGATCATGCGACCGAATCCGGCTGACAGAATACCTGCCGAAGTCGGTCGACAAGAACGCCAAGTAGCGTTTAGTTGCTAGGCGTTCAAAGTTTGGCGGGCGAGCGTACGCTGCGTACATTATTGTGTACAACGATGGCCCGAAAATCCAAGAGATCTGCATATTTGGACCCAAACTGGTGCAAGTGACAAAAATCCTGCGGCCCTGGGCGGTGCTAAAACCCTCTTTGGGAACGTCGTTCGGCACATATCCGATGTGCCACCTGTCCAAAGGGAGGAGTCCTAGTGCCGAGGAGTTTGGAGCAACTTATTGTACAAGAGGATAAGCCTTGCGTGACATGATTGGCCAACACAGTGTAATTCTAAGTAGCTTATGTATTAGTCATGAAATGGATTCGATGATGATGGATGGGGGGGATCGTCCAGGCGATACTAAGTTCTATTAGTTGGTAGCGAGGTAGCAATCGAGAAAACGCCAAGAAAGGGGATGCTGAGAGCTTAGTAAGAATTGCGCTGGCGCGTAATCACCTGCTTGGAAAGTATGGGAATCACCTGTTATCGAGATAGCCTCGAGAAGGAAAGGGTCTCATAGCATTGAATGCTTAGCACTTCGGTCTCAAGGAGACGATAAATCGAATTCGCTTCGACCTCCACCCATACCTACCAGTCAACAGGTTATCACTTTCGGCTTTCGAGTGCGCGGAATACGATAAGATCCGAGCCGCCCGGAACTTGCCTCGTCCACTGATGCTTGGTTGTCAAGCCATTGTATAGAAGGCTCCCTGTGCGCATTATTGGATGATGCAACACTCGACCCCTTTCATCTTCGACAATGAAGCTGGACAACCGACAAGTTCATCCCGGGGACGTGCCCGAGCCGCATGTGTTCTCTGTCGCCGTAAGAAGGTTCGCTGTGATGCGCGAGGAGACAGACCATGTTCAATCTGTGCTTTTGATAACGTTGAATGTGTCTTATATCGTAAACAGCCACGAAGGCAAGATCATTACGAAAGCCAACTCCGACCGCGAAGGCTGATATTAGCGCAGAAAACCGGTGAAAGCGAAAGACTCACAGTCCAACCACGCATACGGAGCTACATCAGGTCAATCGGAGCATCAGTTGGCACGGGATGGGATCTCAGCTCTCCCACGAGAAGCAAACCATTTGCCAACCCGTGCCTCAATTGAAGCCGTTGGAGGCAATGTCTGGTCAAGTAAATCATCCTCAAACCTCTCTTGCCGTGTCTTCCCATTAACATATCGAAGGACTGCATCATTCTCGCAGTATGCCTCGGTTTGATTCAGATAGGGCCATGCAAGTCTCAAGCTCTCCTGATACACCCCTCCGATTGGTAGGAGCAAACTCCGCTGTTACTGCTTCGCAGTGTGTAGCCGAGCTTCCTGGCTTTCTGAAACCACCACCTGCGAGCATGGACCCCGAAGATCTCGAATACCTTGCGAGGAAAGGCTCATTGACTCTGCCAGATCCAGATCTTCGCGACGCTTGCCTGCGAAGTTACTTCCAATACGTGCAGCCGTGCTTTCCTGTGGTTGATGTCAAGGCGTTCCACGGATTTCTCCACGCACCTGGACCGAAATCTGACAAGTTTAGTCTGCTAGTCTTCCAGTCGATGATGTTTGTTGGTAGTATCTGGGTCGATATCAGATTGATTCGCAGACTCGGGTTCCTGACGCGTCACTCGGCAAGGAGAGCAATGCATAGCAAAGTTCGCTCGCTCTATGACTCGGACTATGAAGATGATCGCACTTGTCTACTTCAGAGTCTAATACTACTCACGTTCTGGTGGGAGAGTCCGAATGAGAACAAAGACGCTTGGCACTGGATTGGAACTGCTCTTTCGGTGTCTCGAACACTCGGTTTACATCAACCATGCAGTGATGAAATTGTGAGCCCTGGAGTTGCACGATTTCGAAAACGATTGTGGTGGACACTGCTTATGCGGGACACGATCTCATCTTTTGGGTTGAGCCGCGCACCAAGGATAAGAGACGAAGACCATTTCGTCGCAATGCTTGAAATGGAAGACTTTGATCTCGATGTTCCAGGGTTGAACTCAATGCCGGGCATTGTCTCCTCTTCAGTGGCTCAACAAGAATTATTTGGTCGCCTGTGTATCGAATTGTCCAAACTGTGCCGAATATTGAGGAAGATACTCCAATTGGCATATCCCGAGAGTGCCTCGGGACAAACGGCAAGCCTGTATTCGACTCGACAACTAAATGGCATGAACAAGATGACCTTGCCACGGAAGGCGCCAGACATGGAACAACTCAAACTCTGTGACGAAGATTTGAGTCGGTGGCGCGAAAGAGTTCCAGAAGAAGTATTGCATGCTTCGCCATTGCCGGACAAGCCCGAAGAGTTTGATCAAGCCGAGCTCGCTCACCGAGCACTGATAACGATGTTGTATTTTACTGCATTGTTGACTCTGCATCGCCCTCGAATCTTGAAGTCAAGCAGTGTCCAAATCAACAACCACAGTCCTCCTCAAGTCGACCAAGATAAATCTCGAAGCATTGTGCGCTACGCTGCCACGGAAATCACCAGAATCGGCATGGACTTCTACGAAGCCGACCTTGTGAAATCACTCTCTGCCACATGTATCGGTTGTTTTTTACCAGCAGGGATAAGCCACATCTTTGATGCGAATTCAGCTGACGATATCGTTCAGGCCGACGGTTTGCAGATGTTCAACCAGTGCAGGCGGATACTTCAAGATTTCTCCGACGCACACAAAGCAGCAGACTGGTGCATCAACATTCTCGATACTGTGTCCACGCAAGTACGAAAACAAAAACTAGCACGCAACGATAGTTCAGCTCAAGATACTGAACAACTGACGCAATTGAGTCAACCAAAAGGCAGGGATATCACTGAATTGGGGACGCTGTCCTCGGAGACGGCTGGGACGCTGAGCCAGAATACTGTTGGCGATGGAGTACTTCCCAATAAAGATAACGATTGCGAAGCACATCAAATGTATGACGTTCCAGCAGCACCACAGGTACCATTTCCGAGTCATACATCCTACCAAGCTGTGGACAACTTTGGCCAAATGCCAATGTTCGAATCAATGGCTGCTGCCTCTGTACAAGCTCCCCTCCACGAATATACTAACACAATAGGTCCTGGAGAAATGTGGCTTGACATTGCCGGTATGGCGAGCACAAGTGCCGAGACTGATTGGACTGGTAATGATGCGTTCTGGTTGAGTTGGTAAATGCAGATACGGACAACGAAACACGAGACTTAACTCCGAGAAGATGCAATCCTGTGAGGTGTCAACAGGCCTGAGACCGACAGGCATTTTACCTCGGTGGTTGATGCCATCGATTTGTCCCGAATGATGTCCCTTCTTTACTCGTACACAACCCTGTCCGATTGATAGCCTAATGTGTTGGAGAGCTAAAAAGTCGCATCGTTTCGCTTAGTTGTCAAGCCCAATGGAAATTGACAATGGTTGGTGCTTCGGAATCTACCGTGTGCTAGCAGTGCAGAATCGGTTGATATGGAACCGAGTTGGTCGTGTAGGAGTGCCCAAGACAATCTCGTCTCACGAATGCAGTCGTCAGCTGTGCTGCATTGTAGCCAGTCAGCTGAGCGGTTGCACCAACTTGTCAGTCAACAATATGCCTTGAACATTTCGATAAAGCTTCATACTCCCACAGAATGGATCTGGCCCAATGCTCTCTCGGTCTTGCAACAACCAAGGAACGTCTCCCCAGATGTCTGGATCCTGGTGTGTGAGCGCAGAGGAGACTTATGTGACTCCGAGGCTTGTCTCAATACATCTCGGAAATTTGCCGAGTACACCGGAAAATTCTTCACCGATGCAGAGGTCTGCGATCGAATGAGTCCAGGTGGGGCAGGCTACTCAGTCCCGATGCTGAGGATGGATCCGTTTTGGGGGTGGTAGCAATGCTGATCGGACTCGATCTGGAGGTCAATACACTAGTTACTGGTGACACTGTGTACAAGGTAGTGGTATGACTCAGAGAGTTGTCAATACCGGACTTGGACTCCATAGAATAACTTGAATGCATTCAAAGACACTGCGAATCTCGTACAGACTAACAAAAAGATTCGAAGATCGCAAGCGAGTATACCACATTAACTGGAAATTGGAACGAGCGCTTGCTGCAGAGGAACTATTCCGTCACGAGGAACAAAAATCCTCCATCCCAGACTCGGAGAGGAGGGAGGATGAAGGGATCCTTACCAGATTCCGAACACGAGCCGCTTGGTCAAATCACCAGTTATCGGAATCAAGCACTGCCACTATCCTGCACAAACAAGAAAAGCGCACAGGAAGCAGGGCTAAAACTTCATCCACATGATAATCGATTCCAATGAGGAGAGAGAGCAGAAATACACAAATTTCAGCCGCCGGAATGCAACCCTTTGAGGTCTCGACGAAGAGCAAAGGGCCCAGGCTTTTTCCAAGTAGGCAGTCCCTAGGTACCCTTCCACAGTAATTCGCTGGCCGAGGTACAAAGGGGTGACATGCAGGGAAGCTGACTGGACCACGCGGCCAAAGGGGACGAAAACGCAGGGAAAATGGTGGATCGTCAGGCACCGAAGACTGTTCCAGATTGCACAGGCGTGAGGCGTGACCCGGAGAGACCCTGGATGCCGAACCCGTTAAGCCTGTTCAGGCCTAAAGCGCCCCGGAGACGCTGCCGAAGTTGAAGCGCTTGGTAGAATTTCTGGTCACGCGGCCTTCCTTGGGCGACCATTAGCCTTGTCACAGAAAGACTGATGCACCAAATGACCAGACGTGATTTGCTTTTCGCCAACTCGAATGCTTCCCGGCTCTCTTTATCTCGAAGCAAGTCAGTAGGATTGACCCGGCTAAAGTCTGCCGAAGTCACTGGGCAAGAAACAGTTATTTCCATCCTCCGTCGCCAAAAGGAATGGTCCCTGACCACTGCTAACTCGACAAAAGCCGACTCTTCGGCCCAAACCAAATCAAATCAATCAAACAATAATAAGGATGGTCAAGCCAGGTTCAAGTTTTGGGCAGCCCTGGATCTCTTTTTCCTCCAGTCCACTCGGGTTCGACTTGAATCCAGCTGACTCGATCCACGTCCCAAGTACTTGACCGATCATTTCTGGGGCACCCACATGGACATCGCCCAGTGGTCCACGAATACGTTTGCACAGTTGTTCTTCTCCAGCTATCCACTCACTGCCCGACCCGGATCCAGCAATATGAATCTGTACCAGGCAATGTGACCCACGGGAGTTTCCAGTGATTAAAACAACTCAGGCAGCCCACTTGTTTGTCCTTCTCTCTTTACCAGTGTTCCGACCATATATTATATACCAGGGACGACGCCACCCAGAGATCCCCTTTCCAACTCTCCCGTCTCGGATCGTTGCCAACCAAAAATAAAAGGGTCAGCCCTACTCCGTGTTCCCATCCTGTTTCGGAAACCATGTCACCCATTTCCATCAGGACCATCTCTGATCAGGGGCTGAGAAAGGCTGCCAGCTGACCCATCTCAGCAAAGATCCGTCTTCGTGGACCCTGGGAGCCAGGCTCCTGGCGACAGCACATGTCGATCTGGGCTGTCAAATTGACCCGTTCCTGCTTCCCCGGGCCACTGAGATCTCGCCCTGGACCCTGAGATTCCTGATTAGGACCCTTGCAGGGCTTTTGCACCCTTCTCACATCCGACATTCTTCCTCCAGCTCTCACTCTTCGGGTCGCCAGGGGTAGTTAGGTATATCACCCATAGCCTTTCGCATTCCCATTCTCATCATGGCTTTGTCGTTCTTCTTCTCCTCTCGTCGCACTGAGCTTTGAAGTTGCACCTCATTTCTTCTCCACGAAGATACGCATCGACAACCTTTTCATCATGCCGCAACGACTTCATGTGCCAGCACAAGCCGGCTGGATTTTCTCCTGCGACGTCACCGGCTCACACCTCAACCTTGCAACCCCTGAATACTGTTCGTCGCAAACCAACATTTTGCAGCACCCAAGACTGGAGTTTCTTGCATCGCAATCTCCTTCCACGCAATGCGCAAAGGACATGCAATGCAATCAATTCATTATCACCCTGCAGTCGTATCAAGCAGAAATACTTGACGGCCCATGATTTTGTCGACTTCAGCGAGGCTGTGACCGCCTCGCTCCGTACGCTCCGTACCGCAGCTTGCCTGCATTTGGCCAGTCACCGCACGATGATCAGGAGACATGTCTTATCACATCTATCTTGCCATATCTATTCAACAAAAAATTGACAGACAAGTAATTGCAAATGCAATAGCCGGTATGATGGATGGTATCTAGCACGTTGTCGCTGTTGTGCTCGGCACCTCACTGTCGCCCACTTGGTTCGGTTCGCTGCCTACTCTACACGTTCTGTGGCAGGCTTCACATAAGCGTCCTGAGAACGCCTTGAGGAAACGTCGGTGCCAAACAATTCTTCGATTTGTGTTGTTGCAACAGATCAACTTTCAAGGATTGCTCGTCGCGGTTTTCTGCCTACAGCAATACAACGCAACCTCCTTCAGGAGGACTCTGATGTCGATGTCGATGCCGATGCCGATGCTGCCAAAGCAACACGACTCCTGCTTCAAGCATTCATCTCCACGATGGATATTATCATGTCCTCTGGACCATAAGTGGGAATCCATTCTCGACATTCTCTTCCAATATGGCGCTGCCCAATCACGAACGTCACCTCACCACGCATGGACGCAGAACCCTCCTCCACCCACGAATGCATCGATCTCATCGGAGAGCACCACACTGCTCGCCAACGTCATCGCCATCGCCATCGCGAAGCACACACACACACACACACACACACAGTACAACGATCTGCGGGGTTATCGACTCACTGACTGACTGACTCGCTCGCTACCCAAGCAGAGGAGCTCCCCCCTCCAGGGAAACACGAGCCTCGTAGCCGCCACCCGCACGGCGAGAACAAATAGTCACGAACCTTACTTACTTCCCCCTCCCCCCTTCCCGGTTCAGCCTCGACAGCCCACTGTATTCACTCACCTTCCCACCCACTCTCCCACCCACGACCGGACCCAGCACAGTCCACAACACAGCGATACGAAAGCTCCGAAGCTGCGACGACGCCCAGACCAGGCCAGCCTACGACATGCTGGTCTGTGTGTGTGTGGGTGGTCACAGCTCCCTTTGAACAACCATTTCCTCTCGGTCCCCAGGCAAGGAAGCCACCCCGGACATATATTAATAGAAGCACGAGCACTATCACGCACGGTCCCCAAGAGGGGGTGAAGATGAATCGCGGAACTTCCCACATTCCACACCCTTTCGCATCGATCGCAATCGCAATCGCAATCTCAAATCCCACGCAGCTCGGTCCACCGCACTGGAATTCTTCCCCGGTGTCAAAAATGTCAATTGGTCTACCTCACTCACATTCCTGCCCGATCGGGCGATGAAATCAACAAAGACTTGCGACGCTTGTATGGTGCAGTGTAGTGCAGGGCATTGCACACTGGAATGGAATGTCGAAAATGAAATACACAACCAGAAATATCAAATCAAGAGATAAGGATAAAAAATCATGTTCTTCACATTTCTGTTGTTAGGGTTTGTCGGCCCACACCTATGAACCTATCGACCATTCCATCAAAAACCGTTGTCCCAATTTCCACTCAATGCATATCCGACAATTAAAAACACCTCGGTTTGACCAGTCGGTACATGGAACAGTGTGTCCCACGTCGAAGATTCCGAAAATCGTCTCAAACCCCACCGTTGTCGAGGCCAGGCTACTACAGTCCGACAATGGCCATCCCAAAACGACAATTTGCCCATTCTAGGCGACCAGTCTCGCACAAGCCACAATGCCTCGTCTAATAGGACGAGGTCGAAGCCGAGTTTTGGAAAATCTTGGTGGGAAATCCATGTCCCAATAGTCGTCAAAACCACCCGAGACATTCGATAAGCAATGGTTTCCATGGCCCGAGAATGACATGCGACCAAAACAATGCATCAACAAGAAACCATTTCCATCGCAAACTTTTTTTGGTTGACCCATTGTCCATGTCCTCCAGAGTGATGATCGTCAATCCGTTCCTCCGATCATAACCCATCCATTTCTAGTTGCACTCGAAGAACCACTCAGGGATCGGGTGAGGTGGATATCAATCTCCTCGTCAACCCTTCGAGTTCCCAAAAGAGAAGAGTTTGCGTCTATTAACAATAATTCAAGAAGGTTGCGAAAATGCCAACTCGACACAAACGTGTGTCGACCACCAATGACGCTGAGAAAAGAAGACTTCGAAAAAGTGCCTGAGCGCTAAAAAAACAGCAAACAGAAAGCACATTCTGGGTGCCACCTGCACACAATCAGGTTGCCCATTCACATCGATGTCGGGTCGATCATATTTCGCATTCACGTACCATCTCCCCGAGTGATACATCAAGAGGTTGAGAACATGTCAGACATCAAATCCATGAAGGGGCATCGATTCGTGCATTATGTGCATAGGCCAGCTCCAGTAAAGACCTGGCCCAAGTGATTGCAGTACGTTTGCAACAGAGAAGAAAAATTTATTAGCCCCGGATGGCGGTGGGGGTAGGTGATTCGGACATCAGTTGTGAAGGTGAATGGTAAGGATATCCGAATGACACCGGAGACCGTGCCCGAGGGGAGAAGTAAGAGCTTCCATTCGCCATGGGGGACGACGATCGAGCAATATAGGAGCCATACAATTTCTGGGCCTGAGAGGTAGGTGTAGGCGATAAGCTTCGAGGCGGTGTCGGTGTTGAGGACCCGGATGAAGCAGTGGAATGAGGACTGTCCCCAGTGCTCAAGTCTGATGCCGACATATAATCAGCAGCCCCATCAACCATGCTCAAAGCAGTTTTTGTGAGAGGCTGATTTTGCTTGGGTGTCCCAAACTGCAACAAACATTAGCACTTCAAGGTTCATACTTCCTGGCTCTTTCCCTGGGCACCTACAAAGCAGTACTTGTCCACGAGTTCCTGGTAGGACTGTGAGGTAAGTGGCGGTTTTTCTGACATCAAGGCCGCAGGCTTTGAATTCAGAGTGGTGGTAAGTCCTGGGACCGATGATGAGGTCACGTTGTTTAGAATGGTGGATGCAGCCTCGAGCTTGAGGGGTGCAGGAGTCACACCATTGGTGACAATTGGCGCGGGAACCTTGCGGGAAGACTGCTTTGTATCTGCCCGAGGAGACAACCCACTGTGTTCACCCAACGCAGCGTACGCATTACTTTTGGCGGCGGATAACGACGAGTTGAAGTCATATCGGTTGCCAAAAGCTTGACCACCACCAGCCTTATGTCGGCGTTGTGGGGTTTCAGGGAGTAACTCAACCTTTGATCGTGGACTTCTCAGCTTGAGCCTCGGCTCTCCCATCAGTGAACCTGCAGATTGACCGAAGGAGCCGAAGTTATCAAAGCCGGTAGAGAAGTCATCGAAGGATGTTGGCATCGACTTTGGTCTTCCATTAGAGGTAGGTGGAGAAGGTCGACTACGAGGTAAGGCACTCAGAGGGCGTGCTCCAAGACCAGGCATGCCATTCTTGCTCTGTTGTACTCTTGCCTTCTTGGCAAAGTCAACCTGGTAATTGAAGGAGCCGTTGTTGTCCCAGAAGTCTTGACCGTTTGTTGTATACTTGATGCAGAAGAACAGAGTTTTGTTCTCCAGGTGAGCTTGGTCTGCTAACCGGATGCTAAAGTTGAAGCGATCAAGGTTGTCGGAATGCTTACGACGCACATCATTGTTATAGTCGGCGACGACTTCTGAGGTTGTCTTCCAGTAATCGAGCGTGAACCGGGCAACAACCGTCTTCTGAAACGCCATATTCTGGACGGCAACGGTACCAATGAGGTTCTTGTTGTCCGATGAGAGGAATACCCGTTCTACAAAAACAGGCTGGGATTTCCGCCAATCTGATTCGGCGGGGAAGTTTGCCAGACGCATTTCCCATTCATGAGCAGGTGAGCGAGAGCGTGTGGAAGATTCGTCAGAGCCAAAGGGAAACTCGTTTTCACTTTCGTAAGTCTCGACAGGTGATGACCCTGCACTGACGGCAAGGGGTCTGTCAACTTGCAAAAAGTGTCGTACATGTTCGAGGTGGGAATCAAAGTGAACGGCCTTTGAGTATGTGGGAGTGCCAGGCATACTTGATGGCCGCCTTCGAGAGGAAGGTCGAAGTGCTGGACGAACCAGTTCGCCAGACTTCTTTCGCACCATAGCAGGGCGGTTGCGATTAGGGATATCACAATCGCTCGAGTCACTGTCCTGCTCGAAGGTGACAGGAGGATTTGGGAGTTTGGGTGGTTCGAAAACGATATTGGAGTCGGTGGAGGATCTGGAATGAGAGATTTTTCGTGCTTCCTGTGACAAGGGCGGTCGGGAGACATTGGTGGGAGGATGTGAAGCAGCACCATCTACTTGCTCGACGGTGACTTCCGTCGGCTTTTGCTCGTTGGAACGAGTAGGTGAGCCAGATTTTCTTTGTTCTATTGACCTGATGGCTGCTTGCAACTCTTTGAGATTGTCGCCCAACTCAAAATCTCTGGATCGACCCCGGATTTCGGGATGTTCCTCATCATCGCTCGAGTTGTGGGAGGAGTCGGGAGGGGAGATGGTCATTCCTGCGGGAATCAATGAATTGGTCACAGGCGGAGGCGACTTGCGGAGGCTACCATGAGGATCAAACGTCCCATTCTCGCCGTAAGCCTCGCCATTGTGGACAACTTCATGCTTGGCGTCATTCAAGGAAGGACTCCGTCGATGTTTGGTTAGGTATGAGGATGAACCATGGGAACGGGGGAGGTTTGGTCGGCCGGATGACGCCGGCAGCTCGGGTGTGAGAAACTGTCCTTTGATGTATGAGTGAGACCGGCTCACAGAAGGACTGGAGGGTTTCGAAGCTGCCGGAGACAACTGAGAGGGAGGTGTGTAAGGCATTCGGTCGGTTGACAAGCCTAGACGACCCAAACCGGGAACTGCAGAAGAGAGCGCGCTACGAGGCTCATCAAGAGCAGCCCGAGGAGGGCTGAAGGAGAATTGCGGGGGGAAGTTGCTCTAATATAGACAAACAATGTCAGTACTGAGGTCAAAGCATTGTGAACAATAAAAATAAGGTCAGTGGTAGGTGCGTTGTAGGCAGAGAAACCAAAGTGTCTTAGGATGATGCAAAGCAGAAAATCGTGTCAGAGCGTTTGCACGACGGCCATGCTTCGACAATTTGGTGCAGCTCGAGAAATTGCAAGTGAGGCCTCTGCGTGAGCTAGTGAAGAAGGAAGGGATGTCATGTCATGGTACTCACCAGGAGCAAAGATGCAGGAACGATGATGCAAGACCAAGCCGCGTTGACTACAAGTACCAACGTGTACTCGTAGCGTGGGTGCAAATTATGTCAATCCGGTTCGTTGGATTAACACGCAGGAAGTGCCTACGCCACGGGATCAAAGATCAACCGTACAGCGTTAGAAATGACTTCTGTATAATAGGTGTCTCAGTAAGAAGGACTGAGAAGCAACGATCGACGACTCAATGGTGAGTCGTGTCAATGCTGGCCGCTGGTGAAGCTCTCTATCTCTGGTCGAGATACGGGAGTGAGAGGTTTTTTTGATTTGCCTTGGGTGATCCGTGTGTACCAGGCGGTGTCGTGTCCCACTCGAAGTCCGATCACCAAAAAAGAAAAACCCGGATTTTTCTACCCTGATGCTCACAATTCCAGCTCTTTCTGTGTGATGTCGATATAGGCTGGCAGAGGCCTAGATGAGCGATGGAGGAAGGGGAGAGGAGGAGGTTGTATGTCGAGAAGGGGAGGTTTTTTGGTGAAGAGTGGATATAGGTTAGGAAAAGCAGGCGAGCAGACCATCCAAAGGTGTTGAGTCTGGAGCGACCAAAGTAGGCAAGGAAGCTCGGATCTGCAGTGGACGGAGACTGGGCGAGAGTCAAAGTCGTGGGAATCGAGTGGCAGTGGGCGTGGGCGTGGGAGGGAGAGCGAGAGAGCACAGCTGGGTGGATTCTGGAGGGCGCGGCTCGAGCGCAGAGGCGAAGTTGAAGACTGGCCAGAGAGGAGAGCAGGGTTTCTGCGACTTGCAGGTGAGGTGCAGCAAAGTGGTGCGAGGAAAAAGTGGGCAGCAGGTGGCGCAAGGATACAAGGACCAAGGTTCCAAGGTGCAAGACCAAAAATCAAACTCCAGGCCGTCAACGCCAGTGCTGCGGCTAAGAAACTGCTAGCTAGGGGCTAATGACGGGGGGGCTTGGGACCTGGACGTGGGCATGCCAGTTGATGCTCTACTCCGTTGGTAGTACGAGGAGTTGGCCGATGGCGATGGTGCTGGTGAAAAGCAGCATGCCAGATGGATGAGAGTGGACTAGACGGCCTTTTGAGTCTGCTTGGTAAACCTGTTGCAATACGAGTGAAGTGATGCCAGTGGTGCAAGGGAAGCAGGGAATCACGGAATTGCACGGGTGGTGCAGCTTATGTGTACGAGTACGAATATAGCGTTGGGTTACAGAGGAGGGCGAGACATGACATGACATGAACATGAACATGGAACAAGCCTTGATAAGCAGAAACCCCTCCTCACGATCACGACCTGCAACTCAACGAGTCCATGTTCGCAAGCGAAGGTTTGACAGAAGAGGGAATGTTCGGGGAACAGAGAATGTGGCCGGTTGTAGACGAGGGGATGAGGGATTAGGTACCCAGGTACCTATTATTACGGATAGGACTGCTCGATGCGCCCGTTTGAGTGATTATTTAGACCACGAGCCAAGTGTTGCGTGGTGAGTGGTATTCGTCAACGACTGTTCTCAGCTCAAAACGATGATGAAATGATGAAGTGATTCAATGATGCGTAAAGCCCGAGCCACCCAACACCTGAAAACAGGGAGGCATCCCCAGAGCCCAAAAGTGCAATGGTCCGCTTGCGGGAGGAGGCGGGAGGGGAATAACCAAGTCACCCAAAGGCAGTCGGGTGCCAGTGTCCCTCGTAGCTCCCAGCTTCACACCTATTGGCATCCTTCTGAGGCGAGTCTTTAACTGGCATTTATTTATCTCTTGGACTTCCAAGTGATTTGGTGTAGAGAAACTCGTACTCGTGCGGGCGGTCGACTCTAGTTAGGCTTGTTGCCCCGCCAAACAACAATTGGCAGAAAGCAAAAAGAAAACATCTGGCAGAAAAAATTCCAATCCCTGCCTGCCCGCCAGTGCCCGCGCCCGGCGCCCGCGTTTTCTCGTTTCTGCTATCTCTGCTCGAGTTTTAGGTTTCGTTGTCATCAATCAGCAATCATTCGCACCCCCATGCCGGACGGTGCTGCTTATCTCAGGATTTATTACTATTGTCGCGCTTGCATTTCCGACACCATGACCGTCGCAGAGCAATTGACAATGGTTGGCTCCATGGAAATACTATCTCCCTGCACTAATAGAATACTTCGTACCGGTTCATCATTGAGTAACCTGTTTCAGAGGAAGCTTCTTGCCGTTGACACGGAATTGATAAGCTTTCCCTTTGATTCAAGCTGTGACACGACCTTACCGCCTCTGTGTCTGGCCCAATCGTTGGTGCCCGCTGTCCACTGGCACTGGCACTGGCACTGGCACGGTCTCGACATGGGCTTCTGAAGGAGAATCTCCACATGGACCAATCTCCCAACAACAATCCCATCCGACAACTAGGTGGATAACATGGATGATGGGCGAGACTCCGATGCCGAGCCACTGACTGTACGCGGTCGGCTTCTTGTGCCGGACCATCGTCCTTGGAGCTCCAATTGAAATGTTTGCGGACCAGTATAGGGACCTGGAAAGAATCTGTCAACAGGGGCAGTTCCAAGGCAGCTCTCACTAAGCGGCTTTTCTACCCTAAGTTTCAGTAGCTTGTACACCGTCCTTCGGCATGAACGGTGCTAATTGTTTGTACCTGCTGATCGACATGGCTGACCTGGATAGAATGCAAATGGCCCAAGCCCGGTGCGAATAGGAATGTGGGCGAGGGAAAAAATAGCAAGACGGGGAACAGGGCCTCCCGCGGGGTTAGCCAACGGGCTCCTCGGGCCTTGGAGAACCCGTTCTAGGTAGGCCTTTCGCCTAGACACCAACTGGAGAAACCACCTGGAATGGGGCATGTGGTGCCCACTGCCCAGTGCCCACTACTTGCCCAGAGTTGAAAGATGCCTAGCGAACCCGGTCTCCCACCCATATCGGCGTATCGCTATACAAGTCACAACTTCCCAGTCTGGAAAGATTCGGAGTTCCATTACCCAACGAGTTTCATCTAGGCATGACTGAGCAACCAAGGGTGAAATATCATACGATCGTCTCAGGCTGTTCAGGAGTCTTCTCCATTCAAGTATTGTCAAGCTCCACCAAACAGTAAGTCACGGGATGGTCTTTCTCATGTGGTTCGCGTGCAGGATAATGCGTCATCGATGCTTCGAATTGGAACGAAGTGTACTTCTTGGAAGGCAGGAACCAATACCCTCTACGAGTACCAGTGGTAACCTTGGAACAAGAAGGAGGAAAGGGGAACTACTACCCACGGACGCGTGAAAGCATTATTATTATTGGAAGTCGCTACCCCGCGAACAGAAAACCCAGATGTTAAGAGTCTATTTGACACTGGGCACGGCCAGCATGGATCCTGAATCCTGATGCAAAACCTGGAACCATGGCCACGGTGAATAAGCGTTGAAGCGGTGAGACACAATCCACTTCAATTGGTTACTTGAACAGATTCAAGCGCATCAAACCCGATCTCTCAGTCAAGCCACCAACACCACTAAATCAGGCGGAGCTTTTTCGACCCAGTCGGATTTGTGGGGAGCGGCACAGGACCTTGATCTCCTCAACGATTCGCTTGAGCTGGATCAATAGCTGTGGCTGGTACTCCTCATTAGGGAGTCCACTGGCCACAATTGTGCACTCCTCGCGTGTTGGTGTGCTGAGGCGGATCTTACGGAAGTACTTTCCAGCAATTAAGTAAGCCAGAAGGAAGTACGTACTCACCATCTCAGTGATCTTGGCCCGCTACCTTAATTCTAACCATCTTACGAGTAACTTGATTCAGCCTTCCTCAGACCACACAAACACGAACCAAGCCTTGAATCGTCGGATCCAACCTGGATGTTCTCAGCATGACGCAGTCATCCCACTGTCCACGGTACAAGCAATGGATACCGCGCGTCATGGTTCATGTTTATTCTCTCCTAGCATCGAAGAATTGAATGCGTAGACGTGGACTGTGGAACTGGCCATAATTTCGAGGCACGAGTACTTCATCATACTGTTTGCAAACTTGAAAGACGAGGTAAGGGGTACGAGGATCGAACAAGCGAGTTTGCCACTCGAGCCTAAACCCCCACGTTCATGGCGGTGAAGCTGACATGACCCAATCAACACAACCCGTGGCGCTGTCAGACTTTTCTATCTTTCCAGTGAGTTTCAATCCCAGCACCACCTAATTCCCCTTCCAACTTGCTTGGATTGTGTATGATTACTGTAACCTATGCGGCTGGACCTTTAAAAAAAAGAATTGATGACTACCACTACTGGCAATTCCGCATGCAGTCATTATAGCCCGCTGGTCTGATCAAGATGATCGACCTGACAATCTACAATAATGGACAGAGGGTCCAGCAAATCCGAGGAAGCCTTGCAGCTAAGTGGCCTGATTATAATCCAAATGGGCAGTCCAATCCGGTCCTTGCTTTCTGACCTCCTCACACCACAACCGAACAATTGAATGATAGACATTGATCTGCGAACAACGTGCACCTAATGATTGACATGCGACCACTGGTGATCTTCACAGTGGAGAGTTGCAAAACTCTATAACAGGTGTTTGTACTGGGTAACTCCATGGATTGCTGTACCAAAGCTCCACGTACGTTGGTGATCAATCAGCCACAAACATGCTTAATGGACCACAAGGTTCATGATATCTTCC